TTTCCATTTAAGAAATGAATACGATGGATAATTTAGAATTTTAGAGGTGAAATCCATGTGCATTCAGATAAACTTTCCACCTCTCATGACAAATATAATCAAACTGCTGACGGCTGCACAACATCTCATACATAGTTGATGACTAACATTTCCGTTAAAACTATTCTTTTTTCGATTTCTATTTACCAGAGAAAGTCTTTAAGAATTTTTTTTCGTAGAAATCCTAATTTTGATTGAGTAAAAACTTACTTTTAGAAATATCACTCGAAGACATTCTATCAAATACTCTGTGATGCAACTTATGTTTTCTTTTTACGTATGCAAATTTGTAATAACTGCAGCTAAAGTTGTTACCCATAAGACAATACAAGAAAACAATGGATGCAAAAATAATATGGAAACTAGCCTGGGCTTTTAGTATTTGAGTAATATAAGTTTTATGCACTCAAATGGTAGACAACTATAAGTTACTCTCATAAGTGTTTCGCCGAATTCAACAGATGACAAATTCTAAGAAGAACAAATTTAAAATGGAAATGTGAAATCAGAATATTAAGTGAGCCACTCAATGTAAATTATGGCTGTGCTAAATTACGTACTGTAAGAGCAATTTTAGAAAAACTTTATTCTCTCTTCAATCTTATGGTCAGGTTTTTATTGCTCACCCATTCTGTTATGTTACAAATTTCTTTCGCAAAAAATTATTTAGAATCATTTCTTTTCTAAGTTCTACAAAGTCACGCATGGGTAGCGAGTTCTCCTGGTAAATTACTCCCACAAAGAAGGTGTTCTTTAACTCGAAGGATACTTAAACTAAATTTCTCTCCTAGCGTTGCCGAGGTCCGGACGGTTGAGGGTTATCAAATCGAAGTTCTGCTCAAACTTTGGCTTTATGCTCCCCTCTTCCACTCACTTGACCTCCTGTTTTTGTCCCTTAGCCATTGTTCTCAAATATTCAGTACTTTCTTAAATAAGGCGCAATTTTCTGCTTCCCAACAAATTAAAATAGATAAGATTTCATATCTGTTAATGACGAACATCGCGAACTCAGGCATTTTACCCTAATTCAAGAATTGTATCCTCCGCGGTATGTAATCTATCTAATGTATGTGGGATTACTTTTGGTAACTCAGCTTTTCGATAAAACTCGGCTTGATAAACAGCAAATCATTTATTTGCACACAATACGAAAAATGAGATGCTTTTTTTGTTTGTTTCTCTCGTCTTTCTATAAACTAAAATAAGCGCCAATTTTTTTCAGATCAAGCAAATTAATTTTAAGATTTTCCCAGATATTTCATAAGGAAATTTGCTCAAGGTTTTTTTAATGACGAGCAAGGTTTATGGAAGAATTCTGATATGATTATCTTCAGAAGTGCGGATAACATAAGTAGAGCATCTATAACTATCACTTTTAAAACTGTTTTTATTGCGGGATAACTATGGACTACGATCTAACTGTACGCAGCTTTGTGGAACTCAAACATTTATGAGTGTCGGAAAATAAATATTGGCGAAAAGATGTTGATATAGGTGAAGTCAATTGAGTTGTAGAAGTTTAAGTGTAATATGAAGTTGCAGTGAAATTCGTTTTGAACTATGATGATACTTTCCCTCTAAGGATACGACTACCTTCATGGAACGAACGGTGGGTCAAGAGGTCACGCGATAGATGAAATTTTCTGAGCTTGATTGGCTCCTACCAATTTTTTTATTTGTATGGGACTTTGCTTCGCGTGCACTACAAACTCCGCTCTAATCGTTTGTTTCGCGATGTAGTCACTTCCAAAGTGGATCTCTTCTTCTTAGGTGTACAGTCCACAGCTGATTGAAGTGATTTCATCGTGAGACAAACAATTATAACATAACAACGAGGCATGCGTAACTCTAACCCTAAGCAACGTAAAGTTTTTCGCCTGCTTGTCCACTAGGATAAAGGAGAAGTTGATGAATGTGAAACAGATCGTTGTTCTCTGGGTTGATATGGGTACGTTTCTTGTGTAGGAAGTTTATATAAACCCTCCTATCGGGACATATCCCTTTTCGAAAATGACCCATTTAGGCCACTTTAGACTCATGGGCAGGAGCCCACTCCTGTCATGGCTTTATTAGACCTTTTATTTGTAAATTCAGTTTACTTATTTTAGGTGACAATACCGATCTGAAGAGATGTTTCCTTAAAATTTTCTCTTATTCACTTGCTTATGTACGCATGATGCACAAAAGATGAATCATGGAATTCCTTTGAGACCTGCAATGGGTAAACAAATTTTTAAAATGGTCTATTCTTGTCACTCTGATTGCAAATCACGGAATGAAGGTTTCCGTAGTATTTACGTTGGCTTGTGTCGCAAGCACAGCTTATTTGTGTTATTTATATAATGAATAATTCGGATAGAGGAGCACTATTTATTCTGAAAGCAAAAGACTTGCAGTTTCAGCTTGCGAATATTTTTGCAACGAAATAACAAGACAAAGAGCCCCATTCGCTCGCATTTCTTACCCTTGACTTCATAAAGAAAACTCTTGCCATTTTCGAAAAAAAGTCCAAATTGTATACCAAAAAGCTAGATCAACAGGGTTAGGAAAACTCATCCAATTTAATCAATTAGCATTACTTAGGTAATGAAAAATGCGGTCTGATTCGGATCGCAGAGCATAATAAATTCTGATCGATGGAAAGCAAAATATTTTCAATTTTACCTTGCCAATTTTGTTTGGTATGGATCAAGAGAACAAAGAGACTGCGCCAAATCTTACTTTTCGCCATACAAATCCTTGCGAGTAGTCATGGAATCCGATAAAGCCTCCATCTACTCATTTCATCCAAGTTATCTTTTTTTTTGCTTTAAAAGTAAACCGTTGCGATTCTCAAATAGTGGACAAAACGCTTACTCATTACTACTACAGATAGCACGATACATCAAGTCAAAAATTGTCATCGAAGTAAAATAAAATGAGGTCAAAGAAGCGGATGAGGGGTGTTCAAGAATTGGATTTGGTAACCCTCAACCATCCGGACCTCAGAGAACACTTGTGTGCGTGAACAATTTATATCCTCTTACTCTGATATCGCTTCCGTGTGGGATGCTTTGTCTCTGCGCTTGCGTAAAAAGCCCATTCAAACGCACTGATTTCCTCTCGTTCGACCCTATGTTTCATGTAGTGTAAATAACCTATGATAAGAACCAAGTTGGTAAATGATACGTTCATTGGTAAACCTCACGCAAACTGAGTGGATATGAGCAGCTAGCCAGCTACAAATTAGAGCACTGCTGACATAACTTTGGTTAGTATATACCCATATCTACATGTATTTTGTTTCATTGTTGCCACAATCGATAGTTTGTTTAAATCATTTTGAGCGTCTAAGAAATGTTTCATTAGAAATTTAACAAACGGACAATCCTAAAAATTCTTAGAAAGGAAATATCTTGACATAATTTGCTGACCTTACTGCTGTCCAGCTGTGATTGTCACAAGCAAGAGAAAATAATTTTGCCACAAGTTAATTTCACACCTCACTGAAGCCTGATCGGGGCGTTTTTGAGCTTGATACAAGACTTTGCATTCAAAAATAAATACAATAGATTATGTTGGAATATTAGAGGCGAACTCCATGTGTATTCAGATATTACTGTCTCTCATGACAAATTTTGTTTAACTGCTGATGGTTGCGAAACATCAAATACCAAACTGATGACAAATATTTCTTCTAAACTGTTCGTTTCTTCGATCTCCTTTCTCAATTTTGGTGTAGAAACACCAATCTTAACTCAGAAGAAATGTACTTCAATACGGTTCGAAGACAGCCTGTTTACAAACTCTGTGTTGTGACTTACATTTTCAGTTTACGTATGCAAATTTGGAATCATTGTTATAAATATCAAGGGGACAATACAAGAAAACAATGAAAGCAAAAATAATGAGCAAACTGGCTACTTAAATCTGAGTGAAATAAGTTAATAAAGTTCTTTTTCGTCCACAGCCGAATGATACTAGCAAAGTTCTATCTGCATTTTTTCATAGGATCCAATAAGAAGACAAAGAGAAGGAGGCAGTATAGTCAGAACAAATTAATTGAAAATGCAATTGTGAAAATCAAGCGATTCCTGAAAATAGAATAATTTAGTGGGTTATTCCCTGAAAACAATAACTTTGCTAATTTTTCTTACTATAAGTAAAAATTTAGTTGATGCCGAAGTAGAGCGCGATATTCTAATTTTATTTTCAGAAACCACAACATTTTAATTCTAATTTGTAGTTTACGCCAATTCCAAGTAAACAAAGGCTTTTGCACCGTATAAATTAAATACTTTCATATCCTAGAAAGCTCTTTCATCTTATTTTTCAATCATTTTAGAGATCCTAACTATTACGTGCAGTCACCAAACGCAGTTGCAGCACTTAACGAGTTTAGATATGAACTTTTTTGGGGCCATTTTTGATCATTCTATATAAGGCGCAATTTTCAATGGAAACGTTACTTGTTTTGTCCATGCTCAATAAATCACTATTTCTGAGTCATTTTTTTATCATTTGTTCAGTTTCGTTCAGTTTTTATCGGTTGTTCAGATAAGGTTTTGCTTCCCCCACCTATCTCTCCAAAAAAAGGTTCACAAATGTCGCATTGGGTAAACGTTTTAAGTATTCGACATAGCTACATTTTACTTAGCCCTTTACACCCCGAAATTGGTTTCCAATTCTCCGCACTGTTCTCTATAGGTTTGCTAAGGTGCAAAAGAGAATTTGCTTAACAATCAAGAGCTTCTTAAGTTAGATATCTTTCTTTTTTTATTCTCATGACCCTAATGTTTGATTCAGGGGTGATACTGCTGGGAGAATTTAGATACTTATCACTCCTAGGGATGTTCCTCTCTATCTTGTTCTCTCATGGTAGTCAGAGACAGACTTAATTTCATGAAAAACTAACGGCTTTGTATTTAAAAAATGTAATAATTTTGTATATCAACTTTTATAAATATTAATTTTCGTCTGCCGTACAATAACATATTCACCATTTCCACCAGTTATCTATATTTTTCTTGTGACTTCGCAATATTCGTTTTTGATTGTCCTTCAAATACATATTATTAAAATTCTGACGTTTCCCTCAAGTCACTGAGTTATCTGAATTCAACTAGGTATCACTGCAACTCTGAACAATTGAGTCCCTTTTTCTGTAGAGTACCAGCTGAATCAGGAAAAAAGCGGCTAAAACAAAACGTTGAGAAAACAGATTTGCCATGAACCATTTTAAAATCTATCATATCCTCAACTGCGTATGCGAAAAAAATTCTAAAAATTGATTGTTCTTAACAGCCCTTTTAATCGCTTAATTTTTTTGATGTTCCACCAGAACTGTCTGATCTGATTAGAAGCTGCTTGCTATCGGACAGTTTGGCAGCCAAAAAAAATTAGGAGATAAAAGGTATTACTCGATAATATCTGACTGCCCAGTCCAGGAAAATCAGTTAACATGTAGTAAAAAATCCCTTGTTGCTTGCCTATCTTTTGGTCAGCTCGAGAACAAAAGCGGTAAAAGTTCTTGATCTAAAGACTTCCGAAAGCCTCTTTGGCAAAATAACTTTAGGAAGATGGTAAAGTGCTCTTCCCTCAAATATTTCCATGGTATTTGCATAAAAGGAGCAACTCTCAAAGAAACTTGTGTTTTAAAATCCAACGAGCTCGTATTTGGTAGAAGAAAAACAAACGCAGCTAACGCAACTCTCACCGACAGCATCTTAAACTTTTTCTAAATTAGATGTCGAGGTATTAATTAGTGATTGCCCATGATCCTCTTGAACTGTGACAGTATTTGGGGATTCAACGTATTTGTACTTTCTAGCAAGGAAAACAAAAAGGAGGAAATTCGCGAACATCACGGCAGCGAGGAAAAAGAAATAGTTTTCTAGTTTGCCCGCGTTCAAATCCTGCGGGTACCAAGAGCCGTCACTAGCATTTTTCGCTATCGCTGCCAGAGCCCCAGCAACATAGAAGCCTATTCCAATGGTGGCCAGGTTAAGGCCCATGATCACTCCGCGAAGATAGAGAGGGGACTGGGAGTAAGCAAATGCCAGCCCTAGAATGAGGAAAGAAGGCGAAAAGTTAATATTTCCAAGAAATTAGTATGGTTTAGTATAGCAGGTTATAACTTACTCTAAACAATAAGTTATTTTAAAGTGAATGATTTTCAAGTCATTATTCCCAGTTCTAGAGGATAACATCTACGATTATCTTTCAGTTGTGTAGGCGCTTTCTTTTCGGAGAGCATGAGGCAATGTTGTAAATCAGTTGTTGGCTAAATTTCCGTTGCTTAATTTACTGAAGCCAAAGTAGTGACTTCGCCTCCCTCCCTAAAAACCTGTAAAGGGGGTGAATCAAGGTTACAACTAGAAGCATCTCAAACAGTGTAACCCTTTCAGTCACATGATTGTTATCCAAGAGAACCCCACAAGAATTGCTTTCGTGCAAATTGCCTTCCCTCCCCCCCCCTCCTTCTTGGAAATAGCACAATCCATATCACGCGATTGTACACGGCAAACGGTACATCGGCACGGATCGTTTTGCTTTTGTGGTGTCTGTAACGCATTGTTTACTGACAAGGTGCACTTTAGCGTTGGAAAAATGTCTCAGGCCAACTTGTTCCAGTTCATCTTCAGATGACATGTTAAAACATTCGAAAACCAAAACAAAAAACCATCCTAACACGTTAAGGCTTTAATAATTATTAAATTTTAATTAAGTGAATTATCATTCCTTTATGACAACAACAGTGACAACTCCGTTGCTATTAGGTTATTTGGAAAATATCCAGACCACGCTGGACATCCTTTCATTCACTTTCACAGCTTACCTGGAATCGAAGTCAGTACTTCCCCAGTTCCCTGGAGCACGTATTGAGGGACTTGATAAAAGATGTTCATTTGTGAGGCATTTACTGGAGTGTCGAACGGATGCTGTTTAAAATAACCATGTGTGTCGATGTATTTTTTTCTTTCGATCTCCATAAACCCTGCCATGAGGACAGACCCCATGGCAAACAACATTCCGACACCCATTTTCTTCAGGGGGGTGAAGTCGATGCCGAAGTAACGGAGGGATGGGTAAATAATGCGATCCACAATTGGTATGAGGATTAATAGCATGGTGATCTCGAAGAGATACAGAGAGGCCGCCGGCATTGTAAAGTGCTCGGACAGTTTGAGTTTCATGAAAGAACCTTGAAGGAGATAGCTTGTTTGGCCCTAGGAGGAAAAGCAAGAAAAGTTGTAGACGTCACTGAAGTTCCCTTATCAGAGTACCAGCAAGATCACCAAGGTTATTATAAGGGAAGGAAAGGTACCGTTCGTGGGTATGGCCTTCGCAGTGCCTTATCTTTGTTGTTGTCGTTGTTGTTGTTGTTGTTAGTATGACAGAGGTGAAAGCTTATCATATTTGTCAAAAGCCTCAAAGTTAGCATTATATATTATACAAACAGCGTACTATTGTCCATGCAGAAGGAGTTTAGTATCCCTTTGCCCTGAGGATTATACGCTAATAAATGTGTGTGTTTTAAACAGCAATTAATGCGCATTCGAACCGCCGAAATAGCACAATTTCACTATTCTGCGCCTTAAAGGTACACACATCGCCCATATCAGCCCCTTATCCCCTAAATATGATGTAAGCAAAACGTTCGTGCAAACATCGCAAATATCTGGTGTCTTATGTGGAGGGGCGTAGCGAAGTAACATCTGGTTGAATAAGAAACCTTTTCATTAGTCGGCATCTGAGTCAATCTGCAGAGAATCATTACTTATATCACTAGAATAATCTGAATGAGACCCCTCAGTTAGTATCCATCTCTTAACGCTTACCTGTCCATAAATCGTCCAGTATAAGATAAATGTAAGGAATATTGGAACTATTTTCAGCACTGACTTGACATCTTCGACTCTTTGATCTTTGTAAGTTCCTCCCAGACTCTCTTTAGCCCGGTCTAGCCAGTGGGACCCAACTCGCGCGCTTCTCTGACATTGAATCTTCTTTAATCCCTGCCATATTATCTTCAGTGTTTCAGATAGGTAACTTCCTTTATGCTCATGAGTAATGTAGTATTTTCTACCACTTACGAATAATATGACTGCCAAGAACATTGACAGAGCGGTTATGACGTAACCATAAAAGAACGACACCTCTTGCTGCACCGAAACGACTGCGGTGTAAGCTAAAAAAGATCCTAACTGAATGAACCAGTAAAACCAGTCGAAGAACCGCTGAACAATTATGGGCCCTTCATTCTCGATCTGATCTGCCCCTAAAGGGGATACATTAGCTTTGATTCCACCGGTTCCGACAGAAATGAGAAGTAACGCAATTCCTAAGAATGCCTCTTTACTTCCGGTGCTCAATCCATATATGGCACCATAGTCGAATGTCGCAGCACCCAGAACAATGGCACCGACCACATAAAGCAAAGAACTTCCATATATGGTGTTGTAACGCCCTAGAAAAGTATCTGCCACCCAGCCACCGATCACAGGTGAAAAAAATGAGGTGCCTTGGAGAAAAAATGAACTAAGTTAGATTTCAAGGGAAATTCTTGAGTCAATGTATAATTGTGTCAGAATCTGATAACTCATCGACATTGTAATAGTTCAATCAAATCATCTTGTTTTACATGTAGGTACATATAACTTCCAACGAATGACACAAAAGTACTGGGAACTAACATGAAACACCCTATATTGGGTGGCTCACATCCCATTCTTGCATGCCTTTTTAATTAACAGCTTGCAGGAGAAGAAAAAACAATTTTTAGGAAGACAGATAGACTAGCATTAATTAAAAAAAGGTAAGTCATAACTGACCACTACATGGAAAATCTTAGGTCAAACATCTTCATTAACCATTTAACTCCCAAAAGTGATTAACATGTAACTTCCCCTATAATATCCACACATTTTCCAGCAAACGGGCAATCTGATGATCAGATATTGGGAGTATATATTAAAAAAAAACAAACAAAAATGGTCACATTTCACTGTATCTACACATTGAACTTGAACATCAAACTACAGTGAAGTCAATGCTGTCTGTTTTAGATCTTTCTTTTGTCTTGTTAATGCAACACCTGTTATACCCTTTTAGATACTATCATTTACAAATGATTGAGGAATAATTTCTCCTAAGCTTGAAATTTTAACACACTGTTGATCAAACAGGCTAGCCTCACGTTATGCTAAAAAAGCAATTAATTCCAGAAGATCTGGCCCCAGTTGTTTAAAAGGCAATTATAATGCTTCTTAAATGCAAATTTCTATCAGAACCCAAAGTTGCATTTCCTCAGGGCTCTGATCTGGCTATATTTGTGCTATTTCCACTGTGAAACTCATAGCTGGCTTTTCAAAGAAACTGCTTGTCCTTAAAAGAATCCTGCATATCTTTGATTGTTCAACCACAAAGTTGATTTGTTAGGACATAAGGCAATCAAGATCCTTACTTTAACATGTAAAAAAATAAAGGGGTAAGTTTCTAAAGAAACTGTGATGCTGCATCAGTGGAAGGAAATAGCAGGGTAATTAAGTGTTATCAACTAAGTTGATAACTTAAATCGACCACCTTAAAGAGTTTTAAAGCTGACATTTCAAGTGTTAGCCCTTCGTCATTTGCTCTGACAAGGGAATAACATTCAAATCATCAGCTTTGAAACTCTTAAAGGTGGCCAATTTAAGTTATAAACTCAGTTGATAATACTTAATTATTATGTAAAAAAAAAAAAGTTTATTAGACAACAAAAGTCACAGAAATCTACCTTGAAATGCAAGACTGATACTGCTGGGCAGTGGAGCCTCAAGCTTCAAGTAGTCTCTGCAGTACAGCACAAGGTTTGCCACAATACCATAAAATGTAAGACGTTCACATAGCTCTGTAAATAAAATGCACACCACCAACAAGATCCTGGTTCTTCTTCCAATGTGCTCAGGATGAGAGTCTGCTAATGCATTACTTCTGCTGGCCCCACCAAAGATAGGCTCCAGCTCTGGATCTTTCTTATTTCCCATGGCTGGCTAGTAAAAAGAGGTTTAATTTAGTAAGATAATTAAGATAAGATTAATGATTAAATTAGAGGTAAAGATCACACAGTTGTTTTCGCTCTTTTCATGAAATGGTCTGGCCCTATGAATTAATTATTTGAGCAATCGAGAGCACTTCTGATGGTTAATATCAGCACAATAGTCAATGCAGGATTCGGGAGAACATGTCAGAATAGTTTGTACATCATGAGCTGGAAGCAAGTGATTTACACATTTTTATCATACCCTCCCAACACCAAGACTGGGTTATTATTATAGGCCAATAGAAAGTGCACTATATAGCTTTTATAAAATAAACTTCAATTTTCTATGGATTTACCAGTGCAATAAATGACAGGTTTTTGACCAATCAGGGTGCTTATAGTTTCTCAGTTATTTCGTAACAGTGGTTTAAGTCACACTACATTTATTTAGCAAATGATGCTTCAATAAAATAATAATAAATAAAAATGAAACAATTGCAAGAAGACAACCACTTCTCTCTGTTCCAATGAGGTAACTTTGTGAATATTTTCTTTTTTTTTTTGGAAGACCCCTCCCTCTTACTGTGAGAAGTCATATAAGGATTACTGTTTTTTTCATTACCTAAAAAGATATCTCCATGGAATCTGGATGTTGTTAGTTTCTTTGAAGAAGGAAAAATCAAAACTTTCCCAACTAAACCTTACGGCAGGAAGGAAGGAGGGAGGGGGAGCCAGGTAAGTAATTGCAGTGAGGTCCAATTTAACTTCCAAAACCTTGCATACTGTTGCGGGCGATCCCTTTATTTACGCCGTACTATTTCTATTTCATGTAATTCTAAGGGTAAGCCTACGTTAGGCGTTTTTTTCCCAGGTTACGGTCGACAAGTTATGAATTTGCACACATCTTATTCCATATCAACATGTAACTTTGAGGAAAACAGTATCTTTTATTATCCTTTATTACTAAGATAAACTCGAAGTGCTCTCAAATCATCTTCTAAAGAGAAATCTTGATGAATTAAATGCATAGCCAAAAAATTAGTCACTCATGATCAGTCGACCTTTTGTTATTTCAGCAACTACTAGGACACAAAACTCACCAAAGATATGCGTTCCTCCAGACAAGAAATTGTCACTCGTGCGGTAAATATATAGCTTAAGGTCAACTTCGTAGCTACGTACTAGACTTTTGATCTTTAGACGAAAGCAAATCGTATTACGCAAAGGTACACTTCGAATAATGACAATGTCACGGTAGTTGCGTGACCAGAATGTCATGGGACTGTTGTCTTAAATGTCACAAGACATCACGTGAACACCTTACGTCACCAAACTACAGGGTTGATAAGCGGCAAGTATGAAGAATTTTTGATGGTATCAGTTTGTAAAAAATAGATGATGAGTCAACGGGCAAGAGGATTACTCGAAAGGGTTATCATAATCTACGATCGGTGAGGAGCGGGAAAGCAAGGAGAATTTTCACTCTCATTACTGTCTGCCATACAATTCTCGTAATCTAGCTATTGGTTAAACTTATTATCTTTCATCATTCCCATCACTCGTCTTTTAGATTATAATTGTATTGATACTGAGAGGAGAAATCAATTCAACTTTTACAAGATATTACCTATGTGCGTGACGTGTTTCTCGCGTCAGTAAAATCAATGTTCCCAATCATCATAAGTTCTGGTGTGGAAGTATTCCAATCACGATCGCTTTCTGAAGTAGTTACAAATGTTAAGTGATCTGTAAGCCAGGAAGGAACTGATTGAGGTGAGTTTATATTCTTTTTTGTTTGGTCATGGCTAATGTTTCATTTAGTTATTGAAGAGTAAGAGGAGACTCAGCTCAGAGAAAAGTCCTAGAACCCCTTGGTCTACCGTATATTCCTATCTAATCCACGACTGCTAGTCATATTAATCTTAAATAAACTTTTAATAAATTTCTTTAAAAACTAGGTGGCAGATTACATGAAAGAAGTAGAATGCTTAAGTTCTCTCATTTCTAAAGCTAACAAACACAAAATTAAAATTTTTGCCGTCAGAAATTTTGAGTCAACCTACAGTAACATGCAAGCTTAATAACTAAAATTGTCCAGAAACTGATATAATTAACAATTATTCACCAAAATGGAGGTGAATAGAGGTGAATAAGGTGAATATCCACAATGTTCACCAACACTCAGATGAGTTATTGTTTTAGTATATGCCACAGATACCAAAAAATAATTAAAATTCTTTCAATTTACAGGAAAATGGTTGGAAATTAAACTTTTGATGTGTGATTTTGTTTCATCAGCTGCCTAGCACTTGCTATTCACTTCCGCATTAACCAATCAGCACACACTAGATGCACTATTTTCACTTGTGGTATGTAGTAATATAAATTGTAGCATTCTTAAATGGTAAAAACTTGCCAAAGAGTTGGTTGATTTTGCAGCTTTTTTGTCTCCTTTTTTTTTAACATTCATTTTTTTTCCACCACTAGCTTCCACAGATTTTGGATCTGCTTTTTACAAGACTAATGCAGGTTGCTCTCTCCTGGCACTAGAATCCAAACTCCTTGAACTTTTGTAATTGATATATGGTCATAACATGTACTGGAAAAAAAATAGAAATTCCTATTTTTGTTAGTTCCTATCAAATGTAGTTTAATAGCCAGAAAATTTTTACATACTTTTAGATGATTCACACTTGATCTATATTCTTAAAAACTACCCACACTACATCAGTAGTGCAACCTCTTCACTTTGATTGCTGGCATTGTCTCATGACCATGCACTAAGGACTTCCTACAGGCAGGTGCACACAATAGTTTTTGCACATTTATAAGTAGCAAATTGACACATGTCACTCAGCCATGCACAGATGAAACACTAACAGTCAGTTCATGGGCATCCTGGTACTCCTTTACTTTGTAAGGATGACTTTTTGTATTTGTAGGAGGATGCAATCAACAGAAACAACAAGAAATTAAGTGTCATCAAACCAGCCATCATGAAGAAGAAGTACTCCATATGACCCTGATTGGGATCCTCCTCAGGGTACCAATCACTGTTGACAACAGCAACTAGAAAGTTTGCTATATAGCTTCCTATGCCAGAGGCTGATAGAAAAAGGGCCATGATCACTCCATTAAGGTTTTTAGGAGCCTGTGAATATGCAAATTCCAGACCTGCAGATACAAAGAGACAGTAGAAAAATATATCACTGTGGATTTCTACAAATTCCCCTCATGGAAAAACATGGAAATTTCTCATGTAGAGAAGGCTGGGGACGTAAGACACAGGTGAGACAATTTTTTCTGAAGGTTCCTGAAGTGACTGTGAGTAACCATGTCTCACTCCTTCCATTACCCATCATATCTCCTGAAACATTTCATAAAATGGTTAATTCATAATGAAGAGAAAGAGACTAGGTTAACATTCTCAAAGGCTTAGGGCAGCAGTGTCAAAAAACCAAAACCAAAACGAAACAAAATCCCAGTGATCAATCAGAACAAAGGTCTACAAATTATCATTTGCCAGTAAGAACACTCAAAGTGACAACAAGCAAACTGCTTGAAGCATGGGTAAATGTGAATGGTTAAGTCATGATTGTTTTTACAGTTTTGCATCTGATTGTTGAGAGGATGACACAGGATGCCTGTACCAATCAGACAGAGCAAAGTTAAGTAAAACTGAAGCCATCCCAGATTACTTTCAACATCCAGTGGACAATTGCTTAAAAAAACATCAATGAAATTCACTTACCAGTAATAGTTGCAAACACTTCACCAGATCCAACCAATAAGTACTGTGGTGCTTGCCAGAAAATACTGAAACATGAGGCACTGTGACTCTCATTAAAAACCGTCTGTGTGCATATGTTCCCGTGTTGCCACACTGTCCGTCGTTTTATTTCAATCAACCCAGCTACAAGCATAGAAGCTGCTGATAACACAAACCCTACACCAATGCGCCGCAAGGATGTCAACTTGATCCCGCTGCGCTCAATACGAGGATAAACTGCATAGTCCATGAGGGGAACAAGCACCAGAATAATAACTATATCAAACAATGACAAAGATGCTGCTGGCACGGAAAAGCCATCAAAATTTAGCTTCATGTATGTACCTTGAATGAGAAATGACGTGGACATCTGAAAGAAGAGAAAAGAAAAAGTTTCAAACTAATATTGCCTTAAGTTTCAATTTCTTCTAACAATTCACATCTTGGTTGTGATCCTCTTCTCTTCTTCTAAACACATATATATATCATGTATAACTGTTATGACTTCATGATGGCAAAGCCTTACCTGAGAAAAAACTGAAAAATAAAAGATGAAAGTAATGAAAACAGGAAGAAGTCTTAACACAGCCTTGACATCTTCAACCTGATCATCACCAAACTTTCCTCCAAATCTGCTCTTTGCTCCATCCATCCAGCCACCAGTGTTTTGTTTCCGATTTTTAATGGCATTGTGAATTATTTTTGCTGTTTCAGTTAGTTGGCTACCACCTGGTGGCTTGACCAAGTACCTATTACGACAGGTGAGAAATACAATGATTCCAAGGAACATAAAACCCACTAGGATGGCATAACCAGAGAAAATGTCTTTTTGCTGGACAGCAACCACCACAGTAAAAGCTACGAGGGCTCCAATGTTAATGAACCAATAAAAATAGTTGAAAAAGGTCTGAACAGCTCTTGGACCATCCTGTTTCAACTGATCTGCTCCAAAGGGTGACACAGTGGCTTTGATTCCTCCTGCACTAAATGCTATCAACACAAGGGCCAGGATAAAGAACACTACTCTTCCTGATGCATTAAATAAGCTCTTCAACAAATTATCAGAAGCTGATACTGTAGCTAGAAGCACAACTCCCACAAAATACAACAAAGAGCTTCCATATATGGTGTTATACTGACCAAGGTAAGAATCGGCTAACCACCCACCAAGTAAAGGGGTGAGAAAACATGTTCCTATGGGAAAAAAAAAAGAAGGAAAAAATAAATTAAATTTTAAAAGAGTTGAACAGCTCAGCTCATCAACAATCTGGTTTTTCAAACCTTTACACTACCTTTGCATCATTTTTCAAGCTGAGCCATGCTGTTTTCTATACATTTCAGGTGGTATGTGCATGGAGAATATGTTTAATAATCAAAAGTTTCTACACTTTGCAATCATTACCTTTATTCTCATTAATTCACAACTTGCCTCATGCAAGCATGATACTGATGGGATAAATTAGATGCTTACCACTCTCATGGGTTTAAGGGGTTAACACTGTGCTACATGTCATAACTTTTGCAATTTTTAATTTCTCTTGGTGGCTTGAGCCCAGGAGTAAAAGTAGTGTTGTTTTTTGGTGATTAAAACTTTTAGTTCAGCATACTTGTATTTCAAATGGCATTTAACAGGTGAATGTTCTGAGTTGTGTACCTGGCACAAGCATTGGAATGTAGGAGTTACTCACAAGGTTTCTTATATAATTAATCCATGTAAACATAACCCATTAACTCCCAAAAGTGGTTAACATGTAACTTCTCGCTATGATATGCAAACATTATCCAGTAAACAGATTATGAGAATACTCAAACTCATCAGGTAAAAGTCTTTGTCTTGATCTAAGACCAAATTTTGTATTTAATTCACAAGAAACTATTTATAAAATAATTCAAATAGTACGTGCACTCTGATTGGCCATAAAACCATTTTACAGGAGCGTATGTAAACACGGTTTTTGTTCCTCTTTCATTAGTTATTTTATAAAAGAAATGTAAAATGGTTTCCGTGTTTACATAGCCTGATGTAAACACTTGGGAAGTTGGGAGAACACTCGATAAGCTGGAAACCACTCCATTTCGCGTCGTGGTTTCCTACGCTTATCTCGTGTTCTCCCAACCTCCCACCTGTTTACATCAGGCTATGTAAACACGGAAACCATTTTACATTTCTTCATTATCAGCTAGAGGGGACAATGAACAATCAGATCTTCAAAGTTAAAGGATTGAGATGATTATTTTCTTTAAAACCATCTTACATGCATGATGCAACTAGAAGCAATGAGAGTCCTGTAGCTAGTTGAAGTTATTTTACTAAGCAGAAACAATAAAGGGGAACAAAAAAGTACTCCATATATTTGAAATATTTCTACATTTGCCTTAACAAGTGTATACAGCTGTTTCAAGATTTAGGTTGTCCAAAAAAGGTCAAATTAAAGTGCATGTGACCATCTTGAAAAGTAATGTGGGCATCCTGTAATCAATTAATTTTAATATGTCAAATGAATGTCTACATTCATCAACCTTGCTATGCCTCATCCTAAAAGTGTTATGTTCTCAGATTTCCCAGAAATCCTGCAAGGTCAAGGACTTGAAAACTACCAAAATTTACATTCGAGGTTGTTGTACTTACTTTTACACTTTTCCTAAACAGCCTTTCTTGAAACAGCTGTAGTCAATACTTAAATATACAGTATAGTTTCGTTCTTTAATGAGCATGATCCTACAAGTGATTAACATGAAACTTCTCCTTATAATATCCTCACATTATCCAGCAAATAGGTAATAAGTATACCTGTTATCTTGATCTAACACCAAATTCCTATTACTAATTTACAAGGAAACTTATAGCAGCTAGAGGGGAGAATTAACAAGAATTAAAACATAAGAATGTTAGGATAACACTACAAACAAACCTGCGAACAAAAGAGTGATTGTTGATGGCCAAGGTGACTGTAGCTTTAACACATTCTTGGAAAATAAAACTAGATTTGCAGCTGCTCCAAAGAAGGTCATGCGCTCACATAACTCTGTAACAAGAATACACACTGCATTCAGGACCCTTTGTTGTCGACTCAAGGCACTATTGGAGTCAGATGAATTGGTAGCCACACTTGTCTCCCCACCAGGTGTGGAATGTGGTTTATCTACTTCCTCTGGAATTAAGGGAGAATTTTCATTTCCATTTGTAGTTGCTGACATGCTGCAGGATTTCTAAGCAAATTAAAAACAAATTGATTAACGGAATTAATTTGTAATTGCTGACGTGCTGCAGGATTTCTAAGCAAATTAAAAGCAAGCCGTGAGAATAGGGTGGAATCTTACATTCATACGGCACCCCCCACCTTCATTCTGGTGACTAAGAGCCTTAACCATTTAAACCTTATCATCAGTATGCTTACTCTCCATACTGTTCTCCAAACATTTCTTATGGTGCTGACAATTAAGGGGAATTTGTTTAACAATCATGGGCTTTTCCAGTTGATGACCTTTCCTATACTCTCACGACCTCTAGCTTAATGTTTGATTCAGCAAGTGAGATAGCAAGAAGAAATTAGATGCTGGTTATCCCCCTAGGTCTGGAGGGGTTAAGAGACCAGGCTGTATTTGGTACCAGTCTTAATTGCTTCAATCTCATCAGTGCGCAATAGGAAGTTGTGAGATGAATATTTTGCGTAATAAGAATGAAATTTTTTACGGACTAGCCCTGCTTCTAATTCAGCTAATTGAATACCCATCGCGTTTAATTTTTGCTTATCTTCGGAAGTAGCTAATGTCGTGAGCAATATGAAAGCTAAATTCAATGAGTGATTCGTATCACTGCACAGGAAGTGTACAACCATTTGCATTTTGAGCGTTTATTTTCAGCTCTGGTAGAGCATTATTGTACATTACTGTCTGTCCGGCTGCTATCACATTACATAATTATTCAGATTTCTTCGAGAAGTTGAAATCTCCTTTAAACCTCTGTGGAAAGGTTGAATTGTTGTACATACGTGCATTGATAGATTTCTACATCGCTAAAATTTAGCTATGTGATTGTCAATTACAGAAACAAGGTCTTATATGGACTGATTTTCCGTTGCGAGGCCTAAAATAATGAGGCTGATTAACAAAGGCATTTGATTCGCTTTGGTCGCTGGACAATTTTCTACTGATACAGCTTGCAAGAAAAAAGCTAAGCACTATAAGGGATCAAACTCAAAGTCAAACTAAACTCGAAATGTTAGGTACAACTGAAAATTCAAACATAGAGTCGATTCGAATTAGAAAGTGCAACTGAACACGGTTGAAAATCCATCTTACTAAGAATGAACAAGAATGTTCAGTATTTTGAGAGGGCAGTGGAGACGAAACCAATATAGTATTTTGAGCGCAAGCATTTTTGGTTGTTAACATTTGAACAAAGTGCACGTACTCGGAAATCGCTGAACACGACATGATTTTAACGATTAATAAAGGAAAGCAAACCTTGAAATAAAGTACATTGCTCTCCTTACGAACTTTGATACTTACCGGGAAATAAAGGGCACAATCACACCTGAAAACGTTTTGCGGAAGATCGCTAGCAAGCCAAACTGAGTTAATGCTGAACACAAAGCAAACCGAACAATCTTTGCTCAACAACAAATCAGTACTATAAATAATTCTTCTGGGTTGAAAGCTGAATAATGAATATTGCATTGCGGGTTTAAATTTAAAATAGATAATGAATAATTGGGTTTCGAAACCTCGGGAATAATGAATCACGTTATCGATGCCAATGGAATAATAAATACCACTTTCTTATTCAGTTGTCTTGGTTATGTATTTTTGTATTTTCTGATATATCTTCAGAAGCTTTTTTTTAAGTGAAATCAACGATATGAAGGTGAAAACTACAAGAGACGCAAAAAGTCTCCTGGCGAAACTTCCGGCCGGAAGTGTTTCGAGTTGGAAGACAACTTCACAGCTTGACAGCTAGATAGGTTTTCTGTCAAATGCCCTGTTATGGCATCATTTGACGTTTGATTCGCGTGGAAGTTGCTTGGTGGTTATCTTTGTCGAGGTTATGTCTGCTCACTTTTCGCAAGAGGTAAAAGCAAGAAAGAGAAAAAAAAAAAAGGCACGAGCAACGGTAAGGCAATATTATATATATTTTGGTTTGTTTCAAACATGCGCCGATTTCAAGTCAATTCGAATCTATCGATTTTGTGCTTTGGATAGAGTAAACATCTCTCCCTCTGCAAACGTTCCTGGTAACCTGTAAGAAGGCGCCGTTCAAGGTGGTCAACCAGCAGGTCAGTACCAAACAGATTTTGAGATCGATTTGTGATACGATGATGACGATAATGAATAGCGAACAGAAACTTCGAATAAACTTCTTCATAACAAGAGTACAAAAAATTTTCGAAGCTTTGATAATTATTTAAATTTAATAATGAAAATTATCATTCCTTTATGACAACAGTGGCAACTCCTTTGCTATCAGATCATTTAGAAAAATATCCAGACCACGCTGGCTGGACATCCTTCCACTCACTCTCACAGCTTACCTGGAATCGAGGTCAATACTTCCCCAGTTCCCCGGAGCACGTATTGAGAAACTTGATAAAAGATGTTCATTTGTGAGGCATTTACTAGAGTGTCGAACGGATGCTGTTTGAAATAACCGTGTGTGTGAATGTATTTTTTTCTTTCGATCTCCATAAACCCTGCCATGAGGACAGACCCCATGGCAAACAACATTCCGACGCCCATTTTCTTCAGGGGGGTGAAGTCGATGCCGAAGTAACGGAGGGATGGGTAAATAATGCAATCCACAATCGGTATGAGGATTAATAGCATGGTGATCTCGAAGAGATACAGAGAGGCCGCCGGCATTGTAAAGTGCTCGGACAGTTTGAGTTTCTTGAAAGAACCTTGAAGGAGGTAGCTTGTTTAGCCCTAGGAGGAAAAGCAAGAAAAGTTGTAGACGTCACTCAAGCTCCCTTATCAGAATACCGGCAAGATCACCAAGGTTATTATAGACATTATAAGGGTAGGAAAAATAACGTTTGTGCGTGTGGCTTTCGCAGTGCCTTATCTTTGTTGTTGTTGTTGTTGTTGTTGTTGGTACGACGGAGTTAAAAGCTTATAATATTTGTCAACAGCCTCAAAGTTAGCACTATATATTCTACACACAGTGTACTATTGTTCATGCAGAAGGAATTTAGTGTCCTTTTGCCTTGAGGATTATACGCTAATAAATGTGTAGCATTTTTTAACAGCATTTTAAGCGCAATCGAACCGCCGAAATAGCACAATTTCACTATTCTGCACCTCAAAGGTACAAACATTGCCCATATCAGCCCCTTATCCCCATATATTCCATATATGGTGTTGTAATGCCCTAGAAAAGTATCTGCCACCCAGCCACCGATCACAGGTGAAAAAAATGAGGTGCCTTAAAGAAAAAAAGAACTAAGTTAGATTTCAAGGGAAATTCTTGAGTCAATGTAAAACTGCATCTGAATCTGATATCTCATCAAAGTGTGCAATAGTTCAATCAAATCATCTTGTTTTACATGTTGGTAAATACACCTTACCACAAATGACAGAAAAGTACTGGGGACTAACATGAAATGCCCTATATTGGGTGGCTCACCTCCCATGTGATAAAAAAAAAGCCAGCAGGAAAATGAGACCACTTACTCTGATTTCATTTTCGACTTTCTCTCTTGCATGCCTTTTTAATTATCAGCTTGCAGCACTGAGCAGGAAAATAATTTCTAGGAAGATAGGTAAACTAGCATAATTTAAAAAGGTAAGTCACAACTGACCATACATAGAAAATCTTTGGTGAAACATCTTCATTAACCATTTAACTCCCAAATATGATAACATGTAACTTCTCCCAATAATATCCACAATTATTTTCTAGCAAACAGGTGATCTGGTGATCAGATATTGGGAGTAAATATTTAAAAAAGAAAACAAAAAAAAAAATGGCCACATTTCACTGTATCTACACAATGAACTTGAATATTAAACTGCAGTGAAGTCAGTGCTGTCTGTTTTAAATCTTTCTGTCTGTTTAAGATCTTTCTTTTGTCTTATTCATGCAACACCTGTTTAGCAAGATGATGTAATGACAAGTTAGAGAGAAGTCATTGGTAAATCACATAGGAGATCAAATTTATAGATTTTACCCTTTTAGATACTATCATTTACAAATGATTGATGAATAACTTCTCCTAAGCTTGAAATTGTAACACATTGTCAATCAAACAGGCTAGTCTCACTTTAAGCTAAAAAACCAATTAATTCCAGAAGATCTGGCCCTAGTTGTTTGAAAGGCAATTATAATGCTTCTTAAATGCAAATTTCTATCAGAACCCAGAAGTTGCATTTCCTCAGGGCTCTGATCTGGCTTATTTGTGCTATTTCCACTGGGAAACTCATGGCTGGCTTTACAAAGAAACTGCTTGTCCTTAAAAGAATCCTGCTTATCTCTGATTGTTCAACCACAAAGTCAATTTGTTAGGAAATCATGCAATCAAGGTCATTAATGACATGTAAAAAAATACAAGGGTAAGTTTCTAAAGAAACTGTAATGCTGCATCAGTGGGAGGATATAACAGGGTAATTAAGTATTATCAACTCAGTTGATAACTTAAATTGGCCACCTTAAAGAGTTTTAACGCTGACATTTCAAGCATTGGCCCTTTGTCATTAGCTCTGATAAGGGGCTAACATTCAAATCCTCAGCTTTGAAACTCTTAAAGGTGGCCAATGTAAGTTATCAACTCAATTGATAATACTTAATTATCATCTGATGTAAAAGAAAAAGTTCATTAGACAAAAAAATCACTGTAATCTACCTTGAAATGTAAGACTGATACTGCTGGGCAATGGAGCCTCAAGCTTCAAGTAGTCTCTGCAGTACAACACAGGGTTTGCCACAATACCATAAAATGTTAGACATTCACAAAGCTCCCTAAATAAAATGCACACCACCAACAAGATCTTGGTTCTTCTTCCAATGTGCTCAGGATGAGAGTCTACTAATGCATTACTTCTGCTGGCTCCATCAAAGATAAGCTCCAGCACTGGATCTTTCTTATTTCTCATGGCTGGCTTGTGAAAAGAGATTTGATTTAGTAAGAATATTATGATAAGATTAAAAATTAAATTAGAGGTAAAGATCATACAGTTGCAAGAGCTTCTTCTGTAGACCACATCCAATAACTCTGTAAAATTTAATTTGTTTTACTCTTTTCATGAAATGGTCTGGCCAATGAATGAATTATTTGAGCAATAGAGAGCACTTTTGATGGTTAATACCAGCACAATAATCCACGCAGGATTTGGGAGAACATAAGAATAGTTTGTACATCATGAGCTGGAAGCAAGTGATTTACACATTCTTTTCATACCCTCCCAACACCAAAACTGGGTTATTACGCCAGTAAGCCAATAGAAAGTGCATTATATTGCTTTTATGAAATAAACTTTAATTTCCTATGGATATAATAGTGCAATAAATGACAGGATTTTGACCAACAGGGTGCTTATAGTTTCTCAGTTATTTTGGTAAGAGTGGTTGAGGTCACACTGCATTTATTTGGCAAATGATGCTTCAATAAAATAATAAATAAAAAAGAAATAATTGCAAGAAGACAACCACTTCTCTCTGTTCCAATAAGGTTGCTTTGTGAAGATTCTCCTTTTTTCTGAAAAAGACCCCTCCCTCTCATTGTAAGACGTCATATAGGGATTACAGTTTTTTTCAGTACCTTAAAAATTATCTCCATGGAATCTGAATGTTGTTAGTTTCTTTGAAGAAGGAAAATCATAACTTTCCCAACTAAACCTTACAGCAGGAAGGAAGGGGGGGATTATTGCCGTGAGGTCCAATTTAGCTTCCAAAACCTTGCATACCGTTGATCGATTCCTTTATTTACGCCATACTATTTCTATTTAAGGTAATTCTGAGGGTAATCCTACGTTAAGCGTTTTTTTCCCAGGTTAAAGTCGACAAGTTATGAATTTGCACACATCTTATTACACATCACCATGTAACTTTTAGGAAAACAGTATCTTTTATTATCCTTTATCACTAAGATAAACTCGAAGTGCTTTCAAATCATCTTATAAAGAAAAATCTTGATGAATTAAATGCATAGCCAAAAAATTAGTAACTTATGATCAGTCGACCTTGTGTTATTTCAGCAACTACTGAGACACAAAACTCACCAAAGATATGCGTTCCTCCAGGCAAGAAATTGCCACTGGTGCGGTAAATAGCTCAAGGTAAATAGCTCAAGGTCAACTTCGTAGCTACGTACTAGACTTTTGATCTTTAGACGAAAGCAAGTTGTATTACGCAAAGGTAAACTTCGAATAATGACGAAATAAATTCACTGTATGGGATTTAAATAGCAAGTCACGATAGTTCCGTGACCAGAATGTCACGGGACTGTTGTCTTAATTGTCACAAGATATCACGTGAGCACCTTTCCTCATCACACTTCACTGTTGACAAGCAGCAGGTATGGAGAATTTTCGATGGTATCAGTTTTTAAAAACAGACGATGCGTCGGCGGGCAAGAGGAACACTTGGAAGGTTTACCATAATCTAAAGGTTGATGAAAACGGGTAATACGTTGTAATGAAAATTAATTGAAGCCCGACGCTCCTTAGTAGGAAAGTAATGGTGAAGTGGGCGGAAGACGATCAGTGAGGAGCGGGAAAGCAAGGAGAGTTTTCACTCTCCTTTACTGTCTGCCATACAATTCTTGTAATCTAGGTATTGGTTAAACTTATAATCTTTCATTATTCCCATCACCTGTCTTTTAGATTATAATTGTATTGATACTGCGAGGGGAAATCAATTCAACTTTTCCAAGATGTTAACTATGTGCGTGGAACTCATGTTTCTCGCGTCGTCAGTAAGATCAATGTTCCCAATCATCATAAGTTCTGGTGTGGAAATATTCCAATCACGATCGCTTTCTGAAGTAATTACAAATGTTAAGTGATTTGAAGGCCAGGAAGGAACTGATTGAGGTGAGTTTATATTCTTTTCTGTTTGGTCATGTCTAGTATTTCATTTAGTTATTGAAGAGGAAGAGGAGACTCAGCTCAGAGCAAAGGTTCTGGTCCTAGAACCCCTTGGTCTACTGTATATTCCTATCTAATCCAAGAGTGCTTGTCATAATAATCTTAAAATAAACTTTTAATGAATTTCTTTAAAAAACTAGGTGGCAGATTATGTGAAAGGAGTAGAGTACTCAAGTTCTCTCATTTATAAGGCCAACAAACACAAAATCAAAATATTTGCTCTCAGATATTTTTAGTCAACCTACAGTAACATGCAAGCTTAATAACTAAAATTGTCCAGAAACTGATATAATTAACAATAATTATTCACCAAAATGGAGGTGAATAATGGTGAATAAGGTAAATATCCACAATGTTTACCAACAAAATTTCCACACAGCCGACTGAATAATAAATATATGCCCCATATATGGATGCATAATGAAGTATGGGGCTGTGCAGAAATTTTGCCAAGTTAGTGTTCTAGTATATGCCACACAGATACCAAAAAATAATTTAAATTCTTTAAATTTACAGAAAAATAGTTGGAAATTAAACTTGTGATGTGCGATTTTGTCTCATCAGCTGCCTAGCACGTGCTATCCACTTCCACATTAACCAATCAGTGCACACTAGAAGCATGATTTTCATGTGTGGTATGTAGTAATATAAATTGTAGAATTCTTGAATGGTAAAAACTTGCCAAATAGTTTATTTATTTTGCAACTTTTTTGTCTCCTTTTTTTTTTAACATTAATTTTTTTTCCACCACTCACTCCCACAGAGTTTGGATCTGCTTTTCACATTCTCTCCTGGCAATAGAATCCAAACTCCTTGAACTTTTGTACCTTGATTATGGTCAGAACACATACTGAAAAAAATAGAGATTCCTTTTTTTGTTAGTTCCTGTATGCTTTTAGATGATTCACACTTGAACTTGAACTACTCCCTTCACTTTGATTGCCAGCATTGTCTCAAAGACCATGCACTAAAGACTTCCTACATGACAGGTGCACACCACAGTTTTTGCACATTCAGTAGCAAATTGACACATGTTACTCAGCCATGCACAGATGAAACACTAATAGTCAGTTCATGGGCATCCTGGTCCTCCTCAGTATCTTCACTTTGTGAGGATGATTCCTTGTATTTGTAGGAGGATGCAATTAACAGAAACAACAAGAAATTAAGTGTCATCAAACCAGCCATCATGAAGAAGAAGTACTCCATATGACCTTGATTGGGATCCTTCTCAGGGTACCAATCGCTGCTGACAATAGCAACTACAAAGTTTGCAATATAGCTTCCTATGCCAGAGGCTGATAGAAAAAGGGCCATGATCACTCCTTTAAGGTATTCAGGAGCCTGTGAATATGCAAATTCTAGACCTGCAGATACAAAGAGACAGAAAAAAAATATATCACTGTGGATTTCTACAAATTCCCCTCATGGAAAAACATGGAAATTTCTCATGTAGAGAAGGCTGGGGATGAAATACACAGGTGAGACAATTTTTTCTTAAAAAGGTTCCTGAACTGACTATTAGTAACCATGTCTTACTCCTTCCCTTACCCATCGTGTCTCCTGAAACATTGCATAAAATGGTCAAATCATAATGAAGAGAAGGAGGCTAGGTTAACATTTTCAAGGGCTTAAGGCAGTAGTGTCAAGAAATCCAAAACAAAACTTATCCCAGTGATCAATCAGAACAAATTATCATTCACCAATAAGAACTCAAAGTGACAAGCAAACTACTTGAAGCATGGAAAAATGTGAATGGTTAAGTCGTGATTGTTTTTATTGTTTTGCATCTGATTGGTTGAGAGGATGACACATGATGCCTGGACCAATCAGACAGAGCAAAGTTAAGTAAAACTGAAGCCATCCCAGATTACTTTCAACATCCACTTGACAATTGCTTAAGAAAAACATCAGTGAAATTCACTTACCACTAATGGTTGCAAACACTTCACTAGATCCAACCAATAAGAACTGTGGTGCTTGCCAGAAAATACTAAAACATGAGGCACTGTGACTCTCATTAAAAACCGTCTGCATGCAAATATCCCCATGTTGCCACACTGTCCGTCGTTTTATTTCAATCAGCCCAGCTACAAGCATAGAAGCTGCTGATAACATGAACCCTACACCAATGCGCCGCAAGGATGTCAACTTAATCCCGCTGCGCTCAATAAGAGGATAAATTGCATGGTCCATGAGGGGAACAAGCACCAGAATAATAACTATATCAAACAATGACAAAGATGCTGCTGGCACAGAAAAGCCATCAAAATTTAGCTTCATGTATGTACCTTGAATGAGAAATGACGTGGACATCTGAAAGAAAAGAAAAGAAAAAGTTTCAAGCTAATATTGCCTTAAGTTTCAATTTCTTCTAACAATTCACATCTTGGTTGTGATCCTCTTCTCTTCTTCTTAACACTAGAGAAGCTGCAGAAAGTGAATCAGAATTTTTGAAGTACCATATAGGATGCTCAGTTTAGTAGATTGTATGGTCAGTTAAGACATTTTATTATTGTTACAGAAAATTAAATTATGTTAAATCCAATGACTTGTAATGAAAAAACAATCGCAACATCAACAAATAGCATGGAATTGCCATTTTTGAATTACGGTCAACTCGCCGACGGACCAACTCGCCGACGCCAACTCGCCGACGCCAACTCGCCGACGTATAAAATCGAGTAGAGACGTCGGCGAGTTGGTCGTCAATCCAATACAACTTATGAGAAGTTAAACATACAGAAAATTAAACGATATTTAGTAAAAAAAACACTGGTGAACATTGGTGAACATCTAACAGAAGCTTAAACATTGGTGAACATTGGTGAACATCACCAATGACTATAACAGCTTCACAATCACTCGTTCGCGTCTGAAGCGGATGTAGTCATTGGCGATGTTTACTTTACTTTATTCGCCTTGAGATCCTTATAAACTTTGTTGCAAATAAAAAGAATTGCTTTTTACTAAAGATCTTATCTAGAAAGCCAAGTTTTCTTAAAAAATCAGACCGATTGTCATGATGAGTCTTTACAGTGTTGTTGTCACACAGTAACTCGTTCGCGTTTGAAGCTGTTAGAGTCATTGTGATGTTTACTTTACTTTATTCGCCTTGAGATCCTTGTAAACTTTGTTGCAAATAAAAAGAATTGCTTTTTACTAAAGATCTTATCTAGAAAGCCAAGTTTTCTTAAAAAATCTGACCGATTGTCATGATGAGTCTTTACAGTGTTGTTGTCACACAATAACTCGTTCGCGTTTGAAGCTGTTTGAGTCATTGGTGATGTTTACTTCCCTTTATTCGCCTTGAGATCCTTACAAACTTTGTTGCAAATAAAAAGAAATGCTTTTTACTAAAGATCTTGTCTAGAAAGCCAAGTTTTCGTTAAAAAATCTGAGCGATTGACATGATGAGTCTTTACGGTGTTGTTGTCGCACAATAACTCGTTCTCGTCTTAAGCTGTTATAGTCATTGGTGATGTTCATCAATGTTCATCAATGTTTAAGCTTCTGTTAGATGTTCACATATGTTCACCTGTGTTTTTTTACTAAATATCGTTTAATTTTCTGTATGTTTAACTTCTAATGAGTTGTATTGGACTGACGACCAACTCGCCGACGTCTCTACTCGATTTTATACGTCGGCGAGTTGGCGTCGGCGAGTTGGTCCGTCGGCGAGTTGACTGGTTACCCCATTTTTCCTTAATTTTTTCTCAATTCATTACAAACAAAAACATTCCTTCATTTATAACTGTTATGATTTCATGGTGACAAAGCTTACCTGGGAGTAAACTGAAAAATAGAAGATGAAAGTGATGAACACAGGAAGTAGTCTTAACACAGCCTTGACATCTTCAACCTGATCATCACCAAACTTTCCTCCAAATCTGCTCTTTGCTCCATCCATCCAGCCACCAGTGTTTTGTTTCCGATTTTTTATGGCATTGTGAATTATTTTTGCAGTTTCAGTTAGTTGGCTACCACCTGGTGGCTTGACCAAGTACCTATTGCGACAGGTGAGAAATACAATGATTCCAAGCAACATAGAACCCACTACAATGGCATAACCAGAGAAAATGTCTTTTTGCTGGACTGCAACCACCACAGTAAAAGCTAGGAAGGCTCCAATGTTAATGAACCAGTAAAAGTAGTTGAAAAAGGTCTGAAGAGCTCTTGGACCATCCTGTTTCAACTGATCTGCTCCAAAGGGCGACACATTGGCTTTGATTCCTCCTGCACTAAATGCTATCAACACAAGGGCCAGGATAAAGAACACCACTCTTCCCGATGCATTAAATATGCTTTTCAACAAATTATCAGAAGTTGATACTGTGGCTAGAAGCACAACTCCCACAAAATAGAGCAAAGAGCTTCCATATATGGTGTTATACTGACTAAGGTAAGAATCGGCTAACCACCCACCAAGTAAAGGGCTGAGAAAACATGTTCCTATGGGGAAAAAAAAAAGGAAAAAAGAAATTAAATTTTAATACAGTTGAACAGCTCAGCTCATGGATAATCCTGTTTTTCAAACCTTTACACTACCTTTACATCAGTTTGCAAGCTGAACCATGCTGTTTTCTATACATTTCATATGGTACGTGCATGGAGAATATGTTTCATAATCAAGTTTCTTCACCTTGTGATCATTTCCTTTATTCTCATGACCTTAACACTTGACTCAAGGGTGATACTGATGGAAGAAATTAGATGCTTATCATTCTCAAGAGTTTAAGGGTTAACACTGTGCTACATGTCATAACTTTTGCAATTATTCATTTCTATTGTTGGCTTGAGCCCTGAAGTAAAAGTAGTGTTGTTGTTTGATGGTTAAAACTTTTAGTTTAGCTTACTTGTATTTCAAATGGCATTTAGCAGGTGAATGTTCTGAATTGTGTACCTGGCACAAGCATTGGAATGTAGGGGCTACTTGCCTTTAACTCCCAAAAGAGATTAACATGTAACTTCTCCCCATAATATGCATACATTATCCAGTAAACAGGTGATGAGAATACTCAAACTCATCAGGTAAAAGTTGTTATCTTGATGTAACATCAAATTTTCTATTTAATTTACAAGAAACTGTTTATCAGCTATAGGGGACAATGAACAATCAGATCTTCAGAGTTAAAGTATTGAGACTATTATTTTCCTTAAAACATCTTACATGCATGATGCAACGAGAGGCAATACAATAGTTGATATTGTCTTACTAACAAGAGCCCAGGAACAATATAGGGGAACAAAAAAGTATTTTCCATATATTTTGAAACATTTCTACAATTTGTCTCAACAAGTGTATACAGCTATTTCAAGATTTAGGTTGTCCAAAAAAGAGGTCAAAAGTGCTTGTGACCATCTTGAAAGGTAATGTGGGCATCCCATAATCAATAAATTTTAATATGTCAAATGAATGTATAAATTAATCAACCCTGCTATGCCTCATCCTAAAAGTGTCAGGTGTTCTCAGATTTTCCTGAAATCCTGCAAGGTCAAGCACCTGAAAACTACCTACATTAGCATTCAAGGTTGTTGCACGCACTTTTACACTTTTTTTCAATAGCATTTCTTGAAACAGTTGTAATCAATACTTAAATGTACAATGTAGCTTCATTCTTTTAGGAGCATGATCCAACAATTAATTAACATGAAACTTCTCCTTATAATATCCTGACATTATCCAGCAAAGAGGTAATGAGTTTACCCAAACTCATCAGGTAGAAGTTGTTATCTTGATCCAACACCAAATTCCTATAACTGATTTACAAGGAAACTTGTAGCAGCCAGAGAGGAGAATTAACACATAAGAATGTTAGGATAACTCTACAAACAAACCTGTGAACAAAAGAGTGATTGTTGATGGCCAAGGTGACTGTAGCTTTAACACATTCTTGGAAAATAAAACTAGATTTGCAGATGCTCCATAGAAGGTCATGCGCTCACATAACTCTGTGACAAGAATACACACTGCATTCTGGACCCTCTGTCGTTGACTCAAGGCACTATTGGAGTCAGATGAATTGGTACCCGTACTTGTCACCCTACCAGGTGTGGAATGTGGTTCATCTGGTTCCTTTGGAATTAACGGAGAATTTTCATTTCCATTTGGAGCTGCTGACATGCTGCAGGATTTCTAAGCAAATTAAAAACAAGCTGTGAGAATAGAGTGGAGTCCTACTTTCATATGGCACCCCCCACCTTCATTCTGGTGCCTAGGAGCCTTAATCATTTAAACCTTATCATCAGTATGCATACTCCCCATACTGTTCTTCAAACATTTCTTATAGTGCTGACAATTAAGGGGAATTTGTTTAACAATCATCAGCTTTTCTAGTTGATGACCTTTCCTTCACTCTCACGACCTTAATGTTTGATTCAGTAAGTGAAATAGCAAGGAGAAATTAGATGCTGGTACTCCCTTTCCCCCCCTTTCCCCCTTAGGTCTGGAGGGGTTAAGAGACCAGGCTATATTTGGTGCCAGTCTTAATTGCCTTCATATAAATTCTCTGATCTTATCAGTGCACAACAGGAAGTTGTGAGATGAACATTTTGCGTAGTAAGAGTCATGGCGAAAATATATCCATTTCTAGGTTTACTACTAGTAAACCTAGAAATGGAATATTCGCTAAAATAGCCTCGTTGCAAGAAAGCAAGCGGTCACAAAACAAGCAATGCACTGTGAAAGAAAGGTGAGGTATTTTTATTGAGAGTTTGTCGTATTTTGTTATTCCTAAAAGTTGTCTTCCCATCCAAAAGCGGTATTCCCATTCAAACTCTCATATGTTCGCCATGACTCTCATTGCGCAAGATATTCACCTCACAGCTGGAGCTTGGGCTGCTTGTGACTGCACTAGGTTTTTCATGCAAGAAGAACAGCTTCCTGAAGCTAAGAACAACACCCTTCTTAGTTGGTGATGCTGTAAACGGCAGGAAACAGGAGCACGAAAATGCTAGAGAGCACACGCTTTTGACAACTATATAAAGAGACAACCACAGAGGCCTATCATTCCTGAAGTGTAACTTTAAAAGACCCTAATCACTTTGACCTTGAAATTCTCAGCCTTCATAATTCGCGTGCAAGCCATCAGAATTATTTGCGTAGATTTCTCTATACCTAATACAGAAGCGATCCTCACAGTTATGAGCACTACCTGTTAAGTAGTAGTGAATATAAGGCTTGAAATAAATCCAGGCCCTTACAGGATTTGAACCCACTACCTCAGCGATAACGCAGCGCTAAACCAATTGAGCTAAAAGGCCAACTGGGAGCTGATCATTATGTTGGTTCCAAATAAACCCTCCAAGTGGTGAATACATGACTGTATAAATATATGAAAATCATATAAGTGCACTGCGGTTTAAGAAACGATTATAGGAGCGATCCACGCAGTTGTGAACACTACTTAATGTGAAGTAGTGAAAGTATGGGCTGAAAAAAATTTCAGGTCCTTACGGGATTTGAACCCATGACCTCTGCGACACCGGTACAGCGCCATATCAACTAGGAGCTGGTCATTATGTTGGTCCGTAAATAAATGAAGATAATATATGTGCACGTTTCTTCAACCGCAGTGCACATATATGATTTTCATATATTTACTGTCATGTATTCTCTGTACCTATTTCATGAGACATTTTCAATGTTCGTCGTTTATGCAAGCACATTTTCAGCCGCGATCTGTACCTGCAGAGGCTCAAACTGCCGAAACTGGGACGACAACAGTAAGTCGAGAACTGGGTATTGATGGAAAAAAAATTGGACCGGTGGCATCATATGGAATTCCATCAATTCCCTCTTAAGAAACATTTGACTCAGAAAAAATTGCTTCTGTAACAGTAAGCAGTAGGATCTATGTTAGACAGCCGCGGCGTGTCACGCAGCGCCCTGGGGAGCGTTGCGTGATATCCTAAGAAACCGAAACTACTGCGTTACCATACGATCTGACAAGGGCTAACGCTCGAAACGTCAGTTTTCGAAACTCTCTCCGGTGGCAAATTTAAATATTCAACTCAGTTAATAAAAACCAAATTATACTGCGTTACCAGTTCGATCTGTTTGGTAATCATAATAAACAGGGGCCGTTTTTTTCTTTCTTTCCAAACAAAAAAACGGAAAACAAAAAAAAAAAAAATAATAATAATAAACAAGGCTTACTTCAAAATGCTTCATGACCTTATTGTAATATATGTGCCTAATGAAGCTCAAGGAAACCAACTAAAAAAGCTAAGCACTAAGGGATCAAACTCAAAGTCAAACTAAACTCGAAATGTTAGGTACAACTGAAAATTCAAACATAGAGTCGATTCGAATTAGAAAGTGCAACTGAACACGGTTGAAAATCCATCTTACTAAGAATGAACAAGAATGTTCAGTATTTTGAGAGGGCAGTGGAGACGGAACCAATATAGTATTTTGAGCGCAAACATTTCTGGTTGTTAAAATTTGAACAAAGAGCGCGTGGTCGGAAATCGCTGAACACGACATGATTTTAACGATTAATAAAGGAAAGCAAACCTAGAAATAAAGTACATTGCTCTCCTTACGAACTTTTATACTTACCGGAAAATTTAGGGCACAATTACACCTGAGAACGTTCTGCAGAAGATCGCTGGCAAGCCAAACTGGGTTAGATGCTGAACACAAAGCAAACCGAACAATCTTTGCCCAACAACAAATGAGTAATATCAAGAAAACATCAAAATTAAAACAGAAAAATCCAGAGGCAGAGGTTACATATCATGTGAGACTCAGGATCATTAACATTGTTCTATAAATAATTTGACAAGGTCGTCTTGACACATGATTCGGTATGTTACATTTATCATGTTTCTAGGAAAGTGAAGAAAGCTTTGACTTTGGACTGGCTGAGAATCAGCCCACTCGATCGGTGAGTACACTGTATTAAGGAAACCAACCCCTCTTGTCACGAGATCCTCATGTTTTGTTATTCCACCTTTGCGCCAATTTACCGTATTAGGGAAATGGAACACGAATTTTGCCAACGTGTCACGGTATTACCGTGTGCCTTACTGACTGATCCAAACTTTGATACTTTTTTTTGAAGGCTTGACTTCTCGATCAACGAATTTTTAAGCGCATTTTTTTCCCGCTGGTTGTAGAGAATACTTTTAGAGGTGCTCTTTATAACTACAGAAAAAAATCTTAAAATGGTTCTGTATGTGTTGTTTTCATCCTTTGCTTCGCACGTCTTATGATGCGATGCTCCGATAAAACTGCAAGAAGTGTTTCGAAAACTGGAAGCCAAAATACTAGAAAATGAAGTGATAGTGGAATAATAAATCACTTATTCGATGTTAAATTCCTCTCTGAAGAAAGGGATGATTAAGTTTTCAAGAAAAAGATCTCGTGACAATTCCGCTTTCCATCACGGAAAGAGACCGGTTATAAATGAAGGCGAGCGGAACGAAAATTAACGAAGGTTAATTACAGCTTTCCATCTTCGCTAAAAAATTACATATTTTAGCGGTTATATGTATGAGTATTCAGCGATAACGTTGTCAGGTGAAAATTTTATAGGACCACGTTTGAGTATGTTAATGACGTCACGTTTCCGGTCTCAACCATTATGAATTTCACATGATATGTGATTACTTATGCTCTAAGAAATTGTAAAATAACTTGGCTAAATTTTTAAAATACAATCGATGTTTTTCCAGTGGACCGTGTGTTATGGTGAGTGATTCAAGCAAGGGTGTGAAGCCCTACTGAAACAGTCCTCGTATGGTATTTGACCATCTTCATAATGCAGAATGCGTGAACATTATTAATTATTCATAACCGATGAAGCGGAAAATTTTGACGTCCCCTCGCTTTGCATAGCCCTAAATTTTAGTTAGAGATGAATTGGCCAAAATTGGCCCAGCAGGCCTCGTAAAACTCACTTTTCTGAGTTTTATAAGTGCTTACTTGTAAATCAACCCGCGGCTTGAAAAGGTTTGAAGTAACTTAGGGTAAAGTCAGATGAATAATGTCAGCGTAATTTTGGGTATAATGCAGCGTATCGAGGTCAATGCCGAGTGCCACATGCAGACAACACTATGGGTTTGAAGCCGTGTGACTCAGCTATTTGATACGCTATTTTAACTCTTACATTGTTTGTCATTTGCAACGGTCGATCTCGGTAAGACGCAAGTGATCCCGAGAAATGTTTCGTAAATTCCGCAGATCGTAACATTTCATCCCAAAATCCGCTTAATGACAGTCAGATAAACACAAGTGTTTTTCCTTTGCCTTTGGAGGGGCGTCAGTTTGAGTCAGTGCAGAGTGGGAAACTAACCGTCACAAAACCTCGCAAAATCACTCGAGACAACACGGAGGGTACAAGACGTGGCCCCCTGCTAAAAGATATTTCCACAGGACACAAATTTATTCCCCCTATCTTACTTTATTTTGTCTAGAAGTTCTTGGACCTCTGCAGAATGTCAGCAACTGAAGATGGAGGTGAACGTTCACCGTTAATTTCAAAAGATCAATACGGCAAGAGCCATTCAACTCGTGGAAAGACAAATACCAATTGCCTAGTTTCTCGGTCCGATGGAGCTTTGAGTCGTCGGCAAAGAATCCTAAATGCATTGTGCATTCTTGTAACAGAGTCATGTGAGCGCCTGACCTTCTATGGAGCATCTGCGAATCTAGTATTATTTTCTAGGAATGTCTTAAAGCTTGAGTCACCTTGGCCATCAACAATCACTTTTTTCTTCCAAGGTTAGTTTGTAGTGTTGTCATGAGGTTGTCATAGGCACAGAATACTGGGGCCAGAAGCTCTGCCTAGCTGTACCGGAAAGTTTTGTATGCGCGTTGGAGAGTCAAGCGTGGAAACGAAGATTGATTTAGACAGAATACGTCTAAAGAAAAAAACTCGAGACCGACCTAGCGTATCATCGCCTAAAAATGCACACAAAACCACCAAGCTACGTCGGCTACCGGGTAATCCAATCAAGTTATTCACAGTTCTGTTCGGACCAATCTTGAACAAAGTGGTATAAGCTTTAAAAATTGTTCTCGGCAGGAAGGATCGTGGTAAAACATAAAAGCAAGGCAATAAAAAAAAAAGTTCACGGACGGAAAATATCTAAAACGCACACATACACGCACACAGGGGAATGCAAGAGAGAGGCATTGAAATTCAAAATTCGATTTCAGAGCGTTAATTGTATTCTTGTGTTTTGTCTGGATTTGCTTAAGAAGAAGTAGAACTGTCAGTATGGAAAGGCTGAACAACACTATAATTTTTTTAATCGGTTTTATTTTTATAGGGACATGTTACGTTACACCTTTGCTTGGAGGTTGGCTGGCGGATGCTTACTTGGGTCGTTTCAACACTATTTACGGATGCTGTTTGTGGTATTTGGTTGGGGTCATGCTTCTTGCCACGGTATCAATTACTGATGATATGCTGACTTCAGAATTTGATACATTAGCGAGACTGGTGTATTTTACTATTGCCCTTGTGTTGATAGCATTTTGCGCGGGAGGAATCAAGGCCAACGTAGCACCCTTTGGAGCAGATCAGGTGAAACAGGATGGTCCAAGGGCTGTTCAGACCTTCTATAGCTGGTATTACTGGTTTATTAACACGGGAAGCTTAGTAGCAGTGACAGTGGTAGTGGGAATCCAGCAATCAAACATTTTCTCTGGTTATGTTATAAATGCTGGTTCAATTATCTTTGGTCTGGTTGCATTTCTTGCCTGTCGTAATAAGTACTTGGTCAAGCCACCGGTGGGTAGTCAACTGACTGAAATTTTAAAAATAACCCTCAATGCCATTAAAAATCGGAAACAGAACACTGGTGGCTGGATGGATGGAGCAAAGAGCAGATTTGGAGGAAAGTTTAATCATGCAAAGGTTGAAGATGTCAAGGCAGTCTTGAAAGTACTTCCAGTGTTCATTACTTTCATCTTTTTCTTTACAATTTACTTCCAGGTAAGGATCATAAAAACAGTATTAGCCAATACTATCCAAGAATGAGTGAGTTGGGTAAAAATTCATTATAGATGATAAGAGTTGCCACACTCAACATTTTTAAGTTTTTTCGTACCATTTGATTTGATCGTTTTTTAGGGTATTATTGTATTCGAAAAAGAACCGGGAAGCTTATTTAATTGTGTAACAAGAAGAGGAAATGACGTCGAATCAACGAGTAGAGAAGCCTTGACTGTACTCGGTTTTGTTATAAAGTATGCAGGAAGCTATCAGAGCGTGGTTTACAGGGGGAACGGGGGAATAGGCCGTTGCCAATAGGGTATTGAAGGGGGGAATCAGTACAGAGTATTGACTCCCAATTACTTGCCAGTTAGGGAGGTGTGGACCATAAGAATATTATAGAGCCTTTTGGGAGGATCAGGTGCATTTTATCGTGATGCAACCCCCGACCCTCGACCCTCCGACCCTCCGACCCTCCGACCCTCCGACCTCCAACCCCCGATCACAGACGATAAATAGTGACTGGTATAGTTATTTTGCATATCATCCAATTTTACTTGTGTATTGTCAAGGAAAAGATCGATCCCCTATCGCAGCACGTAATCATGATGTTGTAGATCATACTCTGCAGGTGTTATTGTGTAAATCAAATTTATTCACACCATGGAGAAAGACAATGTTAAAGAAATCATTCTACAGTTGTAAATTAAATAAAAGGAGTTGTTCTCATTTACTTTTCCGCTTTATACACTAACGATTTTAATTCCATCCTGTTCTTTTCTCTCCTTTTTCAGATCAGCACTTCGTGCCTTATTCAAGGTGCTTACATGAACCTAAAATTGCAAAATTTGACCATACCAGCGACGTCGTCAGTGGCTGTTACTGTTGTCTTCGTTCTTGGACTAACTCCTCTTCTAGAACACGTTGTCTATCCTCTCATGGAACGCACGGGCATTAAGCTGACTCCCTTACGGCGCATTGGTGCCGGCTTTCTGTCATCAGCAGCATCTATGGTTGTTGCTGGTCTGGTTGAAATGAAGCGACGAGAAGTATGGCTAGATGGTCATATCTGCACACAGGAAGTTTTAGGGGAAATTCACAACGCTTCTTGTCTCAGCATTTTCTGGCAAACACCTCAGTTCATGTTGATTGGAACCAGTGAAGTGCTTGCAACTATTGCGGGTATGAGATTTTTGATGATATCAGTGCCTTGTTGTGATGTTGAACAAATCTAAAGATTTTCACGAAAATTTGATTGAAGTATGAAAGACATGATTAAGTGGGGAGATAATCCTGCTGGTTTATGTATAATTAAGGCGGCGACTTAATGGGTGAAGTAAAGGGAACAAAAATCTTAAAGTAGAGACCAAAGTAAAGCAGAATGCTTTTTGAACTCAGTACAATATTTCGGCTTTTCAAGCAGTCTTCTTCTGAAAAAGATCAATAGAATTCGCATTGGAGGGGCTGGAGAGTTGCGTTTTGTAGGGATGTTTTTGTAATATACCAAAAAATATAAGTTAATGTAATGTGATATACAATGTGTATAATCAAAGACGAATTAAAGGACCAAAATTATTAGAAGGAGGGGAAACAAAGAAATAACTTCGTTCTTAGAGTGAAAGTCATCAGAAGATAAGAAACATTTTGTGACTATGAAGGAACTAACTCTCCATGATACGTCAGTGTTCACTAAGTCAGTCTCCAATTATTATCACATTGTCGGGCATTGTGGCGCATTTTGGGGGCTAATTTGGTGAATTAGGTTCTTAGCGCGCTGAGATAAACCCATGAAAAGTGAGAATCAAACAATCGTACAGTCAATTAACATCGAGAAGCCATTGCTACGTTAGCGCCGTTTTCCTGCAGCCTTGGTGAAAGAAATAAAAGCAAATTTGTGCATGAAAGCATGAAAACGAACAAAGATTGATATCCTATGGAAAGAAGTGCTCAGCAGCAGTGAAATATGCTTGTTCGAACATTCAAAGTCGTCCGTTTCTTTCAAGAGAAGCTTCTGTAAATTACGCCGCTTGAAGAAGTTCTGTGGTCGTCGGCGAAGTGCACGTAGGTTTGGCGGCTTCAAGCCAAACACGCTTAGTTGAACCAATTGTGCCAAACTGTCAATTTAACGATACTTGTACAGTTAATTTCGACACCGACATTTATGGAATTTTCCTATCGTATGTTTTGAAACTCAAATGGCGAGATTTTGATATTTCTCACCAGCTTCGCTCGATGGTGTATTAACAAAGCCAGAGATGCTCGCATCATTTTTCAGATTTTTTTTGTTATCATATGTTTGGTTCTTATGTTTTTAATTCCCTCCGAAGTGGGAATTGTTATGTCCAGGGGCCGTTCCTAAAGCACGAATTAACCCTTTCCGAGCGACTCGGGCCAAAATTAGTCTGAGTCGGTCCTAAAACGTATTTATGTCCGCCATGATAAATGTTATTATTTGTACTATCTAAAGACTTTGCAATCTCCTCCATGTGGTATAAATTATAATCTTTTGAAATGCGCAGTTAACCTTCAAACTTGTTTATATATTTTTTTTTGAAGGACTTGAGTTTGCATACTCACAGGCTCCCGAGTACCTTAAGGGAGTGATCATGGGTGTGTTCCTCGCAGCCACCGGTGTTGGTGGTTACCTTGCAAATCTTCTAGTTGCTGTTGTCAACAGCGATTGGTACCCTGAGAAGGATCCTAACCAAGGCCACATGGAGTACTTCTTCTTCCTGTTGTCTGGTTTGATGATGCTAAATTTTTTGTTATTCCTATACATTGCGTCTTCATACAAGTACAAAGTATCGGCTCAGCTAGGTGACGAGAGTGAGAAAGAACAGCTTGAGCATGAACTAACTGTTAGTACTCAATCTATGCGATGCTGATCGCTTTATGTCTGCATGCCTCAGCTGAGCTAAGGGGCAGAGTAGTTAGTTTTGTCTGTATTTCCGCATTGTTCACCGAACGAACCTTTCCGAATAAAGCGCCAACGGGAAGCGAAGCTTCCCATGCGAGGGGTGAGAAAAAGAATAGGTAATAGCACTAAAAGTCTTTCTAAAGAACTGTAAGTGGATTTTTGTCACTTGATGAAGATTTCAAGAGACGCATCTGTCTGATAGCCAATCAACAGGACTGCTATTACGCGATAAATTCACTGGTAATACAGTCAAAGGCAATTCCTCATCTCCACGTGGCCGCAGATTCTGCATGATCTGCATCCCTAAATGTAAGAAGGTTTAAATAGAAAAGTGATAGTGTGAATTTACTTAATCTATCGCAAAAAGTCTACGCAGACCGAGTGGACTCGTATTACTTTTTTTCAGTGATAAAGGCTAATTACTCATTATGTGTTTGAAAGTAATTAATTTGGCTGAAGGTTCAATTTGTAAGGATAAGGGTTTAGTCAAAACATTAATATTAATTAGGATAAACATACAAAAATCAATAGTTAGATAAAGTTCAGTTTTAGCACCTGAAACAAGAAGTATGCATCTAAGATAAGTACATCCACATGTTTGTCGACCATTGTTAGTATTTCAGTTTTGTAACATAAAACCCATACATATATAATTTCACTACTGCCTTGGTAGAGTTCATTACTGCGAAAATAGCTTTCATATCCATTCCATAAACCGCAGTTCCATGATATATGATTTTCATACATTCACAGCCATCGGTTCATCACTTCACGGGTTTACGACGAACCAACATAATGACGGCGACAATAATGGCTTGTGAATTCAGTTGATTATGCACTGGTATCGCATAGGTAATGGGTTCAGATCCCGTACTGGCCTGAATTTTTTTCAGGCCTTACTCTCACTACTGCTTAAGCAGTGGTCATTACTGCGAAGGTCGCTTTCATATTCATTCCTGTACGAAACTAGGTTAGAAAAATCCTTTTTCTTTTCAGGGAAGTATTTAACGAAATTACCGCAGATGGGTGAGGTTTTTCATCTATTCATCTAGACGTCCATCCATACAGTTTTCTTTTTTGCCTTGCTTCTGGAAACTTAGATATCAGTATGTCAAGATTTCGACCCATTACAATTTTGCCTCTATGTCTACGAGTTCGCCCTATTAAAAACAAAAACTTCGCCCCGGCGTTGCCAATTCGCCTGCGAATTTTTGAACTTGTTTCCATGAGGCAGAACGTGTTCAGTTTCCAACTTATACAGATCTTTACCAAGACGGTCAAACTGTCAAAATTTTATTCAAACTCCATATTTGAGCATGGTTTGTGATTAAAACTGGCCTATTTTATACATTTAACCCTTTAACTCCCACGATCTGATTGTTAATTCTCCCCTCTAGCTGCTACGCATTTCCTTGTAAATTAGTTATGAGAATTTGGTGTTAGATCAAGATGAAAACTTTAACCTGATAAGTCTGAGTATTCTCATTACCTTTTTGCGGAATAATGTATGAATATTATGAGGAGAAGTTATGTGTTAGTCACTTCTGGGAGTTAAAGGGTGCAATGGTAATTTCATGGTGGAAGCACTGACTTCTTCTTTGTCTCCGCCAAAGCCATATCCTGATCAGCAATGATGAGCGTGGGTAGTAAAAGCTTAAGAAGTTTTGCCCCTTTCTCGTAAAGGCTAGACCTCTGAGCGAAGCAATATAAGCCTTCCTACTACTGCTACCTTTTTATATATATATATAAATTAGCCTACAAGAATGTTTTTCATTAAGTCTGTCTGACGAGAGCGTAAGTACGAAACTTAGAGTTACAGGGAATCATGCGTGTTTCGTTTTAGTCATTTTGAACTTTACTACTATTTCCCACAGTTAAGCCTTCCTACTATAATCATAACTATTATAGTTTCCTCAAATGTGATTGGTGCATTAGCTGCTTTATTTTTCACTAATCATTCTGCTCAGTTGTAATCGGACAGTGTAATCGTACAGTTGGCTGTAATCCTACACCTGTAATCGGAACGGTTTTCCGAGAGCGAAGTTTGAGAAAGACTGTAAGCTTTGAGGAACATACCTAGAACAAATATAGCATGCTTCTGGTGAAAACAGAGTTTATTGCGTTTTCTATCCTTCAAATATTTTGCAACGTGTGTGAAGAAAAAAATGTTTTGGTAGTGTTTGCTGCAAGGCGTGTTTTCTTTTCAGTTTTCTCTGGCACGACTATATGAACAAACAAATATTTCCCTTCTTGACGAGAACCATCAAATGTTCTCTCATATTGAATTAAATTTTAAACGAAGAGCAACCGTAGTGAGGAACATTTCTATCTCATATTGGGGAATATCTCTTGGGTGATATCTTCGGATATCCCCCAGTTTTAGCTGGGGAATATTCAGTCACGTAATGCGCTTAGACCAATTACGCGCGAGCAAAAATATGCGATGTATCATAGTTAGGGGTAACCAGCAATGGACTTGCTTTGCAAGGGTTAGTAAAAGCATTACTAATCCCTTCATGGCAGGGAAAGCGGAATGGGCTCCAGCTGGATGGACTACTTGGCTCAACGATTTTTAAATCATGAGAATGAGTACCGACAGAAGTCCTGTTACCAATTAATCATAACCGTTTCAATTTCCGAAACAACCAATACATTTACGACAAAAATCTCCGGTAGAGACAATGTCTAAAATAAAAAAAATTCCTCCATTTTGGAAATTTCCCAGTTTATGTTTTTTCAAGTGGTTGTTGCTATGGTTATTGTGATTAATTCTGTGCTTAGTGGATTTAGCTGAGTAGGCTTAGTATGATTGCCTGCCTCAACTGTTCGCATCTAATAGCAGATATTGTGTGCGCTTTTGCCGCTTGGTGGTCTCCAATTTCTACGAGCGCGTCAAAAACCACCGGCATCTGTGGTAGATCATGGCTGCCACATGTGGCCACAAAAACCAAAATGAGGCGATCAGTCACAAAGACATAAAGCTGCTGAATATTGAGCAGTATTCGATAATTAGTTTAACTGAGCTCATGTTCACAATTACATCCAGAAGGTCTTGACAACTCATCATTTGACCATCCAGAGCCAGATTGTTTGTCGACCTGTGAGATTTTTCACCGGGCGTTTGTAATACAACAATGCAATTAGAAAGCAAATAATGATGTAAAATTAAATCTCAATCATGGAGCTCTGCTTTATTCTATGTAGAGACCATCGTTGAAGGAGCAGTTGACAGAATCATGACTAGATTTCAGTCGTATTCGCCGAACGGAAACTTGGTTACTGTAAAGAAACTGGATTGCAGGAGTTTACGAAGCTCCCCTTAAATACTCGCCTTTAAAATTACCTCAACTCGTTACATCAGTATGCATATTCTCCATACTGTCCTCTATGCATATCCTGAGGTGCCGACAAGGAGAATTTGTTTAACAATCAAGAGCTTCTTCAGTTGGTGATCATTTTCCTTTACTTTCGTGACCTTAATGTGTGATTTGGGGCTGATATTGTAAAGAGAATTCACATGCTAGTCACTTTTCAGGGATCGAAAGCTAAAGACCTCAAAAACTACCTCGAAGGTAGAAGCAGAAGAAAATCTCACCAACTCAGTATTCATTTCACGCTCATTCCTTTTTGTTGCTTATTAAGATTATTTACTTCTTACTATTTATATAGCTGGGGTTTCGAAAACTGCCAATGTCCAAAAACTAAATTGAATTATTGACTTCCGAAGTATTATGTTAAAAAAGATGCTTTAACCACATTTGCGCTACTTTCAAAGTTCAGCCCAATTCGCCAAAAACGTCATTGCTACTGACATAGCAACAACAAATTTAATCGGCATGACGGGAAAATGCTGACACATCACTTATACACGCACGGATGATACAGTTAATTCATTGTATTCTTGGTCTTTTTCTGTCTCCTCACTTTGCTGAGGCGATCCTTTGTATTCGTATGAAGATGCAATAAACAGGAAAAACAAAAAATCCAGCATCATCAGAACAGTTACCAGAAAGAAGAAGTACTCAAAATGACCTCTGTTAGGATCTTTCTCAGGATACCAATCACTATTACCTCCCGATGTAACGATAGCAACAAGAAGGTTTGCAAGGAAGCTTCCGAGTCCCCAAGCAGCCATGTAAAGGGCCATGACAACTCCCTTGAGGTACTCAGGAGCCTGTGAGTATGCAAACTCAAGTCCTGCAAAACAAGTAAAAAAATTTCAAGGTGAACTTTGCATTTCCACAAATATTGAGCAGTGGTGGAGCCAGAGGGAGAATCAATTGGGTCCAAACTAGTCTTGTACCCAGACCTTCTACGGCCAAGCGGACTAGTCTCGTACACAGACCTTCCTTGGCCAAGCGGTTGTAATTACATTTCATTTGCAGTTACACTTTGATATTGAAAAGGGAGTTGCATAATCTATGAGATGGGGTAGACATGAGAAGCAAAAATGCTTAGTCCTTTCGCTCTTACATCAGCAAACATATCTTCGATAGTACTCTCCATAAATGTCCTAAGTTGCTGGAAAAGAGAAATTGTTTAACAATCAAGAGTTCCTTTAGTCGGTGACAAAAGAAAAAAAACTGAGTTCAGTTCATACTCTCCTGTTGGTGATCATTTCCTTTATTCTCATGACCTTGATGATTGATTTAGGGTTGATTTGGCAGGAGAAATTAGATGCTAGTCACTCTAAGGAGTCAAAGGGGTTAGATTGTTTTAATTCTGAAGGATTCTTTTGTAGACGAACGCTGTATCAACTTATATGATCATGATATTTAATTATTGTAGAAAATAAATGATCCATTTAAAAGAGTAAGATGAAAAATGAAACAAATTCATTTATGGGGTCAATTTCGTAATGCGTAAGCTGTTTCTACAACCTACTGTGGTGACTACATTTATTCAGCAATAACAATGATAAAAAAATTGCAAACCTGTGATGTTCGCTAACACTTCACTAACTCCAATCAACAAGAACTCTGGTGCCTGCCAGAAAACACTGAAACATGAAGCATCGTGAACTTCCCCAAAAACGGTCTGTCTACAAACATCACCAGCTTCCCATACTTCCCGTCGTTTTGTCTCAACGAGTCCAGCCACAAGCATTGACGCTGCTGATAACAGGAAGCCCACACCTATGCGCCGCAGGGGTGTCACCTTTACGCCAACTCGCTCAAGAAGAGGATAGATACCATGTTCCATGAGGGGAGCAAGTACAAGAACGATCACTATGTCAAAAACCTCCAAAGACGCTGCTGGTAAGGTAAAACTTCCAAATTGTAGCCTCATGAAGGTACCTTGGATAAGGAATGTTGTACCCATCTAGAGAAAGAGAGAGAGGATATCATGCGAATGAATTCGTGCATACCAGGCAAGAAAAAGAAAATGCAATGTTTCGATTTGAACTCTAAAACTATTTCTTCTCTTACAGGGAAGGAAAAGAACGGTTTAGGTAAAAACAAAACCCTTTTACTATGGGCAGCGATAAAGACGAAACATCTCCTTAAAACCTCAGCACATTTTCCAGTAAAAAGGTATTGAGAAGGATGCTATATTCTTGCATTGCCTCTTCTCACCCTGGAGTCAAACCTGGCACTATTTTAGAGTCGTGGGGAGGGGGGGACACTTTAACAATGTTTGAAACAATGAACTTTCGAGAGCCATGAACTGAATGCTTCCAGACGGCCCCCCTGTCCATCTGTCCATTCTTGAATCAGAGCTGGATGAAGAAAGCTGAGTCTGATCCAAACTAAGTGAATGGCTGAATTCAAATGAACTGCGCATGTAAGATATCGTTGTATACACTGCCAGTTACCTGTAGACTGACCACACTAGTAAGTTATGGTTAACACTTTGACCCCTATGAGTGGGTAACATCTTATTTCTCCTTAAAATGTCACCCCTAAATCACTCATTAAGGTGAAGAGAATCAAGGAAATGATCACCAACCAACAAAGATTTTGATTGTTTAGCAAATTCTCCTTGTCAGTGCCCTAGGAAATGTATAGAGAACAGTATGGTGAATGCATGCATTAGGGAATAGAGGGTTAGGGTAGAAAAACCTCACCTGAGAGAAAATTACGAAGTAGACGCTGAATGTAAAAAACACTGGTACTATTCTCAATAATGCCTTCACGTCTTCAACCTGGGCATCACCGAAACTTCCGCCAAATCTTATCTTTGCTCCATCCATCCAGCGACTTGTGTTCTTTCTTCGTTTTTTTATACCTTCCCATAGAATTTTTGCAGTTTCCGTCAGCTGGCTACCACGTGGAGGCTTTACCACGTACTTGCTACGACGGGCAAAAAATACAACCAGAGCAAGGAATATTGTACCAATTAAGATGGCATAACCGAAGAAAACGTCCGATTGCTGGACCCACACTACAACTGTATAAGCTATTAAGGCTCCAATGTTTATAAACCAGTAAAACCAGCTATAAAAGGTCTGGATAGCTCTTGGACCATCCTGTTTCACCTGATCTGCTCCAAAGGGTGACACATTGGCTTTGACTCCTCCCGTGCAAAATGCTATAATCCCAAGGGCCACGACAAAGTACACCGTTCTCGCCGTTTTATCAAACTCTACCCCCAGTAGATCGTCAGGAATTGATGCTGCAGCCAGAAGCACGACTCCAACAAAATACAATAAAGAGCTTCCATAAATGGTGTTAAACCGACCAAAGTAAGTGTCAGCGAGCCACTCTCCGAGTAAAGGAGTAAGATAGCACATTCCTATGAAAAGGAAAATAATAAAATGACAGTCGAAACTATGCCTTAAGGCATCTTTTCAAAATCTTGTTCTTTAAAACTTTCCCCCTCCCTTCCCCGGTGATAGCTCGTTAAAGAAGGTTCAGTCCGGAAGGGCCGGGTGCAGTAATTGTTATAGCGAACGCACCGATAGATTTTCAAATTTTAACGAACAATGATAACAAACAAGGTACGTGAAAATCAAACGAAGAAAGGACAACATGAACACACCTGACGGCTAGGATAATTGTATGATACGACACAGAAATAGTTCTGATTGTCAATTAGTTGGCGCGAAAACTTTTTGAATAGAAAGTTTTTAAATTGTTATCTATACATTTCCTTTGGTACTTTCCTTAGGTGACTAGGAGAATTTGCTGAACAGTCATGAGCTTATTAAAATATTGATCTTTACCTTTATTCTTTAGATCTCATTGTTTAATTCGCTAGTGTTAATGTAAGGAAAACTAAGATGTTGGATACTCCAAGGGGTAAACAAGTTAGGGGACATCAAGCAATTTTGGGAGACGAAATAGCATAAATTTTCCTTATCGTCCCAGGAAGGACTGTTGTCGGTAGTGGTGACAGACGTTCCCACAACCTTAAGGGAAGTTGTCGTCAGAGTTCAGTGAGGAGTTGTCAGACAGTTTACTGTTTTAAGCCTGGATCGTTTTCACTGACCGGTCAGTTCTACCGTGATCCTGTCGGCTGGAAGACTCGAGTGGCCTAAATAGGTCGTGATTGATAAGTATCGATCTATCAGGGAGTATAAGCGTTCTCCTCCTTTCGTTCGCTGTTTAACCATCTTAAATAAGTGTTGATCGAAGATCAGACTACTCGATGAATTGTCATTACCCTTAGGTTCAAACCATTTAACGCAGGAAAAACCAAACAGCAACAACAATAGCAATATTTGAATATTTCATTGGCACAGTCAGATTTAATCGAGACATTACAGCAATTTTCAATTGAGTGTTAAAAGTATTCTGGGTTTTGCTTCGGTATTCCCTGTGCTTGGTTCATAAAACTAATCGCGTCTCTTTCCGAACCAATCCGAAGAAAAATTAAAACCAATTACGACTTAGTCGCCCACATTTTCCTGCGCTATAGGTAGTTTGGATGTTTTTACTCATTGCCTCCTTGGGGTATTTTCCTCTCTTCTTATCGGTTCGTTTGGTTTGGTTTTAAGACACTCAATTGAAAGGCGCTCTAACTTCTAAATAATTTTATGATGATAGCGTGAACCAACCTTGTAACGAGAGGGCGATTGTCGACGGCCATGGCGAGTCAAGTTTTAACACATTCCTACAAAATAACAACAAATTTGCAACAACTCCAAAGAGGGTCAAGCGCTCACACAACTTCATTACTAGAATACATATTGCGTTCACAACCCTTTGCCGACGACTCAAGCTGCTATGAAGGAAGAAGGCACCTGTCTCCACATCATTCCAACGGTGCCCGTGATCTTGTTCTTTTAGGATTAACAGAGAGCGTTCGGACATTGAATCCTCTTTGGCTGACATTCTATATTTACCTAAACAGAATTATTCTGCAGAATAAAACAAGAGAATGAGAATTGTGTTGAATCAGTTCTGTGTAAACGTGTTAGTGATCAGTGTAACTTCTCGATCCCGGGATATCTCAAACATTCTGCATTGCGAACCACAGGCAAAGTACCTTATAAGTATGAAATTCCTAGAGGTGTACGCGTAGCCGAGAGCAACTCAAACTAATTTTACGTTTCTCATCTCGATATACCCACAGTTTAAGTATGAATCGATTGTTCCATAACATTTTTTACGCATTCGAATGAGTGTTGTTTTCCCATATATCAAAATTATAAGGAACTCAGTGCCAAGTTAACCTTGATAAACCATCTTTTTTTTCTGCCAAAACAGGCGCTTACAAGATAAGAACAGTTACATAAATTTTCAACAAACAATAAAAAACAACAATGATAGATGCATATTGAAATTAAATCATGCTTCATATCCCGATGAACGCGCGATGACGTTTCTACGATTGCAGCATTTAGCCTCCGCCCTCTGAGAAACTATATACATTTAACTCTGACAAAGATAGTAAATTTTGAGTTCGACATTGAAGTATAACAAGAGGTGTTTTCGTCTGCGTTCTCTCCTATCCTATTAATTTATCTTGACATGATTCCATCCTTTGGACATCTAGCTCATTGGTTGAAACGCGTGTCACGCCTGTATTGGAATATCTTGAGATTGTTGATTACATTATATTCAATTCTTGTCACGCAACCATGACTTACCCGGTGCACTTCTTGGTGAAAATTAAAGGCAATAAAAAATTAATTTTTTCCGAATTCAACAATAAAATGCCAAGGGGGGAGGGCGGAGGTGAAATGTTACCGGGTAACTGCCCTTGGACATCTTTCATGTAAAATGTTACAGAAGGGTAGTTTGATAAATAAATTAAAAATGTACTTTAACAAACACGAAGTTATAAATGGATATAATTATCTCATACAAGAGAGTCACAAGAGAACCAACCTATATTCAATTCTTGTCACGCAATCCATTCCTCAAAGTGGGCATGACTTAACCGGCGCACTTCTTAGTGAAAACTAAAAGCAATAAATAATTAATTTTTTTTTCGCATTCAACGATAAAATGCTAAGGGAGAGGGCGGAGGCGAAATGTTACTGGGTACCTGCCCTTGGACATCTTTCATGTAAAATGTTACAGAAGGGGAGTTTGATAAATAAACTTAAAATGTACTTAAAAAACACGAAATTATGAATGGATAAAACTATCCCAAACAGGAAAACCAACCCACACGATTTGAAAAATATCCCCATAAACTCACCAGCACTTGTCAGTGCAATGTGAACGTCTTCTTGAGGGTCAAAAAATATCCAACGCCAAATGCTTACCCAAATCACGAAGGAAAAAATGTCAGTTGATACCGACTAAGTATGTGAAATTCAGAAGAGAAACAAAATTGAAATTTCAATTTTCTAGCTATTCTACTTATCATGTGAGGGTCACGACAATTACTTTCTGAGAATTGTCAAACGACAATTACTTTCTGAGAATTGTCAAACTAAGTGAAGTAATTGGCTATAAATGTAGCCGAGAGAAACTTGAAACGAAATTGGCGTTTCATATTTCGATATACCCACAGTTTACGTCTGAACTTATTCTTAAACCATAACATTTTTTACGCATTCGTTTGAGTGTTGTTTTCCCATATATCAAAATGATGAGGAACTCAGTGCTTAGTTAAGCTTGATAAACAATCTTTTTTTCCAAAATAGGCGCTATAGAGACAAGAACAGTTACATAAATATTCAACGAACAAAAAACCACAACAATGATAGATGCATATTGAAATTAAATCATGCTTCATATCTCATGAACACACAATGACGTTTCTGAGATTACAGCATTTAGCCTCAGCCTTCTGGGAAACCATATACATTATTATAAATTCTGAGCTCGACAATGAAGTAGAGGAAGAGGTTTTCCTCGTCTACCTTCTGTCCTTCTCTATTGACCCTTCAACTTCCAAGATCTCATTAATAATTCAATTTGGAGAATTTGGTATTGGATCGATGAATAATCCTCTAATTGATATTTTACTTTATACTCATCACGTCTTTGCTTGATGTTGTATTGATATTGTAAGGAGAAATTCTCTCTTAGTCACTCATGGGAGTTAAAGGGTTAATTTATCTTGTCATGATGCTATCCTTAAGACATCCAGCTCATTGGTTGAAATGTGAGTAACGCCCGTGTTATTTTAAAAAAATGACGTGTAGAACCTGAAAATGAAGTGATTTACTCAGCAAAAGTGAAATTAATGATAATAGTGATTTTTGACGTACCCTTGCTCTCGCTTCACGCTCTCCTAGCCTCGCGCTTGCCTCGCCCTCACAGGCTACTTCAGCCACGTAAATAAGAAGTTAATAACATCATACTAGCTAATTCTTAGAAGAATCAAATGAACTTGAAAAAGTCAATTTGAAGATATATAGCTTGTCTCGTCTCGCACAGCCATATCAGCGTTTTTAAACTCATTTTGAATAGTATCTAATGGAACTTTTGACTAATTTTCCCATGTCAAATGGCAATCAGACGCTAATCAACATTTAGCAGTCTATTAATAGCTAGCGTGACAAAATGAGTTTGTTTGCGTGACTATTAATCAGGCCAGGTCACTAGGCTGTGTTTCCATTGTGATTCTCACATGACAAAGAAGTCTGCTTAGGTTGCGATTCTCAGAGCCGATCTTTGTACCAGGAAAAGAGTAAGAAAGAGGTATTCCCCCTCAATTAATATTATAGAACTGCAGAAAACCTCGTTTGCTGCCAAAGACTGGTAGACAGTCAACATTTGATTGTTTTAATGCTCTCGTATATTTCAGTAATAGTAATTAATATTTTTTCCTTCGCTGATCAGAAGTAAGGAACTCCATGATCTTCTAGACTCAACCACCCTCCAAGCCAGTCATCAAAGGCGGTATGTAGGGCTGTTCGGCTCGCTTTAGCTTATTTGTATATCCTTTCCTCGTGACCAGCGAAATGTAGGACCTTCAGTTTCAAGAGTGGTTTGTTTTGATGTAGACGCGCGTGTCATTTCGTTTAGGCGACGGTCACAGTAGCTGACGAGAAAATAGAGGATTGTAAATTTTTCTTTGTTCTAATTTTGTTTATTAAGATGCTGAATTGTTTAAGGGATCGAAGGGACGGGAGCTTTGAATGACCCGCAGGTAGACAAAATGATATTTGCTTTTGCCTCCTGGTAGAGAAAGTCAGCTACCACTGTACAGTGTGTAATACCCACTTGTAAGAGGAAGTGAAAGCTTTATTTGCACATATTGAACGCAATGAAATTAACATTTTACTCTTTAATCAAGATCAAGAAAATTAACTACACTCCTTTCTATTATTCAGTTTATTTATACGTTCATGTACGTGTGGGAATTTCTCTTGTCTCAAAATAACTGCAGAACAAATTATTTAATGGATTTTTTTACCTGAACGCCCTTCCTTCCCTAGAAAAATTGATTGCCCTACTTGGACAAGATGAAGAGAAATAGCAACACTACTTTCAGGCATTACATTCATTTTATGTCTGTGTGATTGTTTTGTTTTTCAAATCACTACACAACATTATTTAATGTATATTTTGACCCACACATTCTTCTTTTCACCCATTAACTCCCAAGATCTGGTTGCTAATCCTCCCTTCCAACTGCTACGCATTTCCCTCTAAATAAGCTACAAGAATTTGGCGTAAGATCCAGATAACAACTTCTACCTGATAAGTTTCAGTATTCTCATACATGTTCAAATGGTGGATAATGTTTGGATATTATAAGGAAAGGTTACATGTTAATCCCTTTTGGGAGTTAAAGGGTAAAAACTCCTAAATCTGCATACAGCTGCCTATTCATGCTAAAAAATAATCTTTCTCAGGTCTTTGTTCCTCTATCACATTCTATGCTTAGTTTCTGTCTCAGTCTACTCTTAATATACAAACATGTAAGACTGCTATGTATAGAAGCAACTTTTGAATCTTTAAATTTTAAATGTCTGCCATATGCAAAGACAGCTGAGCTTTTAGCTGCAAAGCACTGTGAACTCTAGAAAGTATAACTATATTGTAACTCATTAAGCCGAGAAAAAGTGATATCTATACCCCAGTAATATGTCAGGCACTACAAGCAGGGTGCAGGGTGATAATAATGGCTAACTAGATGTGCAACTTTAGGAGGAATGGAATACATTGAAACACAGTTAACATTGTCAAAATGGATTGTAGCTATAAAATTTGGCTGGATCTACAAAGTAAACCTTTACACCCTAACATCAGTATCTATGTTCTCTATACCCTTCTTGATACATTTCCTTTCGTACTGACAGGAGAATTTGGGTAATAATCAAAGCTTTTATGGTTGAAAATCATTTTCTTTTTTTTTTGTGATCTTGATGAATGATTTAGCAATATTACTATTAAGAGAAATTACATTCTGGTTTACAGGGTTAAGGCACTTAAAGTCTGCTGTTTATATTGCAGAAATGGTGCCATTGCTGATCTGACTCTTCAACATGTCACTAGAAGCAAGTGCTGAAGATGTGAATTCTCCACTTATCTCAGGTGACAACAGAAGCCCTTCAGCTCCCACAGAGTACAGGGCTAATGCTCCAGTTAGTAATTGTCGACTGGGGCGTCGCCAAAAGATCCTCGTCACCAGCTGCATTCTTCTCACAGAGTTATGTGAACGTTTGACCTTCTATGGATTGACGGCTAACTTGCTGTTATTTGCTAGCAATGAATTAAATCTTAAATCACCCTGGCCATCCACTATTAGTTATTTGTTTCAAGGTTAGTAGGAATTCTTATGCATATCTGAATGTAGTGTCAAAATAAAATTAATTGCTGGTAAAAGTGTATGTTCATAAAAGAAAGAATGGTTTAGTTGATGTGTGATATGTACTCCATGAACTGGTAATAGTATAAACTGTAATCAATCTCTAGTACCATTGGTTACTTTGTGATTATATCTGGGCTTAGTTTTAAGAGTCCACCTGCATTGATAAGTTAGCAGTACTCACCACTCAGTATGGCAGAGGTGCTGAGAGGTTTAAAGTGTTGGGAGCTACTTGTCTAAGCTACATGTGCACCTAAATTTTCCAAAACAATTTTTAATCAGCTCTTCAAATGAAAAAATTCCCACCCCCCTTCCTCCCCATGTTTCACTGCCTATGTATAGGCTGGTCAACCCTTTTTTATTGGAAGAGTTACCAAGTGAGAACTTACATGTATGCTACTTGTAATGTGACTATGCTGTCACTGATTGATGATTCAATCCATGTGAAACTTCAACACCCCCCCCCCCTCGGGCTACCCAGGCATTTGAAATTTGAACTTCTTAAGATTGGCATGTCCAAACTCAAAACTGTGTTCAAATGCCCCTCCTAATTTTTTTGTTAAAGGCAAAATCAGCAACCATGATTTTCTAGACATTGACCAAGATTTAAAACCTTCACTTTTCCAGCTCAAATTACCCACCCCAGCCAGGCAGGGTTCAAATTCCCCACCTCTGAACACACATGCAGATGACAGTCAAAAACCGGTGGGTTGCCTGAGGGGGGGGGGATGTTGAAACTTTGAATTGATTGGCTGATTACAAAGATTATAGGAAGAATGACAAATATCATTTGGAGATATTTGATTATATACCATCACCTCAAAAGCTTAAATTGTATAATACATTCAGCGGACAGTGGTAAGATCTTTGGAGTGAGTGCTGAGCCACAATTATCTCCTACAAAAATATTTAGTTTTGCCTGAAATTTGATGGACATGTTTTGTAATGGCTATCTTTATTAAACATTATTTTGGCATGCAAATGCTATTTAAATCATAATTTGTATAACAAGGTAACTAGTTAAAATTCCATTCTGACCACTTTATCAAAGTTATTTTGTGATCAGATGTTCTCCATGTGTATCATGTCATAAATGTTATTGAGGAAACTCTCATGAGTGTTATGAGTGTTTTGTGACAATTTATTATTTAATTTACAGCAACCAAACCTAATTTAATAAAATCAAAAGCAAGTTTCTGGGAATGGTTAGTTTCCATGAATAAACCATGAACAGAAGAAACATTTTTTTCGATTGTATTGAGGAGAAAATTCTTCTTCTTTATAACAGGGATATAATTTTAGTCTTGATGTTTTCCCACTCTCTAGGAACATGTTACCTTGTACCTTTGTTAGGAGGATGGTTGGCAGACACCTACTTGGGTAGATTCAACACCATTTATGGAAGTTCGTTATTGTATGTTGTGGGAACTTTACTTTTAGCTGTTGTTTCCCTGAAAAATGACATGCTCAAAGAACTGGGCAAAAATGCGGCTCATGATAGAACAGCAAGATTGGTGTATTTTGTGTTGGCTCTGGTAATGATAGCATTTGGGACAGGGGGAATCAAAGCTAATGTGTCACCTTTTGGGGCAGATCAGGTTCAACAGGATGGTCCCAGAGCTATCCAGGCTTTCTTTAACTGGTTTTACTGGTTTATCAATATTGGATCATTGATAGCTTTTACTGTTGTTGTGTGGATTCAGCAGAATAAATTTTTCTATGGCTATGCTATCACTGCAGGGACCATGTTCCTTGCGGTTCTCGCATTTCTTGCGGGTCGCAACAAGTACTTAACAAAGCCACCTGGAGGTAGCCAGCTGACTGAAATTACAAAAATATTGTGTGAGGCAAGGCGAAATCGCAAACAGAACACTGGTGGTTGGCTTGATGGAGCAAAGAGCACTTTTGGAGGAAAATTTACACGTGCTCAGGTTGAAGATGTCAAGTCACTCCTGAGAGTCATTGCAGTGTTCTTTCTCTTTATTCTTTACTGGACAATTTATTTTCAGGTTAGTTTTGGTGTAAGGTTTCTTTTAATTCCATGTAGGTTGGGTGTGGCAAGGATTTATTGCCTCTCCCAGGTACACACCAAAAACATCATTGAAGAATTCTTAGCCATTCAGTACCTGCTTTCTTGTCCTGTCCCTGCCCTTCCTTATATCGAATTGCTTTATGAAGCTCTCCTAACCTTTTAACTGCCAAAAGTGATCAACATGTGCTTGACGAAGACTAGCAGTATAGTGGTCAAAAGGTCCCTCATCAATACACAATTGATTAGCTTGTATCTTACATTGTCTTACAAACAATTGAAAGTTGATTTAATATATACTTAACTACAAAGAACCTCAACATTTTCTATAGCAGTTTAACAGTTGAATGACTCTCTCAATTGGACAGTTGCAATCATTGTATAGACAAATTTTGAAGATGCTAGTAATATTGCCTTATCCACACTTATCCTTATTTTACTTGAACTTTTTTAGTTTCAATTTAAATACACACATATATATTTTGTTGCCTTTCCCAGATGCAGACCACTTTCCTTATCCAAGCTACCTTCATGAAACTGAAATTCCCGCACTTTACTGTACCAGCAGCTTCTTTGTCCATTTTTGATACTGTTGCAGTTCTTGCATTTATTCCTCTTGTGGATAACATTTTGTATCCTTTTGTGCGTTACCTTGGCTTTAACTTCACTCCTCTGCGACGTATTGGCGTGGGTATGTTGCTGGCAGCAGCTTCTGTGGCAGTAGCAGGAGTGATTGAAATCGAACGAAGAAAGAAATGGGTGGATGATGGCCCTTGTCCGCAAAACGTTTTGGGCGATAAACACAATGCTTCATGTTTAAGTGTATTTTGGCAAGTCCCCCAGTTTGCATTGATTGGTGCCAGTGAAGTTTTTACAAGTATTGCAGGTATGCAGAAGTCACACAGGGAAGCAAACAGTCTTTCAAAAGTTTTTAAAGAATTTCTTTTAATCAAAGTTGTACTAAACCCCTCAATTCCTAAGATGTGATAAGAAATATTTCTCTCCCTGACCAGTAAGAGATCTTCCTTTAAATTAATTTGGAGCATATTGCTGGCATTTGATCTAAATTGCGACTGAATGTAATTATTATGTCCCTGTTAAACCATGGTAGTAACCTATTGGGATCCTAAATTTTCAAGCTTTTCACCCAATACATTGAAACTCTACCCTTAAAAGTTGATTTAAGTCAGGAGACCATTTTGCTATTTTACAGATCGTGAAGTACATAATGAACATTTTGTTCAGGAGATAGCTCTGAAAAGTCAAAATCCAGTTTTGATGGCCCATTTCATCTCTCAAAATTGATGATGTCTGCAAACACATATCTGAGCATGCTTTAATTCACAGTAACCCACCAATCAAATCAAAGCTTCAACATCCCTCCCTACCCCACAAGCATATGATGGTCGTCCATATCAAGGGGAGAGGGTGAAATTTGAACCTTGTTGTCTGGCTAGGGTGAGAAATCTAAACCACAAGTTTCAATTCTTTCTAGCAGAAAAAAAGTGTCATACATTTGTATCTTTGAAGAGGTAGGAGGTAAATAGGTCGGTTTCCTAAGAGAATGACTTAGAAGAAAAGGTCTACAATGTCTAGGTTTTAATCCTCGGGTAATTTTTAGAAAAAAGTTCCCAGGCATTCCCAACAAATTGGGTGTGGCATTTGAACACAATTTTTGCCAGGTGGGTAGGAATTTGAGGGAATTACGGCCACTTCGTTCCATGACCACTTCGTTCCAAACCACTTCGTTCCATCCTTCGGTCACTTCGTTCCACCAAGTAGTCACTTCGTTCCAAAGAATAGTCACTTCGTTCCAAGTGTAAACTAAGCGTGTAAACTACCAATCTAAGATTTTTTAGAGAATTCGAAGTAAATGAATGTTAAGTTTGCTTTGCATTTGCATAACGAACGAGTAACTCCGCCATCTTGAATTGTTATAGAACTCAGTCTTTCGCGCTTTCGCATTTTCATTGTTTATGTAAATAATTGTTATTAATTATCTACTTTACGTAGGTTTCTCCTGTTGGTCATTGCTTTCATTTATATAGTGGCTCCTAAAGGAGCCGTTTTTTTTTTGTTTGGTATACTTTATTAACTTATTTTTACAATTCTACTGGTCCATTAAGATAAGAGCAGGCCTTCAGAAGTCGTCTGGCTGACCTTTCCCCGGCCTCGTACTGGTCCCACAGCTCAAATATTCTCTGCTGTAGCACCCTATACTTTCGTCACTGGATTCGTCGCAGCTTCCTCTCTGATACCAGGCGGATCTGGATCGCTGTCAGTTTCACTTCCCTGTAAAGAATAGTAAAGTAAAAGCAGTAAAAAAGTAAAGCGATGTTGAAATAATGAAATCAAGGTTTACTTTGGTCTGGTTGCTATGATCAACGTGTATACGTATAGTTGTTTCTACTATTGGAACGAAGTGACTACTTGGTGGAACGAAGTGACCAAAGGATGGAACGAAGTGGTTTGGAACGAAGTGGCCATGGAACGAAGTGACTGGATACCATTTGAGGAAACCAATCTTTTAAAGTTTAATTCTGGGGTGGGGGAGGAGGGTGTTGAAGCTTCAAATCGATCAATGCATAACACCCAAGCCAACTCACAACCATCACCTCACAAACTGGCATAAACCTTTTTCTTCATAAAGTATTATAATATTAATGATAAGTGTGGTTGACTGCAATTGTACTTGTTGATTGCTTGTAAGAAGAGTGTGTTAAATGATCCTTAAATCAGCCCACATTCAACACAGTCTGAGTTAATTGCTTTTTCCCTACTGCACTTTAACCCTTTTATTCCTCCCCTCTAGCTGCTTAACATTTCCTTGTTAAAGAATTCTAAGAATTTGGTGTTAGATCTAAATAACAACTTTTACTAGTCATCAATAAGTTTGAGTATGCTCATTTCCTGTTAGCTGCAAAATGTTTAGATATCTCAAGGAGAAGTTGAATGTTAATCATTTCTGGGAGGTAACCCTTTAACTACCACAAGTGACCAAGACAGACTTTCTCCTTACAAAATCAATACAATATCAACCAAATAAGTAATGAGAATAAAGGAAAATATCAATTTGGAGATAATTAGTTGATTCAATACTAAATTCTCTGAACTAACGTTATAAGAATCATATGGTTGACAGTAAGGAGAGTTACAAATTTGATATTGGAGTTAAAGGGTTCATTAAAAGGGTTAAGCAATAAGGTTTGGATCATTATTAATAAGGGAGGGATCCCCTAATCCAGGGTTTGGCTTATTACATGTTAGTTAACTGAATCTCCCAAAGTATCATTTTAATCCTTGGATAAGTACCTCCCCCCTTTGAAAAAAACTTTTCTCTGATATAAGTTTAGATAAATTGAGCTGAACCTCTCATTGGATTTGTGTTGTGACTATTTCTTGTCAATTTTTCTGTACAGGACTTGAGTTTGCATATTCACAGGCTCCCAGGTGTCTTCAAGGGGTTGTGATGGGGGCTTTCCTTGTTACAAGTGGTCTTGGAAACTATGTTGCAAACCTTCTTGTCGTCATTGTCAAGGAAGCTAGCAATGGTGATTGGTATCCAGTGGACAACCCAAACAAAGGACACTTTGAGTACTTCTTCTTTCTGTTGGCTGGGCTAATGATGCTAAATTTCCTGGTGTTCCTGTACGTTGCCTCCTCCTACAAATACAAAACTTCCTCCTTGAGGAATTTTGGAAGAGAGCCGGACATAGTACAACAAGCTAAAGACAATCCTCAAGCTTGAAGTCAATGAGTATTGTATCAGTCAAGGCCTTCCACAGTCGAAATAATTCTTTTTTTTTTCTTTGTTCTGGCTTTTGTTTTATGTCTTGTTTTGTTTTCTGGCAGCCAATCCACACCCTTTTTTGACATGAATCCTCTTAGCACAGAGGTACAAGTGCAGAGCTATTGGGAGGTGGGGGAAGAGGGCTTTTTGAAAGAAATCAAAAACAATTTTGTTTCATTGCATTGATTTTTAATTTATTAACAACTTTTTTCATGAGTTGAGAAATAAACTAGAAAATGTCTATGCCAATTAATCATTACTGTTATAACTTTCCAGTATTAAGTGATTTTACTCGTTTGTATTAACGTTAGAAAAATCTTCCCTATTTAGTCGAGAGAACATTCTTCCAAAAAAACGGGCTCCAAGCCCTCTGATTTTTTATGTCACATGAAGGAAAAATATGATTTTATGTTTTACAGTCTGAAAGGTCTCTTTTGGAACAGTCATGGACTGCAATGTTAGTTGCAATTGAATAAATGTTTCTGAACAATATTTTTGTTGTGTTTTAAGTGATAAATGAACCAGTTGTGTACTTTGATTAACTTTTGGTTTTGTTTTGTGACCACAAGGAAGCAAAGCAATCTTTCGACTGAAATAGGTGTACCCACTAAATAAATTCAGTAACTTCGCTTTAAGCAGCTTTCAATGATTTCATTCGTCGAAATCGTAATTAGGTAAAGGGAACAGAAATCTTAAAGCAGAGACCAAAGTAAAGCAGAAAGCTTTTTAATTCAGTACAATATTTCGGCTTTTCAAGCAGCCTTCTTCGAGAACAGATCGATAGAATTCGCATTGGAAGGGCAGGGGAGTTGCGTTTTGCAGGGATGTTTTTGTAATATACCCAAAATATAAGTTAGTGTAATGTGATATACAATGTGTATAATCAAAGACGAAGTAAAGCACCAAAATTATTAAAAGGAGGGGAAAAACAAATATTGGCTACCATCGAAACATTTCAAGGAGCACTCCTTTTTTTTTCATTGCGTCTTCATACAAGTACAAAGTGTCGTCTCTGCTAAGTGACGAGAGTGAGAAGGAACAGGCCTAGGCTGAGCATGAACTAACTTTTAGTACTCAATCTACGCGAAGCTGATTGCTTTATGTCTGCATGCCTCAGCTAAACTAAGGGGCAGAGGAGTTCAATTTGTCTGTATAGTAGCGCTGAAAGTCTTTACAAAATACTGTAAGTGGATTTTTTTAGATTTCAAGAGACGCACCTATTTGACAGCCAATCAACAAGACCGATTGTGCGATAAATTTACTGGAAATACAGTCAAAGGGGAATTTACCCATATGATTTATTTTTATTCTGTTGCTTTTGGAAAGTTATATATCAGTATGTCATGATTTCGGCCCATTACGATTTTGCCTCCATGTCTACGAGTTCGCCCTATTAAATACAAAAAGTTCCCCCCGCCGTAACCAATTCGCCTGCGAATTTTTTAATTTGTTTCCATGAGGCAGAATTTGTTCAATTTCCGACTTATACAGATCTTTACCAAGACGATCAAATTGTCAGAATACTATTTCAAACTCCACATTTGAACGTGGTTTGTGAGTAAAACTGGCCTTGTTTATACATTAAAATGGTAATTTCATGGTAGAAGCACTGACGCGCACATTAAAATAAAGTTTTCTTCTTTATATCTGTCAAAGCCATATGTATCAGCAATGATGGGCTTGGGTAGTAGTAGCTTGAGAAGTTTTTCCCTTTTCTCGTGAAGGCTAGAGCTCTGAGTAAAGTAACATAAGCCTTCCTGCTATAATCATAACCATCACAATTTCCTCAAATGTGATTGGTGCATTAGCTGCTTTATTTTTCACTAATCATTCTGCACAGTTGTAATCGGACAGTGTAATCGCACAGTTGACTGCCGACACAAGCGAAGCAAATTTCAACGACAGCTATGAGTTTCGCTAACGAAGACACACTAAGAAGCGAGCATATATTTTACGGAAAAGACTTGAATCGTTTTATTAGCGTAGTCGAGGTATCCAAGTACTTATCGTAAACTGAAATATGAAATTATAAGGAAGAAGCTAAGCTAAATTCTAAGATAAGGACCAACATTCCAATCATTCCGATATATAGGCAAGATCCCAAAAGACTAGCTAAAACTCTAAAACAAACTCACAAAAAGACCATCTTAAAAGGATAAAGGAGAACCGCTTGAAAACGAATTCTAACAAAACTAATAACCGAGTGGAAAAAACTTACAGCTTACTAACAAAGCATGAACAACGTAAGCTACGTGTTACAAGGTTATAAAGAAACTGGTGTAAAAACTGGGCGAAACTACCGACAAACTAGCTGTTTAGACAAGCACAAAGAAAAGGAATATAAGCACTTACGTAACAGTCCCGCTTGTAAGAGTTTGACCAAAACGAACTTCAAGATAAGGTGGGCAAAAGGGCGTTAGTTAGTTAGTTACTGGCGTAAAATCTTACATATAAACACAACCGAGTGAAAGAAATAACGCCGTTAGTTACTAGCGTAAAATCTTTCATATATATTTCACCGACTGCGTATCAAAAAATGGTCCATTGTTCCGGCTTACCTTTTCCACTAAGCATCATATAAACGTCCTTCTGTAATTGGTAATAACTAACGGCGTTATTTCTTACAGTCAGTATATTATATACTATAAGATTTTACGCTGCTAGTTAACGGCTTAAAATCTTACAGTATGAACACCGACGCAGATAGTGGCGTCAAATCGTACAATCTATCGACTGTATTAGTCACATATTACGCCTTTATCTAACTACCGGTAATGTGTGTTTTATTTTGCAAATTATAAGTATATTTCCGTTTCGCAAATTACAGAAAACCGAATATATTAATACTTGACGACCCATGAAACGTGGGCATGCACTTAAATTGACGTGAAGTTGTTTTGCAAGAAAAGAGTGAATTTATGAGGGTAAGTAATAGATATTCCCCCTCATTTAATATTATAGAACTGCAAAATACGTTTTCCGCTGCCAAAGACTAGTAGACGGTCAACCTTTGGTTGTTTTTGCGCTCTCGTATATTTCAGTAATATTAATTGGTGTTGTTTTCCTTCGCTGATCAGAAGCAAGGAAATGCATGATCTTCCAGACGCAACCACCCTCCAAGCCAGTCATTAAGGGCGGTATTTAGGGCTGTTTGGCTCGCTCTAGCTTACATGTAAATCCTTTCCTCGTGACCAGCGAAATGTAGGACCTTCAGTTTCGAGAGTGGTTTGTTTTGATGTAGACGCGCGCGTCATTTCGTTTAGGCGACGGTTATAATAGCTGACGAGAAAATAGAGGATTGTAAATTTTTCTTTTTATTTATTTTGTGTTTGAGATGCTGAATTGTTAAGGATCGAAGGGACGGGAGCTTTGAATGACCTGCAAGCAGACAAAACAACAGCCACTACTATGAGGGTAAATAATAGATATTCCCCCTCATTTAATATTATAGAACTGCAAAATACGTTTTCCGCTGCCAAAGACTAGTAGACGGTCAACCTTTGGTTGTTTTTGCGCTCTCGTATATTTCAGTAATATTAATTGGTGTTGTTTTCCTTCGCTGATCAGAAGCAAGGAAATGCATGATCTTCCAGACGCAACCACCCTCCAAGCCAGTCATTAAGGGCGGTATTTAGGGCTGTTTGGCTCGCTCTAGCTTACATGTAAATCCTTTCCTCGTGACCAGCGAAATGTAGGACCTTCAGTTTCGAGAGTGGTTTGTTTTGATGTAGACGCGCGCGTCATTTCGTTTAGGCGACGGTTATAATAGCTGACGAGAAAATAGAGGATTGTAAATTTTTCTTTTTATTTATTTTTGTGTTTGAGATGCTGAATTGTTAAGGATCGAAGGGACGGGAGCTTTGAATGACCTGCAAGCAGACAAAACAACAGCCACTACTGTACAGTGCGTAATACCTACTTGTGAGAGGAAGTGAAAGCTTTATTTGCGCATATTGGACACAATGAAATTAACATTTTACTCTTTCATCAAGATCAAGAAAAGTGGCAACGCTCCTTTCTACTATTTAGTATATTTATGCGTCCGTGTGAGGCCTAGCCACATTATGAAGATTCCAGGGCCCGGTAAATATCTTGTTTGAGTAATATAATGTCCAAAAAGTAATATTTTATCGAAGACTTTGTGTCAAAACGTAGGACTCTCAGAATTTTAATCAAACACAACGCCGTGCAATTTTCTAGCCGTATAGGCAAGTAATCAACGATCTAAGCATAATAAATTCCATTTCGTGGGTTTCGTAAGCACGTTTTTCGCCTCTAGAAGAAAATCAAGAACTATTTTGAATAACGCTTCCTTCTCGAGACATTCCTTGGTCAGTTTCGTTCTGCTTCTTACTTATAAATTCCATGTGAGCAGAGACCTCTTCCTCATACTGACAAATTTGCATCTTCACTTTGAAATCCGATCCGCATATTTGTCTCCGCACCTGCGAAAATTTTATCGATTTTTATCTTTTTATCTACCCCCAAGTAGACAAAACAACAGCCACTACTGTACAGTGCGTAATACCCATTTGTAAGAGGAAGTGAAAGCTTTATTTGCGCATATCGGACGCAATGAAATTAACATTTTACTCTTTAATCAAGATCAAGAAAAGTAGCAACGCTCCTTTCTACTATTTAGTATATTTATGTCCGTGTAGGTGTAGGAATTTTTCTTTTCACAAAATTACTGCATAACAAGTTATTTAATGGCTTTTTTTCCTGAACGCCCTTCCTTCCCTGGAAAATTTGATTGCCCTCATTAGGCAAGATGAAGAAAAATAACAACATTGCTTCCAGGCATCACACTTAGTTTATGTCTGTGTGATTGTTTTGTTTACTACATAACATAACTGAACCCCACTTTATGCCTTCACAAGAAATGATCTAATATAAAAAATAAGCGTCCGCGCGGCCGACTTTCGATACTTTCAGGTCGGATTTTCCGTTTCTGTAAAATGAAAAACGATCTTTCGGACCTCAAGCGAGGCCCAGCTACATTTTGAAGATTCCAGGGCCCGGTAAATATCTTGTTTGAGTAATAAGATGTCCAAAAAGTAATGTTTAATCTAAGACTTTGTGTCAAAACGTAGGACTCTCAGAATTTTAATCAAACACAACACCGTGCAATTTTCTAGTCGTATAGTCAAGTAATCAACGATCTAAGCATGATGAATTCTATTTCGTGGGTTTCGTAAGCACGTTTTTTGCCTCTAATAGAAAATCAAGAACTGTTTTGAATAACTCTTCCTTCTCGAGACATTCCTTGGTCAGTTTCGTTCTGCTTCTTATTTATAAATTCCATGTGAGCAGAGACCTCTTCCTCATACTGACAAATTTGCATCTTCACTTTGAAATCCGATCCGCATATTTGTCTGCGCACCTGCGAAAGTTTTATCGATTTTTATCTTGTCATCTACCCACAAGTAGACAAAACAACAGCCACTACTATACAGCGCTTAAACCCACTGGTAAGAGGAAGTGAAAGCTTTATTTGCGCATATTGAACGCAATGAAATTAACACTTTGCTCTTAAATTAAGATCAAGAAAAGTAGCTACGCTCCTTTCTACTATTTGGTATATTAATGCATCCGTGTAGGTGTGGGAATTTTTCTTTTCTCAAAATTACTGCATAACAAGTTACTTAATGGATTTTTTTCCTGAACGCCCTTCCTTCCCTGGAAAATTTGATTGCCCCCATTAGGCAAGATGAAGAAAAATAACAACATTGCTTCCAGGCGTCACACTTATTTCATGTCTGTATGATTGTTTTGTCTTCCAAGTCACAACATAACATTACGTAACCCCATTTAATGCCAAAGCAAGAAATGATCTAATATGAAAAATCGGCGTCCGCGCGGCCGACTTTCAATATTTTCAAGTCGGATTTTCCATTTCTGTAGGGATGCAAATTGAGGCTGTAAAATGAAAACCGATCTTTCGGACCTCAAGCGAGGCCTAGCCACATTATGAAGAAAGATTCACTTTGAAATCCGATCCGCATATTTGTCTGCGCACCTGTGAAAAAAATTTACCCATTTCTGTCTTTTACCTTATTTTTAGAGTAAAAAACTTAATATGCATCTATCACTTTTTTCGTTGAAAGTAAGTTATTTAAATGGTCTTCTTTCACTGAAGCTTGTCTTTGGGAAAAGATGATTTATAAAAATTTACTGCGCATTGTGTTTGCTTTTCCGGTCTCTCCAAAACTTTAACTTTTGGATAGGCAAGCGTTACACGTAAGTGCCAATGGGTTAATGAATATTTTGATCCATACACTCTTCTTTTCACCCATTAACTCCAAAGATCTAATTGTTAATCCTCCCTTCCAGCTGCTATACATTTCCCTCTTAATAAGTTACAAGAATTTGGTGTTAGATCCAGATACAACTTCTACTTGATAAGTTTCAGTATTCTCGTACATGTTTGGTGGATAATGTTTTGATATTATGGGAAGAAGTTACATGTTAATTGCTTTTAGGAGTTAGAGGGCGAAGACTCCTCAATCTGCATACAGCTGCCTATTCAAGCTAAAAAAAGAAATAATCATTCCCAGGTCTTTGTTCCTCTATCACATTCTATGCATAGTTTCTGTCTCTACCCTATGCACCTACATGTAAGACTGCTGTATATAGGAGCAACTTTTTAATCTTTAAATTTGAAATGTCTGCCATATGCAAAGACAGCTGAGCTTTTAGCTGCAAAGCACTGTGAACTCTAGAAAGTATAGCTACATTGTAACTCATTAAGCCGAGAAAAAGTGATATCTATACCCCGGTTATATGGCACTACGAGCACCGTGTGGGGTGATAATAATGGCTAACTAGATGTGCAACCTTAGGAGGAATGGAATACATTGAAATACAGTTAACATTGTCAAAATAAATGGTGGCTATAAAATTTGGATGGATCTACATGGTAAACCTATACATCCTAATATCAGTATCTATATTCTCTATTAACCCTTCTCTACGCATTTCCTTTGGTACCAACAATTTGGGTAACAATGAAAGCTTTTAAACTTGAAAATAATTTTCTTTGTTTTTATGATCTTAAACGAGAAATTACGTTCTGGTTTACAGGGTTATGGAACTTAAAGTCTACTGTGTATATTTCAGAAATATTGTCATCGCTTATCTGACTCTTCAGTATGTCGCTGGAAGCAAGTGCTGAAGATGTGAATTCTCCACTTATCCCAGGTGATAACAGAAGCCCTTCAGCTTCCACTGAGTACAGGGCTAACTCACTGGTTAATAATCGTCAGCTGGGACGTCGCCAAAAGTTCTTCGTCATCAGCTGCATTCTTGTCACAGAGCTATGTGAATGTTTGACCTTTTATGGATTGACAGCTAACTTGCTGTTATTTGCAAGCAATGAATTAGATCTTAATTCACCCTGGCCCTCCACTATTAATTATTTGTTTCATGGTTAGTAGGAAGTCTTCACATGTACATCTGAATAAACAGTCCAAATAAAATTAACTGCCGGTAAAAGCATAAGTTCACAAGTGAAAGAATGTTATAGTAAATATAAGATATGTTGTGTAGTGGTAATAATATAAACTGCAATCAATCTTTAGTACGTATGATTACTTTGCTCCAGGGCAAAATTGTGTTCAAATGCCCCTCCTAAGTTCTTTGCAAAAGGCAAAATCAGTGACCATGACTTTCTAGACATTGACCAAGCTTTAAAACCTTGACCTTGTAGACCTTTTCTTCTGAGCCATTCCCTGACAAAAGTGAAATATTAACTTTTAAAATCTCCATGTTTTAAGATATAACACTTGTATTCCTCTGGAAAGACCTAGCTTTACTGCCTTAAATTCCCCACCACAGCTAGGCAGGGTTCAAATTCCCCACCTCCGGGCATTCATGTAGGTGACAGTCAAATGTCGGTGGGTTGCTTGGGGGAAGGAATGTTGAAACTTTGAATTGATTGGCCGATTTCAAAGATGATGGGGAGAATGAAAAAAAATCTCAACATTTTTTCCATTGTATTGAGGAGAGAATTCTTCCTCTTTATAACATGGATGTAATTTTAGTCTTGATTTTTTGCCACTCTCTAGGAACATGTTACCTTGTGCCTTTGTTAGGAGGATGGTTGGCTGATACCTACATGGGTAGATTCAACACCATTTACGGAAGTTTGCTCTTGTATGTTGTGGGAACTTTACTTTTGGCTGTTGTTTCCTTGAAAAATGACATGCTCAAAGAACTACTGGGCAAAAATGCAGCTCATGATAAAGCAGCAAGATTAGTGTATTTTGTGTTGGCTCTGGTAATGATAGCATTTGGGACAGGGGGAATCAAAGCCAATGTGTCACCTTTTGGGGCAGATCAGATTCAACAGGATGGTCCCAGAGCTGTCCAGGCTTTCTTTAACTGGTTTTACTGGTGTATCAATGTTGGATCATTGATAGCTTTTACTGTTGTTGTATGGGTTCAACAGAATAATTTTTTCTACGGCTATGCCATCACTGCTGGGACCATGTTCCTTACAGTTCTCGCATTTCTTACGGGTCGCAACAAGTACTTAACAAAGCCACCTGGAGGTAGCCAGCTGACTGAAATTACAAAAATATTGTGCGAGGCGAGGCGAAATCGCAAACAGAACACTGGTGGTTGGCTTGATGGAGCAAAGAGCGCGTTTGGAGGAAAATTTACACATGCTCAGGTTGAAGATGTCAAGTCATTTCTGAGAGTCATCGCAGTGTTCTTTCTCTTTATTCTTTACTGGACAATTTCTTCTCAGGTAAGTTTTGGTGTTAGGTTTCTTTTAATTCCATGTGGGTTGGGTGTGGCAAGGGTCTATTACCTTTCCCAGTTACACCCCAAAAACCTCACCGAGGAATCTTTAGCCAGTACCTGCTCTCTTGTTCTGTCCCTTCCCTTCCCTATATCAACTTGCTTTAAGAAGCTCTCTTAAGCTTTTAACTGCCAAAAGTGACCAACATGTTCTTGACAAAGACTAGCAGTTCAGTGGTCAAAACGTCCCTTATCAATACACGATTGATTAGCTTGTATCTTACGTTGTGAGACAAACAATTAAGCATCCGTTTATTATATACTTAACTAAAAAGAACAACATAATTTTCTATAGCATTTTAAGGATTGAATTACACTCTCCATTAGACAGTTGCAATCATTGTTTAGACAAATTTTGAAAACACTATTAATATTGTTTTATTAAAATTCATCGTTGTTTTGCTTGAACTTTTTAATTTCAACTTAAATACACACATATATTTTATCACCTTTCCCAGATGCAGACTACGTTCCTTATCCAGGGTACCTTCATGAATCTGAAATCGTCAAACTTCACTGTACCGGCAGCTTCCTTGTCCATATTTTGTACTGTTGCGGTTCTTACACTTATTCCTCTCATGGATAATGTTTTGTATCCTTTTGTGCGCTACCTTGGCTTTAACTTCACTCCTCTGCGACGTATTGGTGTGGGTATGTTGCTGGCAGCAGCTTCCGTGGCAGTAGCAGGAGTGATTGAAATACAACGAAGGAATGAATGGCTTCATGGTGGCATTTGTCGGCAAAAAGTTTTGGATGATTACCGCAGTGCTTCATGTTTAAGTATATTTTGGCAAGTCCCCCAGTTTGTATTGATTGGTGTCAGTGAAGTTTTTACAAGTGTCACAGGTATGCAGAAGCCACACAGGGAAGCAAACAGTCTTTAAAAAGTTTTAAAAGAATTTCTTTTAACCAAGGTTGTACTAAACTCCTCAATTCCTATGATGTGATAAGAAATATTTCTCACCTTGACCAATAAGAGATCTTCCTTTAATTAATTTGGAGCATATTGTTGGCATTTTATTCAAATCATGACTAAATGTAATTATTATGTTCCTGTTAAACCTTGGTAGTAATCTATTGTGATCCTAAATTTTCAAACTTTTCACCCAATACATTGAAACTTTACCCTCAAAAATTGATTCAAACCAGGAGAACATTTTGCTAATTTATAAATTGCCAGCAGGAAGCAAGCGTTATACATTTGTATCTTTAAATATCCAGGTGTTCTAGGAGGTAAATAGGTCAGTTTGCTAAGAGAATGACTCAGAAGAAAAGGTCTACAAGGTCTGCGTTTTAAAGCTTGGCTGATTTGTATAAAAAAGTGCCAAAAATTCCAAAAAAAATTGGGTGTGTGGCATTTGAACACTTTTTTTTTGCTAGGTGGGTGCGAATTTGAGCAAACCAATCTAGGAGTGGGGGGGGGGGGGGGGGGTGTCGACGATTCAAACTGATCGATGCATAAAACCCAAGCCAATTCACAATTATCAGCTTACAAACTGGAGTAAACCCTTTTCTTCATAAAATATTATAGTATTAATGATAAGTGTGGTTGACTGCAGTTGTACTTGTTGATTGCTTGTAAGAAGAATATGTTAAATGATCCTTAAATCAGCCCACATTCAACACAGTTTGAGTTAATTGCTTTTTCCCTACTGCACTTTCACCCTTTTATTCCGAAGATCTGAATTTTAATTCTCCCCTCTAGCTGCTTAACATTTCCTTGTTAAAGAATTCTAAGAATTTGGTGTTAGATCTAAATAACAACTTTTACTAGTCATTAATAAGTTTGAGTATGCTCATTTTCTGTTAGCTGCAAAATGTTTAGATATCTCAAGGAGAAGTTGAATTTTAATCATTTCTGGGAGGTAACCCTTTAACTACCACAAGTGACCAAGACAGACTTTCTCCTTACAAAATCAATACAATATCAACCAAATAAGTAATGAGAATAAAGGAAAATATCAATTTGCAGATAATTAGTTGATTCAATGCTAAATTCTCTTAACTAACGTTATAAGAATCATATGGTTGACAGTAAGGAGAATTACAAATTTGATATTGGAGTTAAAGGGTTCATTAAAAGGGTTAAGCAATAAGGTTTGGATCATTATTAATAAGGGAGGGATCCCCTAATCCAGGGTTTGGCTTATTACATTTTAGTTAACTGAATCAGTCCCAAAGTAACATTTTAATCCTTGGATAAGTACCTCCCCCTTTAAAAAAAGTTTCTCTCCGATATAAATTTAGATAATTTAAGCTGAACCTCTCATTGGATTTGTGTTGTGACTGTTTCTTGTCAATTTTTCTGTACAGGACTTGAGTTTGCATATTCACAGGCTCCCAGTTGTCTTCAAGGAGTTTTAATGGGGGCTTTCCTTGTTACAAGTGGTCTTGGAAATTATGTTGCAAACCTTCTTGTCGTCATCGTCAAGGTAGCTAGCAATGGTGATTGGTATCCAGTGGACGACCCAAACCATGGACACTTTGAGTACTTCTTCTTTCTGTTGGCTGGGCTGATGATGCTAAATTTCCTGGTGTTCCTGTACGTTGCCTCCTCCTACAAATACAAAACTTCCTCTGGGAGGAATTTTTGAAGAGACCAGAACACAGTACAACAAGTTACAGACAATCCACAAGTTTGAAGTCAAAGATAGCTGTATCAGTCAAGGCCTTCCACAATTGAAATCATTCTTTTTTTTTCTTTGTTCTGGCTTTTGTTTTATGTCTTGTTTTGTTTTCTGGCAGCCAATCTACACCCTTTTTTGACATGAATCCTCTTAGCGAAGAGGCACAAGTGCAGAGCTATTAGGAAGTGGGGGAAGAGGGCTTTTTGCGAGAAAGCAAAAAAAATGTTTGTTTCATCGCCTCGATTTTTGATTTATTAACAACTTTTTTATGAGTTGAAAAATATACCAGAAAATGTCTCTACCAATTAATCATTACTGTTATAACTTTCCAGTATTAGGGGATTTTACTCATTTGTACTAACGTTAGAGAAATCTTTCCTATTTAGTCGAGAGGATATTCTTCCAAAAAAAACGGGCTACAAGCCCTCTGATTTTTTATGTCACATGAAGGAAAAAATATGATTTTATGTTTTACAATCTGAAAGGTCTCTTTTAGAGCAGTCATAGACTGCAATGTTAGTTGCAATCGAATGGATTGTTCTGAACAATATTTTTGTTGTGTTTTAAGTGATAAATGAACTAGTTGTGTATTTTGATAAAATTTTGTTTTTGTTTTGTGACCACGTGGAAGCAAAGAGGACACTCTGAAGACCTTCGGAGCAAAAAAAAAAAAAAAAAAAAAAAAAAGACCCACCAAAAAAATTCAGTAACTTCGCTTTAAGCAGCTTTCATTAATGATTTAATTCGTCGATCAATTCGATGCTTCAACATCCCCTCGGGTAGTGCCCCCCTTACTCCACCCAACTTGAGCGTCTGAACTTTTGAGAAATGACTTCTTTAAATTCCAGCTCCAAGGTCAAAAGATAGCGTCCAAATTCCCCACTAAATTTTTTTCGTTAAAGGCAATATTACCGACCGCGACCAAGACCAAGCTTTAAATCCTAGATCTTGTAGTCCTTTTCATCTGAGCCGCTCGCTCGCGAAAGCGAACTGTTAACTTAAGTATAAACACCTCGATAATTTCAGATATAACTGTTGTCTTCCGCAGAAAACACAATTTCGATTTACTTTCCGCACCCCAGCCAGGCAAGGGTCAAATTCTCCACCCCCCACGGACTATGGTCAAATGCCCATGGGTTTCTCGGGGAAAGGGGACGGGGTGTTGATGAAAAAGCTTCGAATGGATCGGCACATTGCTATGTTATGACAACTGTAATAAAATAGAAAGTTATTTCGCAATCTTCAAGTTTTTTTGGCATTTTTTATCACTTTTCCGTGATAAATGTTCAACAAAATTAAGATCGTTCTTTTACATGTGAATAGCCCATTGGCTCCTGTACAAGCGAATTCCAACAACCTTAGGGTGCCATGTTCCTCGCCTGATTTTAGGTTCTAGGCAACGAAAGCAACTCGATTACTGGTTCGGAGCTGAACCACGGCGCGTGAATTGAGCAAGCACAGAGTACCAGTGCCACATTGGATATGAGAGAAGTTTTTTGTTTTTTCTTTAATCGTGATATCTGCCCCAATCCCTTGCGTTCGCTAACTCTCTTTCTTCGCTCGCGCTTTTCAAGATGTCTTGAGGGGTAGTTGAAGGTGAATTTATGTCAAGTGCACCTCTTTAGCTCCTCAAGCTCATTCCTTATTCCCAGGTTCTCTCGTCTTCCCGTCCTCTGGAGCATAAGAGAGACCCTGGGAACGAGGTAGGTTTCTTTCCATCCCCGGTCTTCTTTCTTGCAGTGGAACATTTGCTACGTTCATTCTTTGCTCCACTCACCATTTCTCTGCACTTTTCCTTTACCTCCATGATACTTCTTTTGGTAACTTTGAGCGCATTGACTTTCTCAGTTATCAACTCCCATATACTCGAATTTTGTTTTTAGTTTGAATGCTGTCTCCCCTCTAGCTGCTAAACTTCTAGCTGTAGATCAGTTACCAGAATTAGATCAAAACAAAAACTTCTACCTAATTACTAAGTTGATTATTACCTGTTTACTGGATAATTTGTGGATTTTATAGGAAGAAGTTCCATGTAAATCACATCTGGGGGCTAAAGGGTTGCTTCTGTACGTTAAGCGTTTAAATTGCGTTACTCGCCTAATAAGATGGCGTGACCTTTTCAGTCGCGTGAATTCGAAAGAAGAATTGGGAGGTCAATGATGACTTTAGCACATGCTTTACGCTCTCTTTTCCTTATCCTTACGACTGCAAATGGTAAGTTTGTAAAGTTTAAATAGGAGATGAACTTCACGTTATGTTTATGTTATCTGAACTAAATGTCAGAATGGATGCCGCTGTTGGTGTTGCAATGTCAAATTTACCCGAGAAGATCAGGTAAAAAAGAGAAATTAAGACACAATGAATTGGCCGGACAGACTACACTCGCGATAATTGAGAAGCAACCTGCGGCTAAATATAACACAGCCCTTTTGCCGACTAACAGAACTCTGTTCGAAAAACTGAATCTTGATTAAAAAGGTTCCGAGCAGGTTTGTTCAGTTGTATTGATCTATTTTTTTTTTACATTCATTGTATGCTTAAGAAAAGGCACGTTGCGACGTATCCTGAAAGAGTTGGAATTCATGTAATCGTCTCCTGAAGAAATGAAGATTGATTTCGTTTACGGCTGGCGAGCGGAAATTATTCCAGCAAAGTTATACACGAACTGGTCGGAAAGTGGTCAGAATCGCCTCGTTAGTAGTGATATTTCCAATCTAAGTTATTTGAAACTATTCATTAGCATAATATTTAACGTCAATGTCCTACTTTCGATTTCACTGACCTGCGCCAGGTTCATAACGTTCCACCTTCCACTTCACCTCACGAAAGTGTAATGCACACTTAATTCAGTTTTTTGATTAACTAATCTATTATCCGAGTCGTATCGTTCATTTTCCTCATTTCGCAAGAACTCCTCGTCTCCTCAACACAACGTAACATAAAGAAAATCACATGGTTTCTAATCCTTTTTTTAACCCCTAGGGATGACTGGCTTCTAATTTCTTCTCACAATATCACCCTTGAGTCACCTACAAAGGGCATGAGACTAAAGAAAATATCACCAATTTTAGAAGATCCTGATTGTCAGTCAAATTCTCCTTGACAGTATCTTACGAAATGTAAAGAGAACCGTGTGGAGAATATGAACATACTTATGTTAGGGTGCAAAGGGTTAAACTGAAACAACGACGTGTGCACTCACATTCGGCAACATGGTGATGAGGGTGTGGTTAGGAAGAGGATTTTGTTTTTCTCCGTAGGGGGTGCAATGTTTTATTATTTTTACGCACCTTTGCACGACTAACTTAGATAACTCACAGTCCTCGCAGATTGCCCTCATTCCTGTAATGGCCATTCTTAGGTTAAAATCGACTTTCAATAAATAGAATTGAAATCAGCACCGTCTTTAGTGCTCAAATGACTTAAAGAACCAAAAGAGATCGAGTTGTTAGCCAGTGAAGAATTAAAGAGAGTTGAGGGTGGAAGAGAGAGATCTCGCAGGGTCAGGGAGTGACCTTTTTTTTTTCTGAAATAGTCCCGGGATTAAGGAAGGTTTTCTTCGGTGCCCAACGGTTCTGAAAAAGAGGCTAACTTTTTTTTTTTCTCCGTGTTCATTATTTCCTAGCTTTCAGTAATGCATCAAACAACTGGTACATTTCCAAAGCCTCTGGCACTCAAACTACTGACTGCAATTCTCCTCAGTCCCCTTGCCAGTCGCTGGCTGATGTGATACCTTTGGTAGCCTGGGACGACAGGTTTTACCTCGATGGTACAAAAACCGAACATAATCCGTACACATGCGTGCACATGACGTCACAATATCGTGGTTTTCCTGTTTATTTTAATATGAGCCTGTCTGTTGTTGGACAAAATTCTCCGGCGCACATATTCTGTCCAGACGGTATCTTTTTCATTGGAAGATACACGGAGGTGAGTTTTTACGATGTGAAATTTTATTCGACGCCGATCTCGTTCTATCATGGCTCTGTTGTCATCAAGAGAAGCGTTTTCACCAGCGTCTCCGTGGCGGGTATGGCAGAAAACCAAACGAGTAACGCGAGCGATGGAGTTTTGAACTTCCATTCGACTGTAACTTTGACGATCTCAGATAGCGATTTTGGAAAGAACGCCACAATCAGGGTGAATGGGTCAGACGTCATTGACTTAACGAACTGTAAGTTCTATGACAATAAAGCAGGGGCGGCAACACTTTTCCCTTCCCGGTACGCTCGAGTCATTGTAGACAGCTGTGTCTTTATGGACAACTGGGGCAGTCTTAAAGTCATCGGAAGTTCAATTACTTCGCTTTACGTGAAAAATACCATAATTTACAGATACTCTAGAGAAATAGCTCTAATTCTAGAACTTTCTTCGTCCTCTGTAGCTACGATAGAGAACATAACTGTTGAAAAAAGTGCAATATTAAGTGATGATAGTTTTAGGGCCTCTGCGGTTTATATCTCACTGTACAAAGGACATAACAACCTCCAGATTCTCGACTCAGCTTTTAAACACAACAGCAACATAGAGAGTGGAGTTGGCGCGATAATCATAGAGAATGAGGGCGACTTAATGACATCCAGAGGCTGTAAGCATAACCAGTACGACACAGGCGCTAAAGGATTTCCTACATACCACTACACTAATATAATCGAATTTAGGAACTGTGTTTTTCAAGAAAATAGTGGACAGCACACAGGAGCGGTAATGCTATCTAACGGCCTGACGATTTTTCGGAACTGTACTTTTGTAAATAATTTTGCGTTCATTCGAGCGGGTCACCTAACTATTGCTGCCGGATCGGGCGCTGTGGAAATTTACAACAGCACGTTCCAACAAACAAGGGGAGATCCGCGTGACGTACCCTCGATGCTAAAGTCTAATAACTCTTTTATTTACAGCAGCAGTTCTGGAATGTTGATGATCGAAGATACGATTTTGGATTTCACCCATGTAAGTGAAGGGACGCTCCTAGAGATCGTAGATGGAGGAAATGTGACTATTGACTACAATTCTTCCATGCTGTGCCCCGTAGGAAGTAAGCTATGGTTTGATAACTACACCCATGACATTGTTGCAACTTTTCCAGAAAATGTTTTGGACAGAAGATGCCCTCTTAATGTAAAGATCTACAGCGTTTACTGTGAACGTTGCCCTGTAGGGTTCTACAGTCTACAGGGGGGGAAAGCATATGGCACCCGAGTCCTCGAAGGTTTCCAATGTCTTCTCTGTCCCTTCGGAGGAAACTGCACTGATAACATTGTGAATCATGATCATTTTTGGGGCTCCGTAGTAAAAGAAAACCCTCCGACTCTACAGTTCTACATTTGCCCTCTAGATTATTGCAAGGCACCAAAGGATACCAAGTCATCGATCTACGATGGTTGTCATGGAAACCGCTCAGGTGTATTGTGTGGAGCATGCGCAGAGGGATATAGCGAGGATTTGTTCTCTACTACATGCAGGCGCGACGAAGATTGTAACGATTACTGGCTTTGGCCAGTGATTTTAATCTACTGTGTTGCTGTTGCTATTTTTTTCATAACGGATCCTCCAATCGTACCCTTCCTGGTGAAGCACATATTTTGGTTTAGACGGGCGACAAGCGAAGAAGGAAAGTCCGCGACCAACGAAAATTCCAATGAACGGCAGAACAGTCGAAAAGGTGCGGGGAATTGTAGGTCTGGGCTTCTAGATGTCGTGTTTTACTTTTACCAGGCTGTAGGTCTTCTTATCTTTGGCACAACTGGGCAAACAGTAAAATCGGCTTCTTTAACTCCATTAATCAAGGGAATTTTCAACTTTCGAACCCATTCTTCCTCGATCGGCCTTGGTTGTCCGTTCGCAGGACTTAGCGTCATCACTAAGGAGCTCTTTTACACATTTGTGGTATTTACTTTGCTGTTTTGCGTTTTTATAATTTATGGTGCTCGACAAATCTGGGCGAAAGCGCGTAGTTCCCGTCAACCCTCGTTCGCTCCGCATCTCTCTGCGGCGACTCACATCGCACTACTCGGATACACGTCCCTAGCAACCAGTGCGTTTAAGCTTCTGACAATCGTGATGATGAGGTCTGGAAACGATATTGAAATTCGCTCGTTCTTTGATGGCAACATCATATTTTTCACGTGGTGGCAATGCGTTTTACTTGTTTACGTCATCATTTACGTCATACCATTTGTTGGCCTCCTCTATTGGGGTGCCAGCTGGCTAAGCGAGAAACGAATTACAGCGCGTGAGTTTTTTATGGCATGCGTCCTTCCACTGCCGTTCTTGTTATACTGGGCAATATGGAAGAACAAGCGCGCTTGTCTTTACCGTGAAAGATCTCAACAGACTGAGGAGCGTTTGGCTGTGATGAATGTTCTTTACGGGCCTTTCCGACCGCCAGACGCTAACCAAAAAGGTACGCTTTACTGGGAGAGCGTCTTGATCGCACGAAGACTGATCCTTATCATTATATTCGCGTTTATCAACATGGCAAGCCTTCGGCTTCTTTTGTCCACAATTGTTTGCGTTGTCATTGCAATTCACCACGTTCTGTATCATCCTTACAAGGACAACAACGTGAACATCTTAGAAACCGTGTCATTAGTGGTAATAATCGTTTTTGGTCTATTTAACACTGTGCACGCCACCTTCATCTCAGCAGGGGTGCACCTCAGGGGCCCAATCAAAACATATGTCAATATCCTTAACTGGATCCAGTCGATTATCGTACTGCTGCTGCCGCTGGCATTAATCATCGCTGTCATTTTTGCGGTGCTTTCTCAAATTGTTCGTGCTGGTTTCGCGGCGGGAAGGGTTTCAAAACCATATCTTCTCCGAGGTAGGCTACGAAAGAACACCTCAGCGATCTCGAAACGAAAATCCTCTCGACTCTCCCGTGAAGAGTCACTTTTTGGTAATGGCGAAATGGCTAAAGATAACGAGGTTGTGCGCGAACTAGTCGAGGGAAGTTCGCCCAGCCATGAAGATTGTATTTACCATGAAGAAGACTTGAAGTGCGACGAAGGGAAGCCAGAAGAATAAGATAGACTACCCTACAGATAATTTGTAACTGAACAAAATTGAAGAGTGTTGGAGATCTTCCAACCTTCGAATAGTTTAATGAATTTATCAATGTTTTGAGTAGAGATCTGCCAGACACAGTGAAAAAAACAAAACATAGATCGAATACAGCTTAAGTAAGATGAAACGCCCGGAAAATCCTACGTGGAAGTATTGAATTTGAGTTCCATCTAGACTTGTAATACTCAGGGACCTTTTATTTTTTTTTTGCCTGGAGGGGGAGAAGAGTCGGAAGATTTTGGTTCTGTGACAATAAAATTCACCTGATCCACTTGTAAGGCTCTGTAATATTCTTACGACACTCTTACATTGGCAGTTAAATGGCTGTCAATTTCTATAGTCTCTCCTTTTAAACTCTGTTAGCAACGGATTTTTTCTCACTTTTCCTGGAAAGAATGTGATTTCCTCTTCCTTTCTCCCCTCCACAAAAAAAAAAAAAAATTCCTCCATCCCTTCCAGGCGATAAAAACTGACTGATCCCTAAATTCTTCATGTTGTTTAGATTACTATAGTATTGGTTATCCTGATAGTCTAATAACTGCTGGGAAAATCTATTGAGAAACCCAAACGAACTGAGTTGAGAGGCTTTGCGAGAAGACCTTCCTTGATATCTCTCTTAGCCCACTTTTTTTCCCTTCCTTGGAGACTCAGGGGCAAATAATCGGGAGAGAGGGGAATGGAATGTGAACAATTGGTGCAGCGGTGGATGCGTAACTTTATCAGGCGGGCGAGAGAGTTATTACTCACCTATTTAGCAAAAGGAGAAACTGAAATTGCCGTTTTATTTTCTTCTCACTCGCTTACTTGCTCTTGGGTCTCCAAGGATACTACCTCTGTTGCATTGAATGGATTGTTTAGAACAGACATGACATACTTTTGTTCCCTGTCTTCACCAGATTAACTTCCAAGGGGCTAAGAGCGAGGGTGGGTATTATGTTTAGGTTTGTTTGAGAGAAACATCAATATTTCAAGGCTCTAGTATTTAATAATTACCAGTGGATTTGTTCAATGGTTTTGTCCAGGGAAAGCTCTTCTTCCTCCACAGATGCACCCCAACATCTTTACCCTTGTTAACTTAATTTCTTGCGAGTCTTTTTCATTTATTGCGATATTGAACAAATCAGAATCAAAGCAACTACTTAGGCCAATCAAAACATAGAAGTACCGAAGACGAGCACAAAGAAAAACCTCGACTTACTAACTCACTCAATTATGACGGTGAATGCACTTTTCAGTAGCATGCAAACGATACAGTTAGGGATAAACCGTTGAAAATGCGCTGTACGTTATCGTAAGTCGTAGAGGAGATCTCTCGCGAAACATATAAATTGTTTCCAAGGGATCAAAACAGAATTTTCATGAGATGTGAAGTGAAGTCCGTGAAGACACAAAATAAACTGTTTGATTCGCTTTACCTCATCTATTATTCTGGGGCGTTTTCCTAGGGTATTGGCACACAAAAATTACATGTTAACATTTTTCTGACAAAAAGAGGGGAAAAAAAGGGCCTGCCATTAAATAGCTAGTTTGCGTAAGTTTTTGGCCTCCTAATTGATAAATTATGAAAATTATATGCTCTCCTGTTTACTTCGATGGTGAAGGCACATCTAGGTGTAAACTTGACATCCATTACAATCATGTCCCTAAATGTCTTACAGCTTACATTAAAATCTCTGATGAGTCACTTAATTCGCAAATTGACAATGACACAACTCGAACATGTCTAGAATTTATAGCGAGGGGATAAGGCTTGAGCCTTGAGATAGTCTTATGAGTTTCTTTGAATACTAATCTATAAGATGACACATCTGTCCTGCAAAAGAAAAATGGAAACATAAACAGTTGGACACTGTGACTTAAGGAACACGACTAACTTTATTGGAAATGACGATGTTTACGTCAACTGATTCGAGTGGAATATTCCTCTTGGTAAGTATGAGGGAAACGAAAATTCAGAGAAAAATTCTCCACGATCCTTGACAGGAGTGGAACTTTGGAACTTTCCCCCAAGGACTTGCTAGCTACCCTAAGCCTTTCATAGCTCAGGCTTACGTCGTCTGCAAGAAGGGCAGCAATTAAAGGGTTGCAAGTTAGGAGCACACTGAATAATAATAATAATAATAATGATAATGATATTGATAATAATAATAATATTAATAACAATAATGATGATGATGATGATGATAATGATAATAATAATGATCTAATAATGATGATAAACTCTAAAAAATGTTGTTATGTCCTTACACTGGACTCCTGCCTCTGTTGAGTGGCATTACTGCTTCTTTGCTGGGGCTGTGGAAGAAGAGCCAATCTTGCAGGAGATGTCCCTGATGGTTGTGGTCTGGTTTGAGTTCTTTGCGGCTGCTGCTGTTGTTGCCTTCGTTCCTCTTCTTGTTGCAGCTGTATTGCTAGCTGAAGACTAAGAAATTGATAACTTTGTTGAGTTGCTTTTTGCTATTTTAAAAACATTCATTTGGTAATTTATTAAAAGGGCTGACTAGAGTCCTTGTCAGTACTTTGGGAATGTAAAGGGAACAGATGGAGATAAGCATATACTGATAATAGGGATCAACCCTTGTGAAGAATAAAAACAACCAAAATTAACTTCAATAGAGAAAACCTCACATTTATTCTTATCTTTATTTTTGATTGCTATTTCACTTTGCATCAAATATACTTGTTGTATGTTACTTATAATCAACCCTTAACTGAAAACCACAATGCAAAAATCTTGTGTTGACTTTTGGCTTGATGGTAGGTGAATATGTTGTGGTTCAGGTTTTTTTTTTTCAGGTCATAAATTTCCAAACCAGTTTGAACTTTGTTTTCTTTTTTCTAGTTTTCACTACAAATTCATAATCTAAGAAAAGAGAGAGAAAAATCAAACTAGTTTGAAATACTTTGATCAAGGGAAAATTAAAACCACCATATACAGTATCCAAGAAATTAAAAATTTCAAGGACTTACTCGGACCACTCTTGATTGGACTGAGTAGTTTGATGAGCAGGCCCATCCATGGCATCCACTTGAGTTGGAGACACCCCTTCAGGATGTGTCTGAGGCCTTCGTGCAGCATTTTCTTGTTCCTCCTGAAGACTTAATGCTACTAAATAACTGCAAGGCACAGTAACACATGGAATTAAAGACAAGTTTAATCCTTCAACTAACAGAAATGATTAACAAGTAACTTCTAACTACAATTTCCATACAATATCCAGCAAGAAGGTAATGAGAATCTCAAAACTTTTCAGGTTGAAGTTGTTATCTTGATCCAACACCAAATTCTTTTCACTAATGTACAAGGGAATGGGTTGAAGCTAGAAAAGAGAATTAAGAATCAGATCTTGGAAGCTGAAGGGTTTAAGATTAGGGTTTTACAAATCAAGTGCCTCTAACTGCCAAAGGTTGAATATTTAATTCCTCTACATGAAGTGTATTGGGAGTCCTCCTGGAGTGAATTTTGCTCCATTACAGGTAACCTCTCATGGTTCTTAGGACCCATTCATAACCACTGGTAGAGAGAGGTACTGTGAAATACTATGATTTTGCCTGTGTAAGGTTTGTCTTGTAAAAAACAGTGGCTTTGGTCTTGAGTGTGGTCCAAGAAAGCATAAATGTACAGTTTACCAGCCTACTGGTAAACTGTACATTGTCAAATGTAAACAACTGTAAACAGTCAAACCAGTGTTGTTCATGGGTAGCACCTTAACAAAGGTATGCAGAAAAAGTAAGGAGATTATTTATATTGATGTTTGGTTGTAAGGTGTCCCTTTGGATTCCACTCAGTCCTACTGATGTTAGATTAACCCTTTAAAGCATAACATCATAATGCATATTCTCCATACTGTTCTCTATATTTTTCCTAATGTGCCGACAAGGAGAACTTGTTTAAAAATGGAAGAGCTTCTTCAGTAAGCATATTCCCCATACTGTTCTCTTTACATTTCCTTCCCAATGTGCTGACAAAGAGAATTTGTTCAATAATCAGGGCGTCTTTAGTTGGTGGTCAAATTTTAAGGAGAACATAGATGCTTGTCACTCTTAGGTGTCAGAGGGTTATTTTTAAATAAGTATTGAGCTTAAATTGCTTATGTCCTTACTCTTGGTCTTCCTGTGTAAGCTGCTGAGTGGGAGGCAAAGCTGCTGGTTGTGCTATGCTCCTGTGTTCCATTGGAAAAGATTTAAATTCAGCATCCACAAAGAAACTATCACCCTCAACATTTCTCAATGATTCCCAGATAACACGATCTTCAGTGAGAAAACCTTGATCTGTCACAAGTAAGAAGAGCTCATCCTGGAGATAACAATAACAACATAGTTAGCAACAAGAAGCTATTTTGAAAGGAAATGGTATTGAATTATTTTACATTTTATTAGTTTACAAATTTCAGTACATACTTGGACCACAGATTACCTGTAAACTAACTGATTAAGCTGAGCATAAACTCCATGTTAAATTTATATTGAATCATATCACATTGTATCTTGTCACATCATTTCCAGAATAATAATTTCAGGTGCGTTTCAGAATTAACCTTTCCAACAGCCCAGCATTTGTTCCACTGCCTGTCATCTTCTGGTCATGCTTCAAAGCATTGTAGTTTTCACTTCAAATACCTCTAAGCTAGCCTGTGTTTCTCTTTGTGAATGTACTTATCCCTTTACACCCTAATAGCAGTATGCATATTCTCCATACTGTTCTCTATACATTTATTAAGGTGTTGACAAGGAGAATTTGTTTGACAATCAAGAGCTTCTTTAGTTAGTTATCATTTCCTTTATTCTCACGACCCTTATGTGTGATTCCAGGGTGATAGTGTGAGGAAAAAAATTTGATGCCAGTTACTCCTAGGATTTCAAGGGTTAACATGTAATGAACTTACTCTTTTAATTTGTAAACCTGCCTGCTGTGAACCTGTTTACCTCAATAATCTGCCATCAATGTCACAATGATTGCTATCTGGTTTTACCTTGTGACCCAACAACCAGAATTGCTGCAAGAGTCTCTTACCTTATGCTTGTGAAAGGTACTAAAGTGATTATTTCTGAAGAACACACAGAGTTGATCATCCTGCAGTGTACCATTCAGTTCACACAAACCATGGTAAGTCAACTGGCTGGCTGTATGCTCAAGGAAAGATTCACTTATCAAACCTAAACAAAGAAATTGAGGAAACACAAATTAAAGTATATGAAGAGACTCAATAATTAGTCACTCACTATGTGGATTATGATATCTCATGGCACACTGCTATATCAAGGACAAACATATAGCTTGACTGGGAGTACTGAGAGGTTTGCAAGCTGCCCCCCCCTCCCCCTTCCCACCCCTCAAGGGTATAAAGGAAAGCAATGAAACAAGTAATACATCTTGGAATGTTTAACCTCCCATGAGTGACCAGGACAGAATTTCTCCTTACAAAATCAATACAATATCACCAGATGAGAAATGAGAATAAACTAAGAAAGATATAAATTATAGACAATTGTTACATGTAGTTGATCCAATACCAAATTCTCTGTAGTCACCACATAAGAATTACTAATGAGATCTAGGGACTGAAAGGGTTAACAAGATAGGTGAGAAGTGACTACAATGACAGTAGTCTCAAGGTGAATTCTAGGGAGATACCGAGTGAATATAGCACCAGTTATTCTTCATAGGTTCCCCTTGATCTGCTCAAGTCAAAATTTGACTTACATACCTTCAGAGACCAGCTGACTTTCTGCACCATCCTGTTTACTGGCAATGATTTTCTCCACCAGCTGATTGTAACTGAGTCCACTGACTGCAGAGGCAATCTCAGTATTCTGTGGATCGATAAGCCATCCATGGTACAGTCCAATAGATAGAAGATCAAATACAATACATTCTGGAGTGAACTCAAAGTCTTTAACCCTAAAATTTAAAGTAATATTCATATTTTTTAGACTTAAACGTAAATTTATCTTCAGTGCAAGAATCACTAACATTTACAGGCAGTCATCACAGCCAAAAATAAAGAAATAGAAAAAAATAAGGAAAGAAAAAATATTCAAACTCACAGCTAGAGACAAATAAGCAAGCACAACTGGATAATAATTTTGCAATAAAAGTTACACACAGAGCAAAGTCTGACCTTAAAAAAAAATTTTTTATCAATGTTTTGAAGATCAAATACAGTTGACCCTCTCCTTATTTATCTCAGATCTTGAGAGTGACAGTCTCAAAATATTCCTGATCTGCTTCACTTACCCAGTGAACTTTACATTTACATCTAATCCTGTCTGTAATTTGTTCATGATTGCGATGGCATCATGCATGTTTTGTTCATAGTTTAGCTGGGCTCCTTCAGGTAAGCGCTGTTGAGGATTCAAAGGCACATTAGGATTTTAGGAGACAATGTATAGCTTGAACATTATCTAAAAAATTTGTTTTCCTTACCCTGTAACTCCTATGAGTGAGCAAGACAGAATTTTTCACAACAATATCAACAAATACATGATCAAGCAGACAAGTAATGAGAAAACAGATAACTGTCGAAAAGGGGATTTAATTATTGGCTAATCCAATACCAAATTCTCCACGCGAAAAGTGTGGTGAAAAAAGTGATCTTGGGAGAGAAAGAGTTATTCAAAGAGGTTTTTAGCATTTTAACAGCAGTGTCCCTAGTTGACACTTTTCAAAGGGTTAGTTTAACAAATCACAATCTTAGTTCACTCTTTAGAATCCTATGTCACTCTGAGTTGTGTGTTCAGAATGCAGTAACTGCAACTACTCTTGATATCCTGCCATTTGAGGTCAGTACTGTAAATCTACAAATTTGTGGCTGTGTATAGCTCAGAATGACAATGAAATTTTCTTGTCAACTTCCTCATACTATTGACCATACTTATTTTTGATAATAATTACAAATTCATCTTCAAACCTTGGGTGCTTCTTCTAAGATGCAGTCTCCAATATACTCCATGAGCTGCCCTGATGTCACAAACTCTTGCTGTGGTGGAAGAGTGATTCTTCTCTGCAGAAGAAGCACATTAACAATTGCTAGAAGAGGACAGGGGCCATTTTCATTCTGTGTGATTATGGGCGTGTTAATACCTTTCCATTTTATCCACTTAATATGATATATCGACTCCAACGCCTGTTCCTCTTGAGTTTGTATTTTATCTCCAGTTTGAGCCTCACTCTGGGAACTCTCTGTCAACTCAGAACTCTGGTGTTCGGATGCGTTCGGATGGAGTTCTGAAGTTGAGTCATTCGTTGTTTCAGTGATGTTCGAATGAACCGCACTTAAATCGTTTCCCGTTGACAAATCAGCGCTCTTAGAGTCCTCGGTCTTAGAGTCTTCAGAAATCTCAGGAGTGCTGTTTTCGTGTCCTGATACCTGAAAGTTCTCCTGTGTCGTATCCGAGTCGTGTTCCACCCCAACATGTCTTGGCAGTGTAACGTTCACATGTTTTTCCTCGCCTTGACTGCCCATTTCACCATCTTCAGTTGATATTTCGCCCTGTTCGGTTGATTCTAAACGGTCACCCCCTTCATCTTGAGGCAACGAATTTTTTTCACCTAACCTTGCATCTTCGTCGTTTGTCGCTACGTTATTCACTTGAGGAGCGTCTCCATCGTCGAGCGTTTCTCCCGAGCTCTCGACAATTCCGACAGAACTTTGCGTTTCGGTCTGATCATCATCTGAGTTTTCCGCACCAAGAGTAAAGTCAGGGGATCTGCTTAAAAATTCATCAGGATTAGATGCAGTGTGCTCTGTTACATCGTCCATTTTCCACCCTGATATTTGTCTTCTATTTGTAACTCGATTTGAGCATAAAAGCTCTAAACAATGGAGAGGAATGAAAAATCCACACCTCTTCGAAAGCAGCGTACACTTGTTCGAATTCCGCTCAGTCCACGGACTTCCTTTCAGAAACTCCTGCTAGTTAATTCAACACCTCTGTTACTTGAACCAGAAGTTCACTGTAGATCTTACGGCTCCTACGAAAGACGTCCCTCAAGATCACTTTCTAAAATGTTGATAGTGTCTCCTCAGAGAAAAGACCAGATTAACGAATTGATCCTGTCTCCGATGCTACATGGCTCTTAACCACAGGAGGTTAAATTCAACTAAACATCAACATGAATACATCCTGTTCAGGTTATGCAAGAAAGCATCCGAAATTTAGAGAAAACGGACGAAAAATGAATAATTTACGATGTACTTTCTGCAGAGGTCATTTCCGAAATTACCCCACCGCCATTACAATATATACCATCGTGCGTTGCGCTGAATTGTAATCACTACTTCATATAACGAAGAGTCGAACCTAAAATACAATAGGTTTCCGTGAAATTAGCATATTTTTGTTGAATATTTATAAATGTTAACTGGATTATCAAAGAATTGTAACTTCGAGTGTCACAGTTCTTGTAGAAACGTTCGATTTCTGTTTTCGAACACCCGAAACGACGAATATTGCAATCTGAAACCATTGAATGACCTTCGGTCTGCTGTCATTGGCGGGAAATTAGAAAAAAAAAAGTTCGAGAGTCGTGTCGATTGAAATGTCGTTGACGTGACGACGTATTCTGGTTGACTTTGGCAACGAAAGAATCCTGCTACTAAAAAATTTCTAAATTGAGTCTCATTGCAATCCATCAAGTCATTAAGATCACAGCTGATATCTCTTGGATGGTCTGTAAATGGCTCGCTATCACTGTGCAAAAATTTGGCGAGCTGAGTTTGTTTACTGTTTACTTTTGTTTCTCGCGAAAGAAGCTCGAACCGTACCGTACCACGGCAGTCAGACCTTTCTCGGCTATGAATACTGGAATAATCGCTATTCCATGGGCTATACGGATTGGAATGGTTTCTGGAACAATGGCAACAGCGGGAGAACTATGTATAATCGTCAAAACTCCGAGACGAGCGGACAATCTTGCGGAGGTTGTTCCTGCAACAACCAAGAACGTAAAGCCACTTGTACTGGCCTGAGCGTGTAAGTATCTTGTTTCAAGTTTGATATTACTCTTTCTTGTTTTTTTATCTTTATTGAGTTTAATACCTGCATTGTTTTGTTTGAAGTTGTTTTATTGCCACTTCGACGGATTTTTATCAGCGCTATGTAAAAAACTTTGATCCGATTGAAAAGAGCAACACAAACAAGAGGGGGAAATGTTTTATTTATTAACATGATTTCGACAAAATGCACTTTTTAGATGTTTCAGAATTACTACTTTTGTCTTTGAAGAGAAGGATTATCTGAATTTTAGGTATTAGAAGAGGTGGGTGGTGTTCAATTGATATCTGGGACGAGAAAAATTTTACAACTTATGCCAAAGGATCTCTTGATCTGAATCTGTAAAGATTTGAAACGCTGTGACTAAATGTTCGGTTCTGAGAGGTTTTTTTTTAAGTTCTTAAGAGTATCTGATGTCTAATAAGAATTGTCAAAAAATTCCAAAAACTGTTTTGGTTTTTAGTGGGCGAATTTTCCGTACTTGTGTAATTATCTTCAGTTCGCAAGGTATTACTTGTAGAACTTTTCCAACATATCAAGTTTATGTAATGCACAAGCTCGGAACATTCGTCCTGTTAAACATTGACCTATACTCTAGCATTAGTATACATATTCTCTATACTGTCTACTTAAATTACCTAAGGTGCTGAAAAAGTTAATTTGTTTAATAATCAAAATTTACTTTGGTTGGCGATCATTCTCTTTATTTCCTTGACCTTAATGAGGATTTATAATGGTAATTGAAATGAGTGGAGTGCAATTTGGGCTGAAATCATACGCGTGATTTCAAAATTGAACGAGCGCACAGCGCGAGTTCAATTTGAAATCACAAGTATAATTTCAGACCAAAATTGCACAACACAAAGTTCAATTACCGCTTTATTACATCCATTTTGAAATCGCCCAAATACAGGACTTCAAATATTTTGTTACTACAATACTGAGCCAGTTTCAAATTAAATTCATCCATTTTTTGGGAGGAAAAAAATAAGAGTTTTGGAAACAAAAGTTGTAAAATTTGCCACATAACACTTCATATCTTTCAGCTTCCTGCAATTTGATCGGTTACTTTAAACAAGCCTTGAAGTCTGATTGGTTGTTTTGTTTTTAGTGTAGCCTCCTCATAAAGCAAAAAAAGTGGTGCAATTTGTGAATAAATTGCACCAATTAGAGCCAATCAGATTACAGAGACCACCAGTGATTTCAAAATGGGTGTAATAAAGGGTGACATTGCGCAGATAAATTACATGCTAGTCTTTCCTATTAGGGGTCAGAGGATTAAAAACGATTGTAATAGTTGGATCACTTGGCATTTCTAGACAAACATTGAATGTCTCTCATTAGGTTTTGGGGGGAATGGGGTAAATATTTCTGACATTCAGACATGGTCATACCCAGCATTCAGAAATATTAACCAAATTCCCCCCAAAAACTTCTAGCTTACTGAGTGAGGATGTACAGTGTTCTTTGGCTTGCCTCCCAGTCAGAGTTCACAGAGTTCCTGAGATTTTGTTGTAACAGGCTCCCAGTGAAACTGCAATTTAGTGTTCATGGGCATTGCTGTCACAGTCCTTCAAGGGTAGAAAGTGTTCCTGCTCATGCTTGAATTTTACTAGAGCTTGTTGGAGTGGCTGTAACTCTTATAATAATGATGATTTGGTCTGTGGTGACAGGTCATGGTGACCATAAATCAATGAAAGACTGAAGTTTTTTGGATAATGAACTTTATGTGGGCTACATTAGCTGATACTGGTATTTAGCTGATAGTTGCATGTAGTCCATAGGAGATTAACACTTGACCAATGTTTGAAAAGTATTTGATCGATCTATAGCAGGCAACTAGATATTTATCAAATAGCAGATTGATAACAGTTGTATCACTTTAGGTATCAACTGTCAGGATATGAGGGCATCAAGATACTTAATGTCTATCTGACAAGAGGCAATTTTCTACAATGATCAACCTACTATCAATTTACTTTTAGCCCCCAAATTGAAAAACTATCAGTGGACATATCAACTGACTGATAAATTGCCTGACTGTGGCTGTCTATCTGTTTGTGCCCTTGTTAAACCCTGGTGTCATCATTGACCTGGGTCCGGGACTGGGTTCTGTTTTCACAACCAGGAATACAATTTGCTTTTGTTGATGGAGCAGAGATCTGTGTGCCTTACAAGAACTTTAGGTGGAAAGACTTTTGTCAGAGGGGCTTGCTCATCTGATAATATTAAGCCCCTTCATAAATTAAACTAATGCCTCTGATGTGAGTGAGAGCTTAGAAGGGCTCTTTTCTCTTTTCTCAAAAATCAGTGGGTATCTAACTCCAGAAACCTTTGAAAAATTCATAACAAAAAAAGTGATACAATCAAGTTTCTCACTGAGAATTTTAAGTTAGATGCATCTGGTAATCAGCCTCTCTAGTGGTGACATCTGGCCCTTCATGAGAATCAGTAACATATCCATCAGTTACTTTGTTGTTCAAACTGAACTGTCACATTTTATATTATACTAAGCATAGCAAAGGCTTGATTTCTTAGCTTTGAAGCCATTGGCTAGCACCTAAGTGAGCTCTCTGTCTGCATAAGGCATATTTTCTGCAGTGATATATTTTCTGCTGTGCATTAATTTATATCTGAGAAATGTATATCCCTGGTTTTTGAAAAGGTTATGGAGTGCTTATTTTGGTAGTAAGCCACTGGTTGTTAACAACTTACAATATTATCATAGTGGATTGTACAAATGTTTGATTTTAAAATCACATATGTGATATCAGAGCAAATTACACCACAATCAGTCCAATCATCCTAAGCTTATTAATTATCTCAAGGTACATGTAATATCTATAAATTAATATTCACCAAATGATTGATAGGTTCTAATACCTGTTGATTGATAGGTTCTGAGTTTTGTTTTAAAGTGATTACATCATGTTTTGTACCTTTTTGTCATCAGGAACATTAGGAATAGGGCAGTACAAAAGTTAAATCCAGAGGATCTTAATGTTGGAATTACAGAAATGTAAGTGTGCTACTATATAGAGTTAGATGAGACTCTTTAGTCAGGAAAAACTTTGTACATGGTAAGAGGTGGCCAAAATATGAGAGAACTCTGATTATTGTAAATTGACTCAAATTTTTGTGGGCAGAGAAATGTTTAAATATTATGTTTCCTTTGTATATTGAATTATGGGCATCAATTTTTAAAGGGACAATATCTTAAAATAACTGAGTCATAAAAATTGATGTGGCTGATGTGAAGATCGAGAAAGAATTCACCACATGCAGAGTGATGGTCAAATAAAGTAGACATTGTGAAGGGTAAATTTAACCTGTCTTCATTAAAAAGTGTGTTTCTACTCTTTGCAGTAAAATTTTCAATTCTGGCTTAGAGTATATAAATGCCACAGCTTTCCACAATCTGACAGGCCTAAAAGAACTGTAAGTATACCACAATTTTCATGGATTCTTTTCAATTTAGTTGCACCCATTTTAAAAAAAAAGTTGGTACTTTAAGTTTCTGGGAAGGTTATCTTATCAGCATATCATTAGGTAGTTATTAAACTGACTTTATTGATAAAACACACTAAAACCACATTTCTCAGAATCACTGGTATTAGCAGAGTTGAACATTAGAATTGTTCAAGGACTAATCTGTGACAAGAGAGTGGTATGTTATCTTCAGTTGATAATTTGAGCAATCTTAACAACACTGTTCATTTATTCAATACACAAATAATCACATAGAGGATCAATATCAGTATCTAGGCAACTGCCCAACTACCCCTCCCCTAACTCAACATTAACCTTAACTTGTTGTCAATTGACTGTTGTTGAGTTAGAGGAGGGGTAGGTGGGCAATTGCCCAGATATTGATATTGAACCCAGATAGACAACAGCAGGAATGAACAAATGCACCTATTTCTCAACCCCACCTCCCCACACCATCCCCTCCCCAGAGAAAAAATGATAAATATTAACAATAAAACAAACTAATCAACAAAATTTACTCACTGACTGACTTGGACCTTAAAAGTAGAAAAAAAAAAAAATGTGAGAAACCCCCAGATCACCAATGTGTGCAACTTAGAATTCTTTCAGCTAGGACACTCATCAGCACATGTACATGACTATTCAATTGCTCCTCAGGAATTTGGCAAAGAATGGACTAACTGACTTTCCAGATATATCCAAGAATTCTCTCCTGGAAGATCTGTAAGTCACTTTTAGAGTGTCATCATCTGCATTAAGCACTTGACAACAGCCTCCCTCTGATGATTGAAAAAAGTGCCAGTCAAATTTTGTTATAATCGTGATTGTCAGTTTCTGTTCTCATGGTAAAAAATGATAGCTTAGAATACTTGTGGATATGTTTTTTTCATTCTTGAATTGATCTATACTTGTGGTTAAAACTGTCATTCAATTTTTAGAGTGTGAGGTGGAAAGTTGTATTCTTCCAGTATTTATGGAGATTAATGGCTTAGAGAACTTTTGACATTTTATGTGGTTCTATTCCTTTCAAGTGCTTCTCTTTTTCTTTTGTATGTATAGCAGAACATTTTCTTATCTTTAACCAAAACAAGAGAATTTAATATTTCCTTTACTATCCTTTTGTTTCTACTCCTTTAATAGTGATTTGTATGCAAATAAAATTCAGTTGTTCAGCCACAACTTCACCAGTCTGCCAAAGGCCTTGAAAAGAATGTAAGTACTGGTAGGGTTAACAAGGATTCATGATTAGTGACAGAAGTTGGAAGAACAAAGATACCAGGACGATAAATAAGGCATAGTCATGGTTACATGTGACATACAGAGGTTGCAACCTGAAGGTAGAAGCTACCTGCTCACTTTTCTTTTGATAACTTTATTTCGGACTCATCTTAGATGCGGCTGCAATTTTTCTTGAATAAAACTGCGAGTTATAATCAAGTTCACTTTCATTGGTTTGTCTTTTGTTTTTCTTTTCAGTATTATGATTGACAATGAGATAGACTGGATTCCCAATGAATGGTTCAATTTGCCAAACCTTGAATATCTGTAAGTATATCTATTAGTAAAATAATTGCTCTCATTTCACAAGATGTACCAATGTCTAAGAACCATCTTCCAATAAATTTTTAAAGGCTGGGTGATGTTTGTTTGTCATCCTGCAATTTACAATTCATTGCATTTGGTTATCTACCAGCTATACTTAGCTATGATGATTCTCATAGTTGATAATGCTTCATGTTTAATGGCATTTTATGGCATTTAATATGTATGAAAATAAATCTAACCACATGTCATATCATATTTGCAAGCAATTGATGATTAATTTGTATTTATATTGCACTCATGACAGTGCGTTAAGCAAGAACAAGTTGAAAAAGTTTCCTTCAGCTTCCTTCATAAACTGCCGCTCACTGCTGTACCTGTGAGTATTATTTGTTTGGAATACTAAAAGTTTAAATGTCTTCTTCTCATTGATTTTTTTAAGTTACCTTAATGTTCATGTGTATTTTTGTTGGCAGGTCAGTTGATCAGAATGAAATTGGCAGTCTTACGGTTCCAAACATGCAACCCTTCTTTGGAGATGACTCTGCACTTGTTCATCTGTAGGTTTCTTAAAGCCAGTCTTTTATAAGGCTTACCATGCAATTTAAGTTCTCTTAAAACAGCAATAAATTCTGGATCTCAGGGCTAAAGGGTTAAATTTGTGAATATTTTAAGTTAATTAATATGTAACTTTTGAATTATTTTAATGCAAGTAAAGCCTTCTGGGAGTGTTCTTCAAAAGTTCTATACAGCTCTCCACTATCTTGAGGATAGTATTATTTGTTTGTAAAACTGATTTTGCAAAAAGAGATTCAACTTTTAGATAACATAATCCCCAATTGAAATAATTAATCAGTGTAAGTACATCTTAGCAATTTCTCAGTTTACTTATTTGTTCCCGTCTCTTCTCAAACGCACATAGTTTGTATTTATAATCCAAAATTTAATGAAAAAATGAAAAAGTTCACAAAAATTTTCCTACAGCCATCCCTCAAAAAAAAATGCACCACATAGTGTAAATGAAATTGAAAAACAATTGATTCACCCTCCTGTAGAGAGGAAACAGTTAAATAAGCTTTTGTCAGGAAAGTTTAGTGAACTGTATGGGAGGATGCAAGATTTAGTCTTTTAGATGGTGTGAGAGAGAATTGGCTTTCATAATGTTATTGAATTACTCTGCCATCTGTCTTCTTTACCACCTATATCCTTCTCTAGTCTCACACCTCCCCCCCATCTCTAATGTAACATGCAACTATGGATTACTTTTATTGATCATTGATCTAATTAGACAAAGGAATCAACTACTATTAATGCTTGACGGAATTAAAATAGAAACCTGAAAATATAGTAAGTCACTGTCTGATGTTTCTATAAATTTGTTTTAGGAATGTGAGCAACAATCAAATCTCTTCTGTAACAACTGGGACATTCTCTAACTTGATCCACCTTAAAGTTCTGTAAGTATATAGTTGTTTGCTTTGATTGCCCTCTCTTCTAAAGCTCTAAAATATAAGTGGTATGCAGCATTCTATGCCAGGGACAGAGACAATTTTAACAAATGCTCACCTATGATGACGTGAAGATTGAGGCCTTCCTGCAAAAAGTTTCACTAAATAGAACATGAGGAAGATACACAGGACTTAAACCACAAAATACCATAGATAGAGAGATACTTTGAAATTGTCACCAAGTATCTTTGAATAGGTGAAAGGGAAGAAAACAACTGAAGTATTTCAAAAGTCTTTTAAAGGTGTCCAATCAGTGGAAACCAGAGTATTGCATTCAGTCTTATCTACATTGGCACCTGTGTAGTATGCAAAGCAATGAACTGTAATCCACAGTTTTATATTTTGAAACTGAAGTGAATTAGAATACTTGGTAATCAAAATTTTTTAAAGAAATGTTCAAAAGCTTGAGAATTTGAGCTCTTGGGTAGATTCACTGAAAACTGTATGATTCATAGTTGTAGTCTTCAGTCTCTCATGCGTGCACTGCCTTTCCTTGTTTTGGAAATAAATGATATTATGTTGCAATTTCTTTCTTTTAGTGAGTTACATATGAATCACCTGGAAATCATTGCCGCTAAGGTCTTCTATGAAATACCAGAGTTGCTGCATCTGTGAGTGTTCATTCTCTGGGACAGAAAATTTTGAAAGGAGGCTGAGACTACAAGCTTTCTTTTTCGTCTGGAAGACTCCCTTTTTTTAAAAAATTATTTTTAATAGCCTTCTGATTTTTCTCAATACTCCACTCCTTTGGCAAAGAACAATTATTTTTGCAACTTCACAGTTGTTTTTAGCAAGCCCATTTGTTGGTTTTCTTGTGCATCTATGACTTTTTTGCATTTAGCCGTGAAAACCTTTTTTTTTCTCTTGAGCACAATAATTCACTAGAGCACACTCTTATGTGAGGTTTGTATCAGAACCTAAGGTAAAAATATGGGAAATAAATCTTTGGGACCTACATTTTTAATCACCGTGGAGATCCTTACTGTGGATAGACCAGGTTTGGTTCTATTTCAACCAGTATGGACATCTCTGGTATATCCCTGAAATATTTGTGAGATCTGTTTGCAAGTTGCAAATTAGCTCGTGATAGGAAAACCCTTAAAAGAGAAATAATGCTGTCTATGGTTTCTGTTGCATGTAATTCTTTGTAGTGATCTCAGGGGGAACAGACTGAAAACTATCACAGCTGAAGGCTACAGCAGTCCATTTGAGAGTCTTCCAAAACTGAAAGTGTTGTAAGTAAACTTAAACTGAAATTAAGATACAAAAGAAACAGTTACAGAAATGAAGCAGAAACTGATCACAAGTCGTAAATAGTTTGACTTAAATAGATCTGCTACCTGGATGACATATGTAGGACAGGAAAAATTGCACTCTGTCAAGGTTTGATAGAATCTACTGAGCAAGATAATTAAACAAGTGTTCTACTTCTGAAAAGAACTGACACATTGGTTTCATGACATCATTTTCAGAGAAAAAAGGCTTACTTTGTGGATGGTATTGTTTGAACGTGTCTGAAAATTACACATTTGCTAATTTCGTACATTTAGTCTGTCAGCACTTCGAGAATAAGTCTAAATTTTCTTGTTTGCTAAACGCTCTAAGCACCACGAAGGAAACTCTTTCAATGTTCTCCAAGATATCATTAAAAACAACTTCCAATTCACAACTGGTTTCTGTATATGTGTATCATTTTATTTCAGAATTCTGATGCAGCAGGAAAGTTCTTACCAAACTGAGCATGTTATGTTCAATGCCTTCAAGGACCTCCCCGCTCTGGAAGATTTGTGAGGGAAAAATAAAAACTTAAATACCACTTCACACTTGCAATAAGATTACAAATTGTACATTTAGATGGTAGATACTGAAACTGTTCACTGCATAGCACCTGCTAGACAAACTTTAGAGTGTTTTGCACAATAATGAAGAACAAAATGTGTATAAATTTTTTAACCAGAAAATACAACGACTATGTACAAAGAAAAAGCTATTTTTTCAAAGTAGTATAAATGAACCTGATTCGATATTTTTCTATTTGTGTCACCTTTTTATTTTGAAATTACACTAAGTGAGCGAAAAAAAAATGGAAAACCAATATACCCTCTTCCTGTGAAAAAATCACATCCCACTGAGTGGAACTAAGGAAGTAACATTTTGACCAATATCCTCTCATTATTTGAATATTTCAGATGGTTGAACGACAACCTCTTGAGCAACTTTCCCCATCCAGCTTTGTCGCAGACGTCACAACCATTACCATCCCTTATTTATTTGTAAGTATGTTTTTTCAATTCCCATCTATGTTTATTTTCTGTATTTACCAGAGCTTAAATAGGGCTTTTACATGAAAACGTTTTTCCATGTATGGCTTTGTGCATCTTCATGTGGCCCATAGAGACTGTTGTCCTGTGAATTGCAGTCAAAAAACCTTTGGGTATAGCTGACCTGAGATAGCTTGATTTATGTGCAGGATATAACCGTAAATTGCACAGTCATGGCTTATAGGGAGAACTCCATTGTGGAGGAGATTCCTTTAATATTGTCGGTTAGGAGTTTTCCTCATCCTTATGGATATCTACAGCCATCCTTACTTTAAAATCAAGTCCATATCTGATCTAGCTTCGTTTTTTTAAATTTCATTTCAACACAATGACCCTATCTGAACTTGAGCTGTAACTTTGGCCAGAATTTTGTGTTTATTCAAACATGTCCAAGGTTGTCTTTGTCCACTCCTCCATTCCTGTGTGAATTTATGATCTTGGTGTACTTTGTTTCTATAACAATGTCAACTTTCAAGTCCACATCATGTTCATGCCCATGTCCTTAACAATCTCCATTCTTGTTCCAAACAGATATTTATGGCCACATTCAAATTACTTTTTAAGTTTTGAGCTGACATTGGTATTTTATTCGTTATAAGGCATCTGGAAAATAACAACATCAACTCATTGTCAAGTTTTGCCAGTACAGATTTTTCACCTTTTCTTCAAGACTTCCATGCGTACGTATTGTAGTTAAAAATATAACATGGCTTATGTACAAATAGATGACATACATCTCTCCAGTGATAAAACAGATTGCGTCAAAATGTGATAAGAAAAGAAAATTAGCACACAAAACATAGCCTTGTCTGTCACCGATGTTCTTACCACATTTTGACGTCTTCTGTGATCGATTACAATACAAATCCTCGGCAACATAAAAACGATTTGTTTTATCTGATGAAAAATTATAACGCTGCTCATGGTGACGTCATTTATTCATCTGCCTCCAATAGCTCATAAGTTAGTAAGAGCCAATTAAAATGCGTTCACAAAGTAGCTTATCATAAATCATTTCTTCTCCCATAAGGATGCATAGCCTCATTGCTCTGCGGTTTTACTTGATGGCCGAACAAATTAAACAAATAAATAGGCCCAGAATATTTTGGGTATAATTAAGTGTTCCTTTTTTCATGAAATAATATTGTTAGTAGCGGGTGTTTATTCTTATGTTAAAACTTACAATTTGTTAAAAAATATCCCTCGGTGTGTTCTATATTCATGATCATTTGCTGAAATTGTTAAATGGCAAGGGCTAACAAGCTTTTACCCCACTCTTGATAAAGACATATCACCTCATATGTTGACACTTTTCTTGTAGGAGTCAGAAGAGTGTCCACAAGGCATTTGAAAGACTTTCGACTCTGCAGAGATTGTAAGATTCCCAAGTGTATATTTTGATGAAGCTTTATTGATAATAATATGATATAATCTAGGTAGAATTCAATTTTTACACAACGCTTCATATATGCTTGAAGCCCTGTAAAACATGCATTTTGTTCTCTCCCCAGAGCTGGGAAGTTTGATAGCTTAAACATACACATTTTCCGACAGTAAAGATTATTATGTTCTTTTGTTCACAACCTGTTGGCCGAGCCATTTTAACTTTTAACAAAAATTTTGATGAATAAATAGAGGCGATTGCTTGTGAATTGAAAATCCACTTCTATTTTGAAGGCCTTTAACACTATTTTTCAGAGGGCGTGATGAGGTTCTCGAATGAGGCAGTTTGGGTGTGTTACTGTACATTTTGCATCTGAAATCTTAATTTGAAATTCAATTAAACTTTTAACTCTTTTTGAAATTTTAGATATGTTCACGAGAATGAAATATCCAGCATTGGAGAGGAAGATCTTTGGTACCTCAGTAATGTTCAGCAGCTGTAAGTAGATGGGAATTGTTGTTGGGAATTGTATAAATTTGCCGTACAGTTTGATATTCTGTAGAAAAACCTTTAGTTTCTTTGTACAGAGACGAAATCTACTTTGGTGAATTTTTTATGTCTGTTTACAGCTACCTGTCAAGAAATCGGCTTTCTAATTCTACAGTATATGCTGAAGCATTCAGGAATCTAACCAGTTTAACAAGACTGTAAGAAACCATTCTGTTGTTGTAAATCATGGTTTTTTGTGGGTGTTTTGCAACTTTTACTCCTGATTCAGGAAGGTGATAGTAGTTACAACCAAAGAAATTATTTGTATGAAACTGAAAATGGGACAAATTTGCAGTCAAGGTTGCCTTTGAAATCAATTTCAGCATTTAGGATGAATAACTTACGACGTGATGAAGCAAAGACGTGTTCATTCCTAACTTCCAAGAAATTCTCTTTAGATTCTGATATGAATGTTCCCAGATTAGGAACTTTTCTGGAATAAAAAAAATGTTAACTGATGATTAAAACATTTGAGTTTTGAAGTCGAAAGCTGTTTTGAGGACGTAAAAATATGGCAAAATGGAATTCATTTCTTTGATTGGTTAAAAGATTATAATCATTGTGGTGGAAAACGGAAATGGCCATCTCAAAGCTCATATTTCCTCTGTCATCATTCCAGGGATTTAGACAGCAACAATTTCCATTATGTTCCAACTGCTGTTCAAGGGAAGAGTCATCTTCCAGTCATCAATGAATTGTACGTAGCCTGATTGATTGAATGAGTAATTTTCAATTTAGTTTCGAAAGCATCTCGCAAGTGCATTGGTTTTGTCTTTCCACATATATATGTTGGTCTAGAAAAGCCGTGTGATTCTGCAAGCCAAATAGATCTGTAACTAGAAGCAATCAATCACTTTTTTATTAAATGTGCATAGTAGCTCTCAAGGGCCCTTTGCGAAGTTACCTCAAACGCTCTAATTGGCTGCTGTGATGACTTTTGCTTTGGAAACACCCCACCGCAAAATGCTGGAAGGCATTTGTGACTTTAACCTGTATCAATCAAGATTTATTTTTCATTATTTTTTCCTTTAAGTTTCAATCATAACGGGCCCTTGGTAAAAAGAGTCAGTGTTTAAAAGAAACAGCGCGCACAAAAGCGAAAATAATAGCTGGTAAAAACATAATAAGAAAGGAATAAAAAAAAGCAAATACAAATGAAAAAAGACATCAACAATTTAAAAAAAAAATGTATTCTCTTCTGCAGTTGTCCACCTGCGAAGATCATTTCTTTGTTTATGTCATACAGTGCGTCATTCTTTTCTCCCACATGACAAGTGTGACATACAGTCACACTATTATGTTTCAAGAAACCCATTCATGGTATTCTTGCATATTGGTTTTTAAAACTTACATAGCTCAAGCTTTTTAGTCCAGGTGATAAACTACTTATTCATCTATTTTTACTCTGTTAGAAGTTTGTACTCCAACTCTCTGACGTACATCCTGAGAGGAACTTTCACAGATCTTGATACATTTGCGTTCCCTGTAAGTCTAACGTATTTATTAATCCCTGATACACTCCTTAAATATATTGTTAAAGGAATAGGGACCATTCCTTTTGTTGCAGTAACTTTATATACTCACAAGAGATTTATCTCATTTATTTCCCGTGCTACATGTACATGAATAATAATAATAATAATAATAATAATAATAGTAATATTAACAGTTGAGATATAATAACAGTGTAACAGGACAAAATCATGTTCATCCTCAGTAGTTATGGTCCTTAAGCTCAAACTGGGTGAGCGGCAGGTAACATTTAATCAATCGAATGAAATCTCATAAAAAACAAGTCAAATTTGATAAAAATCGCTCCCCAATTTTCCTCATGTGACCGAAAGTAATCCACCTTTGTTTCTTCAGATGTGCTGTATGCCTTATTTGAGTTAACTGGAAAGACTGTCAATGAATCTTTTAAGTTGTTCGACTCGCCTGTGTAAAACGCTTCACTGATTTACTCAGGTAGTTATTTCACAAATGAACCACAAGAAGCACCCCCAAAATGCGTTGATCTTTATCAGACCTGATCAGAATGTGATTTTTAATCTGAACCAAAGATAAGAAAACCAAATCAACCAAGTCGGCAGCAACGAAAAAGAATCGAACCTTCCTTCCTCCTGAAAGAACAGAATAAGTTAGAAGAAAAAAAATCAAATGAAAATCACTTATCAGAGCCAAACGAAACGTGTACCCCAGTAAAGTGTAAACGGTTTACGTTATTTGGTCTCTCCGGCAGTTATCTTTCTAGCAATGATATTGTTGCTGTGGAGAATGGTGCCTTTCCTTCTGGTATAACAACGATGTAAGTATGTATTGTACGTGAGTATGAACCGATTTTTTAATTAATGAAATTTGACTTGGTGACGTCTGTACGTTTTGCGAATCTAAATGGTAGCCATTTCAGAAACGTGTCTCATTTTGCACAAAGAAGCCGTTAAAGGATCGTAAAGTCGATAAGCCAGCCACATTTTTTTTTTATTTTCGATACTCTTATTGACAATGGCTGATGCTTTTGAGCAACCAGGGCGTAAAGAAAGTACATACTTATTGACAATTGATCTCAAACAATAAGGGCTCGATGGTTGCTTAACGTTTCACTTACTAGATAGTGGCGCATGTGCTTTTTACCCTTGGGTAGTGCACATCATGTGCCTGGAACTATCACGTTTCTCATAACCTCGTCACGAAAGCTTCAGCAGGCAGATACAATTCCTGGAAAAAATTTGATGAAGATGTTATTCTTTCAGTGTACTTTCTTTGCTTATTATCGCCACTGTTCATATTTCATGGCGCCCTCATTGTTTGGCTCTCATATTTTTATTCCCACAGTAACATGAGGTACAACAAATTCAACTTCAAACACGAGAACCAGTTTTCCAATCTATCACTTACTTCTCTGTAAGTAAACACAGTTTCAAGTCCTATACAATGTAGTTAGATTCGTTTGTTCTTTCTTGTGTTCGTTCCATAAATACTTCTTCACTTAATTATTGTTAATCAATAGTCATTATCAAGAGCTCCCACGTAATTATTTAACTATTGTTTATTTTTATTAATTCTGATAATTGTTTTTGTATTCAAAAGGACTCTGTCGAATAACCTCATCACCTTCATACCAAATACTGCTTTCCATGGACTGACAGCGTTAAGAACTTTGTAAGCTTGACATCAAATTGATTGCGCTTGGATTCTCTTTCGTGCACAAGTTTTTCTTTTCACTGATTCACAGTGCAACTTCAAGACAGCTAATCTTCTGTATATGTTCTGTAGGGACTTGCAAAACAACCAGATTGGCAGGATTCTGGAAGTCATGTTAAAGGATTTAACTGCATTGACTAGCCTGTAAGTAAATTGAATTAAAACGGAGTGTATGATTGTCTTGATAGCGGTTCCGATTGTTGTTATCTACTCGAGTGGTAATTACTACTATTATTGCCATTGCTATTTCGATCCGCAAACTGTGGGTCGTTAGCAACAGTAATGTCGTACTTATCAAACCTTCAATTGATATTCTATGGTTGATGGAACTTTTGCCCTCTTATAAGTCCGGCCTTACCAGTTCGCCCGCGTTACGAAGAGTTCGATCATGGACTATAACAAGTACACAATCGCGTACTCTTTTTTCAAGAGTTTATCGTTTCTAAAGCAATCACGACAAATCACATGGACGAAGAGCAAACGCCTGAAACGTCAACTATAGAAATTCTTGTTCGTGGGCAAATTACATTATCAACTCATTGAAAAAGAAAAATTTATTAACAGTTTGTAGTTATTTGATTATCTTTGCAGATTGACCCCTCGCTCCATTTCTTAGAGACAGTTGTTAGGGTCTTTGGTTCTTTTGAATAAATTGTTGCTTTTTGTACTTTCAGAGATCTGTCACACAATGATATTGCCTTTATTGAGGACGGAACTCTAACCGTGATGCCGTCATTCAACTTTTTGTAAGCAGCGCACTCTTTTTTTTTTCTGCTCTAATATTAATCGGTGATTGGCTGATTTACTCGATATACACTATGTTATCCAAGATTTAGTAACGACACATGGTTATTGCCAATCGTGATATTTTCGTACCGCATCTGACACAAAATGTTACCGAAATGAACCAAAAATGTGCATCATCTCAAGTTGAATACCTAGTTACTTCGAAAGTCAAATAATTGAATTAAAACAAAGAAACAACTGACCTCAGCAAAAGAGCACGCTAGAGACAGAGGAATCACTTACAAACAGTCCAACAACAGTCATTGGATTACTTTCAGTACATTGTTTATCCGTGAAAGCCCTATATAAAGTGCTTAACTTGCTCTTTGGTTTTCAGAGACCTTCAAAGTAATCAGTTAACCACACTTCCTGTTGGTGGAGATTTTCACGGTAAAGAGATGAACAGAATGTAAGTCACAGAAAGTGTACTGCTTGTGAGGAGTATCTAGTATTATTTTCCCGACTTATTTCGAACATCTGTTTAATGTTCTTCAATGGAACTCTCAAGATCATTTTTCTCTTGTCTGGGGTATACCCATTCTCTGTTTTTCTTGTGTTCTCTACATTTTTTGCCTTGAAAAGATTACAACAAGAGAAGGCAACGATTATTAAATGTGTGACTGATCGTCAGGATGAGAGAAGTCCTGAAAAGGTATATTATTGGTGACAGCGTTCGATTTTTTTTGTTTCCTGTGCGGAGTCAATCATTGGAGACAGGTGACTCTGGACAGCTGTCAATGCCACCGTCATCAATTCATTTCGAGACTTCTTCCACCTGAACGGCGAAAATTCTCAATCAGTTGTTAATTCTGAGCTCAAATCATCAACTGCATGGCAACAAAAACTTAATCTATCTCTTTTTAGAGACATCAGAAACAATAGAATCACTTCTATTAGAAATGGTACCTTTGTTGGGACCACATGTTCTGGAGGGTGTAGTGAGACCTCACGGAATACGGTTTGGTAAGTAATGTTCGAGAACAATTCAGTGAGGATGATGGGGAGAAATATGGAGGGAGTTTCATTTATGAATTTTCCCTTCAAATTCATCTGAGGACTTCCTGGGTTGCACTACTTATCAAGTAGGTCTCCAACCTCGAGCCTTACAGTGAATCACCATTCAGGGCCTTTATGTGACCAAGAAGAATGTGCCGCATTTGTAATAACGTCTGAAAATGGTGAATCATTCTTTGCTTGTTAGATATGGGACATAAACCATTAGCTCATTGTACGGTATTTAAACAACTGTAGTCATTTGGGAATGTTAAAAGAACTCACACAGTTCGGTTGTGTTTTGTGGGAAATTCCAGATTGACATATCGTCGCCGAATTTCAACCTGCTTTCAAAAATTGTGCTAAAAAACCAAACGCATAGCAAATGGTTGGTCACCTTTTTGTTCTCTCGTATGGTGCTTCATTATTTTTTGGACAGATATTTTTGTTTTTCGCCATGGCCATATAATGCACCAAGTTTAGTTTTATGTTGCCTTTTTCTTATAGGAATTTTGAAGGTAACAGAATTTCTTCCATCGAATCTGGAGCTTTCCAAAATGTGCAAGGACCTGGTTGCACGTTGTACGTACTAATGTCTTATCTTAAATTGATTATCAAAGTAGAAGCGTTGTGATCATTTCAAACAGTTTCACTCTGCTATTTAGGCGATATTGTTCACAATTGACACAACCTCTCTTTTGAAGAGAGTTTTGATAGTACGTCAAGTTTGACCCAACTGAAAACTCTTCGGTTCCAATTTTACAGAGTACATCAGATAAATTGATTGATTGAAGGAGTGACGAGAAAGTTATCAATACGGAATGTTCTGCCAGTGTCATTCCTTTTGAAGTTAACCTCAAAGTATGTGAAAAAGCAGTGCTGAAAAACCTTTTTTCTTCCTTTCAGGCGTTTCACAGGGAATGTGTTGAAAATAATTGGTTCCCGTGCTTTTGATAATGTGGCGATGTGCTACATGTAAGTCCATCTACTAAGATATTCTGACATGTTTACTTACAAATTTAGTTCGACCATAGATGCATACGTGATAATGCTTTTTCAATCGAGCCTAAAGGGCACGTAGTGTGTATATGGGGGGTCTAAATCAAGGGATACTAAAGTAACTCGTTGGTTCTTTAATGAAAAAATTGTTAAAATCTCTTTGGGATTAAACATGCTTTCGACGTGTTCTTTAACACCGGATACTACTTTTTCTGCTATTTGATATTTCCTTTTAAGAAAAGATTCCCATCTATAGCTTTTACTGTCGTTTTGAGATGCAATGGGGGTAAAATTGAAAAAAAGCAAAAAGCCCTTTATGTCTGTTATCAAACTGACCTGCAATAGGTATCGGACCGACAATGGATGTGCTAACTTCAAGATGATGCATTTTCCGCGTACGTGCACCGCAAGGGCCCCTTTTTTATACTGAGCCGCTATTAGGACTTCCGTTCAGGCTTTCGAAAGGCCAGTCACTCTCACAGTCGTATTTGGGGCTATTTTCATCGGGAGGATCGCACCATGGGATCAGCTGCTACTCTGAATTCAAAATGTTCACTTCATATTTATCTGACTAAAATATCCTAAAGACTACATAAGAAGTTAATTTCGCGTTTATTTATATTCATTATTTAAATGTATTAATACATTTAGCGAGCTGTATGGCGCCGAGTTCACGACAATATCCAGCGAGGCGTTTTATAAAGTGACAATAACATGGGATTTGTAAGTAGAATGTTGTTCTCACATTGTCTAGACAGAGTAGGGCAGGCGTCATATTTCATGGTACAAGCGACAGATATCGCTTAAGATGCACAAAACATTTTACAAACCAACGGTGAATATTTGCTCCTGTTACCAAGTGTTGTACTCTTTTTATGGGTGGGAACAGGGCACGGTTTGCTTGAGTCCTTTTTACAATTAGAGATGTTGTCTCCTGATAGACCTAATCTTGTGTTTCTCCTCTCCAGAGAGATGTATGACAGTAAGATCACTGCTTTTAAGGAAAACCCCTTTGAATCTCTCACAGTGACCAATGGAGCACTGTAAGTGCATACAAACTACTCTCACTAGTATGATTTTGCCATTGCTATTTCGAAGCCTATTCCGGCCGGTACAAGAACATAAATATTCAGACCACTAACCACTGTTACTACTAGCTACACCTGTTTTCCATGAAACAGACGATCAGCGAATATTTAAAATTGGGAAATTGAACTCCATATCCTTACTTTCCATTATCATCATCATTATCACTAATCTTATATGCAGCTGGGCTAGTCGGCTTTGAAGCGTGTCATTTTGAATGCAACGTAGCTTCTCCCCCCCAAAAAAAAACAATGATAATAATAGTCATAATAATAAAAACATTGGTAATGATAATAATAATAATAATAATAATAATAATAATAATAATGGTAACGATAGTAATAATAATACTAATTAGAGACTCCAGGGTTTTGCCTTTGGGGAGAAGGAGATTATCTTCTAATGAATTGGATGGATATTTGGATGCGTGACACTGGTTCGTATTGCTAGGTTGTGAGAATTTCCAGCTTTTGAGCTTAAAAAATCATACTTTAAAGAATTATAGAGTTATAAAGAATGGGTGGTCACACTAGGGCCTTTAAACTCCACACATTTTTTTACCTGTTTTGCTTTGTTTTGTTTTGTTTCGTTTTTTTCCACTTCCTATCCCAGAGAACTTCAGGACAATCTGATCGAAGCTGTAACAGGAAAGTTGTTTGGCGATTCCGGATCATCTGTAGACACGCTGTAAATATAATTTTGTCAAACTTTTAATCGCTGAATATGATATGGTGTTAAGCAAATGAGAGATGTAATGTATTTGTTTATCTCTAATTTTATACCCCTCTTTGTGTATATTATTTAGCAAAGAAGCAAAAGAAAAAAAATGTATTGCAACAAACAAAAAAGAAACAAGAAACTGTCACGAGTCAGGCTTATTTTTAAGTGTAGGCCTTAATGAAAGGGAAAATTTACCCCAGATGTTTAGCTTTTTTGGCATTCCTTTGCAATTGCTGTGTTTGTTGTAATATGTCTAAAGAAACGTCCTTTTTCTAACCATTTGAACTGAGAATGGGACGCTAGAGAAAAATTTGCATAATGTACTATGAACGAAATTAAAATTTTATCGAGCACACTTGAATATGAGATTGTTAGTTGAAAAGGTTTAGTGGCGTGTTACTGCCATCACTAGCACAATATAGTATGTGTGTTTTAATGTTGGTATTGTTGTGTATGTCTGCCCAAGGGATCTTTCCAATAACCAGATACAATCTTTGCACGAAGATGCTTTGAAAGGAGTATCAATCGACGCAATGTAAGTCCAATTTTTTTTCGTGAGCATGCAAATGAATCGAGAATTAAATTCAGGTTCAAAACGTTTTCAAAGATTTTATATTTATAAAAGAGGAGTCTATTCGTTACTCCAGATACATTTTTTTTCGTGAGCATGCGAATTCAATTGAGAAAAAAGTTCAGGACAAAACCTTTTTTACAGATTTTACATTTGTTAAGAAGGAATTTACTTGCTACTCCAGAGAAATATAATTGAAACCTATTTATAACTTTGATAGTGTTGTAGTGAAAACGATTTGGAAAACACCCGTTGACGTATGGAGTGTCTGTCTGCGCTGTTCAATATTTTTTTCTTATTTTTCAGCAAATTGATGAACAACAAACTGGTTACATTTCCTTCGCGAACTTTGAGGAATCAGAATCCATCTGAACTGTGAGTCTAAATTTAAAGTTAATTTTATCCTTAAATTATTTGATATTGGAGAATGTTTGCTTATAATGATAAATTATTTGATGGTAACTTCAAAATAACTGGGGGAGACTTTGCACTCAATAATTATATATTTTGGAAAATCGTTGGAGGAGTTTTTTCAACGTGAAATGTCCATGCAGCCTTTTTTTAATCAATTTTAATCGGAGAGTGGTTTTGGCACTGATTCCTTGGTAACCGTGGTAACATGTTCGTGCTCATTTTGTTGCCAGTGATATGACTAACAATAATATTCTGACCATATTACCTGGAGAGCTGGATAAATTCACTAATCTTCGGAAGCTGTAAGTATTTCTTCGTAATTACGATTATTTTTATTGACATAAGCTTATGAACCTAGGGCATAAGCTTCTGCTATTAGATATTACATTTTACACTGAGAATAAGTGGATTTTTAGTAATTGAAGTGATCGATTTAGCCTTATTTTTATGACTCGTTACTCATCATTTAAATTGTCACGGCAACAGTTGTTCATCCAAACATTGAGCTTCCAATTATTGGTTGATTTTTATACCTCATCCATCTTGAAATGAGGGTAATGTATAATCATGGTGCCGTGCTTACGATTCTTGCCATCAGAAAATAGACAACATGTTAGGTTTGTTTTTTTTTTTCTCCTTAAAAAATATCGTCCAAAAATCTAGTCAATTATTTCATAGTTTTAAACCTATTGATCACTTTACCTGTAACGCAAGTTTTGTAAGTAATGTCAGTATTGTATGTAATTGTAAGTAGTGTAATTAGTGTAAGTAATTGTAAGTAGAGTAAGCTTTGTTAGTAGAGTAAATACTGTAAATTATGTGTTTTCTTTTCCAAGTAATGTTAGTACTGTATGTAATCGTAAGTAATATAAGTAGTCCTGTTGTACGTAGAGTAAGTATTGTAAGTTTCTGTAAGCTGTATTGTGAGTATTGTAACTAATATTAATACTGTTCAATAAATAAATATTAAGAATAATATTTGTTATTTTTGCAGCTGTCTTTTCAGTTTAGTCTCAACAGAGTCTCGTGAATTCTTTTTTTTTTTTAGTATAAAGCAAGATAAATCTGAGACTTTTTTAACCGACGTGTAAAGTCACTGACGATTCATTTTTTCCGTAGCATACTTGAACACAACAACATAACAGAGTTGGGCGCCAATTTGTTTCAATATCAGACGAATTTAGAAGAACTGTAAGTATTGAAGATGCCATGGCAAGGTTGGAATCCTGCGTTTTTGGCTCTCTTCAACGAGTAATGGGAAAAAAGTCATTAAAACGCAAAGCGATCTCAGGTCATAAGAAATAGTTACACTCCGCAACTATTTCATAAGTTCGGTGTAGACTCACGCTCCTAGCCATAATTTACCTGAGACACTTTTTCACAGCAACTTTTGTGATGTTCATTCGCCCCTCTTTCCCTGCATTGTTGTTAATCGTTTACGTCATCTTGCAAACCAACACTGAGAGGGTTTCGGGGAGGGGGGTGCTTTATGTGTCGTAACAAATGTGTGTCTGGGAACTGAATAATTTCAATTAAGTAGAAGGCATAACGATTTGTCTTTTACAGCGCGGATGGAGAACTCAATATTTTTTTCAAATCGATGTTAAACCTTGTACCCTCCTGCATAACGTTTTAAGAAAATTGACTCCCATGAATCTTGTTGTCGTACAGAAACCTGATGAACAATGCCATTGGTGTGATTCAAAGTGGTGCTTTTAATAACTTGGGACGCATCGAAAAGATGTAAGTACTTATCAAGAGCAAATTCGGGAATAATTAAGTGACTTTAATGCTCATTCATGCGATGTCTTGCTTGCTTTTGGTTACGTTTTATAGTGACGCATCAGTAATGACCGAGATAAAATTGTTGATCTTCATTTTTTTTTAAATACTAGAAGTGATTAACTTATACTGTCACTCAATTTCGTTACATAATCTGAAAGAAGACAAATTTATCGATTAAAGAGTTGTTTTTTGGTTGAAGGACATTTTATGACTGTTAGAACGGAGATTTCCTTAGTTTAACCAGATAGTGAGAGCGTTAACCAAGCCAATAAACAAGGGAAGCTACACCCACACTAGATGACAATCGCTAATTTACTCTAAAATGTGCATAGTAGTGGATAATCCGAGCATCCGTATCTTTTTTTTGACCCTGCAAGTCATTTTGTCATGAGGGCAATTTCCAGAAGTCAGGAGTTTCGTCTTTGCCTTTAAGTGGATTACCAATTTCAGGATGGTAATGACTGTCGAATAGTTTATTTTTGATTTGACCTCACACAAGAAATCAAAAGTCTCCATATGTTATATGCACTGTGCTTTTCCCTTTTTTTTTATAGATATTTGCAGGAAAATAAAGTTGTCTTTTTGCCCACTTTTCCAACACTGAACACTCTTGGTACTCTGTAAGTATCATACAGTTGAGCTATATCTCCTGAGCAGTAGTGGTGGTGTTGCAGTTTATGTGAAGGAAAACCAAATCTGTTACTAGGATCTGGAAATTCCCACTAACATTTCTCTGGTGAATTTTTTTCTCCACCAAACAGTGGTAGAAGTTATATGTTAGTTTTTGTTATTCATAGTAAAAGTTTTTGCTTCGACTAATTTTTCGTCAATTTTCTTATTTTTAGCAACCTAAAGAATAACTTGATAGAGAATGTTGGTCAAGATTGTTTTGGAGGACTCCCAAATCTAGGCACTTTGTAAGTAGCCATTTAAGATACAACTGAGTACCGTTACAATGATGTACTGACAAGCATATGCAGCTTTATCTCGAGATAATTGCTGAAAATTGCAAGGTAATGGAAATATAAAAAGGCCTATGTAAACGAAAAAAGGGAGAGTCCCGGAAAGCGATTGAAAACATTTTCTTAGAAATCCAATTTCTTCGTTTTTTTAAATGCCCAAATTTTGCGTGGATTTCTATTTGTGAACATGGCTCACCACTTCCACTGAAATGTATGAATGTACGTATTGTTTGCGTACACTTTCTTTCGTTTTGCAGAAATCTAAATGGCAACAATTTCGCTTGCGACTGCAATGTCTATAACTCCATTGTCGCTGTCATAACAGCTCTAACTGCGAGTGGGGCTGCGACTTGTGCTACTCCATCTCGTGTCGCTGGGGTAGAATTTTATCCTGGAGGATCTTATGAAAAACAACCTGTTCAGGATTTCACATGCTGTACGTATTTTATTAAATTCCTTGATTCCCTTTACCCAAGAATTCTGTCCATTGGCTATACGCTTGAACAGTTGTAATTATGTTTCTAAATACACAATCGGAAGCGTGGCTCCTTTAACGATTATCTCTTCGTTCTCTAGCACCAGTGAATATTTCTGCAACAGCCCCGGGAGATTTCCAGCTGAGAGTGGACTGGTCACGACCCTCCTCCCTTTATCCGCCAGTCATAGTGGATGCAAACACTACTTATGTGGATACGTGGAATATTACGACTGTAAGTGTCCTCTTTTTTACTTAGATTGTAGATACAACTAGCTGAAGTTGTATTTGTAGATAGAATGGATGAGGAGCTTTACAACTACACACAATTCAAGATGTATTCTTTTCGTACAGTAAAGGGGGACTTCGTCCTGATCACAAAGCACCGAAAAGGCTTTCCTCTTGAAATGGAAATTCTATCAGTTTTGATATTGAATGAGCTTAGCTTGCTGATGACCGTTAGTCAAAGAAAAGAAATCAAGACCCACAATTGGCTACAATGCAGCATCAATATTTCGGGAAAATTCCGCCAAGGATCAGCACACAATTCCTTTCTGGCTTCGCAGTCCTTTCTTCCTTTCCCGCTTTATCATGTTAATATTGAACTCGGAGAATGTCATATCTGTTAACATGGGAAATTTTGGCCACTGTTATTCACCCTTATCACGGTCATGAACAAGGCGGTGGCTTAGTATATAACACTCTGTCCTTCAAATCGAGAGGTCTGGGTGTGAGTCCTGGCCGGGTCATTGTAATGTTTTCTATACTATACATTTTACCCTTTTGGTGCCTCTCTGTGTCGAGGAGAGAGGCATAAGCACAGGCGAACTGTCGCGAAAATATTACCAAATGGTGGAAATTGTTTGGCTCAATAGGTGCCCTTGGACCTTTGAGAAGTATTTTTGATGTTTCGTAGTCGTACTATTATTTAAGATCAAAGCGCTCTTGATATCATTGGATTTCGTTACACTTCTCATAGGTCATAGATGTGGACTACAACTCAACGTGCGACAGTGCAGACGCTCCTTCGTTCTCTAAGTCAACGCAAAGCGAGTTTATCTTGTTTGTCCAAGCCGATGGTGTCCAAGCAGGGATTGACTATGTATGCTACGTAACCATGACAGTGACAGCCTATAATGGGACAAACTTAGACAACAATACCCAAGGCGAAATTGAAACTCAGACCTCCCCAAAAAGTGAGGAAGCAACTGTCACTACGTTGGAAGGAAAAGGTAGGTATATGCTTGAAACGGTTACACAATGAATAAGATTCCCTCCATCTGGTATCGGTATTGACGTTATACTAATTGCACGCGTTCATGGAACGTGTCTCTCTCCTGAGATATCCGAAAAGGGGAGTATAGGAAGAAAAAATTGCCTCATGCTTTTATTGCATCCTCAATGCCTGAGGCAGTCCAAATAATTATTATCTTGATATGCTGATGGGCTTGTGCGGCCAATTTGTTGGTTCAGTTCAGTGGAAAGTTCCTCAATGGAAAATGACGGCAACAACAGCGAAAAAGCTCTCAAAACGTTGTGAATAAGCCATTTCCCGGAGGTTCAAAGCCTACTCTAAAACAAAGCTAAATGAGTAGCCTTCGTGTTGGAAATCAATCCTTACTGGCCTCAATTTCAAAATGAGGCTGTTATGAACTCGAAAATGGCCTTTTAGGTTTGACTAAAGTGAGTGTTCAACTCACCAATATATATATTTTTTTAATCAGCTCCTGTGACCAATGCATCACTAAACAGTTCCAATTACTACTTGGACATTACCTACTACGATTTTCAGTAAGTTGATTTAATTCATGAAAGTGCTTAGCGGGGTGGATCGCGACTGAAATTGATGTTCTTTGTAGTCTTTTGTCTATTTGAAATGCAGCTGAGAAGAAACGGATCTGCACTGCCTTGTAGGAATATGCAATTTACTTTTTGGTACTCATGAGTTGAGGTACCTTAGACGCTATAACCACGTTTTGACTTCATTTTACTGTAGTCGTGTTTGCTATTTTGGTTAATCTGAGTACTGTTAATTTTTTTTTTTCAGTGAGAAAAATGGTCTTTTCTTGCAAACTATCAGCCACATGACAAACTAGAACAATTTCCATACTGTTAATTAGCTTATCTTCGGCTAACTTTTCCTTTAGAAACATCTTACCACGTTTTCTCGAACTAGAACCTTAAAACCCTCCAAGGGTTTTCTATTTGTTGCATTTCCACATGAGTTAACATATCTGTAATTGCGTTCAGGTTTTCCGATGTTGATTTCACTGGTCTTGGTGCATTCAGAGATGACCTTTATCGAAATCCTCAATATGTTCACAGCCCCTTTGGAAGCTGGTTGGCCACATCAAACAGCCCTACTTCTGATAGTTTCTCTCACTGGTTTAGAAGTTTTTCCAGCCGGAACATTCACTATGAAGAAAAATTAGAGCTAGGAAAACAGCTGGAGACGGATACGAATGGGAATACTGTATTCCGACATTATAACGACAAGTTCTTCCCGGTCGATGGCCGTGGATGGGGTGCAGAAGGACAAAGGGACTGCTTCACTAATGCACTTAGGAATTATGGGTACGGATGATTTTTGGTTCAATTATCTTTTTTTCGTCTGTTTGTTTGTTTCTTGGCTTAAAGATTTTCTTTCAGGTTGAGATGCGAAGAAATATGCCCATTCTCTTAACCAGCCATGTTCCTTTTCAGTTTGCAGCTCACCTCGCTGACTTTTTTATTCCAAGTAAACCTGTAGGCCTAAGAGCTCAAAGAGACCTAAAAACTTAGGCGGATAGGATGGAAGGAGACTCAAACGGAGTCGAAGATATAAGAAACCTTATAGGATGTATAGAGTTGCCCAAAGATCGGAAAGAACGGAATGAACATAATAAATGTGTTACAAAGAAATAGTAACAAGTACTGTATCATTTAATTTGAATTTTTCAGTTTTACTGCTGCAATACGCACAGCATTCAACTTTTCTGGTGAAGAGGTGTTGGCCTTCTCTGGCGGCGAAGAACTGTGGGTATTCGTTGACAAGACACTGGTGGTGCAGATATTTGCTGATCCATCGGAAACTGATGTTCCGTGCCGTTCTATCAGTTTAGCTAATGCTGGTACGACACAAAGTTTGTGATGATTGTATTTGCTTTCTGGAAGCAAATTAGAAGCATTAGTGTTTTTCCTATTGCATGAAAATGATCCATAGATCTGCAAAATCTTTGGAAAACGCAACTAGAGATGCATTTACTTATGATGCGCTCGAAATCCAGCCGCATTATTTTAGAATTGCGGTACAGGCGAGTTTTAACCATGTCTTACTTGTTAACTCACAGTGATATCTCATATAGTCATATGTGGTATGAGTTTCTGTCGCTGATCTTGCAGCTAGTACTGGGTCTGTCATTCCTCAAGGTGGTACAGTAATCGGTGGAAAATGCCAAGTCACGGGGGCTTTACAAGCCGAGAACGTTAGCTTATCTCTTAAGGTAATACCATGATTTAGAAATGTTGTACTTCCCTTTCTTGTTCTCTTCACGCTTTATTTGTAGAGTTTTTGTGCGATCTGTTCTACTCGTCCAGTCTAATGTTCTGTTTTGGTCTAGTTCAGGCTTGTCTAGTCTTTTCTAGTCTAGTCTTGTCAAGTCTAAATTAGTCGAGTCTGCTATAGTCTTATCTGGTATAGTATAGCTTGACTTGATGTGTCTCGTTACAACTAAACCAATGGACTGATTTAGTCAAGTTTAGTCTAACTTGGTCCGTTCCAATCGGTTCCTGTCTAGTCGGAGAAATTAACTCATTCGCTCTGACGAAGGGCTAACGCTGGGAACGTGAGCTTTAAAACTCAAAACGGTGGCCAATTTACGTTATAAACTCAGTTAATAATTACCTTTTTATACTCTCCCACCGAACCAGCACCACGGTTTCGTTAGAAACTTACCCCCTGTACTCATTTGATTTGGTTTGATCAAGAGAGAACCAGACAGGTAGATCTATGGCAGTCAAGTTTAGTCAAGATACGCTTAGTTAAGTTTGGTCTATTTAGGACTAGTCCAGTGCTGGTTGGTTTGGTCTGCTCTGATCTTACCTGCCTTAAACTGGTCTGGTCAGGTCCGTTATGGTCCAAGTTAATTTATGTTTGTTAAAGTGTTCCCTTTCACCCAGTTTGGTTTATTCTGGTCTAGTCTAGTCTCGATTAGACAATCCCTGTTTAGACATTTAATCCTGTCTAGTGCTACCTTACCCTAGCAAGAACAATTTAGTCTTCATGGAAGAGCTAAGCTGGTGAGGGCTAACGTACAATTTGCGATATAGCTGAGAGTAAGAGACGATAAAATTATGAGAATGTTGAGATAAAGCCACTGACCACGATTTCATTGCTTCTTCTTATGTAATCTAGTTTAAAAAGGTACGAGCGATTAATTTTTGCCATTTATTTCAAAACAAACCTCTTTAAAGATTTCATTCTAAGTGTTAGGGTTTTGTTGCTTTCCATGAAGGTAAATGAGCCATACCGTTTAGATGTATTCATCGCTGAGAGATTCCGCTGCAACTCGCGCATTTTATTCCAGTCAAGTGGCGTTTCATTTCTAACGGATGACCTTCGGCCTCTTGACTATTTGGCTGCTATCAGCGAGAACGCACATGTTGGCTTTATTGTGCAGGTAAAACTTTTTTGTTTGTTATTTGTGTCTACCCAAACATACGAAGAAATAGTCAGAAAATGGTATGAGTATGAATATGAAAGTGATTTTGGCAGTAATGAACACTTCTAAAGCAGTCGTGTAAATAAGGCCTGAAAAAAATGCAGGCCTGTGCGAGATTAGAACCCATGACCTTGAAGGGTTTCTCTTACTGACTTTGATGTGAGTTAGTGGAGGGTCAGTTTGCGACTTTTATCACTGTTATTTGTTTTAACTATCAGTTTAAAGAACAAGAATTGGGAACTTCTTTAGTTTCAAACTTGTGTACTTCATACCGCAAAGCGAATTTGAACTATACGGGATACTAACGACGAGAAGTCGAAATTCAATGGTAATCGAGCAGTTTATCTTCTCAATGACGCCGTAAACACTGAAAACCAACATCAACACAGGTGTAAGCTCCACGAATGACTCGTGTCTATTATCGCTCATCCTCTGATTTCTTTGCATCTTGCTTAGGACTTTTACATTGGAGATGCTTTTTCGTCTGGACCTTACAACGTAGACATTTTGGAAGGAAATGAGCAAGACCGATTTGAAGTTGAAAATGGGGCTTACACAGCACCGTCTGCACCCACCACCCCTTCTCCACCCACGTTTATCCTTAACGGAGAGTCAGTTGTATTGTGTCCGAACGCTACAGATGATCCAGTGGATCCAATTCCTTCTGTAAATTCAGGTAAAACGCAATAATAAAACCAGATCTGTATCAAAGCGTGCTTGATATATACTGACCAAGTTAATGTTGTGCTTACTGGTTCGGGATATTTCAGAGAGGGCGACTACGCGATATGTGCACCTGTCGTTTTATTACAAACAATTGAAAGCAAAATGAAGTGTAGGTGGAGACAATTTACTTCGAGGTTTAACATTTATTTTTTTAAACCCACTGATTAAGGTTAAAGATCATAATAACGTGTCTGAAAATATCGGAGAAATGTTCTAAAAAATAGTATTCTGGGCTTCATTCTGATTTCTTTTTTTCCTTCTTATATCACTTCATAACTGCTGGGCAAAACTCGTATTTATCTCTTTCCCTTTGATTTAACAGGAATTCAGTCATTCACCTCCATAACCACATCTACAGCTAAGTTAGCACTAAAGAAACTTTTGGATTTCGAGTACACTTCATCTTATTTTTTATATCTGAGGATTACTGATACTGTTAAGGGATGGACAGGCAACATTTCAATCAAGGTAAGTTATTGGTTTTTTTTGTTTTGTTGTTGTCGTTGTATTTGTCAGGAAAACTTTTAACCTACGGTGACTCATTACATTCGTGTAACCTCCTCCTTTCTTTGATTTCTTGTGTCATGAGCTTGCAACTCCGAAATTTTCAAGGCAAACAGCAGAGAACAACGACTTGTTGTCGACTAAAACCTTTGGGAAAAGCTGATCATTTATTTAAGCAGATATAATGATTATATTAATAATTTTAGAGATAATTATAATGATAATAATCATAGCAGTATAGCGATGATGATGATCATTATGATTATGATAATAATTTTAAAAAACGAAAAAAAAAGAAGTTGTTAAAGGAGGAGAGTGAACGTCATCCCAGTATTGTACTAGAATATTTTTTTTCTGAATGGGGTTCGGGATTAGCTCATGGATATATTTGTGTATGTTGTCATTTTTTTATCCTTCCTGGTGTGTCACGCGTTTAAATCATTCAAGAAAATTAGATCATTCTTCTGCAGGGTTTTCATTAACTTTTGAAGTAGAAGGGCACTGCCTCGTGAATAGGCGAGTACCCTGTAAAATTGAGGGCCGAAGGCCCGAACCTCTGGGGGGGTCTGGGGGCGTGCTCCCTCGGGAAATTTTTAAAACGTAAGTCTACCAGAAGCGTATTTTCCTGCAATCTGGAAAAGAAATCTTGCTATGACGCATACTTATTCTAATTTTAGTAAAAAAGAATGATACTCTGGGAAAATTTTTTTTTTATTTCACTATACAGCTATAGCTACATCAAATACTGCTGTTGTTCTCAGAGCCTCCTCTTTTCTAACAGTAACAAGCTAACTTAAACTTGTAAACTGATAAAGAGTGTAACTGGCAAATTTTCAACGACAGTACAGACCGAAGCGGATTTTCACGTTTGAAACGTTTGATATGTTTTTGAATGCATTTCTTGGCTTAATCTTGAAAGAAAATGAAATTGGAAAGTTTCTTTCACTTGCTCGGAATATTTAAGCTTTGATAGCCAACAAAATGCGTTATCAGGAAGGAAGAACTACTGTCGCGCAACGCCTTCTCGTCAAAGTAAATTTTATTTCCACGATCTGATGGCAAGTTATTGGTAAATTTGTGCTGAAAAATGGTTTTAATCGTACAGGGAAGAGTTAATATTAAATTTCGCACTTTGAGTAGCCGGTTACTCTGTTCAAAGTAGACGGGTGCCGGTACCTGGGACCCGGCTTCGAATAAAAACCCTGGTTCTGGATCTCTTGTGTTCTGTGCTTCTGCAGGTTTTTGTTGAAGACTACAATGATCACTGTCCATTCTTGAAAGAAGTCAACATAGATTTGGACTTGGAGCCGATTCCACCGCTTCGTAAAGAAGCGTTCTTTACTGCTATAGCCACTGATAAAGACAGTGGTGTGAACGCTCGGATTACATACAACGTCAGCGAACCAGAGAGAATGTACGTACAGTGTAGCCTAGATACTGAAGTCTTTTATACAGACACGGCAGACTAGTTTTGAACTCTCTTTTAAGGCTTCTACTGGGATCGCTACAAAGTCCAAGCTGCCTCACTATAATTTTTAGGTGTTAAACTTCGTGAAGGTATAGAAAAAAGGGAAATCCTTCTTGGAAATTAATTTTAATGCAAGGCAAAGTTAAGCAATTTGGCTTGTCATTAGGTATGGTCACATACCTTGTTGACGTAGCGTTTTATCGAAGATTGTAAGTTAAGTAGAGAGGTTTTCTTCAACAATCTTACTCCAAATGTATTCCTTGCGGTGCCTCCAAATAGCTTTTATATATTTTCTTTTACCATTGTTGAAGTTGGCAATTCTGACAAAGCTTATTACAGTTTAAGTGGTATGAAGCGACTATTCCTTTTGATGGGATATCAACCCCAGATCTCTCCCTACCCCCCTACCCCCCCTTCTCTCTCTCCCCCTTCCTCTCCCCCCCCGTCATTTCGTCACTTCGACTCCACGGTTAGAAGACGCATTGTAACGGCTTTCGCATAACCTGTCAAAGGATATTGTGTTAGTTTTGGAAATTAAGTTGTAAAGGTTTCAATTTTTCGTTTCATTAATTTTCTTTTTTTTCTTCTCGTCTCTTTGTATGTTTTTCTTTTTCTATTCCTAAATCATTGCCTTATATAACAGTCCCCACATCAATTCCACGAAGTTTTATGTCAATAATGGTACCGAGGTGGTGTGGAGCAATAAGACTGTGAAGTGGACCTACAAATACTTGATATTTGCTGTGGATGGAGGTTCGCCAAAACGCGGTGATAGTATCCCTTTGAATATCACATTTGATGCTACTTGCGAAGCAACCGGAGCTGTGGTAGCTGATCCAGTCACCGGTGAGGTGTTCTTCAGAGCGCCTGGGCTCACAGGATCTAAATACCGTAAGTACCTCACAAGAAGTGTTATTATTAACAATTGTTCTATCAATGCGCGTCAGATATTGGATGCTAAATGGCTTCAATTATATTATATTCAAAAAGTGCAAATTGAATTTTTTTTCCATTACTTTTGTCCTAATTTAGATTCCAAATACCCAAAATCTACCACAAACATTGCGAATAAACGCTCTGTTTAACCTGCCAAAAAACGGCTGTAATTGTGATCCTTGTTATATGAGCTCAAATGGCGCGGCCTGTAGACCGTTCAAAAACCAGGAATGACTATGTTTCACGGTCAACTGTTTGCCGTTATATGAATATGTGGCTCAGTGACCTATCTTGCCAATGATCTCAATGTAGCAGATTTAGTAGCATACAGCATAATTAGCGTGACCTTAAACGAAAGTTAGCCAAAGTTAAGGGTTAGTTGTTCAAACCTAAACCATATTTAGCTTCTTTACAAACCTACATAGCCACCGCATTTTCAGCAGACAGCGGAATGGAAATATGTTTTTATTAAATTTTGCTGTTACGCGGCAATTATGACATCTGTATATAAATATATACATTTTTCTTTTATATTCAACTTTTAGCTTTAAACTCCACGGATAAGCCGAGATGTCGCGGCTGCACTCATGGGTATTTCTGTGTTGGAGATGGAACTGAAGAAAGATGTGGACTCGCTTCACCAACAGAATTCTCCTTTGGTTCCGCAGCGACTTGTTCACCTTGTCCCGAGGGATGGGTAAGTGAGTCGAGTGGTGTAGTGTACTTATCTCTGGGGATGAGTGGGAGGGTTTTGGAGTGGGTTCTATATCCTGTTTCGACCAAAACCTTTGATTTTTCAAAAGCTTATTTAATTCTAAAAGCACCCACGATTTTCTCAAAAACCCGATAAGAATACCAGGAGGAACGTTAAGTTGAAAGGTGAAGTGTCGCAATACTTCGTTGCTCGATAATCGAGAGCAACAAATATTAAGGTAATTTGGTTTTATCAACTGAGTTGGTAACGTAAATTGGCCACCGTAAAGAGTTTCAAAGCTGACGTTTCAAACGTTGGCCCTTCGTCAGATCTAAGCACCATATATTACATGAATTGTGCGTCCTTTTTTCAGCTTTGTGTGAATGGTACCGCACTCCCCTGTCCAGAAAGTACACATGTCAAGTGCAATTCGACGGTGGGTATTCTATGAAGTACTGTTTTTGCCATTGCGAAGTCAATGGATGGCATCAAACAAACTAAACAGGGTCAAAATTGCTTGCGAACATCGAATGCGGTGAATATTTGGTTGAACTTCTTGTGATGAGCTCAGCAGTGGATTGTTCATCGTGCTAAACTCAGAACTGAGCTCTAGCCTGACCGGTTTCGTTGCATCATGTTCTTGAACAAGATACTTTACTTTCAAATAATGTCTGTGTGACAGGAGTAAACAAAAGATAACTGTTATGGAAACTAGCAATAATTCAACCCAATCCTGGCGAGGGAGTCTTTATACGCCATTTGCTTCATTGCGATGAACCTCGTCTCAATTCAGCGGCTACTACTTAGTCTGGTCTACGGATTTTAGTTTTTAATTAAATAAAAATTGTTTCTCTTTTCTTGATAGTGGTGCCCCGAAAATTGCTTTGATTGTGAACCTGGCACAGTTTGCTTTGAGGGAAGGAAGCAAGACTGTACACCAGGACGATACAGTGATGGAAAAGGTTGGTTCGATCTCGTGGTGGGAGTTTTCGAAGAGAGCCCACAATCATGACATTTTTCAAGTCTCCAAAAATTGCTTGGTAGATTTTGCAAAACGTCAGCCTTTCAAGAAAATTATCAAGGCCGTTCATTTTTTGTCAAAAACTGATGAAAACGTCCAATTCTTTAAATCTGAATACGACTAGAATTGAGAGGCTCAGTTCGTCTCGTATCGTCTGCGCGTCAAATTGATTCATGTGATGTATTATTATGGGAAATTTTAAACGATGGGAATGTCGGCGCGAAAATGTTAGCGAACTAACAGTAGCAGCTTGCACAGATAGCTTACACACTACCGGAACGAATTCCCTTTCTCTCTTCAGGATTTCCATGCACGCTTTGCCCTCCCGGTAGCTTCAACAACGCGACTCGTGCACAAACTTGTGAGTGTTGCGAGGATGGTTACACCAGCACATATATGAAGACCAGTTGTCGGCCATGTCCTGCCAACGAGTGGGCAAAACATGGAAGCTTCCCAAACTGTTCCATGTGTCAGACTTGTTTTAATTCTGAGGACTGTGAGTGTGACTCTTTGTTTGTTAGTTCGCCGGGCTGTTTTGATATTTCTTGATTAATTACGAGATGTGACGGACTTAAAGCGATATATCGCGGAGCCAAAGTTATGTACGACTCAGTGCAAACTACAGTGTGCAGGAGCATTCTTCATTAAAAGGCGATTTCGAGCTTTGACCTGTGGCGAACAAGACCTGTACACAGTGTTGACGAATACAGCTGTATAATCGAAAAAAGAAACAAAAAGCAAAAAAGGGTTATGATATCTTTTGAGTCACTAACTCGTTTTATCCCAGAAAAGTGATTGTGAACTAGCATCTTTTACTCATTCTAAAAAGCAGGTTCGCCTAGTTTCTGCGATGCCTTTGGTTATATTTGTTATTCTCGTTGAATCTGTTCCATTGATCTCCAAATTTCGCCTTTCGCCTGTGTTCTATTCATAATATTGCCTTTACTCTTTGTCACAGTTTGTATCTTTGCTTTTTTAGGGTTATTTCCAAGAATTAATTCGTAAAATTAGCGAAAAAATAACATGACTGTATTAGCTAGCTTAATCATAAGACTTGACGTTTCACTTGAAATCCGCAAGGTCCATGTTTGTCCAACGGTACTTGTTTTCCTGGTGTAAGCTGTCTTAATGTCGGAGTTGGTCAGTCAAAATGTGGTCCGTGTCCTAAAGGTTATGAGGGTGATGGAAGGACTTGTACCGACATTAACGAGGTAGGAAGGGTGTCACTGGCACAACTTAAGCTGTGTTTTTGTTTGTTTGTTTGAAGTTGTTTCGTTTGCTTGTTTGTTTGTTTATTTTTTTGTATGTGTTTTGTTTGTTTTGTTGTTGTTGTTGTTGTTGTTGTTATTTTTAACCAGACGTCGTATCCCGCCTGAATGACAAAGCACGCAGTACTTTTACTTGTAACATCGAAAAAAAAGAGCAAAACAAAAAAAATCACAAACAATCAAACAAACAGGAGAAAAGCAGACAGAGACCTTTTAAAGTCTTCATAGGGACACGTTGATCAATCATTGATCTAATGGTTGAATCATCACCATTATGTAGGGGCTGTAATGGGTGGAGAACGAAACGATATTCAGGCGCAGTGATATTGTCCCAAAAACAAAAAGAAAACCGTGTTTCTTGATTTTCTGGTTTTATGCTGTTGATCGCTAGTATGTCAAATTCTCGTTCTTCTGGGTGTTCAAGTATCAACGAATCGTCATTTTTCCACAGTGCACCCGTGCCAGCCCTTGTTATGAGAGTGATAAATGCCAAAATCTCGTCCCTGGTTACCAGTGTAACGCCTGTCCCGACGGATACAGAGGGAACGCTCCATCGGGTGTCGGTTTGGAAGACGCTCAGAATTCCAAGCAAGTCTGTGAGGAGATTGACGAGTGCAAAGAGGGGATCAGCAGCTGTGATCCAAATTCACAATGTATCAACACAAATGTGAGTCGTGTGTAGACCGATTTTATAGTTTATCTTTGTGAATATCTCCTCTTTCAATAAAAAGGGGGAAAAAAACGAAACTACAACGCCTTCTATAAACTTAGACTAATTTTTGAAGATGAAGCGGAAAAAAGGAAAATGCGTCTATTAATTGCTGTAAACGAAAATTAGGAATTTTTAGTGTGTTTTGGGTTTTTATGAAAACGCTCTTAAAATTAACTGAATACTCTGCATTTGGAAGCGCAAATTTTATTCGGTGCACTTGTAGGATCTCCGTAATTATGTTCGAATCACAATTGCGGAGCCTCTGTGGTTTAATCACCTTAGAGTAGCATAGTAATAAGAGACAATGTTGATCGTGACGACATGACGGTCCGTCCGTCCGCATGTACGCAGTTTCATGTCAATGTTGCAAGAGAATCAGTCCGATAGACGAAATTTTTACGAAACGAGTACTGTAAGAAGTAGAAGTACAGGTTTATGTAAGCTTTATTGCATTTTTCAACTTATCAATATATTTATTGATTCACAGGGAAGCTTCACGTGTGGCCCTTGCCATCCTGGTTTCATTGGTGATGGCTACTTAGGTTGTAACCCTGGTGACCTGTGCACCAATGGCTCTCACACTTGCCATGAAAATGCTCAGTGCACCCAGACCGGTGCTGGAAGATTCAAGTGCAGGGTAGGTTAAACTTTCTACTTTTTTGCACTTGAAAAACAAAAAATTGTCCGAAGGAGAGATTGGTTTTTTTTTTCATTTCAGCTCGGACCAAAAGTCTGAATTTTTTTATTCAAGTTGGCCTTCGTCACGTAGCGTAATAAAAACGAAGTCTGTGCTTAAATACACCTCAACCAGAAATGGCGACCGAAGTTAAAGGGGTGTCAAAGTCGAACAAGCACACGACACGAATTCAATTTAAAAGCTAAAGCATGTTTCAGGCCAAAACTCCACCCCATTTAGTTCATTTGTCACTTGAGTACAGCCATCCATTCACATCGTACAATTTAATCCACACCGAATTCGGCAACACGATTTCATTCGATCAATCAGAGACTTTCAAGTTGAAAGATCTCACGTGAGATCTTATATCCTTGCGATGTCATAAATGGTGGATCTTATTTCTCTCATTTAGGGAGAATGTATGAAATATGTGTAAGTTAATGAGTTTACCATGTCTTCTTCCTAGTGTAAGGATGGGTACGGTGGTGATGGAGAGGAGTGCGAAATCGATCCAGACCTTGATGGAATTCCCTCCGTAGGCTTAAGTTGCACCTTGCCAAATTGCTTCAAAGTAAGTACGACACATAATTCTATAAACTTATCTTCGGTCCAGCAACCGGGAGTGAATTAACTGTTTCAGAAATAACAAACCAAACATTCAGGCCTGTCTGCAAGGAGGTTGGTAATCCCAGGTATGTGAGGTAACCTCCTTAGGTGGGGTAACCGGCTGGCCTTAGGGTCTCTCACTTTATGTTGATCACGTTTACATGATAGGTGGGGTAGCCCGCCCAGGTGCGTTTCCCAGTCTACCAGGTAGGTAACCATGTCAGCCGGGGTCATGTTACATTCGTAAGTGCGCCAACAACCTCTAGAATCCTCACCCCGGGATCCTGGGGTTGTAAGATTGTATGTAAACGCGGGCTATTTTTCAACCTCAGCTAGGCGGGTTACCTCACGGACTTAAGGTCCTCCCCATCCATGTAAAGAGGCTCTTAGGGCGTGACGCCATTAGTTTGCTGACTTACTGCTTAAAATGCAAGACGAATTACAACGCAAATTTCTCTCGATCCTGTTTAGTAAGTTGTTTGATTAGCAATTTTATGGGAGTTGAAAGCGATATGGAGATGATGAAATTTTAAATATTTATTTTAGAAATACATGTAAATCAAGACTGTATTGTTGTTTGGCTCTTTTCATTCCGTTTATTAACATAGCAGTTACAACTGACATCGCCACACCATGTTGGAATGTTCATGCGATTAAAAAAATTAGGACTTTTCTTCGCTGAATCATTTAGCCTTCAAACTTTTTTAACTTCAATGATTCAGCTAATGCTCACTCTATTAAAACCAAAACAAAATCAACTATTATCGAAACAGGGATATCGAGGTATTTTTGTTTTTCAATGGTTTAAGGGGCAGGCTTAACCCTTTCATTGAGGATCATGTGCCAGTTTGGTGCTATGCAAAAGTCTCGAATTTTTTTATCCATTAATGCTACATTGCACTGCAGGATAACTGTCCAACTGTACCTAATACGGGTCAAGAGGACACCGACGGTGATACAGACGGGGATGCTTGTGATGAAGATGACGACAATGATTTGATAGTCGACAAACTGGTGAGTGTAACCTCGTTTTTATTTTTCCGTTATTTATAATTTTTTATTTATTCTTTGTCGAAGGTTTCGTATAGAAAGGGTTTCGAACCCTGGAGTATTAATAGAACGTGTTTTCTGATCGTCAGGTTGAGAGTAGTTCTGAGGGACTGTTTTCGATAGAAGTGATTTACTTTTCGACAGATAGTAAAACGTTTAACCTTGTCTGATCGTGGGGTTGAGAAAAGTCCTGGGCCCGGTTGTTCAAAGGCTGATTAGTGCTAACCCACGGTTAAATATTAAATGCAGTTTCCTATATTTCACTCTTTAAAAGCTGTTTTGGGATAATTTTCCTAATTTTCTATAGAACATTTAGTCATCAACTTGTACACAAAAAGAATCAAATTCCTTTTTCTTTTAAAGCCCTCAGATCTGAAATCAAAATTCACATAAACCTTGGGTTATCTTAATCCGACTTTGAACAACCTGGCCCTGAGAATGATTGTTATAGATAAAAGTGACGGACGTTTCGACGACCATGGCGTAAGTTATCATCCCAGTCGACTTTGGTGATGCTTTCGCCAAGCTTGTCTAAATTTCAGTCACTATTACCGACAACACTCCTTCCATCTGGACAATCAGACGGACGATCAGACTACACGACATGTCTGAGTTCATCCAGCCTTTTTAAACCTTTCAAACAGAGGTGATCCTACGAACGCCTTTGTTGATATATGTGGTGTTGTTTCCAGGACAACTGTCAATTTGTGAAGAATCAGGACCAGTCCGATTCGGATGGAGACGGAGTAGGTGACGCATGTGATAACTGCATCAATCAACAAAATCCTGACCAACTGGACAGTGACGGAAATGGAGTTGGGGATGCATGTAATACAACGGATCCTGACGGCGATGGTAAGAGTTAACCATTGTCACACAATATCACACACGTTCAGATTATTCCGTAGCTTGAGGGATGGGATGATTGCGTAATAAGAGCTTGACCGTGATATAGCTCATGCAACTGGTTAGCAAGAGTTAGAACTCTTTGGGGAATTCTCTGAGCTTTTGTACTTGTAAAAGTAGGTAATTTATGTGAGATTTTATTTGAATTCTTGGCTGATAAAGCGAACGAAAGGTAAGCATAATTGCCACTTTTATCAATTTTTTTTCTATGAGTGAGTACCGGGGAAACTTGGTTTTAGAGATGTTAACTGCAAAATCAAAATAGCTACAAAATCTAAGCAGTAAGCTGTATAAACGATTTTCTTTTATTTTCTGCAAACTTTAAACATGCATTTAGATGTTTTTCTAGATATCTCTTTAGCTGTTTTATTTTGTTTTCTGCTTTGTTTGTTTGTTTGTTAATTTGTTAATTTGTTAATTAACTGATTAATTTATCATTCTTTTTGCAGGAGTATCTGCTGATAACTGCCCATTAGTCAGTAATCCAGCCCAGAGCGATACAGACTCTGACGGTGTTGGTGATGCCTGTGATAACTGCCCTTCAGTGAGTAATAGTGCTCAGGTACGTCTCATCTATTTCATGAGAGTACTAATCGACACGTTGCAGAATAAGCATCCAAAACATTTAAAGATTCGCTGTTGACATTGAAATGACCTCAAGCTACCCATTTGTTTTTTTTGCGTGTTTTTGAAAACACCTGTTCGATGGTAGCTCAGTACTACTTCAATTTTCTCTCTTCGAGAATGGTACAAACAAAATCCCAATTTCCAGTCTCTCAGGGTGTTTCTAGACTTAACTGGCTTAATTGTTACTAAAGTAAGATCTGGAAAAAGAATATGAATTGTTTAACGGTGAGAGTGAAATTGTATCAAACCCTTATCGCAGCAACGTACGAGAAATTAGGGTTGAAATGATCCATCCTACGATCACGCAATTTGTTTTATCAAAAACTAAATTGGCCACCATAAGGACTTTCTAAGCTGACGTTTCGAGCGTTAGCCCCTCTTTTAGTTGTGAGTTGTGGAAAGTGATAAATGCAGCAAGTTCGATAACTTTTTTTTCTCCTATAGACTGACGCCTATCAAAGCGGATATGGCGATGCATGTTTCGGACCTGGAAAAGACAAGTGAGTCGACCACTTCCCTCTTAAAATCTGAAAGTTGATTCTTGGGACAAATACCGTACACTTGGAGATATTTTTTTCTCCGAGTGTGCCTCTGTAATTCTCTGAATAATATCATCTTTCAGTACTCAGTAGTTTTACCATTTATCAGATGAACGCTGATACCTTTTTCCATGCATTACATTCCCATCTTTAATCTGATTGATTGGTTTCCAGGGATGGCGATGGCGTACCAGATGGTTTTGACAAGTGTGTTGATCTCCCAAATGGCGAACAGGCAGACGCTGATGACGACAGCGTAGGTACGATGTAAAATACAGACGAGAAGACCAACGGCACAGTGTAGGACGTGCTTTATTATGCGATTGTAGAAAAACGGTGCCAACTAATATTTGACTTGACTGATAAGATGATCTCTGCAGTGAGTTACAAAGAGGTTATGACAAACCAATTGTTTTAACTAATATTTACAGCTTTACAGAGTCATGTGAGTATAAATTCTCTTCTTTGAACGAATTTTTAGGAGATGCTTGTGATGGTGATCAGGACGGTGACAATGTTGGTAATAATGATGATAACTGCCGTTTAGTGAGCAACGCTGGTCAAGAACATGTTAATTTGAATTACGACGCGAAAGGTAAATACCATGTTACCATGTGGTAGAAGTACCGATGATTTCGTGAGCAATTTAAGAATAAAATAGGCGATGCGATAACATGAGTTTTGGGTATTGAAATATTACCTCTACCAAAGCGGACAATTCTAGGCGACCAACTCAACACCTTAAGAAAACGACTTGCAGGCAAAATGAACACAATTCAAGAATCTGACTGTGGACAGTCAAACAGACTGCACTCAAGCCAATGTTTTTTTTTTTTTTTAATTTAGTGGTGTATTCCTTTTTTCCATAACTTTATTGACTCTACACATTTTAATTTTTATTCACATCGGCACCAACCCTTGATTATTTGCATTTGCTGGTTGGGATTTCGTCACGAAAACGTCGTGTTTCATGTGTGGCTCTTTTTTATTTTCTCAGATGTTTTGTTGTCGATCAGCAAGTTTTTTTCTATAAGGGCATCCGCGTAGATCGGCATAAATCGGACAGAACATTATCTCATGCAATGCTGATATTTCCAGCGTTTCAGCGTGGCTTGGGCTTTTTACGCGAATGCATTATTTTAAGGTTATTTTTCTTAAAGAAAAACCACAAATCAGTTTTCTTTTTTTGGTTAATGTATACTTCGTCACATGAGCTGGTCAACTTAGATGGCTTGTGCTTGTTATTTATTTGTAGCAAGACCTGTTGGAGATGCTTGTGTCGATGATTTTGATGGAGATGGTGTCCATGATAACGATGACCACTGTCCATATGTGAAACATCTCAGTAAGACAAGCTTCATAGACCATTTCACTGTAGACCTGGATCCTGGACACTCGGATGAACTTCCTGTCTGGAGAGTCGCTAAAAAGGTATGTCTTGCTCGATAATGCTTTTCTAAATAGCAATAGGACATAAGTTTATGCTTACTACAATGCAGTGATTATCTCCTGTGATAGGCTAATCTGGGCTTCCATAGGCACAAGTTGATGTTGTGTACAAAAAAGTTTATGGGCTGTTGACTGTAATGACCAATAGCATTGTCTTCCTGTACTTTAATGCCATGTTCTAAGGACGTTCACCACTGTTGGTCAATCCTAACCACTATGGTTTTCCATCCTCGTATCCTGTATCCATGGTTTGTCCATCATGGTGTTTGCAAGTCAATCCGTTATATTGTTCTCCACCCTTCGCCTTTTTTGTTTACCATACTCTACTTGAGTTTATTGACATTTGTGTTTTCCTTCCCAGGGTATTGACGTTGAAGAAATTACTAACACCTCATCAAAGCACCCTGCTATGCTTATCGGTTTGTGTTCATGTTTGTCAGTATTGCTTGTTGTGGTGATGAGCTTCTGAACCTAAAAGTGTTGTAGCCAAAAATTCATTTTCACTGAGCTTTTTTTCGTCACAATCTGTAGAAGAGGATACCTGAAAAGTACCGATGAAGGCTATGTTGCGTTATGATCTTTATAAAATAAAAGAGTCTAAGGTTGTAAAACGTCGAAGTCAGTTTTTTGTTGCCACTGAAGAGCTTGAAATTTTTGCGCAATGTGCATTGTTACTTGAGGCAACTCTAAGCGATAAGACGAGTACTGACTTCCAGATCTCTCGGACAATGTCACGTTAATAAGAGAGCCTCAGTTGTGCCACAGGAAATTCCGTGACCAAGATGTTTGATTTTCAGAATTCATATTAATTTAAATGGGTTAAATCCATACATATAGGTGGCTTAAGTGATCTCTTAACTCTTTAACCCCTGAGAGTGACTAACATGTAATTTTTTCCAACAGTATAACCCCTGCATCACACAGTAAGGTCATGGGAATTCAGGAAATGATCATCTTCTAAATATTCTCTCAATTTATGCACAAATTCTCCTTGTCAGCACCTTAGGAAATGTATAAAGAAGAGTATGGAGAATATGCATGCTGTTGTTCAGGTGTAAAGGGTTAAACAAAGCCATATCCACTCTTCATTTATCATGCGAAATTTTACACGAACCGCCACTGTATATATCATGGATTATTATGATGATTGTTCCCACGTAGGATTATCTATTCCCTTTTTATGTATATTCCTTCGTGTTCCTGTAGGTCAATCCCGATATGGTCCCGTTGACTTTAGTGGAGTACTTTATGTGAAGGAGAGTGATTCATCCGATTATGCCGGAGTAGTGTTTGGTTATCAATCAAACCGCAAATTCTATGTGGTGATGTGGAGAAGAGAGAACAGTAATTTTAAGGATCTGAACGATAAGGCCGGAATTAAAGGAGTCCAATTAAAGGTAAGTCATTCTAGAGGTATTTTGTCAATTAGCAGATGATTTGCGTGTAGCCTTATCCCTTTTGATTTCACAGCTCGTCGATTCAAACACGGGGCCTGGAAATTCGTTGGCGCAAGCGCTGTGGCATTCCGGAGATACTATTAACCAGGTAAGTGAACTCTCCCCTGTCAAAAACAACATCCAACATACAGCACTATATAGTATGTTAAACGTTATGAGAGACATCTATCTTTTCTCTCAGGTGAAGCTTCTATGGCAAGACCCTAAAATGGAAGGATGGAAATATGAAACCTCTTACGCCTTCCACGTGTTTCACAGACCATCCATCGGTCTAATAAGGTATAAAGATCTTTTTAAGGAATTTCGTTTCTTCTAAAGGAAATTGACTTCGAAAACTTGCGTAAATACTAGCCTAAGTCTTCGAATGTTATGAACGATGATCTAAGGTAAAATGATAGGTATATGGGCAGAGTAATTTCCGATGATAATGATAGGCATATATGTAAGTCGTGAGATAAGTCGTCGTTTATTAAAATAATATCTGGCTGTCGTGAGACTGAATTACATGTTTTAGAACAAAAATGGATAATCTATTTACATACGATAAATATAATAATAATATATGCAGTATCAAGTGGCTTGGCTGCATAGTGCATAATAAATGAGTTCTTAAATCTGTTAGTATTGATTAATTGTAGCGAGTATGTGAAAGAAATAATTAATGAGAGGAGAACGCATCGTGTGATTCTTTATTTCAGAGTACAAGTTAAACAAGGCGAGAAAGTGCTGACTGAATCAGGTGATGTGTATGATACAACGATCACCGGAGGAAGACTGGGTATGATGGTTTTCGGCCAGCAGGATGTTATCTGGTCCAGACTAGAAGCTAGGTGTATTGACAGGTCAGTAGATAAGTCATTGCCCGTCATCATCCATACTGCATCTGTAAGGTTGTGTTTTTACGGATGCTCGTTCTCGTAAATGATTATTGTGTTTTCGAAACCAACCTTAGGTGATTGCTTAAAGTATAAAAAATGTATACACACGGGCCAAGTAGTCTATCCAGCCGGATAGGACGCGCACATTTCTTCCCCAGAATTTCATCGCCCGTACCAGTCAGGGGCAATGTGTCAGTAAAGTTTCTCGTCCAAGAACACTTCAGCAAGATTCAGCCAGGCCTCGAACTCGGCCCTAACCGCTCAGCCACCGTGGCTCTTACAAAAGTAATTTCTTTTAATGAGGACTTCGTATTTTGTCCAGTCTGATAGTTTTGGCTTCGCAATTGATACCATCGCGCTAATGCATTTTGTTTCGGCAGTTATTTGTTATTATTTATGAAAGGATTTGGAAATAGCCATTTACACAAACCAGTGAACATGTCGTTGTCCAGATATAAGTCAGATGGACGCTGTGGCCGAATAAGCAATCTGTGAGAAAAGATACATTCTCTAACCTGGAGAAAAATCTTTTTTTTGTTGTTGTTGTTGTATCAGGGTAAATCAAGCTTTGCACTTTGATGGAGTTGATGATCACGTAACCCTTCCATCTATCCATAATCTTGGTTTAACAGACAGGTACCTGCATTCACAATTTAAATTTACCTTTTTGTTTGACTTTTCCTCGTCATTGGTCTCTATTCTTTCATGTAAAGACTCTCTTCTCCACTAAACTAGCGACTGGAATTTGAATTGTATCCCAAGGCAAGGAAGGATGTTACTCACGCAGTGAGAAATAAAAAAATTCAAAAAAAACACAATTCGAATCATGGGTGAGGAGGGGAAGGGGTCAGCATTTTGTTTTAACCTTACAGTTTGGAATTATCTAATTGCAGTTTTACGATCAGCACTTGGGTTTGGATGGCAGCGGATTATCCCAATACTGATATGCCCATCGTGTGTAGTCTGGATGCCAAACTATGCTTGTACTTAAAAAACAGGTATAACGTGTGGTTTTTATTTGTTTGTTGTTCTGTATACTCAAAGACAATTTATTCAGTGAAGAAGAGAAGAGAAAACTAATCATAATTCCGTTTCATCTGCTGTCTAGACAAGTCTATGGGAATATGGGACCGTCTGTCGTTCAAGGGTCGGAAGTTATTGAGCCCGAAGAATGGCATCACCTGGCCTACAGATATGACGCCCAGAGTAAGTACACCATTTGATTAACAGACCTTATTGTTCGTTTAATGAATTGAAATGACTGTTAGATAGGCAGGCAGGGAGCCAGTCATCCAGTATATAATTCATTCCGGTAGCCTGTAAGTCAGACAGCCAGTCAGTTTGTCAGTTAGACAGTCATTCGCTCTCTCAGCTGCTCACTCAGTAACTTAGCTAGAGAGTCAAAAAAGTAGCTATTCAATCTGTTAAAAAGCCTACTAACTAACTAGTGGGCCAATCAGTCAGCCATCGAGTCAATCAGGCAGGCAGTCGGCTAGTCAGTTAGTCAGTTAGCCAGTCAGTCAGAAAGTTAGGCAATCAGTTAGTTACCAGTCTATACATGTGTAAGTCACTCATTCTTTCTCTCTATCAGTTTATAAGTCACTTAGTTTGTCAAATACACAGATGGACTGATGGACAGACGAATGTATCGGACGCAGTAATAGATGAAAGCTGATCTGAGAGGCTAATGTCTTTTAGTTTTATTTATACTTACTTTGGAAAAGCGGTTGACTTGCATACTGATCTACGAGAAGCGAAACGTTATATTTTGAAATTTTTTAGCATGAAGTAATTCTTAAAAAAGAAAATAATCCCTCACTTTTCAATTTCAGCTTACGAACTTAAGCTTTTTGTAAACGGTTCATCCGTTGGATCACAAAGCGATGTATTGCCACAAACCTGGGTAGGTCTCTGTAACTTTTACTCATCTCTAATGTTTCATAAGGTTACGCGATAAAAAAAATGAAGGACAGACTCCTGCCTGTATAACTCAAACAAGAGAGGGTCGGACTCCTGTGTACGACGGTGAGCTTTCAGCCTCGGACCTGACCAACTCATAGGGAGTGACTAGCACCTAATTTCTCCTTACAATATCACCCTGGAATCACACTTAAGGTTACTATAATAGAGAAAATGATTGCCAACCAAAGAAGTTCTCCATTGTTAAAGCAAATTGTCCTCGTGAACACCTTAGGAAATGTATAGAGAACGGTATGGAGAATGTGCATACTGATATTAGGATTAAGGGTTAGAGAAGAACACACTTTAGTACTTAGAGTGCTTCCGTTATAGTCGTGTGGAATGTGATTAAATGAATAAATTGATGAAGCTATTAAACTAAAAGAAAAAAAAACACAGGGGAAAATGTTTTTCTGTCGTAAATTTACGTCTTTAGTCTCTCTCTCCTCTCTTTGACTTTGTAGAAGTTAGAAATATATTTTCTCTCTCTTTCAGTCTTCTAATGATCTTCTTTATGTGGGACGTGACAATAGTAACTACCTGAGTGGAACTGTGGATGACGTAAGTGTATTTCGTCCTTAGGTTGCTTTTGTCTTTTCATTTACCCTCTGAATTTTCGGAGAAAATTTATCACGGTTGATGAATAGTTACTTCCAATGAGTAGGACTTTGCAACAGTTTGATTGATGTCAATAAAGCCATGGCTCCGATTTATTCGAATGGAGTCGTTAGTGTTCATGAGTTATCGCAGATATCTACGCAGGACAACTTATTACTCTAACTATGTAACATTCCATTCGTTTCGAACCACGGTCGCTTCGCACCTACGGTCGTCTCGTATCCAGTCGATTCGTACCAAAATTCAGACAATTCGTACCCAGTTTGCGTCGGCTAGTATTCATACGGCTGATCGATATGTAGCCGTATCAATAATTATTCATTCGAAATACCGCACGTGCGCCCGCCGGAACAGATGTCGATTGTTGTCTACGGCAAGCTAGTAGAGTCAAGCGAGTAAGGTGCAATTAAAATTATGTTGTGTATACTTTCGACACTCTTGACAAAAACAACTGAATTATTGCATAGCGCAAGGTAAGCGATTCCTTTCAATATAATTTTCTATTGCTCATCAACTGAAGAATTATTGGATGTGGTTGATTTATGTTTTTAGACCTCTTTCAAGCTAAGGAAAGGCTTTGGCTAAAAAATCAAACATTTTTGTCCACCATCTTGATGGAAGAACTCGTTTGATTTTTTAGATTTTTTTTTTATCAAACTTTGCTTCTTAACGTTCTGCGTCATGAGCAAATGTTTGATCGTCTAGCCAACCTATGTTGTGTGCAACAAACTCGATGCTTAACGGCATATTTCAACTTAAGTTGGGGCTTAAGAACTTATAAACTTGTCCCTTTATTCATTTCCTACAGTTGACTCTATGGGGGGTGTACGTCGAAGATGCAGAGATTGCCGATTACATGAAAACTGCCGGCCTGTTGTTACCCATCCACAAGGGCGTGGTCAGAGCGCATTTCAACATGGACGAGACTTCTGATTCAGTCATTCTTGATCAAGCAGGAAATGGTTACCATGGAAATCTAATGGGCGGAGCAAGTTTCGTCGCGGTGAGTGACGTGTTTGATGATCTCGTGATGTTCCTATCATGGTATTTTGGTTGCTGAAATGACTAGTCCTAGGGATCTATTAAGACCAGGTGACATAACCCTTTGAACAACTGCGGCAGGGCAAATTTGTAAGGATACGAGCCCTCGTTTAGCGTTTAAACGTCGTATTGTGACTTCCCGACATCGCGGGTCTCGCGAATCTCTTTGGTGACACTCGAAACCCGGGATGTCGTGCAATATAATAAATGAATAATAGGTTGTTGCTCATGCTGCTCAACCTCAAACTGACCTTCACTCAATGGAAAATGTGCTGTTAACTTGTTTTGTTTCTTAGAGCTCCGTCGACAAGAATCGTTTTGTAATCACGTTCCCGAACAATAGGAGGAGGAGAAGAAGAAGTTTAAATACACCTTGGTCGCAACACAATGAACTCTAGGAACTGGAAAGTTGTTGTTGTTGCTGTTTTCTTACAATTTTTTTTGTAGCACCGTCACGAATTTCAACTTGAATAATATTTGCTTACATGTAGAACTTGCGTAGCATACTTTTAATTGATGCAAGCCGTTTGAGACCGTTCATGACCTTTTTTGAACTATTTATTGTATTTAAGGAACACTTGAGGGTGCAATAACTCATAGTTTGATTTGTAACATGGACATTATTTGATTTAGTAACAATGATTATTTAAAGCTTTATGCATGGTCAATAATATTTATATTTTGTTTACTTCTTAAAAAGTTTCTACTGATTTTGTAATTGCAACCACAATCAAGATTGTTGGAAAATTTCCCCTTTCCTGTACTTCTCAATATTGGTGACGTGAAAATTGGACCCTACCAAGAAAGCTCAAAATCGATCAGTTAACATGATATGTACCTCTATTTAGTGGCAATGTTTATTTAAAGCTTTGTGCACAGTGCTAGTCTTCCAAACATAGGAAAAGAACACAATGATATTTATATTTTGTTTACTTCTAAATAAGTTTCTGCCGATTTTGTATTTGCAACCACAGTCAAGATTGTTGAAAAATTCCCCCTTTTTTTATAATTCTAAATGATGGTGACTTGAAAATTGGACCTCACCAAGAAAGCACAAAATTGATCAGTGAACATGTCCTGTACCTTGCAACATGATATGGTTCTTACAAAATACAGCGAATAGCTGATGAGAATGGATAAACTTATCAACCCAGAGAGTACTAGTCTGACACAAAATTCTCTCAACGAATTTACGAAGAAGCATATTGTAGCTTGAGAGTAGCGTTTAAAATCAAACTAAGGAGTGAAATGGATTAAAAGAAGAATCGATCGTAGATTGACTGTTCGTACGTGTAGTTGTAAACTAAGTTATTTAAATCAGTGGCAGGTTCATTGATCTGCGGTAGATTCTGATTTATTTAGAAAACATTCGCTTATTTATATGTCCTTGTGACAGTGTAACTTGTCCATGGAACACCTTAAAGGTGTGGCGAGACGTGTAAGTCAGGATCGGGTTTTAGAAAGCGTTTTGCAGTAGTCCTAATTTAGCTGTTAAGATGTCAGCATATGGCTTTTCCTATGCAGTTAACATAGTGTTTCGGAGTTTCGAGGAACTTGAGCAGGGTTTATCACTGACAATATTAAGTTTACATTAGAAGAAATGGACAGGGGAGAAGCACAACTAATGTCATGTAGGAGTTTTAAATGTATATTTTTGATAACTATTAGTATTCCCTAGTATATTTTTAAAATGCAGAAATTTGACTTTTTTCAGCACCATAAGAATGTGTTAATAAAGAACGTTCAGGTTTATCAAAAGCAGTCACCGTTTCTTAACGTTTGAGCAAGAGGATCGAAATTGGGTTTTTTTCATCGCACTACAGTACACCATGCTTACTACTATTGTGGATTAGGTCATGTAATTGTTATAATTGGGGGAAATTCCCAATCATGAACAATACTGAGACACTTTCCTTGATCCCCCGCCTGCGCCCCCCCCCCCCCTCCTTCCGTCTCTTGTTAGTGTTTCTTTTCTGACTTTTGTATCGCTGATAGCAATAATCACAATGAAAATAGAGACAACAATAGACGAGAATAATAAAGGACGAATACTACTTTCCTTTTATTGATTCTCGTTTTTTTTCTTTTGAAGGAAGCTGGTTCCGACATACGAATTACAGTCTTTTTCAAACCTTGAATTTTTTTGTTGGAGATCCCCGATTTAGGAATGCCTCGTGATACTGACTGCTCAATAACAACTCGAATTTGAAATTAAAAATTCTCGTTTAGTAGAATAATTTTCAGATTCGTGTAAATAAATAAAAAATACCCATGAATTAACAGAATAAACCTTCGAATCAAGATTTTATTTATCGTATAGAGCTAAATACATGTAGTTGTTACCACTATTTGATTTATATGGATTTTTACAACGTTATTTATCGTTTCATTTCTCAACTGGAATCACGCAAGAAACTTTTTAAGTTCTTCTCCAGAAAGCATTTCTTATAACCCAGCTCAAAAATTGATTATTTTTTCTGGCTTACAAATTTGGAGCTCTGGAAGCTTAAGACCATCATCTCGATCGCTCTTGAAATCAGTGTCAACCACCAATCGAAGTGCACTACTCCTATCGACGTCTCGATGAAGCCAAAGTCCGAGAGAGGGAAATACAAGACCATGGCCCACGTGAGACCCCACTGGCGCCTCACTGTAGATATATAATGGCTTAATTGACCAAGTATGTCTGTAGGATTGGGGGTACCTAAAGGGGACTGCCAGATCATAAATATGTTAAAACCAGAGTTGACTCCGCGCACAAATAATATATTTTAAAGCGTTGCATCGATAAGGCACTCATTACAATAATACTAGTCACTGCTTAATATTACTATTTAGCAGCTCGGAAGAGGGCCAGTGGTTTAGCTATCAGCCTTTTAGAATTGGTTATAGGGGTTGTTGTTGATTCAAGTCTGTTAGTGTGAAAGGAGCAGAAAAAAAAAACGCTGGAGCTGTAGTCGAGCAATCAAACTTATTTCGCTTTCTGACAAATACTGTCACAATTTTAAACGAGCTTGACTTCTATTCAACCAATCTAAATTGAATGTATACTTGTGACGGACACTTTGCTTTATCTTTATCTTTTTTGTTTTTGTTTTTTTTTTTGCTTCTGGCTCTAAATTATCTCAGAATTTTGTATCTTGTTGAACGAAAAATAGTTTCATTCAGTCTTAATTGTTTCTACGTTAACTGGTTGCTTTCATGCGGAATGTTTGCTATAGAAAATAACTATTTGCGCTTGGTCGAAAAATTCTATAAAACAATGAATAATGATATTTGCATTCTATCTTCTAGTTTAAAAGGACTTATTCTCTTCTTACAAGTAAGTTATAAAACTTTAATGAACCTTCAGAAGCTTTCCCTTTAGTCAATTATCTTTTCACTTTACTGCGGGTATTATGTTTATGTTGTTTTGAGTAGATCATAATAGGAGTAATAGAAACACTGGAAAATACAGTATGTTCTCATTTTGTTTGCATCAATTATTTATAGAAAAGAAACCAAACATAATATTTATAATTCTTAGTTTGAAAAATTAATCCAAATTTCACAGCAGTATACTCATCAGCATTTCATTTGCATGATATATCTAAAGCAATGTTTTGAACTCACCTAGCCAAGAATATCTTATCCTCTTTATTGAACGTATAAATTTTTTAATAGAGATGTTCATTAGGTTAGGTGAATTCAGATCATATTCTGTTTTCAAGGGTTGTAACAAGTCGTCTCTGATCCATCAGGTTTTAAAGGAAAATGATCGTTAATCCATGGGTGAAAAGTGTCGTTCTTTTAGCACTGATGATCTATCGTAGCACGCTGAGCGGTAAGTAATTACCACATTGATGGTTGGTTCTGTTTCGCAAGGATCAGAGAAAATTAAGAAGTAAAGTCACGCCGTAGAACCTTGTAAACGTGGTTTAGGCAGTTAGCAATTGCTGCGCCCCTTAAGCAAAAATTTTGAGTCATTTACCATCGACTCAATCGAGCGCCACTCTATGTCAAAATGTTTTTTGTCCCCTTTTACAGAGTGATTTGAAAGGGTTATTGAGTTTTTTCTTTCTGTTTTTCTTTTTCTTCAATAACGCGTAATCCATTCCCCTTTAGCGAAGCTTTGCGAACGAAAATGAAGTTTAAGCCTCAAACATTTTCACTCTGAATTTCATTCCCAGTGTTGATAGTCCAACCTTTGTCTTTTATGACAAATTCCATCTTAAGCCGGGTAAAATTGCAAAGGTTAATTGTGGAACATTCACTAAGTTTGTATCGATATTTTGCGTTTTCATGCTGAAGTTTTACTCTGTGCTTGTAATTAGTTTTATGGAACGGCCACCTATCACTTATTTTTGCGTACATCCATGTGAATAACAACGCAATAAAAGTGGGTTTTTAATTATTTATACTATCACTTGACTATCAGTTTATTATGCAATACAAAAATTGCGGCGGATAAAGAAAAAAGTTTATCCACGTGAAATACGTACCGAAGACCCTAGGCGTCGTCTAACGCGTGGTGATAAGGATTATTAAATTTAGAGATAATTCGTCATTTTCTTTTATTTTGCCTAAAACAATGGTGAACCATATATCTTTTCTCCGTTGAAGTCCCACGGGTTCCATCGACCGAAAGACAAATATTATGCGATAACCCAGTGTAAAGAGGACCCTACTAAGAGTCTAAAGACAGGTCACCTGCTTAATACAGATTTCACAGTTATTGCACGAACATCTGTTGGTGAATCAAAAGCATTTCAATTTTACTTTTAGAAAGAACATGCAAAAGTGATCGTCCTCAGCAAGTAGTATTCAGCCAAAGAGTACAGGACTACATTCTGTCAGGTCCCGTAGTCACGACAGAACTAGTTGCTAGTGATCAAGAGTGCCAGATGCGATGCATTTTGAGTTTTAAGTGTGATGTTTACAACTTGGGTCCTCTGGATGATTCTTTTCGTCGATCCTGTCAGATCTTGAGATATGACCTCAAGAGTTACATTGTTAAGCGCCAAAAGGGCTGGAGCTTCCGGGCGAGAAAGGTAGCATGTTTTAACTTTGGTTTAAATTTTGAAAATCATCGGAGGCGAGAGACCTCATAGACGACTTTCCCGCAGATTTCGGAAGGTTGAGTCCGAGCGAATATGGAAGGTTGGGTCCGAGCTCTAGCAATGATAGTATCTTTTTAATTTTTTATGGAAAAAGACACTTTTCTCTTAGACTCCCTCTCTTGGCAAAGCAAAATGTATGGCTGTCAGAAGCTGTAATTTAAACCTGACGAAATCCTAATGAAAGGGCTGAAGTGGGATGGGAAAGTAACTTCATTTTGACCATCATCCCGTTCACGAGAGTAAGCAGCCGCACTTACAAGTTGTTTCATGCATACGAATACGGTATAAGCACAGGCTAAGTTTTATGAATAGCGTCAGTTCAAATGATATACTGAAACCACAAGTAGGTGGTTTTTAACATTCTAAGAAAGAAAACTAATCTAAGTCCCACCCAAAAGCTACTCTTCTCAATTGAATGAATGTTTTTCAACACTGAGGCGTTACTTCCGAAATAACTTTTGTAATGTTAAATCCCGAGAGGGCAGTACATATTATTGGGAATAGATATTGATCCCTTTTCAAACGAGCTTTATTTGAAGATCTAACTGAAGATGTCGATGAGAACTTCAAGACGGTGTCATAGTGGCCTTTATAAACAAAATAATTTCCCTTAACCACAGAGAGATCTTTTTAACTATAAATGTTTTATTTTGCGCTATTAATGCGTCATAGATATATTTCCCCTTTCTGTATACCAACATCTTATTTATTTTCACAGTGCACTTGTTCTCCTTGTTTGAATGGTGGTATTTGTTTCTCTATTGATGAAGCCAACACACCGCGTTGTGCTTGCACGAGTAACTGGAGAGGTCCTATATGCGCTGAAACAATCGGTGAGTAAACCATTAGACACACACTGTAAGTGTACGCCTAGTGTCACAAATGCTGTGTCATTTTATGTACCTGAATATAGAATAGTGTAACAAGTACAAGGCTGTACTGCGCTTTATCCTCGAGTCTCGAAACATTCGCATGTGTATGTGGACATGAAGTATTTAACATCATAGACAAAATTCAGTTTCCGTGATGTCCGTAACATAAATATGTTCCTTTACAAATTTGAATAGCACAACCTCAGTTTGAAAGCTAATTTGAGACCATAGTTGACAAGTTTTCAACCAGAATATTGAGGTAACAGATGTGATACAGCCATTTTGCTCTCGCACTGGAAAGATCTGAAGTCATACCAAAGGCTACGCAAGGAACCCAACTGACTAAATCAGAAAACTGTGTTCGTCTTGTCGCGTTATTACATCCGTTGCTGTTCAATTTTCATAGACATTGATTCACAAATAGATCCCATGTAGTCTTACGTCTGTTCAGTAATAAATCATAGATGATGTCAAATTGTGGTAGAGTGTCACTGATGTTCTTACCACATATTGACGTCTTCTATGATCTATTACTATACAGACTCACGGCAACATGGCATTTATTTGTATTATATGATAACAAAGCAAACTGTTGTTAGTGGTGACGTCATCTATGCGCCTGTCTTCCAATAGATCGTAAGTAAGAACCAATTAAAAGGCGTGTATCATCCATTTAAATATATTATAGACAGTTACTCATTCTAACTTTTCTTTAAATATAGCTTTTATTGCAACTAATTTCTTAGACCAGAGTATAAGTTGCGAATATAATTTGCCGGTTTCCAGGTTGCAGAAATGACTGGAAAAACTACAGTATATTTTGCTACAAAATGTTCAAAACGGAAAAAGTGACATTTTTCGAGGCTAATTCCAGCTGTATAAACGAAGATGCTGAACTGGTTTCAATTGAGGACTTTGAAGAATTACGTTTTCTTGACGAGCTCTTAAGGCAGGAGGGTGTCGAAAAGATATACGTGGGTATGACTGACATTGCAGAAGAAGATCGATGGGTGTGGATGGATGGTAGTCCTGTCACTTTGGATCCCCTGTGGCACGGAAATCACCCGGATGGTGGTACAAAGGAAAATTGTGGGGAGTATGTAGAGAATCATGGCTTCCATGACAAAAAATGTGAAAAAGATAGGAGATATTACGTTTGTAAATACTCGTTGTATCGCCCGTAAATTTCCAAAGTTCCGGATGAACACCCCAGCCAAAGATGTGTCTGATTAAATATCGGATAAAGTTAAGCAATTTGATATACTCAGTCGTTTGTCCACATCAAAAACGAGGCAGACCAGGTTTATCAAAGGAACGTATTCCCAGCATTTGAGCCCGGCCGATCTATGGGTGCCCCTTTCAGGAAAGCAAGTTAAAAAAAAAATCAGGCTTCCCTGATTTGGCTCTCCATTTAGGCTGTTACGGCTGAAGAGAGGCACTGAGAAACTTTACTATTTTGTCCAAGAACTGATTAACTCCACAAAATCACTTTCACGCCCATGATTACCACGCTTTTCATGTTTTCTTCAAAATCCCGGATGGGTTTTATCCACCTTGGGAACACTGGAAAAATGCGTTCTATTGTAAAATGGAATCAATTGAAAGAATTGATCAGACTGTAGTTTTCATGTTACCTTTCTACCTTTTTAACTTATGGATACGCGAAGTGTTGAAATAAGTTTTTAATGGTGACTCTGATATGGAAATGGGTCACTCACTTACTCACTAGGATGTAGAAACACTGTAATTTGTCATCCCAAAACTCGCTCGGGCCTAACGCCATCATCTTGGAATAGTAGCCCCGCATAAACGATAGCCAGGCTTGTTACAGTTTATACCTAGCATTGTTGCCTTAAATGTCACCTTTCGGGTGACCAAAAACTTATTTAGTAAAAGCGCAAACCCAATACTGTGAATCGCTTCGATTGTTTACGATCTGATGTAGACAAGAACCGTGGGAACAATTCAATGCAAGTTTATCGATTAACTTCAATTACTAGTATATAGACATTAGCAGCTGGGGCAATCAGTAACACTTTGGCAGACCAAAATAATCTCGTGCCTCTCTGACTTAAAGAAGACTTTTTTGATTTACTGCCACATATCTTTAACTTCAAAAGGTGGAAAAACTTGCGGTCACATAAAAAACGTTCTGAGGTGCAACGTTTCCGAGGCTGAGAAATTTGGAGGGTTGTTATCAGATGCAAGCGGGAGAAAACCTCGTGAACAAAGTTAAACGCGTTACAAAGCAATTATTTCTTGAGCGCCTGTGAGGCCAAACGTGACATAGGAATGTAATTTGGATTGTGTAGCCGCAGAAAGACTTGGACCGCAGCTACTAACTTTGGAAACAGAAATTTGATGACCACAGGATATGTGTTAGTACTATTTACGTAGACTGTGTTTCATTATTCTACGGATTTGGATGGTAACCATCATCCTGGATTTGTCCATGACTTTATGGAAGCTTTCGGGCACAGTCACAAAGTGAGGCCGAAAAACCCCTCGACACTACTTTAAACATTTTTACATGCTTTTATCATTACATCGCAAGTTTTGATACAAAACTACTAATTGCAAGCGAACAGACATATTTCATTTCTAGATTATTTTATCCACTGGTTGGCAATAGGTATTCCTTGATTCAAAATTGTATTTGCATTATTGCAAATATTTATTGAAGTATTAGCTCTAAGTGTTGGAGTAAAGATAAATAAGACAAATCCTTTGTGCGTCATTTTTATAAGAGCTATGTGGGTCCATAAAACGATGCAATTTAAATGAAAGGCTTCCAACCTGGCCTCATTTCAAAAGAGAGGGCATCTCAGAAATGGTTCATTGATCCTTGAAGATCATTTGATATCTTCATAATGTTCAGTATTATGGCCCCAACTATAGTATTTTAAAAATATTTGAAATTCAATTCTTTGTGCCGGAAACGGTTGGAGTGCATAACTTTTCTTATCGTTTTCTCGAAAAGTTTGGGAATAGAGCGCAATATAATGCGTTTCAGTCTTAACCATTTGGACCATGGAAATGATTTTTATTTTAAATAATCATTCAATTGAATTTTCCATTTTGAAAAAAGGTTACTTATTGACGCTAAGGTTCCTTTTAATCACTTAATTGTTAGTAATTACACTTACATATACGAAAAAGAGATTTCACACTACCACCAATTTTCAATAGAAATCTATAAAAGCAAAGCTATGTGATGTATGAAGACAGTTGCTTTGATTACAAAAATTCCACTCTTCAGAAAAAGGCTTTCTCAGACAGGAATATGTTCTAAACAGTCTGAGAATATTTACAGCTGTACAAGGCTATTACAAAAAGCCTTATAATTAATTTCCACAAATAAAATATCTGTTTAATACCGAACTAATTTATATCGCTCTGAAGAAGTCCCTGATAATGAACCCGTACTTTGGCGTAGCATAATTCAATCTCTTTCGTTTTCAAAAGTTGTACAAAAACGTTGTTGTTTAAAGCAAATGTTTCCTGGACTTCAAATGAAGCACATGGTTGTATTTTTCATTGCTTACACTCATTCTGTGGTGTTGTTTCAGACTGAAAACCTGCGATCTCTTTCTCCGCCAACAATGCCTTAGAAACTGTACTTCCTTTATACTAGTATCTTGCGCTCTTAATTACATAGCAATGAGCATTTAGAGGCTGATAATGCATCCCTCACTGAGTGTCAATGATCCTGATCCGTTATTTTCACCAAAGGTGGGAAAGACTTTGACTGCTGAAGGTAATTGGGGGTCCTCACCTCTTCATCGGAAGTCGTGCCATCGTCAACTATACGAACGTTCTCGTAGAACTGTGTACTATCCCATGACTGCAACAAAAGTATAGACAAACTTCTGTCAATGTCGAATTTGCTTTTAAACCCAATGAAATTAATTCAGCGATAAAAAAGTAACCACACAGAATGTAACAGTAGTATTTCAACCAACTAGATTTTCGTCCACGGATCCCAGCTTTAAATGGACTAGACGCGGAAACCTGAGGAAAACCTCTCGGATCAAGGAGTAGAGATAAATTCAGACTGCACCCCAACCTGGATCAGAGGAATCGGAGCTGAGTGCTCCAAACTCGGCACCGTCCCTGCCCTCTCCTCACGCCAAAATATGAAAACCACCTCTAAGCGGTCACCCAGTACTAACAAGAGTATTACCCTTACGGCAGTCAATTATCAAAATTCCGAAGTTAAGTTCTGTATAATCCTGAAAATATTAGAACCGACCTCTAAGAAGCAGCTATTAATACGGAATCAAGCACTCATTTGTAAACTGTATAGATTAACTGAAGTCTTGACTACTCGGGGGACTGTAGAATCAACGAAATGCAATGACATGACTGTATTAAGGACACCTTACCTGTTCCTTGTCGCTTAATAGCGGTCTACCAAGCACACTTGGCAAATTCTCAGGCTCCAGACTGGAAATAGTTAGACCAACCAACACAAGTACTATACCTGAGGGCACAGAGGTTGATAACAAATTTCACATGGATAATAACGATAATCGATTGTTTATTGTAATCGTCACGTTGGTGAAGTGGTGGAAAGTAGATGATATTCGGCTATGTAATGGCGATTACGATAATAATGATGAAAATTACGACGAGGGTGGTAATAACAGTATGACGATAATGACAGTAATGATGATGATGATGATGATGACGAGTACGGAGATGAAAATGATGATGATAAAACTGCCGATGACGATGACGAGTGTAACAACCAAGTGGAATCGTCCTTTCTCTATTATCGGCTACAAAACTCTAATAACAATAAAGGGATGAAGTTCCTAAGGAAACTGTGGTGCTGCGTCGGTGGGAGAGTACATATATAACAGGACAAATCGCTCTGACGAAGGGCTAACGCTCGAAACGCCAGCTTTTAAACTTTTTACGTTGGCCAACATTTAAGTTCACCATTACCTCTTTATTAGAATGTCGCTTAAGAGGGCCACATGGTAAGGTGGCTAGATTTTGAACTAAAAGCCTCCTGCTGTACAAATTGTTGCACTAGACGAAGATTTGTTTATCGTTACCGACTTACCTACAACCTCGGAAATAATGTACCCAACATCTAGCATCTTAAATTCTCTGACAAATATCCAGTCCTCGAACCAGACTACTATTGGGACCATGCATAAGACGCGGTTAGTCACCACAGCCCCTAAGAGATAACGCAGGGTCAGTAAGCACAAATTTGGTATAAACTGACTCCGACGGCCCTAAACGTTAATGCCATAATTAAGTTAATTCATAATATTAAGAAGAGCAATGAGATTAAAATTGGGTGAAAGTTACGAGTCTCGGGGCTTTTCAACGAAAAATGAAGAATTCTAGGTCACCGCGAAAATTCTGAAACAATTCGTCGAATTTACGGGATATCTATCGTTTCGGCGTATGCGATTGTTTGGCCCTGAAAATTCTATTAAGATTAAAATAGAGAATTCGCTCTGACATTTCGTTAAGTCTGTGCGCTTTTCTTTCACTGCAAAATAGGAACGCGAACAGTAATATTTCCATGACTGATACTAGTATGACAAATTTGCTACTGCGTGCGCATGGATGTCACATCACAACAACATCAACAATCTTTAAAATCTACTCTTCCAAACCAAATCTACAAGTCGTTACAAGAACTAAACCGTGAAAAAAAATTAAGTACTGATTGACTGGGACCATAAAGGGATTCCGGAACCAAGAGGGATGACATGAGTGATTGTGGGAGATGAAGATATCACTATTGAAAAACTGAATAACAGGTAACTTAACATCCTTACCAACTTCATTCATCATGTAATCCACTAGCAGTGCAGCCAGCCATCCAGATATCAAAGTAAGGAAAATTATTGAGAAAACTGCCTTGCCATCCCCCCAGTTTATCTACAAAGATGAACAAAATAATGATCTGTTTACATTGTACATATAATGGTAATCTAATGTCCTTAACATATGTTACCAAAAGGCCTAGGAACCGCTATAACCCATACTAACCACAAACACAAGATGCATCACACAAGGTCTGAGCTTACTGGTAACCTTTGTAAAACAAAGGCCTCTTGTGGGTGGTAACAACAAGCTATTCTAACTATCATTTGCAAGCAATTAAAGATTATACAAATGTTATTAAAAAAACGCACACATATTACAGCTACATGTGGCAGCTGAAGCATGTAACCTAGGTGATGTGCTTTTGGAGAAAGATAGAGTATTATGCTAAATTCAAAAGTTGACATGCTCAAATAACAACAAATCCATCTTTGCATTTTCTTTCTGGCAATGTATCAGGTGCACAGGAAAATACAGATGGAACTAATTAAAATCCTTTGGACCTGAGAACCATCATAACCTCTGGATGTAAGGTATATCTGCACTTTACCTGATCATAATCCTCATGTTTTTGCATGATAAAGAAAAGTCCCAGAGCAAAGATCCCACCAAAAATATTGTTACCAATACCACCACTGACATAGTGAATGTTTCCTCTCTTGGAGCGCCAAAATACTGCAAAAGAACCATTATAGCTGTTTTAATTATCTTGTATTTCTCTTTTGAGAAACCCAAATGTGTGGGCAATCTTGCCAAATGTGGTTCAGAGACACTCTTTAAAATAAAACAAGCTACATTGTATAATCAATCTATTTGTTCAACCTGAACAAGCAATTCAGTTTCATCACCATTTATTCATATGCTAATATATCGGGATAATGATGGCAGGTCAAGTAGTAGTATATATACATATAAACAGCAGCTAATCTCCTACAGAACACTCAAGTACTCCTGATAGATTTCAAAAAACAATGAGAAACTAAACACCATTAAAGAATATGGAAATGACATCAATTATTTTCAAGGCTGGCTTCATAGTCTCAATAAAAACTGTATGATTCCTCCAGATGATGACTGACTATTGGCTGGGCTCACAAGAGAACCTCCTGTGGAACATCAGAGAGTAGCTTCCTTCCCTAACCCTTTCTCAATTTTTTGCTCTGTGTTTCATGATGACAGTTTTTAAATTCTCTTTTGTCTCCTTTCCTCATTGGGTTATCAATTCATTAGATCTAAAATGTGGTATTCTGTCCACTTTGGTTTGGGAATTTGGGGATCTCTGACATGTGACCCGATTTAAATGTTCCTAATCAATTGCCTATTTCAGCCCTTCAAGCTTTGAAAAAATGATTCTTCTCAGTATTTAAAAATTTGCTTGGAACTAAAAAAAAAAAAAAAAACCTTCTTAATCTTTAGGCGTCTTATTATGATTCTGTTTTGAGTTTAGAGGAGAAATTGTCTCAAGACTGACTGGCGTAGTGATATAGGTACTAAACAGATATCTTATATCTAGAAGCTAGTTTTGGTCTTTGCAGATGTGTCAGCTAGCAGAGAAACATTAAATGAAATGTTACATGTTCTTCACACTAAAAGAAGGAAGAGTGTTTATATTCCCAAAAATCTGCAAATACCAAAACCAAGCTCTCTAATAAGATATTTCTTAATTTCTTTTTGTTATATATCTGAAGTCAACAGAAAAATAAATAAGAAACACCTTAAGAAAAAAATACTTACTTGAGCTCATTGACCACATTACTGATCCACCCAAAAGAGCCAGTAAAGATCCAGCTAACTCTGCAGCTGAAAATGGGGTACATTTAGACATGTTCTCTTCATTTACTGAGGGTGACACAGTTGTATTGTCACTGATGTTCATTGGTACTGTAGTGCCATTTGGTAGACAAGATTTGGGATTCTTTGCAGCTAAACCAATGTCTGAAGCTGAGACCAAAATGATTCCAATAGATCCAATGACAATTGCACCAAGTTTGCTTGCAGAAACTTGATATGTGGACTTAATGCATAGAAGAAGACAAAGATTGAAATTTAAAAAAAATAATAAAAGCAAGACAAACATTGAGATATCTTTCAGCTGGTATCTCATATCATTTAACCCTTTAACCTTTAAACCCCTAAGAGTGACTAGCTTCTAATGTCACCCCTGAATCACACATTACGGTCATAAGAATAAAGCAAATGATCACCAACTGAAGAAGCTTTTGATCGTAAAAGAATTTCTCCTTGTCAATGCCTTGGGAAATGAATAGAGTCGAGTATAGAGAATATGCATACTCATAGTAGAGCTAAAAGGTTAAGTTCTATGAGTAACCAAGACAGAGTTTCTTCTTACAATATCAATACAATATCAAGCAGACAAGTGATGAGATTATGGAAAAGTATCAATAAGGATATCATAAGTTGATCTAAAACCAGATTCTTCCAACTAAAATCACAAGAATTATATAGCAGATAGTATAGATATTATGGATGAGATCTTGGGAATGCTAGTGGGGTTAAAATGGTGGATTGTTTCTATCTAACAACTGAAGTGGATTCCATTGATAACACTGACATTATGTCAAGATGTGGCAAGAACTGAACAAAGCAGCACATGAACCACAGGCACAGTGCACCACTGAGTGAAGTTCTTTCCACAATCTGGCACCCTCTGAAATGATCAGTCACACCAGAAAAAAATGGAATCCCTGTATAATTTGTTTAATTAAGGAGCCTTTATAGACTATATGTGAAAAAAAAAAATTCACATTACTTAACCCAGGGCTTGTACAACAAGAGATGGAAATTCTACAGTAAAAGCATGATTGATGCCACTATGAAATTTCACTTTCCATGTTCTGGTTGAAGATACATATTTACAACACTGCATTAATCAATCCATTCCTTATTGCCTCTAAGGACAGAAGCAAGAAGTTTAAAAATCCAGATGAGGAGGAAAAATGTAGGTGGCAGTGATGGAGGAAAGAAAGTGTCTTAAACTGTTCATTGATGTACCTCAGATTTGTCAATGTTGTTGTTGGTTTTTTTTTCACTGAAATTGGAGAACTGCCAGCTCAACTAGCTCTGATGAAAAAAACTATTATAAGACTGGTCTTTGATCTTAACCAAATTAAAATAATAAAGAAAGGAAATTAAACTGCTATAAAATGGCCCATGCTCGCAGACCCATTTAATTCCTTTACCGTTGCCCTGGAATGTAATCCTCTATAGTTGCACTGTTTAGTGCTACACAAACAAGACATGACATTTGCAGTTGTCTTTTAGCAGCCAAGTTCCCATCAAGTTTTGTCGTGAAATCCCCCTTCACTCTCCCGAGCGCTACAAACTCAGTTCTCTCGTCCATACTGAACCAGATAAATGAACATTGCACACAAAATACACGAACCAATTCTCAACTAAAAAGCACATCTCGGGCATCTATCTCTAAAACTCTATAAAAAACGTTGATCTATTTATATATATATATATATATATATATATATATGTACATGTATAGTTCTATACGCTCTCTCGGGCTCCTCAAACTTCTCGCGTGCAAACAGAACTCGATAAATACACACTGCGTGACTACTAGACGAACTATTCTCAACTGAAAAGTAGATTTTCGATACGAATTTTTCAATTTTCTACAAAAAAAATCTACTTCAGATCGTTGATTGTTGGGGTAAATTTACATGTATAACTCCCTACGCTCTCTCGACTCCTCAAAATTCTCGCGTGCATCCTAACTCGAAACAATCACAGCATGTCGACTACTAGACGAACCATTCTCAACTGATAAGTTCATTTTAGACACGTATGTTTCAAACCCTACAAAACAACGTGAATCTTTTTCAGGTCGTCGTTTGTAGGAAATCGATTTAATCTGTGACACTTTGGAACAAGCAAACAAGAAATGTATAATTCTAAACACTCACCCTGCCACAAGGCAGTCTCTCTAAAAGAATTGAAAACCACGGAGCTGCTGTCATAAACACTCCGGCTGTAATAGGATTTAACACTTTCAAGCCGTACATAAACAGGATGTAGGGAGCAGCTAACTGAACAAATCCCATCACAGCAAATTTCCAGAGATTCCTTACTGATTTGAAGTTATTTCGGAAATTTTCTTTATGTTCACTGTTTGTTGATGAAAGGAAGGTCATGTAAACAATGTAAAGCGCTACAGTCCCTGGCGTTCGAAGAAGAAAGACGAGACTCGGTGAGTTGTAAGAATGTACCGCGCAATACATAACCACCGGGAAAGTTCCTCTGATTATTCCAAGGAAAAGGAACGCTGAAAGACTTCCTGTAGTAAAATGTCCTCTCGGGGCCATGATTACTGCTGAACAGTGCGTCCGCGTCGTGACGACAAGTTATCAGAAATGCTCGATCTACAAATTTCGATTATTGAGGTTCACTTCCGTTTACTTCCCAGATGCCTTTGCAAGCGGTATCAGTGTAGCTCGAAAAGGCCTCTGGACAACCTGGGTCCCAGATTTCTAAAATTGGTCCTCGGTAACTTTTTGCACTTTTCGTCTGCTCAGATGATAAACTGATTGCAAGAGATTATCATTCTCCTGCTGATTGGTATTCTTTGCAATTTGAGAACTGCCATGTCCGTAGAAAGGCCTTCTTTCATAATAAGGAAGCGTACTTATATGAAATAGTATCTCGCCAACCAAGAGAGGTTAATTTTTTCTAGCCACAAAAAAGGCTGAGTGCGATTTTAAACAACGATTTTAGGTACGGGTGACCCGGTGATTTAACAGAAAAATGGGTTTAACCCGTGGATTTTTAACGACATAATCTATGGTGTCCTGAAAACTTCTCCGGTTTTGAAATTATTGCCTCTCTGTTTCGCTCAAGACAACCTCAGCTTTTTAAGATTTGTCCTTCAAAATTAAAGTCTGCCACTCACTCTACAACCATGGCCATGAGTCAGAGATCATTATGCATCATTTGAAATATGCCACTTTCTTAATAACCCAGTATGTTGTTGCACCTTGAAACTTCGCGGTAAAATCAGAAATTGGGGGCTTCTTCAAATCACCAAATGATAATCATATTACAAGAGAAAATAACAACAAACCAACGAATGAAAAGAAACTAATAATTGAAATAGGAGAAAGAGGGGAACTCCTTCACGAGGCATGGGCTACAAGGTGATACGACCTTCATCCAGAAGTCCTTGCGTGACGTAAAGAAATTGATTGGCGCCTGGGTAGGAGCGGAAGTGAACTCTTTCTCGAGAGACCTTAACTTCACTCTAACATAGTAAAAGAATTCAGTTATGCCTCAGCGAGTGCCTTTCACTAAAAGAACGATTTTAGCGTTTATTTTCCTCGGAATTATCTGGGGAACTTTTCCTTTGGTGATACACTGTGCAATTCGTTTCATCTGTGGCAGAGATTCACCAGCACTTATTTTTGTCTTTCGTACTCCAGGAGCCGTTGTTCTCTATGTTGGCTCGTTTGTATTCCTCTCGCTTGGAAGCACCAATAACAGGGAGTTACTCCTTAACAACTTCAAAATCGCGAGGAATTATTGGATGTTTGCTGTAATGGGTTTGATCCAGTTAGCTCTACCTTACATTCTATTTACGTACGGATTGAAAGTCTTGAGCCTAACAACTGGTAGTGTCTTCATTACATCAGTTCCGCTGTTCTCCATAGTGTTAGAGAGGTTGCCTTTTGTACAGGTGAGGTAATTTTATTCGAAAATTCATTCCCTACCCTAAATGTTCTGATATAAAATCATTTTGATGTTTCCAATGATTTTGCACGGAAGGCTACAAGAAAGAAATTCATGCAATCACATGACAGACAGCATATTACATTTGTTGCTAAAAAAGGCCTACGAAAAACATCATTCATCCCGACCCCAAAAAAAATTAATTAATAAATAAAAAAAAAAGAAATATTGAAAAAAAGAAAATATTTAAATCAGTGATTCACTTAATCTTTAGCCTTTCAAATTTCTGACAGAAGTTCAGTGTGTTTTGGGATTGTTTTGCGAAATGACAAAAGCGGAAGTCAGGGAGACTTCTTCGAGTTTCCGAGAAAACCGGAAACAGAAATGCGGAGTCGGTGCCCTGGTAACTAGAGGTGCATTCATGCCCAATCTCTTTTTGAACGAACACATAATCCAAAATAAAGATGGCGTCCAAGAAAACCGCTCAGGGATACCTTCAGACGTTTTTGTTCCTCGATTTTTGCGTTCGTGGGAGGAGGAAGGGAGGAGGAAGGGAGGAGGAGGTAGCCAGCGATGAACTAGAATCCCATCAAGCATGCTGCAGAAGCCGAGATAAGCTTTTGTTTCTAGTGGGTTATCTGGCTCGAGTGTAAACCTCAGTTCTACTCTGCACTTTTGTAAGAAAGTGAATAACCACATTTCTTGGCTTACTTGTATGGGTTTTATTCTTCTTAATTTGTTATTTTCTTCATGTGAAGATTCTCGATATTTGCCATACAAAAACTTACCATGGGAATGAGCATTTTAATGATAATAATAATAATAGTAATGATAATGATAATAATAATAATAATACTGATAATAATCATAATTTAAATTAATGCTTACATAGTGCTAGGATTCCATAGGTAGATTATCTTTAGTGCTTTACAACATTCTAAATAAAACCTATCAGCTTTAAGTTATAAAATGTCGTATCTATCAATTTTCCTACTATTTACAATCAGGTATAGGTTAAATGGCAATTCTGTACACTATTTTAACGCGCAAAATCTAGACTACTATCCACACTTAATGAATTTATTAAAGGTCATGAACAGGACAAAGTAGATGCGTTTTTTTAAAGCTGACTTTAAAATGTGTGCACTACAAATTTTAGATGATATCTATTAAATAAAATAATAATAACAATCAAAATGGTATTGATGGTAATAGCACTGATTACATAAGTTATTTGATGAAAACTTCTATGACAATCAGCATACATATACTTAAAATGCAAAGTGAATGTGTGATTCTAATCATTTGAGTGATGCTGATTAGAAGAAAATATGTTTTGTTGCCATTGGTGTTACAAGCAACTAGGTTACCATTTCTAGACAAAAAATTAAACATGTTCATTTTTTCTTTTTTCGCATTTTAGCATAGTTAGTCTAAGCTCACACAATGAACTTCTATAAGTGAAAGGATTTGTATTGTGATAAATGGTCTTTTATAACTGTTCTGCATAAACTAATTATATTTGTTGACTCCATCTGTTTTAATCCTTCAGAGCACATACATGTACTCGATATCCAAATGCAAGCTTGCTGCAGTATTGTCTATTGCTCTAGCTGGAATTACTATGGTCTCAGCAGTAGGCATGAACTTGGCACAAGATTGTGGCAGTTACTGTGGCCAGAGAGAAGAAAAACCTGAGGAAGATACCTCCCCAGAGATGGCATTAAGGAACAGCAATTTGAGGAACTTACAGACAAACTTACTTCGCACAGTGCAAAGATCTTGCACTCCATTCTCAGTCATGGAATTAACAGGATCTTTACTGGCTCTTATAGCAGGATCCATCTCATGGTCAATAAGCTCAGGTAAGTTCTATGGCCAACAGCCTGTGATGAAGTGAGACTTTTTCATTGCTAAATATACACCTGGAAACTCTGGAATAAGTGGGTTAAGAAGCCTTTCTTTGGAAGGGGGTGAAAAGGGGTATGTAAATCCACAGAGCTGCTTTGATTCAAAAACAAACTCTGTAGATCTGTTTTAAAAAAAAATCACTGGAAACTGTTTGCTACATGACTTGTGGATTTGTGAAAAACATACATCAAACTTTTGTGTGTTTTGTTGAAAATCATGCCTACAGTTTTTATAGAACCTTTAACTGAAAAAAGAAAAATTGAAAAATAAATTTTCAAAACAATCTGCATTTTTTTAAACAAATATTTTAAACAATTTTTACAAAAAAACTGATACAATTTTTTAAAACTAAACTAGTGAGCAGCACTCTGTAAACTGTTGTTATAAAACTTGTTTTATTCTCTGACATTTTTTGTCTCAATGTCATAGACTTCTTCAGCGAATTTTACAAGTTAACACTAATGGCCTGCATGTATATTTATAAGCCTAGTTAATAGCTATTAGGTAAGCAACTGACCATAAAGGCATGGCCAAATTTACAAACAGATACAGGAAAAGTTTTAGTGAAAACCATGACCCCCAAATCATTTTCTCACCTCACCTAGAGAATATTTTACCTGCTAGCTGCTAACTATGGCATATAGATGTAACAACTTGTAAAAATTCCCTGAAAAGTCTGGTACAGTTAGACAAACCATGTTGGAGAATAAAGCAAGTTTTACAACAACTGTTCACTGAGTGCTGCACACTATAGTTTAGGAAGAAGAAGTGTGTAACTTTTCAGGTACATTACATGTATTACACCAGGATTATGTCAGTTGTACCATTTTACACACTTTGGCCATTGCTCTAACAAACTGTTATGTGACTCTTAAACATCCTGCCATGACATGTTTTTGCAGTATTTTGGCACTCCAACAGAGGAAATATTCATTCAGTTAGTGGCGGTATTGGTAGCAATATTTTTGGAGGAATGTTTGGTCTTGCATTATTTTTTGTGATTCATCATGGAGATTGTAAGGTATTTAAATAGGATTACATGTGTTGTAAATTAATATGTTTTATAGAAGATCAAAGTTATTAAAATCATTAAATTCAATGATTATTGTGAATGTGCAGGGACCAAAAGAAAAATAGATTACTTGGAAATTATGGAAAACTGCACACTAAATGACATGAACATAACTACCATGACCTAGCCTCTTTCGTGAATTATATGTTTGTTAATTAATAATTTGCTGATGTTTTTTTACTTTTTGTTTTTCACTGTCCAAAAAAATGATGAGTTAACTATGATTAACCTTTTGTACCTCATTTAAGATCAACTGGAACTGGAGTGATCCTAAATCCATTTTTTACTGCATACTTTTCCTTGTGGTGATGTCTGACTGGCCAATAAGTTTTTTGTCAGATTTTATAAGAAGAGAAATTGGTGAGTTTAGATTAGATGTAGATACTTACTGGTAGCTCTATTCACTGTATTTATTGGCCACCTGTAATGACTTTGATATTTTGAAAGGCACAGTTACTTTTGATCAGTAACCATGGGGGAGGAACTGGGGATTAAAAGTTTTCAATTAATCACAGTTTCTTTGTGGCTTTTGTCATGGGAATGTGTCTCGTGCTTATAGATGATGTCTTTCAGGGCAGGTACACTGTAAGCACTGTTAGCATGAACATTGTCTACACCCGGAAATTATAAAGAAAACAATTGTCAAAATTTGTTCATTATTTTCTTTGTTTCCTTATTTTCAATACCTTGAGTGATTGTCCTTGAAAGCTTGTACCATCCTCTCATCCTGAATCAGGAACAAGTAAACCCATTTATGACTTGGTGATTCATTTCCAATGTGTATCTGGTTATTTACATTTTTAATTTAAGCTCTTGTATGGACTCTGTATGATATTCACCTTTATTTTGGTCAGCTCTAACATGAAATTAGTATAATTTCAATAATATCTCTACATTTTGTAAATTTTCATGCAAAGAAGGGCATGTTTAACATTCACGGAAGAGCTTGCTTAAAACTGTGGTGTTCTTGAATATATTAGAAGATATATTCATTTGTGTGGATCATAAAATGTTTAGTTTACAGATAATTAAGTAGCATTAAAAGTATTGCTTACTCTGTATGTACTGCTTCTGACCAATTTCTTTCATTCATTTTGCAGGTGCTGTGGTAGTAAATCAAGCTCTGTGCCTTGTGCCATTGATAGCTTTGTCAGAGGACTGGTTGTTTGTTCGACGACTTGAGGCAGTCAGTGCTTTACCATACACATCTATAATTATGGAAGTTGTTGGTTAGTTACACAGTATTTTTATCTCCTTCTGCACACTCCTCCTGTGCTCTCCTTCCTCTTCTTTGTCAACATCTCCTTATCCCTCACCCTCCTTCCTTCCTTCCTCAACATTATTCCCTTTTCCTTCCCCATTCCTCTCTCCTTCTCTCCCTCCTTCCTCTTTTTCATTCTCCTCTTCTCTACTTCTGCCCATCCTTTCCCTCCTCTTTTTTTCTGCTTCTCTCCTCAACTTCCTTCTCCTCTGCTCCTTCTTCTATCCTTCCCCCAGTCCTCCCCCAGTTCCCCCCAGTCCTCCCCCAGTCCTCCCCAAGTCCTCCCTACCACTTGCCTCCTCCTCTTGTTTTTCTCCCACTCTTCCCTTCCCTTCTCCTCTTCTGCCACCTCTTTTTCCCCCCGTTTTTCCTCTCACTATCTCTTTTTTTGTGTTGTGCTCCTATCGTCATCTCCCTTTTCTCTTCATCGTAATTTTTCATTTTCTTTCATTGTTTCACCCTTCCTCCTACTCTTTTTCCTTCTTTTATCTCATTCTCTTCTCTTCTTCTTATCTTGGTTTTCCTTTATACACTCTATTTCTTTTCCTACTCTTTTCCTCCTCTTTCCTTCTTTCTCCTTCTCCTTTCCACCGGTTTTCTCTATACTCCATCTTAACAAACTTTCCTTCCTCCCCTTCTATCTTCCCCCTTTTACTTTTACTTTATTTCTCTTTTTCCTCCTTTTAAATCTCGTCAGCTCTTCCTTCTCTTTCTCTTTTTTTCCACCTTCCTTTCTCCTCCTTCTTCCTCTCATCTCTCTCTGTATCTTAGATCTGTCTTCCCTATTCGTTACCTTTCCTTCCATCTCTTATTACTCCCTTTCCCCCCACACTCTATTTTACTGCTCCTTCATTTTCCTTCTTTATCGATTTTATCTTGGTATTCACTTCTCCGTTCACCTTCTCCTCTCTTATTCCTTTTCCTCTTTGTCGTCTTTCTCAATAAAACTACTCTCAAGCGTAAAATCCGTTACCTTTACATCTGATCGTTATTTTTCTTTCCTGCAGGTGTTGTGTTTGTGGTTGGAGCTGTTGCTATCTCCTCTGTAGAATTTACATGTAACAATCGTGAAAGCGCCATCCGTTCACCACTATTAAGTGAACTTAGTATGCAGAAGGTAAATATTTTGAAAGTGCGTTTTTCTTTTTCCATTCCATGGGGAAATATGGTTGCTTAGTTTCTAAAGAAACTGTAGTGCTGCTGTGCAGTGGGGGTACAACAAGATAATTTGGTTTCACAACTGGGTTGATGATGTAAATTGGCCACCGTAAAGAGATTCTAAAGCGGACGTTTTGAGCGTGAGCCCTTTGTCCGAGCGAGTGGCGAGGGGCTAACGTTCGAACGTCAGCTGTAGACTATCTACGGTGGCCGATTTACATTATCGACTCAGTTGATAAAACTAGATTATCATGATGAAATATTCTGTGTTTTGTTGTTGCTGCAAATTTTTGACTACATATTTGGGAGCAAGTGGGCTTTAGTGCCTGTGGGAGGTCCACCATTTTTTGACATCATATCCAGATAAGTTCATATGACACGCGTCCTGCATATTGCCAGGATCAGTTATGTCGATAGCGTCATGTTTATTGATAGAATAAGAGAGGTGGTAAGTTTTGAGCTCGGTAAAGAAATAGAGAAAGCACCACGCTCGTGACAAGACGAAAAACATCTTTCTCTATTTCTTTTACCGAGCTCAAACCTTACCATCTCTCTTATCTTGTTTTGTGTTTTGTTTTTGTTTTGTTTTTTGTTTTTTTTGTTTTTTTTTTGTCATGAATTGGAGACTGTGGAAACGTCATATTTCCTGAACGTTCGTCAAATTGAAGACAGCATGACCTCTAGTTACCTTGAACAGCTGCGGTCAAACTCTGGTAAAAGTGATCCCTTCCCTCCCCTGGTGGAGATTTCAGACCATTAGCGCACATCAGCAACATCCACAACAAATTCATCCTCACAAAAACATGTTTGCAGTCAGTTCTTCTTAACGGCTTACTAAAAGGTTGCATTGACGGCAATGTACATCCGCACGTACTTTAATTTCTCTTCTACAATCTTCTCTGTTGCATCATAATCTGCGACTCACTTCATACGTGGAATGTCAGGGATCAAACAAAATATCTTAATTTAGTATATAAATAGTGTTTTCCGCGCACGCTTATTGGTTAGTTCAGAAGTGATTATTAAGCACTGTTCACCTCCGAGCAGCCGGAGACACGAATCCCGCGTCAAGAGTTCAATTTCGACCATTTTCGGTATATATTGACCAAAATAAACTCATGTTTGGTTCGTGTACGTTACACACTAAAACAGTAACTTGCTTCAGTGTCGGTGAACGTGGTGGATATTGACCTCCACTTAGATTAATATTTGTCAATTATTTCTAAGAATATTTCCGTGCTCTAAGGAGTTACGCCGGTCAAGATTTTTAGAGTCATGTAAGCTCTCTAAAGTGTTGTCTTATGGAATCAAAATTAAAAAAAAAACTAAAGAAGTTATATTAAATCACGAAAGAACGTGGATAGTTGACGAACAAAATTGGGATAGCCTACTACTCCAAGAGTTAATTTCTTTTCTTAAGGTTAGTATCGCACACTACTGGGAGATTTTGCTTAGTTTTCGCATGCTTATAATTTTCCGGCTCACTTGACGAAGAAAGCTTAGAGCTGGCAGGTTATTGACTGTTTGGTCGTGTTCTATAAGTATTAACCATTCAACTGCAGGTGAAAAGGAGTCGATGTATCTTAACATAACCTTACCAGCTTTCTCTGAGTGGACTAGACGATGCATAACAACACAGTATTTGGTTCTCGTCCAGTTGTGCTCTTCCCATTATCGGAACTTTAGGCGATTGCCATAGTGCACGACCTTACATTTGTTTTACGTTGGGCTCATGAATTGCAGCGTATTTTATAACTACAGGGATCTTAAGGCAATATTTTATTTTCACACAGTGTATCAATTAAATCTTATTGAAATCGCAAAATATGCAAAAAGGACTAAGTTATTTTCCAATAAGAAGTGGAGCTACTTGTAGGACGTGTACTTTGTAGCTTTTTCTTCCGTCTGTATGGTTGTCACTCAGACCAAATATTTAGTTTGTAACGTAATTTATCTGACAAAAATATTAAATTTCAGGAAATTGAAAAAAAAGACTTTTTTCCTTCTGTGATACCTCAGGCCTTGCGTAAAAATTTATTGAAAATTTAATAAAAGATAATGGAATAAAATTAATAAAATGCGACTATTTATTTCATACTTTTTCGATACTGATTGATGCGTTGGCGCGCTGCTCACTAGAGCCCGCGAAAGGTCTTGGCTGTAGTTTTGGTCGGGTCAATACAGCGTGTGATTTATTTAGCAGTGATATCGATGACTTGCTCTTCAGCCAGAAGAACAGACGGCAAAGAGATCACCTAAGACCTGTTCAAAGAAAGGGGACAGGTTGTGTTGAAACTGCAGCATTGTTACGAGTTGTCGATGTAGAGCAGGGTTGTTCCTAGACAAAACTCAGGATCGTCGGTAACAGCAACAAACTGATTTATTTCCACGTAGTTGACTTCTTGTCTTTACAGCACTAAGCTTCTTCACAAATCTCTCTCTCTCTGTTTGATGAAACTATCGCTCTTATATACATAAAGTTCAAGGATCTAGAAATTTCTTTAAAGAACTAAATTTAGTAGATTAACACGGTTTCTAAATTTGAATAATTACGTAAGAAATAGAACGTTCCAGAATGTTCTTATACCAGAAGGTCATGTCTGGATGACTTCGGGTTCTAGACTGTTCTATAGAATGTTCTGGGACTTCACTTGGACAATTTTTCGTAACAAGTATAAAGCTCATCGAGCTTCAACCACACTTCGTCAGGGTTCTGTTGTTACACTCGATCTCAGAACGACTTCACGAAATATCATTAAACCAATTCCTAGTGATCCGACCAGCCTTGCGTGCACGAAACATAAGATACCACTGGCCTCATGTCCATCGCAAAAGTCATTTGTTTTGAAAATTGCGATGCAAATCAGGCTTCGCGGCTTGTGCGCCCTTATGTTGAACCATAATATTTAGACTTGGTAATTGGTATCTGGCGAGCTCTTTGTACAAGATCAGGCGTCATAGAATTTAGTCAAATTAAACTTTCTCCCAACAAGTTGTCAATCAGACAGGTGATGAAGACAAAGAAATCCATCAACTGGGGTAATTAATTCCGAATTTTCAGACCACGCAGAGTCGCAGCAATAAACAGTAAGAACTTGAATTCATGTACTTAGAAAAGTTATGTAGCATATATCGATGATTTTTTAAAACTGCAAACAGAAAACATTTTACCACATGAACTATGATTTTATTATGATCAATTGAAATTTTAAAATTTAATGACTTGGAATCAGCTGCCTATTGAAAGCCCTCTCTTGTAAGTGCAATTAGAATCGCACATCAGATATTTTGTCTATTTTTGCCAGTCTAAACCAGCTATTTCGCTTTTTTATTTATAGGGATAATAAAAATAATAAATAACTTCAATGATATCTAGACCTAAAACGTCTTAAACTAAGTATGGATCAATATTTGACAAAATCCAAAGCACTACAAGCTTTTTTACCTATACTAAGTTAATAGTACAAAGAGAAAGTGTTTCTATTTTTCTATGTTTGCTTAAGAGATTGCCATCTTACTGTGTGTTCTCTAGGTTTCTACTAACCATAGAGCAATGCTGTTGGTCGAATGTTTTTGTGATAGTTGACCAAAATTGGCCTGCTCTCCATCTCAATTAAAATACGCTGACTTTTAAGAAATATTCAGATTATGCTTTTTAATGTGCAATTTATTTGCTTGGTAAGTTGACGAATGAGAAATAATGAACTAGAACTGAAAATAGGCAGGTGTTTTTATGGCCCATAATAAAAACGTTATTCTTCCGCTGTTCACCAAATTAATTACCATTTATCAAGTCGTGTGTCATTCTATTCCTTTTTACTTGTAAGATGACCGACCAACTTTTACGTTTCACCTTTCTCCTGGCGCTCATTCAAGGGCCGATCACTTTGGCACTGCATCCATCGACAGAAAATAACCACACATTGGTAGGCTATGCCTTCAAACAGTTCTTTTCCAGAGACTGGTTAAACTGTATTCAAGCCTGCCATGATGAGTCAAGGTGTATCTCATACAATTATGAGAGATCAGCGAGCGCCGATGGTTTGTGTGAGTTAAACTATTGTGGAGTTGAAGAATTGAGCTACAGAGATCGGCTTCTTATTTACTCCACGGGGTTCGTATACCAGCAAATAAGGAGACGAAAGGTTGGTTTTTTATCGTAAAATAGAAAAGATTGGGTCAACATCTGGGTTTGTGCTGGGAAACGTCGTGACAGATGCCTATTATTCTTAATACACGACAAATGAGGTGACTAAATGTTTGCGTGTGCGAATAAAAGGAAACAGGCTACAACTGCTTAAGGAAATAAAATCTTATAGCTTGCCTGTGCTTGAGTTTCCCGAGGAAATCTTAAGCTTGATTCATTAGAAGTAAAGGTTCGCGTCAAATGGATTAGGGTTCGTGTCTGTTCACCTTTGTTTTACGTTGAGTGAATTGGAGCAAAAAAAATTTATTTCATGTAAGGTGTGACTTTGAATGAAGATCACACCTCTCACAGAAATATACATGTAAATAATTTTTAATATAGACAATGTCTCCTCAAAAGCGGTCAATAATTCCGAACTAGGAATTCAAATTGTGGAGTTAAAGAACAGAGCTACAGAGATCATCTCGTGTGCTTCTTGTCGGGACTTAGATATGTGCAAATAAACATGGAATAGCTGAATTTTCTATTAAAAAAAAAAAGAAAAAAAATCAGCGGAAGATCAGGCATACGTTTCCTTGAGTTGAGAAGAGTTGGCTTAATCTGAAATGAAAAATTTGAACGGCTTGATTCTTGCGCCGTTGCTTGAATCGCCGAAAAAATGTAAGATAGTAAGATAGGACACTCGTAATCTAAGAAATAGTTGCCGTTCACATTTGTTCGTTTATACGATTTCGCAGGTGTTATTTATTTTTCTTTTGATTTGTAAAAACAAAGCGATGTATGTTTTCTTTGTTACTCGAGGTATGATTTTAAAGAGGATCGTACCTCTTACCTCTGCATATTTTTATTTTATTGTTCTATTTTTTCTATTATGTACAGCATTGTCTTCTCAAGAGCTGTCAGGAACTTAAACAGAAATATCCGGAGGCAAAAAGTGGCATACATACAATTGATCCGTTACAAAAGGCAAGGCCCATTGAGGTATTTTGTGAATTCGACATTGAAGGAGGTGGTTTTAGTTTTCTTCCTCATAGCGTCACGAATCGATTAGATGGTAAGGCGGTTGTAGACGCGCTCTTCAAAGACAGGAAAAATGTTTTGCTGAAGTTGAAGAAAAACGTCGATGGCAGCGAGTGGTACACTTTGATTCAGCCCCACCCGAATTACGCTGACATCGATTTTGGCGTCTTGGTGAACAACTACTCTGGTTACACTGAACCAATAAACGTCTTCATGCAGAAATACGTATTCCTTGGTATCCTCCCTAAATCGATTGCAAATAAGAATACAACCCAGGGTTTCAAATCTAATGGCATCATAGCAGAGTTTTGGAACTGCGATGCCAATCCCAACAGCTTCTTTGCACTTTTCCCGAACCATCATCACCAATTACCATCTGATTATGCCAAGAATTTAGGATTTGAAAACAGCGGAATCGCAGTAAACTGGCGTTCCCATGCCAAAGCTGTCAGTAGTGGCAGTCTGAAAATGCCAAATAAGTTCTTTTTCCTGACAGAACTGCATTTTGGTGGCTGTGGCTGCTACACCTCAAGCGACCGGTGGAAGAAGTTTGGTTATAACGCCACTGCCATTGGAATTCGTTAGACTTACATTTACTATCCTTTACCATATTGATCATCGAAGAAACCCATAAAGTGTACCTCAAGATATAAATTTACTCGGAGAATTTAATTCGCTCGGGCAGGCTAATCGGCACTCCCACAGAAGTTCTAGGCTAGGAAAATCAATAGAATTTCAATCTGTGGCATGATTCAATGTAAATGTTCAATATGGCTCAGCAAATCAACGCTTTATTGATTGTCCCTCCTGTGTATGATGCATTCACTTTGTAAAACTTTCGGACGTGTAATAATCTGAATACATTACATTGCTTTCCGCTGAAAACCAGACGTTTAGTCTGACTATATGTCTTACAGTCCTCTGGACATCTTGTTAAAACTGTCAGTTACATTATTAGGAGACGCTATTTGATCCCCGTTATAAACTGCAATTATTGGCAGAATAGTCCTTGTCTGCTAGTCTCACGAGTAAGAGTTTTCAACTCAAGTTTTAGGTATTGAATTGTTGAGTGTACAAGCTCGCACTCATTACTGAGTGGTAGTCATTAGTTTCTTCCTCCATTTTACTCTATAAACCTCTTAGACGTTTTCTCCTTGAATGCTTGATTTTACCTCGCGATGAAGATTACTTTGAGCTAATTTTTGCAAAAGTGCAAGTCATTTGTATCCTTCCTGCGGAAAGCTAAAAATAGAAGATCTTTTATCTTACATTTCGACATGTACAGGTTTTATTATTAATAATAATAATAATAATAATAATAATAATAATAAAGTAGTTAAAGTAAAATAACAATGAAGAAAAACTCAAGACTGTCCGAAAATTTGATATAATAAGCACCCCTCTCCTCGAGAAAGCGAGGAGAGGGGTGCTTATTCGTGTGAGGGCGCTTATTAAAGCGTGGGTGCTTATCTGAGTAACGGCTCACCTCTTTGTGTCCTGAGCTAACCTTTCGAGTGTAGTCCAGGCGTTTCTCCTAGAGATACTCAGCCTGTACATCTTGTCACCACGATGCAGCAAACATTTTTCTTTTTGACAGAACTTCACTTTGGAGGCTGTGGTTGCTATACTTCTAGTGACCGCTGATCCAAATATGGCTTTAATGCTACTGCCATTGGAATCCGCTAAGCATGTATTTGTCAACAACTGATAGCTATAACCATTTTGGTTATTAGAGCAGTTAGAACAGGAGAGGTATTTTTTAGCAAAGTCTATTTTCCCTTCCTCACTAGTAGAGAAATTATTCATTCTTTCGTTTTCTCACTCTTTTTGCCGTACATGGCCAAAGATAGCCATTATGCGATGTAAGTAATAACCGCGCCATATTTCGCGATTTCGTAATTGAACAAAATTAATTTGAAGTCGCATAAATAGGTCGAAATAATAGGTCTGAGTTTCGAGACACTCGGGGGTCTAAGTGGCGAGACGGAATCGTATTTAAGGAGCCACTTCTATTATCGTATCGTAAGTCAATAAAAGCCTGGTCTGAGCTAAACTTTGAAAGCAGAAGACCTTAAAATCGCTTGCAGGCTCGTCAACACTTTTAATTAAACTGAAGACGTAACTCGAAGTTCAGCTCGAATTCAAACCCGAACTCGAACTAGAATCCAGACAAGCATTCCTCGCTTCCAGAAGTTTCGGGGCAACAGAATACTCCATTTCATTTAACAGTTCATGAGAATATACCACTTGCAGATTTGTCTCTAGGAGATGGCTTATAAAACTTCTTAACCTCCGACGAAGGAGGACAGGGAAATAGTTCATAGTGTTTTAATACGGCTACCTGGGTATTGAAAGTTGAGTGTGTAAATGTGCGTTTCGGCTAAACAAAATGTTAAAGTAGTGAAGTCAATAATTTTTGAGTAAGTTTTGTAACCAATGACTCGTTTCAGCGAGGTTTAGTGTAATTCTCCGTGGCTTTGATATGCATCATTTTTTCATCGTGAAGCAAAAAAATCATAACAATGAATGAAAACAAACGCTTAAATTAAAATTACTTAAGTGTCATGGTTTATCCAAAGGGCTAACTGCTGAAAGATGAATATCTCTTCTGAAAAATTGTATCAAATAGGAATTCTTTTTTATTTCACTGTTAACACATTTTTCGTAGACGTTCCTCGTTTTTGTGAATCATGATTGCTCCTTTTCTTTAAATCCAAAGGAGTTGCCTTTTGAGTGATTAAAATGCATTTGATGCCAAAGGAGGAAAGTCACGTGATTCGTCTTTTTACTCTCTTACCGATTCTTGATACAAAAGAAAAAAGAAAAAAACAGAAAGAAAAAAAGAAAGAGAAAAGGTTAGAGCTTTTGAAATACTGGCTGATTCTATTGGCGAATGGAACTATTTTGGCCGTTTTTACCTTTATGAAAGGGAGTTTGGCGAAGGGTAAGAAGTATCCCGGTAAGTCGTAAAAAGACGCGGGGTGGGGGATAGAAAATTGAAGAAAAGTTCTTGTGAACCTCAAGAAAAGAGCACATTGATGACTGGATATAGGTATAAAAGTAAAAATGAAATGATAAAATTGTTTTTAGATAAGACAATACCTCTGGGAAATGAAATCTTTCTTATAATAGCTCTTCAGTAAACTACTTAAGTTCCTGAAAGCGGAATTGTTCTGTCTTACTTTACTTGGTGAGAGAATCGTAGATGAGGGCGCACCTCTTAATACAGTATGTATTCTCGCCCTCCTGCTGCTACCTTTAACTAAATATCAAAGGACGAAACGGCTGTGGATAGCTGCCTTTGAAGTAGACACAGAAGCTGCGACGGCAAGTATTATCATAACAGCTTTCATGGCTGTACCTACAGCAAGTAGAATCAACACAAAACGGCGATGAGCTCCTCTTAGATATTGATACAAAGAGAATATCGCGTTCTTTGTTTGTTTTTTTGTTTTTTTGCTTGTTCTTTTTCCAAGGGCCAGTATTTTATCGTTCTAAGAAACAACTATCATGCTTCCCCAACAATGTCTCCTAAGAAAATGAACTTCCACCCAAGAATTGAATCATCCTCCACTTTAAAACTCCATATTTCTAAAGAAGGATATTCTAGAGACAATGGACTTAATATGAGGGGGATGCCGTTCTTATTCGTATTTGTTAAAAAAGTAATTACGTGTTTGAGGTTACAATAGAGGGGTGCTCGTATACTTAAATTAATAAATTTCGCAAGGCATTGCACTGTATGGCAGACATGAACAGCTGTCAGAGTTGTGCCCTGTGTTTACTAAGGAGCGCTTCTGGTGAATGAATAGTTATCAATTTCACCCCAAGATGATTTTACTAAAAGTAAGAGGTCTGTTGAGATCAATAGTTTCCTTAATATTTCCTTTTGATACACTGAGGACATAAACTTGCCAAAAAACCCACTGAATGCGATTTATAATTGGAAATGAAAATATTTTTGTGCGTCTTCCAACGACTTTCTCCCAATTGCTTGGTTACGTTGATCCAGAATTTGCTCAATAATCGACAACATACGTACCTCAATAGAGCGCTCCTCCACAAAGTTTAATTAACATATTATGTTGTGCGTGATATGATGTGAATCTCGTTCAATTCCCTATTGTCTAAAGATTATACAAAACGCCTTGAATTTAGCAAAGACTCGTCAATTTGGCAATTTCATCAGTAAACAAATGCATGGCATAATGAAATGCTTGCTAAACATGCAAAAGTGAAATACTCATTGATAAGTTGAGCAAAACCTACCCTAATAAAGCTACGGACGTTCGGAACTCCAACAGAAATAATTCGAGGAGGAGATTTTGAAAGATGCAACATGGGCCTGATGATTTTGAGGTCTTGATCTACACAGCCACCAGTATGAACGCCTTCTTGATATGTTAGCGGCTCTGTCACGAACGTAACATCGGTTAGAAAGTCTATCAGGACCGACTGGTGGCAGCAGGTAGTTAGTCAATAAACCAACTGCTAAAAGATAATTATCCACATTAGAACGCCACATCTTGTAGTGGGGAGTGCATAGTCCTACTTGTTTTTTCAGGAGGCGCTTTTGAGAAACAGCTGTTGTAAAGCCAATCTTGTAAGGACATATTTAGTAGTATTTTTTGCCCCAATCCCAATTTGAAAGAGACGTACGTTTTACTGAGTAAAGATGAAGAAGATGAAAGATCTTTCTTTATTTTTATTGCACTAAGGGTAATGTGATCTAATGTACAATTCATTTGATTTTTAAATATATGGATGATTTATTAGGATTTAGAACAGACCTTACACCTGGTACTGGTTTAAAAGTTCAGAACTTAAGCAAAAGAGGAAGTTACTAGGAGTTGGACTATTTCGGTTAGGCATAAGCGCAAACAAGCTGTTGAGATTTCCGTCGCAGTTTTTAAAACGGATTAGGCCGCCGTTGGATGTGAAACCCTAGGTTGTTCTCTTGCTTGCCACTGATAACAGAGGTGGAAGCCCTATCGCTCACTAGCTACGGGCGGGAAATTTTAAATTAAAAAGGCACTGCGGAGTGCATGTGAATACAATCCTAGATGCTTCCCTTGCCAAAATGATCAAAACACTTCACCTGCAGATATCGTTTCTGCGTGATACAGTGCAAAGTTTCTATTCACATTACTTACTGCATTATATTCAGTCGAAGCCTTGTCTTTTTCATAAAAAAAGGAAAGATTACCTTGAATATTGTTTTCTTTTGAATCTTTCCGTGTTAAGTTACTCTAGTTCGCAAAGGTTACACCGCTGTGAATTTATTTATTTACTGTCCCGAAGTAGATTTTCGCTCAGAGAACGTTGACAAAAAGTCATTAACGGATGTACCTTGCGGTATATTTGATGCTTCTCCTGGTGATCTGATGTCAACACTCGAGTTTTCTTAGAAGATCTTTGTTAAAGGCTGTGATTCAACATATTTTACGTGTCCACAATAAAGGAACTAAGGTAAATCGTTCCTTGTCATTGTTTTTTTTTTGTTTGTTTTTTTTTTGAAATTAAAATGGTATATTTCCAGAAAAATGACATTTGTAAATTTGTGTCGAATTATCTTGCATCAAGATAGCGCCGAGATTACCGAAAAGAAATAAAAGGGTCGAGGTGAATGTTTCCGCTTGCGGCCTCAGGGACATACATGTGAAAAATCCAAAACAAACATTGAAGTCGAACCCAAATGGAATTTGACAACATTTTCCATATGCGGCTCTCTATGAAAGATTTTGTTACGTTAGGATATAATGTATTAGACATTAAAAAAACATACTTACCTCCAGTGAGTTGAATTACGATCAGAAAATAATGGGACAGTTAAATTAATTTTAAATCCTTTTTGTCAAGGATGATAACTTTTTTGTTCGACTGATAAAGGCAACCCTAGTAGAGTTAATGACGTTATGGAACTTCTATCAATTGAAATTATGTGACTAATTAATTCTGAAAGCATCCTCTCAGTAGCTGAAAAGTCAATAATCTCACTTTAAAAGCAATGAGCCGTATAAGAACTCGGTGCAAAATGGCTTGTTGTCGGTAAAGAGCCCTTATCCAACTTGTTCTTACAGAAAGCCCATTTAAAAACAGCTGTTCTTAAGCAATATGCTTTTATGTACAAGTTTAATTTAGGCTGATTCCGAGTTAACGGGGCTCTTGCACCGTGGAAATTTTCCATTTGCACTTGCTTCCTGTCGGCGAGAAAGTTTTGATGTTGATCAATATATCTAAAACAATTTTACGGATCTTAGGAAGAAAAAAGAAACAAGAAACAGAAGATAGTAATGATCAATAAAAGAATGAATCTCATGGAAATAAAATAATAATAAAAAAAGATAGACCTGTCGAAATAAACCAATACATATCTAACAAAACCGCTTAAAGGTCTTGCGAATGGAACAATGAGTGCCCGAAGGGGGCTTTTCAACTTAACCTTCAGAAACGCACCCAGGTCGTGATATTTCCCGGGAGCTGTTTAGCTGGATATAAAAGAGGGAGGGTAAATACTCATCCACCCTCTTCTACTCCTTACTGGAATATAGAAAGCTTAATATGTCTTGAATTTCTACCTTTTTAACTTAAAATGCAAGCAGATTGTGTTTCATTTATTTTTTAAATCTTCTGTGCAACTTTACCCACAATTCCTTTAGGAAATGACTCAAAATTAGCTGCATGTTGTGAATACTGTCTAGTAGTTTGAATTAGAATAAAGTACTCTCCTCTGCATCCACATATCTACACTTAAGTAAACTTTGTTGAAAGCGACCTTCAACTGTGATTCCTCACTGAAGTCCATTAATGACCATTTCAATTAAGATAACTCGGTTTTTAGCACTTAAGAGACCATATTTTTCAATGTGCGCTGTTCCAAATTTAACGCTACAGCCATTAGAATCCGCTAAACATTTTTCAGTTGATAGATAATGATTTTGGCCTTCCCTTTTTTCAGGAAACGCATTTTGACTAAGTGAGGTATTTATCCATCCTTCCTTTTTTAATTAATTCATGAGTTTGATCGATCATTCATTCATTCAATCATGTGCTTCTCACGCATTCATTCCTGTATAATTTCATTCACATCTTTCAATTCGTACATGAGAAGAAATCTGAAAGTAACACGGACAGACACAGTAACAAACGAGGTCCCATGGGAAATATCTGGTAAGGCACCCATTCAGATACAAATCGGTCGAAGGAAGTTAAGATGGACTGGCCAAGCCGTGAAGGAACATCCAGGAATTGATACGAGGAGAGCCTTGAATTGGAATCCCCAGGACAAACAGAAAAGAGGTCCTCCCGCCCCCAAATAACCTGGTGACAAGATGTACAGGTTGAGTATCTCTTGGGGACACGCCTGGACTACACTCGAAAGGTTAGCCCAGGACACAAAGAGGTGAAGAGGGGAAATCGTTGATGGCCTTTGCTCGGATAAGCACCCACGCTTTAATAAGCGCCCTCACACGAATAAGCACCCCTCTCCTCCCTTTCTCTCCATTTTTAGCTTTCCGCAGGAAGGAGGCTACAAATAACTTGCACTTTTGCAAAAATTAGCTCAAAGTAATCTTCATCGCGAGGTAAAATCAAACATTCAAAGAGGAAATGTCCAAGAGAGGTTTACAGAGTAAAATGGAGGAAGAAACCAATAACTACTACACAAAAAATAAGTGCGAGCTTGTACACTCACCAATTCCATACCTAAACTGACTTGAGTTGACAAGGACTATTCTGCTAATAATTGCAGCTGATAACGAGGATCAAATAGCGTCTCCTAACTGACAGTTTTCATAAGATGTCCAGAGGACTGAAAGACATATAGTTAGACTAGACGTCTGGTTTCAGCAAAAAGTACTGCAATGTATTCAGATTACTACACGTCCGAAAATTTTTCAAGGTTAATGCATCATACACAGGAGGGACAACCAATAAAGCGTTGATTTGCTGAGTCATATTGAACATTTACATTGAATCTTGCCACAAATTGAAATTCTATTGAGTTTAAGTCTAGAACTTCTGCGGGAGAGCCGATTAGCCTGCCCGTGCGAAGTAAATTCTCCGAGTAAATTTACATCTTGCATTTGAGGTACGCTTTATGGATTTCTTCGATGATCATTATGGTACAGGATAGTAAATGTAAGTCTAACGAATTCCAATGGCAGTGGCGTTATAACCAAACTTCTTCCAACGGTCGCTTGAGGTGTAGCAGCCACAGCCACCAAAATGCAGTTCTGTCAGGAAAAAGAACTTACTTGGCATTTTCAGACTGCCACTAGTGACAGCTTTGGCATGGTAACGCCAGTTTACTGCGATGCCGCTATTTTCATATCCCGACGTCCCGCCATGACCATATGGTAATTGGTGATGATGGTTCGGAAAAAGTGCAAAGAAGCTGTTGGGATTGGCATCGCAGTTCCCAAACTGCACTATGATGCCATTAGATCTGAAACCCTGGGTTGTTTTCTTATTTGCCATTGATTTAGGGAGGATGCCAAGGAATACGTATTTCTGCATGAAGGCGTTGTTTGGTTTGGTGTAACCAGAGAAGTTGTTCACCAAGACGCCAAAATCGATGTCAGCGTAATTTGGGTGGGGCTGAATCAAAGTGTACCACTCACTGCCATCGACGTTTTTCTTCAACTTCAGCAAAACGTTTTTCTTGTCTTTGAAGAGGGAATCGATGATCTGCTGAGCATCTGATTTCAAAGTAAGGCTTTGAGGAAGGAAAGTGAAGCCACCTCCAGCAATGTTCCGTTCACAGTATACCTTAATAGGATCAGCATCGGTCAGAGGATAGATTTCGTACACACCACTGATGGCCGCTGGAATCTGTTCTTGGATTTCCATGCAGCTCTTGTGATGCTGGAGAAAACAAGGGATTAAAATGAAACCATAGTGGAGTACATTTTCTCTTGGTGGGAATTATATTATTGCATACAATTTTTAAGATATAACAGTCGCATAATTATTTCAGCTTTTTTTTTCTTCAAAGTAAATGTAATTTCACGATGTGCTGAGGAACGAATAAGAAAAGCACTGGTTTGTTTAACTCTCCTGGTCCATTAGCAAACCCAGGGTTAAATTTTAATCTGATCTTTTTGGGATAATTTTCATTTTATTTAAAGTGTCAAATAGTCAAAGACTTTTTTTCCTTTTACAGCTTTTAGACCTGAAATTAACCCTAAACCCAATACAAAGTAACAAATCTTAATAAATGAAATTTTTTTAATTAATAAGAAATACTGTAAAATAAGAATAATTATTATAGTTTAATTTTTATTGATATAGGTGAATAAAGCGATGTCTTGTCTGGTAAGAATTGTACAATATTGGTAAGGCCAAACTTTTTAAAGCAATTTTAGTGCTCTGTTGAATCTTAGCATCGTTGTATCGATCATTACCGCTCACGCATGAAGAGTTATTCCCTTGAAAATCATTAAAAAATATATCTATTAAAGGAAGTCACAACAACTCCTCATAGATCAAAATTGCCAGTTAATTTAAATCTTTGAGAGGTAAAAGTAAATTGCGCTTCCGTAAAACATAATTTATGAAGCTTGTCTGACGCTTGCAACTTTTTTTTAAAAGGATTAAAAAAGGCAAATTTAGAGAGGCTTTTCAGCAACATTACACCTTTTACAAGAAAATTTTCAAAGTTTACTTGGTCGCTCGCAGAAACCCCTGTTTCTCAGCATTTTTTATTGCTGTCTCTTTGCTGTCTGTTAACTCTAGAAAAAGATAAGGCAACAGGCACACTCCCGAAAGAGGAAAAAAAACGGAACGAACGGGTAAATAATAAAAGAAATGAACGAATAAAGCCAATAATCTAGAGGTTCTGACAATTTATGACATTTTCAACATCCAGCATTCCCGTTTCCCGACGGCTAACTTTCAAGCATGGTCTAAAGTCTTCGCATAGGAAAGAACGCACTTGCATAGCTGGCAAGGTATAATTATCCTTAACGAATTTTATTCCCTATAAATTCTGTTGATAGAAACAGGTATTGCGACAGTACAGATGATATGAATAAAGAGAAAAGTACCTCGAACAATGTACTCCAAGGTTTTTTCAAAGATTGGTCAAAATTGCTTATAAGAGTTAATCTGTACAAACCTCAAGATTCAGAAGCTGAGCGAAGATAAATCCACTTATAGAAACAAAGGAAGAAGAATCTATATTAGCGCTCTCCAATCCTTTATCGTTTAACTCGCAAATCCGATTTCCATCCTCCTCCCCGTAGTTTATGGAGCGGCACCGTGGAGTTCTTCTCAGACAGAGTTGTGCGCACGATAAGACACTAGACGCCTTCAGACGATCAGTGACATGGCCGTCTAGATAACGATCTTTCACAGTCTTAAGGAAGGATGAGTGGCCGTGAATAGCTGTCTTTAAAGACGACATAGAAGCAGTAACGGCCAGTGTTATCAAAGCAGCTTTCATGGTTGTACCTACACCACGTAAGAACAATACAAAACATTGATGATCATGAACATATGAGTCAGCTTTATGAAACTTTACTTACTTCCATTGGGCCAGTATGATAGACTTGATTTAGAAGAAACAATGCGGTAGTCCTAACAGCAGTTCTATAATTTTACTTTTCTTTAACTGACGGCGCGTCATATAGATCATTTTCAGTCACGTGATCTCAGTTTAATTGGCCGCCATATTGGTACACATCACTTGCCTGTAAACATATGACCCACAAGTTGTGTTTACGATAAAAAAATGGTTTTCCGCGCGAATTTTGGTTGTGGGACCCGAAGTGGTCGTGATAAAGGAATTAGTATGGCAAAAATACCTTCAATTATTACTAATCGAGGAGAAGAAGTACGGAAACTTTCCACGGCCGGGTCACGGTCTACGGTAAACATTTTATCTCCGGAAAAACAGCTAAACTATGGGACCGTTACGATCCAGATTGGGTTCCGACCCAAAATCTAGGTAATCAGAAATGTGGTTCTGTCGAAAAGCTTCAATCCGATCTTGAAGTTCCCACCAAGCGAGACGAGAGAGCCAGAGGTCGTGAGCTGAAACGTGTTGCAGGAGAACGTGAAAGGAAGCCACGGGAAGAAATCGAGTTCAAAAAACAAATACTTGATGAACCAGGAGAAAAAAGTTATTGACATTTCCTTCGATGTCGAATCAGCAGTTGGCACCAAGCTCAGCAATACAGGCCCTTGTTTTTCATTTTCTGAGGTCAAAATAAAAGTTTTCCATTTCCGCTTGTGTCGGCGCTGGCACCTCCGGTTTCTTAACGGGGCTTTCAGTGAAGACTTTCGAGTTGTCAGAAACCTGAAGTCCCTCACTGAGATTCTCTATCGTTTCATCGACGTCAGCTTTCATTTTCTTAGCGGATTTAAAGTTAATATGTCGGACACGAGAGTATTCCACCTTGTTTGCGGAACTGGGAAGTATCATAGGGCACCTAATTTGCTTACAGGAAAGCCTTCCATTAACCTTTGTCCAAGCCTCAAAGTAAAATAGCACATTAGCTATGAGCGAACATGATTCGGCGAGGCCTGCCTTGCATCCCAAACAATGAGAGTAGTTTATTGTCCCATCCTTCGTGGTAATAAACCAGATTTGATTGTAGGCCTCGAGACTGCGGAAGGCTTTGTTTTTGCATATAATAGCTAGTCTCGAGAACCAAATAGCATAGAAAATCAGTTGATTCCATTGGCGGTAAGCAATCAGACTCGAAGCGTCTCCCATCTATCAAAACAGGATTGGTTCCGAGAGTCGAGATCTTCTTTAGATAACGCTCTCTGACTTTTACATCCAGTTTTTTAACGTATTAGACAGTTGAATTTTGACGACATGGTCTGGATCAGACGAAGGTATAGCAATTTTTTCGGTAGACGCCATAAGTTTAATTTTTTTCGATTTTCGGAACTATAAATCTGGACCGTGTTCGCATATCGTGACTCACATGTGCACCAACATGGCGGAAATTAATTCTGTGACGTCACGTGAAAACGGTCAATAGTGAGCCTTTCTGTAACTATTTCGTCAGCTTTCCCTTTTATTTTCCTTTTGGTTCGTGAATCTTGAAACTAGTCAGCCTTTCCAATTTCAAACTCATGTTGTCCCATTTCTCTGTACCTTTAGATTGTTGGCTGTGAAAAGAAACTGGATCAATATCAGTATCTGGGCAACTGCCCACCTACCCTCCCCTAACCCAACACTAACCTTAACTTGTTGTCAATTGACTGTTGTTGAGTTAGGGGAGGGGTAGGTGTGCAGTTGCCTAAATACTGATATTGATCCAAGAAACCTTAAAAAAGGCTCGAAGTAAGCAAACCATACGGCATTTTTTTAACTGGCTCTTAGTTTCCCTTTTCAGCATGACCTGCCTCCTGAAATAATATTTTTTCAATTGACCTCTACTGAATTCTTAGCACGTTGTTAAAAAGATACCAACATTAACAGACAAATGTATTTTTTTCCAATTTATTTATACTTGTCTTTTTCGTGTATCTGATTTCTTTTATTTTCAAAGTGTCTGTAAATTGTCATAAGGAGTTTTCAAACTTAGCGGACACTACGAAAATAGAAGCGATCCTCGCAGTTATGAATACTACTGAAGTAATAGTGAAATTAAGACCTGAAAAAATTCAGGCCCATACGGGATTTGAACTCAGACCTCTGCGATACCGGTGCAGCGCTGTACCAACTGAGCTGTTATGTTGGTTACAAATAAACCCTAGCTCCATGTGGTGAGCCAGCGAACACTTTAGTCAGTCCAATGCGTATAACACATTTCCTCAACTTGAACTTGTGACGAGCAAATAGCCTATACATCGGCAGAAATATTGGACAAGATGGCGGCCGCGCTTGCGTATTTCGTCCATAATGGCGTCCAAATAATATAAGAAACTGTATGGAAATTTGTAAAAATTTCTAAAATGTATCAATCAGGAGCTCATGGTCCCGTCTGCTCTCGATCGAGACATATTCAGTACTGATTCTGCTATTCATCAAACCTCACAGGGACTCGATAAATAAAAACCCGTTACTTCCCGAGCCAGTTCTTTTGTCATTGATCATTGACCTTGGTCGCCATACAGTTCTTCAAAATCCGTCGTTCTCCATCCCAAACACTCGCCTCTTACAGGAAAGTGCATCAATAAAGTCAACTGCTCTCGATCGAATTGACTGCTACATAGTTCGAAGCGTCCGAATATCCTGTAAAATTGCCATTTCCTCCCATCAAAAAAGTTCCCAACGCGCCAGAATATCCCTTATTTTCCATGTTGAGTAAGTGACGAGACGCCATGTTGAAAACTATACCTGAAATAGTTAAACACGAGCAACGCTGATCTTCGAATCGTCGGCCATATTTGTTTATGTTCTTGCAGGGAAATAAATTAGTTCTCGGTTCTTTTCGGAATAAAAATATGCCAGGCATTGAATACAAATTCAGTAGTCTTAGCGCGAAAATTAAATTAAAGCAAATCAAAATTCTGACATCATGTCATCGCTCTGCCTCGAAAAATCCCAAAGATTTACTTGTAGGCCTTCTTTTCTTTTTCTTTTCATCAAATAGAAGATCTGCGGTGCTCAAATCGTATATGTCATGGTACGAAACACTCTTCTTTGCAGATCGAGCCGTGATTGCCGCCATATTGAATTCTCTTGATATTCTATTGTTCCGGAATGTAATACGATATACCACTGATAATTGTTAGCGGGCTCGAAATGTCCTTGATTTCTGGCGATGGTATTCGTGATTCTCTAATGAAAAAGAAACTGAACCAAATTTTTTCTTCATTTCTTTTCGGCCAAAACTCAGTGCTTAATACGTACCGATGCTGATTGCAGCTCGTTCATGAGAGTGCCTGATGTCACTTATCGTTGAAAGTTTCTCACTAGGAATTGCTTAAATCTTTAGAACTGATGGCATTGAATTGCATCTTCGAGAAATAACTTCCGCTAGGCTTTGACTAACCCTTTTCGCCCCAACCAACGAGTTTTCATCCACAGACTTTGATCTCGCCAGCTTGAAGTGATATGTATTTTTAGCATCTTTGCCATCATTGGATAAATTTCTGTTCGTAGGTTTCTTTCTGGGTACACGTTCAATATGCACCGTGACAGTTCGAAAGACAGGCTGGATTACCACATGCATGTTGTTATAATTTGTTAGGGCTGGACATGACATTCTTCTATTCATCATTACAGCATCTGGCTCTACACCTTTGCAATTGGTGTTCAATCGATGAAGTGTCCCCGCTGTCCAAGCGTGTGATAGTGAGTGGCTTCGAGCTTGTTTGGTGTGAACGAGTTCCCTGACTTCAAATGAGGCTCGAGAACCACGGTGTACCCTGGTACGGTCTTGAATGAAAACTGTAGGTTGAATTTCCTGCCGTTTTCCATACCTTAGCAGGGTTAGTGCAATGTTTCTATAGAGTGTGTTTCTATAAAAATATAGTAGAGGATTCACTAAAGAGTTTAATTGAAGGAAAATTTCTGCCCAACGGAAAATTGAATTCTCCCTGAAAAATGGCAATATTGGTGCTAAATAATTTACAACGATAAAAGGAACACTAGAAACGAAGAAGGCAGCTGTTAGCAGAAGCAATGTAATAGTAACTCTTCTTTCCGTTCTTGCTCTGTTTGCAGCAACCATTTGGCTTAGGTTCCTTCGCTTCTGGTTCAGTGTTTTGATGCCAACCATGCCATAGAAAAACAACAGAAGTAAAACGCCGATAGACAAAACTGTCCCATAGATGATATCAATAACCAGAATGACCTCATAACGAACACCAGTGACCTTTAGTGCTGTAAATATCGCATTTACTGCAAGGGCTACGATCCATGTAATTACCACATATCTCTTGACGAGTTTCTTGGTTATTTTAGTCCTGTACTCTAAATATTTAACGATCGCAACATACCTCTCATACGCAATAAAAATTAAATGATAACCTGATGCATTGAAAGCAGTGTAGAAAATAAAGACGTGAGCCTCACTTGTCTTGCATATTATGTTCTCTGATACAGTTCCTTGAAGAATCAATGCATCCACTATGATGGTCAGTGGCATTGAAACAGCACCCACTAGGAGATCGGCGGTGGCCAAACTTACGATAAGAATGTCTGAGTTTGCCTGTAACCTACGTGATTTCTGGATCGCCAAGATCGCCAACAGATTCAAAAGAATGGTGCATGGACAAATGATAGCTACGAAGGCGATTGCCAGCTGAAGAGAGTTTCTTTCTTCTAAGTCCCAAACAAATTGCGGAGCATCTGGACAAATGAACACTGAGCGGTTGCGGTTAAAATAGGAGTGTTTAGAGACTGAAAAGTTCATGTTGACAAACATGCACACCAAAATCACTGTCGAAGAACTCGTAGTCTTTATGCGAATGGTCGCTCAATAACTCTTATTTTTTCATTTTGAAAGACAGAAAACAAAATATCCAGAAGAAAACTCCCTCTAAGAGTCTAATTTCCGTTGACCAGAATCAAAGATGTTGAAAAGTTTTTACTTTTTTCGGCTTTTCAGAGTTTTTTATTTTGTTCTTGTTTGAAAAAGGTCGATTACGGAGAATCTGGACAAATGAACACTGAGCGGGTTGAGATAAAATGGAAGTGTTAGAGACTCTAAAGTTCATGTTGACAAACATGCACACAGAAAATTTCTGTCAAAGGACTCGTAGTTTTTAGCGAACAGTCGCAAAAAAACTCTTATTTTCTCGTTTTGAAAAACAAAAACAGAAAAAAAAAATAGGGTAGAGAAGAAAATCCCTCTAAGAGCCTAATTTCCGTTGACGAGAATCATAGATGTTGAAACTTTTTTCAGGTTTTCAGAGATTTTTCTTTTGTTCGTATTTTAAAAAGGTTGATTACGGGAGAATCTGGATAAATGAACACTGAGCGGGTGGAGTAAAAACGGGAGTGTTTAGAGACTCTAAAGTTCATGTTGTCAAACATGCGAACCAAAATTTCTGTCGAAGGACTCGTAGTTTTTAGCGAACAGTCGCAAAATAACTCTTATTTTTTTCGTTTTGAAAACGAAAAAAAAAACAAAAAGGGTAGAAAAAAATCCCTCTAAGAGCCTAATTTCCGTTAAGGAAAATTTTAAATGGTGAAAAAAAATATTTACAATGTCTTTGTGTTGAGGAAACGCTGAGAAATTACTTTTTCCAGCTTTTCAAAAATTTTCTCTTTGTTTCTGTTTAAAAGGTTAAGTAATGATATGCCAATTTGCAGTCGCTGAAAAATTTAAATCTGCATCAATTCAGATTACCCTGAAAATATATCAATATTGTATTGACTGAATTCAGAATTTGGCAGTGGCACACTTTCAGTTGTTAATTCCATCTAAGTTTAGGAAAAAGAAGGAATCAAGAGGAGAATATCACCTTTTTACCTTTTAACTACAGTTGAACCCCGGTGACTCGAATTGCCAAGGAAATTAAAATTACTTCGGCAAATCGGGGTTTCGAGTTGTAGGGGATTTGAACAAAAAGACCAGAGACACTCGATCGATTCCAGATTACGCGCCATTATTTCTCTTCGCTGGGAAGAACTGTCAAAACTTTTTGTGTAAGTGTGTATCGACAAAAGTCTATATTTGATACAATATTTAAATGAGATTTAACGTAATCTTCCAGCGCAAAATGTTGTGGCTCATTAGTTCGCAAAACTGAAAATGGACTTCGAGTTATCGAGGGTAAAATTACATAGAAAGTACTTAAAGGGAAGTAAAAATTGGTTCGAGTTATCGGGTTTCGAGTTATAGAGGCTAAAATTACAGTGAATATATCAGGAAAATCCAAGGGAAATAAATTTTGCTTCGAATTTGTGGGGAATTCGATTTATCAAGGGTTCGAGTCATCGAGGTTCAGTTTACTTGGCATGAATGATTTTGTGCCTTTATAAATTTAATCTCAACCTAGCGTTATTCACTGTGGATGGATAAATATTACCAACTTTTCCTTGGTTCTTTTATAGCATTAAAACGATGCAAAGAAATTGGATTTCTTCAAGCAGTTTCTTTCACGGCTGTGTGAATTACTTTTAAATAGCTTACGATGATAGTATCCCTAATATTTGCCCAACAAAGCGATAAAGAATTTACACGTTTCGTTTATGGTAAGAGAAGAGTTTTTAGAAGACATGGATCTACCCCAATTTTGATGTCTAAAGCGTCAAATTTTGTTTAGCTGAAGGTTAGAAATTTATTTATTTATAGCATCGTCTACTCTTTCCTTTTTTTCCTTTTTTTAAATTCATTCTTATTTTTATTTTTTTTTTAGTTTTGTTTATTGGTCAACTGATCAAAACGACTCAAAAACCAAGCCACTCTTTTTCTAACGAGCACACCATTGCTTGCGCTTTTTATTAACCCGGAGTTATGTATTCTTCGTTTGCAATTTATATAATGAGCAAAAGTTTTCGGAGCTTAATCATCAGCTTCTATATAATTTATTTAAGGAAAAAATGCAACCATTGCTTGTCAAAGATGACCCGAAATACAAATTATAGACACAAAGAAAGCGACACCGTCTTGCACGAAGATAAAGGAAAACGATATTTTATAATAAATTTTAAAGTGGTGCACAGAAAAGGAGTACTTTGTCAGAATATCAGGGTAAGAAATTTTTTACACTCGTCTTCTTTGCTTCCCGTTTTAGCAGTTAATGAAACACGTTGAAATCGATGTGATAAAAAGAAAGTAAACCCCTTTGAGCGCCGTCCCTCATAACCCGTGACTCTAGTTAGGACGTGATAACAAAAAGGAATGTTCAAAAGTATCGAACGCTAGGGATCAAGCACAACTATAGCACGGTATATTGGCCATTCATGGTCATCAGTATATCAGTAACGCTTTCTACATGCTTTGACCTTGACTATGTTTTTGCTGATTGATGCATTGGAGTGAAGGCCACTACTGGATGAGTGGAAGTTCGGCTGAGCGAAGACAGCACGCTCCTTCAATTTTGATATATGCAAATAAGTGCTTACAGGACGGAGATTATTGAAGTCGCCGATGTCAATCTTTTTGAAGAGTAGGTCGACCGGTGTTTTTTCCCAAATCATTGAAAAACGTACTGCACGTGACATGAGCTTATCATTTTGAAAATGACTAGTAACAGGTGTTCAAATCATCCATGCGGAGTAGGCATGGGATCAAGTCCACACGAATTTTGGTGCAATTTTTTTGATGAGGCTCTTTCAATGCTCGCAATCTGAACTTATCCATCTGTTCTTTCAAACTCCAGAAAAGCAAATGATGAAGCGAAAAAAAAAAAAAGCAGAGCAGAAGAAAATAAAAAGGACCCTTTGAAGAGAAGCCGAAGGTATTCATTTGGTATATCATAAGTTGTTTCAAACCTCATGAGTATAAAATTACATTGAAAAAATCCCTGAATATATATGTATATATTTTTTTATAAGTGCAAAAACAGAAAACTAGTGGGAAAACTAAGGAATAATTGATTACCAGGTAATTGTGTTCTACTCGAAAACTACTGATAAATGACAAGGCAAAAACGACCAAGAAATATTTCGAGACCACAGCCTTATTCCAAGAATTGTAAATTTTCAACTCGTAAGCGAAAAACGAATGAATTTCTTGCATGTGCATGAATTTCCTAGCATACTTGAATCGTTGATTACTAGAATTCATCACAAGAAAATTGTGTAGGTTTGTGAAAACTCGTTCAAAATTCCGAAAATATGCAATTTTATAAATAGAATATTCTATTGAGCAATACCTAAGGACGTATTAACACTTCAAAATAATATTCAATGTTCTAAGAACGAAGCGAAAATTGTTTAATCGTCTTACATTTACGAAACCGGTGTGGTAAATTTATCATGCTTGAGTTGTTGTTTACTAGAATTTACGACCAAAGAATTGCCTAGTTTTGTATCGAAAATCTTGGAAATTTTATGATTTTAACACAAGATTTTCTACTGAAAAACACTTTTGATAAATGTCATCACTAAGAGATAAAATTTACCGTTCCAAAGAGGAGTCTACAAAGCCACACTTGAAGTCATGAAGCTCAGTTATGTTTTTTCCTTCCAGCCACAATTCATATCGCCCTTAGGACTATGAAGCTAATTTCGTCGTCTGAAAGAATCAAATGCTCATGAATTGTTTTGCGAAAAGAGTATCGTTTAGCAAATTTCATTTTGAGCTCACAAAGGTCTATATATTTCAATAGGGATGGAGCGGAAAAAAACAAAAACTTAAAAGGTACGTTTAAAACCTCGGTGTAATAAAAGTATTCAAACATCATAGGGAAAAGATGAAATTGGATAGCAGAAATATGTATTTATTATGCTGATTTTAGTTAAAGGATTTACATGACAAAACTTTGCGAAGTAACCAATTAAAGCTATAAAAATTGATTCTAATCTGGATTTTTTAATGAAAGTCTTCTATTTGTTTTGGAATAGTCATGCCCCCAGAACTGCAATACAACGCATCACGTGGTTTCGTCCCTTTTACCCATGTTCGTCGGTCACAACTTCTTTACATTTTCTCATTAAAATTTTATTTAAATGCTAATCCACCCAATTTTTCAAGAGATCGGCGCCCAAACTATGGCGGATAATCACAAATAATCCATTTCCTTAAAGGTATTTATTTCAATAGACTTATTCATTCACGAGCCTGTGTCAATACCCCAAATTAAAAACAATCTCTTGGCCAAAATCACAATTATTAATGTCATGCTGATATCGATATCGGTAAGATTTTGAATAATCAGAAAGATACCACTTAGGTAAAATCTCATTTTTATTTCAAAGAGTGCCATGAGAAAAAAAAAGCAAGGCTATGTTCAGATCAGGAGAGCAGCTATGATAATGATGTTTTCAGAGTTGAACAACTGTATTTGGAAAGGGTTTACGGAGTGACCGCTGAGGCAAACTTGGATATAACGCCACTGCTATTGGAATTCGTTAATGAGTTATCAGGATCATAGTTTATCTTTTTTGGAACATGGAGGTTACTGCGAATAAGAAAAAAATTGAATTAGTACCTAGACTGTCTATGATAAAGTTTGACTGATTATGGTTATTAATCAATCCATCAATTAAATCAGAAAGTTAGTAATTGCATTTAATCAATTAGTAAATCAATCAGTTAGTCAGTCGGTGAGTTAGTCAGTCCGTCCGTAAATCACTCAGTCAGTTCGTCAGTAACTCAGTCGATCAGGCAGTGAAGCAAAAAAGTAAGTTAGTGGGTCAGTCAGTCTTTCGGCTAGTCAGTCATTCAGTCTATCCGTCAGCCAGTCAGTCAATCCGTCAGCCGGTCAGTCAATCCGTCAGCCAGTCATACAGTCCGTCAGTTAGTCAGTCAGTAAGAAAGCCAGTCAGTCAGTCGGCTAAATTCAAGAATTCAAGTATAACTTTCAGCTTGCTTGTATTCTGAAAAGGCTTGGATTATTTCTGCCATCTAAGTTGACGATGGTAAGAACAGTAGATCTATTTATACGGTGCCGGTAAGAACAAAACAAAGTCACAAAACCTACAACACAAACACAAACTTAAAACAGAATCACAAAATCCGCAACATTAACACAAAACTCTACAACATAAACACAAACTTAAAACAGAATCAAGAATACGCAACATTAACACGAAACTCAAAACCTAATAGCAAAACTTATGACATGAATATAAAACTTAAAACATCATCTCAAAATCCATAACACTAACACAAAAATCAAAACATAATTACGAAACCCACAACACCAACACAAAACTCGTAAAAACACGTTCGTAAAAACGCCAACTAATACAAAGGATAATAAATGGCTTTTTTTCATTTACCGCACGTTTGAAAACATAACCACAAAAGTCGTCAAATGATTAATACAAAGAAACTTTAATGACCAGAAAGATAAATTTCTTTGTTTCATTTACTGTACGTGGGAAAACATATCCGGAAAAAATAACCACCAAAGTTGTAATATGATTGATTCAAAGAGACTTTTAAGACTAGAAAGGAAATACAAAAAACCTTAAATTGGCAGTAACAAAGCCTCAGTAAAATAATTTTTCTTAGCTTAAAATAAACTAAGGGAAATCTCGAATGAAAGAGTGTTTTATGTTCACCAAGTCCTTGCTCTGCCCAGTGGTCAAAGGCGACTCCCAGTGGCGGATCCAGACTTCATTCTAAGATGGGTGACCGAAAAATTTTCCTGCCCTTCGGGACTTAAATTAAGGTGGGGGCTCTAAAATATTTTCGGCCTTTCGGGCCTTAAACGCTTCTATTGAGTTTTTTCACCAAAAGACGACAATCACGGAATTTTTGGGAGTGAGGCGAAAAAGAGCGGAAAAAACCCTTTTGTCCCCAGGCTTCCCATCCAAGTTTTGGTTTACTGTGACACGCGCGATGTTGCATACTGACTGGCTTTCTTGTTCTACTAATCATGAGCTTTAAGTTTGTGTTTCTAGCTTTGTTTTTGTGTTGCGGTTTTTGTGTTTGTGTTTCAAAATTTGTGATTGTTTCAAGTTTTTTAGTTGTGTTTCAAGTTAAGTGTTAGCGTTTACGTTATACGTCTGCGTGTCGTGTTTTGTGAAAGTGTTTTAGGTTTGTGTTTCATATTTCAAGTTTTATGTTAGAATTTACGTTTCGCGATTGTGTGACATTTTTTGTGTCAGTGTTTAGGATTTTGTGTCTATGATTCAAATTTTGTGTTACTGTTTTAGGTTTTGTGTTCCATGTTTCAAGTTTTATGTCAGTGTTTTAGGTTTTGTCTTTGTATTTCAAGTTTTGTGTTACTGTTTCAGATTTTGCATTTTTGTTTTAAATTTTGTGTTAGTGTTTTAGGATTTGTGATTCAGTTTTGTTCCTACCTGCCACGGTACATTTGAATACAACGACACCTTTTTTTTTTTTTTTCCTTTCACGAGATGAAACCGAGAACAAAAGCAAAGTACACAAACATACCGCCCGAAAAGACAAAAACAAAAATAGAACAAAGAAATCAAAATAAACAAAACGAAACAAAACAACAACAACAACAACAACAAAACCGATAAAAGATAAGCCGAGACGCTTTTCGCAATCGTAGTAATTATTCAGCGAAAAAAGGCCAGCAGCTTTTCTTCCTTATTTTTTCCTTTCTTTTTTTTTTTAAATATGTACATCTTCCTTAAACGTTGAACGCCAAGGATCTTACCTAATAAATATATGTGTGTACATAAGTCCCATAGGGTGTTAATTAACATAAAACATTTCCCATTCTACGCAGTCTACCTTGGGCGACCCTTTGAAAATTGGTATAATTTTCTTCCCTATTTTTTGATCGGAAAATGAAACTGTGCTCCGATTCTTTGCAGAACATATAATTTTATTATTGTTACAGCCTTAGTAAGAGCGTTGGGGTAACTAATTTGAACTTGTTATTTTTATCATCACTGCTGGCTTTGTTTTGTGGGCGCAAACTCGCTTGTGTTAATTGCCCGTTGCATTATGAGAAATGCAAATAAAAAAAAAGTTTTCGTTTTTAATATGTTGCGTAGGAAATAAATCATTCTCAGTCTTAATTTTGTTTTTCGAGGATGATTTTCGATTAGTTCCATTTAGAAAACTATTTTTATTTTTAAAGGAAAATTTTCGCTTTTGCATCCTAGATTCATTCGAATTTTGTATCATTTTACAAAATTGGCTAAATAATCCAAACAGATAATGTTCAAATTTCTCCAACAACTGACTCAATGAAGCATCGAGTAAACAAAAACATGAAATTGGATCGAAGCGACATCATTCAAGATGCGATTGATTTCTTGGCTTGTCATCTTTTGCACATCTGTGACAAAATTTGGATCAGATCATGATCGAAGTATTTTAAGAAGGGCGTCAATTTCAAATCTATTTTCGAATCCTCTCAAAAATAAAAACTCTTTGCACAGCTGATTACATTTTATTCATGCATTTGACAAGAGAAAATTAGCACGCTAACGGATGTATACTAATTTTCCACAAAGTTTCACCATTATTTTTGTTTTCTATACTACTCGATGGCATCTCCTTTGATATGCCAATCAATTATTTTAAAGACCATCGATCGACGTCCTGTTTGTTTCCCACTACTTTAGAAAAATTAATCACTTAAACACCGTAGGAGTGCTAAACATAATCATTTCGGTATGTCAGAAGTTTCTGACATTTTAGATCCTGCCTTTTTTGTCATGTGTATTTAATTATGTTTCCTCAACGAACAAAAGCGCTACAATTGGTCAATATGCTAAGCAGGTGTTTTTATTGCTGCTGATTGGTACTTCCAAATAAACATTTCAATTTTTCGGGATGCTTTCCAAATCGATTAATTTCCTCTGCGACGCGTACTTCCATTACATGTGATTTCATATCTTCCTTGCGATGTTTAAGAAATGCGTTTTTTTCATTACTCTTCTAAAGATATTTTTTGAGAGAATCGTCGCATTGCAGCCTTCATCGAAAAACGATCACATTTTACCTGGTTACGTTTTTAAACGGTTTCACACCAAAGATTGGTTATTCTGTATTCGGGCTTGTCACAATGAAGCAGGTTGTATCTCATATAACTACGACAGGTCGTCTGGAGGCAATGGGCTGTGTGAACTGAACGAATGTGGTATTGAAGTCACTTGCAACGGTATTGGCTCCCTTACATTCCTGATGGGCTTTCTCTTCCAGCAAATAAGGAGAGGAAAGGTCAGTAAAATCTCAAAGAGTTTCTGGTTGTAAATGATTGTATCGAATTTCTAATTTGATCTGTATCTTCTGTTTTTTTAACATTGATACCGAAACGTGATACAAAGTTAACAGGAATATCTGAAGTAAAACCATAACACATTCTGAAAGAAGTGAATACATTTCACAAGCATTCAAAAAGGTTCATTCCACTCTGTATGTGAATAAATTTCTCAAGTTAAAGATTATTTTGCATCCGCGCAACCATAGAGACTTTGTCGTTTTCTACAAATTTTGGTTGATGTCTACATAGTGCGATTCTCTCGTTGCTATCTAGAAGACGTTTTGGAACCTTTCTCATTATCCATAACCTTGAGCTAGGTAAGTCACCGATCTCTTGATAAATTTCTGCTCTCAATAGAGGCGAGGTCGCGTGAGTTGTGAAGTGCTACTACCGTAATTTCCGGTCGATTACCCGCGGGTAATCTGTTGATTTTGCATTAAATCCGCGCCACTGCGGGTAATAGGGAGGTGCGGGTTATGTGACAATTTTAAATTCTTCTGGAAGTTGAATTGAAAAAATTTCTCACCTACCTGCGTTTCCACCTCTCAAATGAATTTTATTGTATCAAAAGTGCCACAAAGCGGCACGAAAACATGATGCCAACTCGAGTTTATTTCACGCATAATTAGTTGCGTGACAAACAAATTTTTATCGGCACGCGTGAAAACAAAACCTTGATGGTGACAAAAATAATCCAAGGATATCCGGCGCATCAGTAACAAATTTCCAGTTTTCACTAGCTTGAGCTAAAGAGAATTTTCCCGTTTTAAGGGACTTGTTAGGCCCAGTAGAACAGGAGATATCGATTTTTTTGAGAAATTGCCGACAGTAATTTTAAATCCCAAATGCATCACCAGAATGTTGAAAATAATAGGTGCGAAACTTAACTAATTTCGCGCTGAAAAAGTATTTTAACGACAAATGAACAATGGATATTGCTCATTACGCTCCTACATGCTATAAAAAGGTAACTGACTGAATAAGAATTATAAACCTCGATCATTCGCGATAAGTGTATCTACGAGTCACCAATTAAGTTAAAATGCCTGCTGTGAAACGCCCACGTCACAGTTTTACGTTTGATTATAAGCTTAGAGTAATAACTCTTGCCGATGAAATCGGTAATAGAGCAGCAGCAATAATCAATCAATAAAGTATAAGCTAATATTGACACAGAATTGTGCACATGTCTGAATCGAAAGACTGAAATGTATCGCCTTAATGTCACGTTTTCGCCACCGAAAAAGTTGAATAACAACGTGCGGGTTATCCACCGGTGCGGGTAATCCGTTGACTTTTTTTTTCGCCGTATGCAATAATCGGCCGGTGCGGGTAATCGGCCGTGCGGGTAATCGACCGGAAATTACGGTAATTAAATAATTTTGTCGCTGTCATTAGTGTTACAGGAGCTGTGTAGAAATTCAAGATTACATCCCAGGAGCGGTGAGCGGTGTGTACAAAATTTATCCGATGTCAAATACTAAACCAATTGAAGTATACTGCGACCTCGAAATTGCAGGGGGCGGATTCAGTTTCCTTCCTCACAGCCTTACTCTGAGGTCAGATGCTCAGCAGATTGTCGAAGTTCTCTTCAAAGACAAGAAAAACGTTTTGCTGAAGTTGAAGAAAAAAGTCGATGGCAGCGAGTGGTACACTTTGATTCAGCCCCACCCGAATTACGCCGACATCGATTTTGGCGTCTTGGTGAACAACTTCTCTGGTTACACCAAACCAAAAAACGCTTTCATGCAGAAATACGTATTCCTTGGCATCCTCCCAAAATCAATAGCGAAAAGGAAAACAACCCAGGGTTTCAGATCTAATGGCATCATGCTAGAGTTTTGGAACTGCGATGCCAATCCCAACAGCTTCTTTGCACTTTTTCCAAACCATTATCATCAATTACCACAAGATCATGGCAAGACGACAGGATATGAAAATAGCGGAATCGCAGTAAACTGGCGTTCCCATGCCAAAGCTGTCACTAGTGGCAGTCTGAAAATGCCAAATAAGTTCTTTTTCCTGACAGAACTGCATTTTGGTGGCTGTGGCTGCTACACCTCAAGCGACCGGTGGAAGAAGTTTGGTTATAACGCCACTGCCATTGGAATTCGTTAGGCATTCACTAACTATCCTTTACTATAATGATCATCCAAGAAACCCATAAAGCGTACCTCAAATGCAAGATGTAAATCTACTTGAAGAATTAAACTCGTACGGGAAGGCTAATCGGCACTCCTATAGAAGTTTAAGGCGAGGGAAATTAGAAGAATTTCAATCTGTTGCAAGATTTGATGTACATTTTCATTATGGCTGAGCAAATCAACGCTTTATTGGTTGTCCCTCCTGTGTGTGATGCATTAACTTTGTAAGACTTTCTGACAAGTAATAATCTGAGTACATTACATTATTTTTCGCTGAATTTAGGAATACACTCTCGGAAAAAGGTTTTAAATATGGGAAATAAATAAAATAAATAACCCTCTCTCAAAGTAAAGCAGTGTGATGCATGTACACTTTTGGGTCAAAAGTTAGTTGCCAGATTTTCAAACCCAAATTCTTGTAAAAATAAGAATTGAAATACCTTATTTTTTTTCTTCTTCTTGAAATGAGTGCCTGGGCGGTTATTTAAAATTGCGATTAAAATAAAAAAGGGTGGGGAGGGGGGGTGGAGAAAAGAAAGGAAGGGAGGAGGGTGGTGCTATTTTGAAAGGGGGGGAGGGGAATGCTTGTTCAACTATCATGGCCAAGGTGGTGGGAGGTTATTCTTGTGAGGGCGCTTATTAAAGCCTGAGTGCTTATCCGAGGAAATACTCCTTGAGCATAAGGCATCAACGATTTCCCCTCTTCAGCTCTTCCCTTCCTGGGCTAATCTTTCGAGTGTGGTCCAGGTGTGGCCCTAAGAGATACAAAACCTGAGGATTCCAATTCAAGGCTTGCCTAGTAACAATTCCTCGATGTTTCTTCCCGGCGTGGCCAGTCCATCTCCACTTCGTTCGACCGATTTGTATCTGAATGGGTGCCTTACCAGATATTTCCCACAGGACCCCGTTTGTTCCTGTGTCTGTCCATGTTACTTTCACATTTCTTCGCGTGCACGAATTGAAAGATGCGAATGGAATTATACAGGAATGAATGCATGAGAAGTAAATGAAGGAATGACTGAATGATCGAAGGAAGAAAGGAAGGAGGGTAAGGAGGACAATAGATGTGATTTAGTGAGTGAGTAAGTGAGCGGTTTTAATTGAATATAACGACTGGAGGGAACTAAGTCAAAATAAAATCACATTGAAAATAACTGAGATATAACGAGCAAAAACTTTTATTCGCGCAAGATTGCTGTAATGAAACAGTTACAAAGTGGTATAGCTACGGTTAACATACACTAAGTAGCAAAATAGCGAAATAACGAAAAGTAGGACCGAGATTATTCCTGCAGCTGAAACTGTGATGAATGAAACAGTTTTAGCGAATTCCAATCGCAGACGCATGAAAGCCAAATTTACTCCAGCGGTCACTGGATGTGTAACAGCCGCAGCCCCCAAAGTGCAACTCCGTCAAGAAGAAGTAATTATTTGGCATCATGCGATCAGGACTCGTGATCTCCTTAGCGGTTTTACGCCAGTCCACAGCAACGCCTGTCCTTTCGTAAACCAGATTTGGATGGTAGCTACTTGGTGTCTGCAGATCATGGTTTGGCATGAAAGCGAACAAGCTGTTTGGATTTGCGTCGCAGTTTCTAAACTGGACGCGGTGCCCGTTGGATTTGAAGCCTTGGAGGTTTCTCTGTCGAGCAATCGATGCTGGGAGAACTCCGAAGAAGAGATAGTCTCTCATGAAAGAATTCTGTGGACTCGTGAAACCAGAGTGACTGTTGACCAATAATCGGAATTGAACGTGGGCAAAATCTGGATGAGGCTCGATCAAAGTGTAGGCTTCGCTGCGATCGACCTTTTTCTGCAACTTGATCAGGACATTCTTCTTGTCGGTAAAGAGGGCGTTGATGATTTGCTGGGCATCAGGTCGACGAGTGATACTGCGAGGAAGAAAGTTGAAGTGGCGATTGTGTTCGCCAATAACTCCAGTTGACATCTCGCAGTACACTAGAATGGGGTCTTGTTTAGGCAGGGGCTGGATTTTGTAAACACCGCTTGGTGTCTTAGGCAATAGACTGTTGCAGCTCCTGGGAAACTGAAAATATAATTTCGGTTCATGATGGTATAATTACTATTTTAAGTATAGCTCTTGAACTGGTATGATTCATCTCATCTTTGATTAAATAAAAAGATTTTCCAAGGACTTCAAACAGGCAGATATGTGTTTTCCCACATCAAAAATCGCTTCAGGGGAGGACATCACCGCAGGATTCAGAGTTCCGCTCGTTAAACAAAGGAACAAAACTTAGTTCGCAGAGTAGGAGCCGGGAAAAGGTTGCATATTTTCATCTTTTCTATTTATGAGTAAATAGAGAAATAACGAAAAACTTATTTTTATGCCGATTATGGTGTGTTATGGCGTTATTATTGGTTTATGTGGCATACGATACTTACTATTTTTTGGTTGCAGTTGCAACACGCATGAGCAGTTTTCCACATCAACAAGGTCCATAGCACCATAAGGGAGATCAAGAATTTCATCTAAAAATGAAAATAAACGATTCTTTTTATCAGCAATTTAGTTTACCATCAATTTATGCCAATAGCTAGCTTCCATTTTCAGTTCAAACGAAAACAAACCTTATCTCCAATGTACTCCTGCGTGACGCAATACGGCGTGCTATTAACATGTAGATGACAATGATTTCGTAACTCCGAGAAAAAAAATAGCGATAGTTTTAAAAAGATTCACGATTGTTTCAACCGAAAGTGAAAGTTTGCAAATTAATAATTGCCCTACAACAACCGTTAATTTCAAAGCACTGCTTGAATACAGAGCGGTTGGCTATCGAGCAGTGAATAACTGCTTTTGTAAAGCGGAAGAAGTTAGAGGAAACTTTGGTAGCGACTAAGAATAATTAACTAGACCAAACGCGAATATTTATTTGATAGTTAACCGCATCAAAACAGTCCTCAATTACAGTGCAACTTTGAATTGTTTGACGTAGCGCAGCGGCTAGCTTTTGAAAGGTGGCTAACGGAAAAAAAAAAAAAAAAAAAAAAAAAAAGGATTCCACTGGTCACAAATAGGAAAATGTTAGGGTTGAGATTCCTGAATATTGCAATGATACAAATGGCATGTTGTGCATTAAAATTCAGCCGAGTTGATCTGATGGTTCACAAAGCTACAAAGCCGAGGGATGACACAAAACTTTAAAATGCTTTTTTGTCATTAGCCAATCAATCAGGGCTTTTTTTCAGCCATGTGCGATGATTTAAGATTTCAGTTTGATTTATTTTTTGTTGATTTTTTTTTCTTATCTAAAGATTTTTGTAACCTTGACCTTGCATTAGCGGTGGTTATATTTTTGAATTGAAAATTTGGGTCATGATATAGTCTTATATCTAGCAATAGACTCTGGAGGTGGAATGCGCCGAAGATGTCGAAATGTCAGTAGCTTTTAAGTTTGCAGTTCAGAAACTGAATTGCAATTTAGATTGGAAACAACTGACTTCTCTAGCCGTTAGTCCGGAACGGGTTACTAAGGATTTCAAGACTTACCTTTTCTCTTGCTTTCTTTCAGGCGATCAGGAGGTCTTCTCTGAATCTTGCAAATAGCAACTATAGACACAACTGTACATACACCAGATAAATGGCTTTAACACCGGAAACAACTTGGGTTAAATCATCCGCTTTCTATTGACAATATCCTGTTGTTTACGTCATAACAATAAAAAAAGCGGAAAAATTGGCTTTACGTCAAAGAGCAAACACAATCAAGAAGCTGTCTTCAAAAAGGCTCCTTTATGTATGGCCGTTGTATCACAGCAGCTATATCTGTCGTATAAACATGCATCCAGCTAGGACTTGTTTCTTGTTCATGTTACACTTTGCCATTTGATTGCTCATCCTTAGAGCGCGAGCAGGGAATTATTATGTAATACTTAATTCATTAAATTCATTTTTCATTAATTTCATTTTGTGGTAGAACCCAATTAATAAGGGAGTCAAACAAACATTCAAATGCAAATTGAAACTCAAATAGATTCTCAGAAGGTATAACACGCACAAATGAGTTTTCCCATGCTTGTAATTCTCAAATTTCAGTTTTTTTTCTGGGCCTATATCCTTTTTTGAGTATCATATTCCTCTTTTAGAGGCTACATTGTAAGCGTTCTTTCATTTTATGGACCGCAGTGTTAATACCTATAATTAGCATAAACGCGGAAAATTTTGCACTTGGAAGCAAATTATCCACTCTCAGCCGTAAACGCAAATGCTCTATTCTTAGACTAAAAAAACGAAAAAAGGTATATTTCACTTCAAATAAATACACACGTTTATACTGAAATAGGCTAGAATTCTGAACGGGAATTCCCTTCCAATGGCTTCACCTCTAACGAAAAAAACGCTCTTGCTTTGACAACGAGACCTTTGCCTATATTTTTGAAGGTTATAGGCACAGAAAAAAATAGAGAAAAACCACGGGGAAATTTGAGTGAGGGACATAGAGAAATCAATCGCAACACGTAAAGATGTGGTGCTGTGTGATTAAAACTTGCGAAATGTTACTGAAAGTTACGTTAAACGTGCACCTTATGATGTCGTTTGCTCCATATCAAGGCTATAGATTTGAAAAGTATCGAACCTCTTACCTGGAATTGCAAGGCTGGAATAACTGAACCTTTGCTTTCAATTAGTACTGATAGTTTTCGGCACACATTAGATTATTGGGAAACTAGAATAAAGTCAATGTTTATCTATCTGATCAAAGATTGACCTTTGGATATATTGCCGCACCTTGGTTAATCATGGCCATTATTCTCTAGAAGAGCTATTTCTTCCGTTTGGGAATCTCTTAAAGTAAATTTCAACGGAAGGAAAGTAAAACGCTCATTCTAGTTGTCAGTCAATCAGAAAGGGAATGAAAAGTGTATCCACTTTGTGAGTAACAAGGATCCCAGATAGACTCCAATTAAGTCAAACGTAAACATCGAAAAGTATAATAATTAAACACTGTTGACTAGCTGTTTAGTGATCCATAACTGGCGTACACGATTGACAAGATGGGCACACAGATCTTATGATCTGGATTAAAATTATGAAAGGGCTTGAGTGGAATAGAGAAGCTGCGCTATATATGGTATTCTGCCCGCTCTGTATAGCTTAGGATCCTCTCTTGTTATGGGCCTTTGTATATAAAACGCGTGGTGTTTACATTGCAAGTTTGCAATATCCGCGAACTATTTATAGTCTAATTGATCGAAATAAAAATGACATCTAAGAAAGTTTAACCATTGCATTTTTGCAGAGTTTCAATTCTTCTCTCTGGCTGACTTTAAAGCGGAAAAATGAATGAAGGAAGAAATACGGGAGCTAACTAAAGTGTTCATGCTGATATGAAATTATTACATTTCACATGAATCTCTGTAAAACGCTGGATTTTGTGACATTCAATAATCCAAAATAAATAACATGGTGAAAAGCAGATATTAATCCTAAACCAATTTATTTGAAATTTTTTTGTTAAATTTACATTTTTGGTGACCCTAATTGTTTTTACATTAAAGCGGAATTGGTTTTCCACAGTTTTCCTCTAGTCTACGTGAAAGAACATTGATTCATTTTCTAAATTGACTGAAAAAAATGTTGCTAAAAGCAAAAGCGAGAAAGAGGAAAAATCAAAATATGAAGCCGGAGAATAGAGTCCTTTCTCGTTGAAACTGGTACAAATCACAACTTCTAGAGGAAAAGGTTGATTTCGCAATAAACCTCTGTGCTGTGTTGTGAAGAACGTCCGCTGCCACACTTACCGCGGGCTCTTCAGTCCCAGCCTTGGTCCTGATTACCGCATGTTTTGACCGCAGAGAACTTCAGAAACTCAATACAAACCCCTAAATACACTTAATGATGCTAATGATATTAGCGGGATAGATTTCCCACCGGAAGAATGCTTATAAAAATAGAACATCTATTTTGTTAGTAAATTTGTATTGTACTGTTGAATTTTAATAATCAACAGAACAAGGCAAATTAAAGAATTACTTTTAAAGCATAAATTAGTTTCAAGTGACTTACTATCTGGTAAGCTTATTCCACTTGCAAGAGTCTTGAAATGTTTTCTTTTTCCCTTTTCTAAAAAGCGGCGTTTCGCTTCGGAACAAGTTTTACGTGCGTAATGGCAACAGGCATTCAATATACATATGCCTATATCGTTTTCGGTATTGGCCGGTCAAAGCTCTTTGCAACCAGAAAATTACTTTTACCTACATCAAACTTGGGCATGACGGTCAACCCAAGAGGTTCGCCCTTATGGTCTGTCAAAATCATGTAAATGTTAAGCCTTACTTTTTCGTTGCGGTTAAAATTGATGAAGCTTCTTCAACAAAAGTAAGGGGAAGCTGAAGGAAACCAATGTGTTTAACATTTCTGTCCAGATGGTACATGTTTGTTGACGATGAAAATATATTTATATATTTATAAGAATTTGCGTATTATACTTTTTAAGATGGTATTTTCAGTTAATTGTCTACATCAAGAGAGGATAATTGTACATCATTATATCGCTCAGTTGGTACGAGCGCTATGATTGGTCTATTTAGCGGGCCATATTTCATTGTACGACCAGCTAAACTCAAAGGTTTGTTTGAACGCCAAAATGTCTCTTGAAGAAAACCTTCAAACACATTGAAAGGAAAAGTACGCACACCAAGATGAAGAACAAAACTCAGAAGCCGATATCCCAAACTTTCGAGTTAGTTTCTTGGGAAGACGAGCGACGAATGAGAAAGACGGGCACAACGAAGACAACTCGAGTCGAGAACTAGATGATTTCATTGCCTCCGAAAGGTCGTGAAACATTGTGAAAAAACGAAATACGAGTGAAAAAAGTTTGAAGGGTTATGCAAACAGCTAGTCGATGAAGATTTTAATGCAATGAACATACCTACTGCTGCTCTGGACGAGCTCCTTGGTAAGTGCTTTTAAGATGAACGTAAGCAAAATGGCGGCGATAATGAACCAGACAGTATTTCGAGCTTTCAAAAAAGCGTACCCGAGTTATCTTGCTCATCTTTCTCTGTTTGCCGCTTGTCTTCCACCAAAAGCTCTACAAAGTAGGTTCAGATCCAAAGCGGCGTTATATCCTTCTTTATTCCCGTCAACAAACATCGGCTTAATTTCCAACGGTGTCTTTAATCTTGTTCAGTCTTCACCGAGTGATCCACCCGACAGCTTCCATGAAAACGCCGCAAAACACCAAAAATTGGATATTAATCGTTGAAAAGATCCTTGTGTTGTTTTCCATCGCATTGATAAAATTCTTTTATTCATTCATTTTACGTTGACATTAAACAAAGTTAGCCGTTCGCACTTGCTACGTACTTTCTACAAAGAAACACGTTGTACCCTGCAGATTTCGGGCATTTAAGAGTAACTTGCGGAATTTTCTGTCACAGTTCTTTGCAGAAACCTCTGTATTCTTGAAATGTCCTTTTGCATGTAAGTTTGCATTATTTCAAACTATGGATATTTAATGAATATTTTGATCCTTTGACGACTCAAAGTCCAGTTATTGAAAACCAATAAAATAAGCTTTGACGCGCGTCATCATCAATGGCCGTTCCGCTTGAATTGAAATTTTTAACCAAGAGATATAATAAATATCTTACTAACCTCGTTTTTTCTTGGAAGAAACCTTTACAGGCAACAATACAGACTTGACCTTTTCAACTCTTCTTTATTCCCAGCAACACTACAACTTGATGCTTTTCAGATTCAACTGCTCGGTACCATCATACTAAGTAACTACCTGTGCTAAAATACACTTAAAGTTATTATAGATACACTTTGATTTGGAATACCAGTGACCTGAATTGATTGTGACCCGGGAGGTACTCCCGAACAGAAATGGAGACATGTGACTGATTCAAATAAAAAGAAAAATACTGAAATACCGATGTTTATGTAAAGGCAAACTAATAAAAGGCAAACTAATAAAAGGCAAACTAATAAAAGGCAAACTAATAAAAGGCAAACTAATAAAAGGCAAACTAATAAAAGGCAAACTAATAAAAGGCAAACTAATAAAAGGCAAACTAATAAAAGGCAAACTAATAAAAGGCAAACTAATAAAAGGCAAAGTCATGCGGTGATTTTTTTTTCATGGATGCCCATGCCAAGGTGTCCATGTCAAGGTCTATACAAGTGCTCAAGCATACCACCAATCTTTGTTAGAGACCTCGTCACACTTAGAGCCTGAATGATCTAAAGTACGAAACTTCATGAAGAGGGGGTAGGGGGAAGGGGTAAAATTACTTTGTACAACCTTGGACTTGAAGTTGAAATCAATTTCAAGTTGAATAGGATAAGATAGGATAACTTAAACTTTATTAGGTATTTCTATCAGTCAATCAAGATGCCAGACTAATTACCCTCCTACAAAACTACAAAAAATATCAAAAATATTTCAAAAGTAAAAACTGCTTTTCATGGAGGCCGTGTCTAAAAATTTACTTAGAGTTAAAATATTACTAAAAACTGCGGTGACTTAATTTAGATTTGAAATCAGTCAATGAAGATGCTTGCCTTAGTTCTATAGGTAAGTTGTTCCACAACTGAGCTCCGTTATGCCAAAAGCTTCTCTTTAGATAGTCAGTTCGAGGTTGTGGAAGTAGTAGTTTGCTCTCGGTATTTCTCAAACGATAAGCACTTACACTGTTACGAGAAACGATTCTTGATATCAAATACTCAGGTGCCACACTATTTAATATCTCGTACACAGTGGCTGATCTACGGGAGGGGCTTGAGGGGCCCGTCCCCCTCCTTTATTTTAGGTAAAAAGTGAAAGAATCGCAAAAGGAAGAAAAGCTGGCAAGGCAAGCGACAAAAAGCCGCCACCGGTACATCAAGATAGATTTCTGTTCTGGTCTTTGATAAGCCTTTTCATATGTATCCGCCACCATAGTGCGCGGAACAAATCAGCCAAATTACTACCATAGCTCGCAGATTTTAGGGAGCGAGCTAGGCGATTTTGAAACCCACAGAGTTTTCCGGAAAGGCCTTTGTTACAGTTTCACCACAAATCATTGCAATAATCAAAATGCGACTAAATGAGGCCACTATAAACTTGAATTAGAATATTAAATAGAGTAAATGCCGAATTCGTTTTATTTCACCAGCTATCTTATGGGGGATATTTTCATTAAGGCATTCCCAGTTTCAATTTTGGTTGATTGAAACTCCAAGAGATTTAGTGGAGGCTACTTGTTCTACTGCGTTCTCGTTTATAGTACGAAGTGGTCTCCGTAAATTTTGATAACCTCTGCCTTGATGCAATAAGCATAAACTCAGTTTTTTTTCACATTTAGGGTTAGCTTGTTAGCTGATACACATTGCGCAGGTCTCAAATAAGGCGATCATGTCAGTGCTACAAGCGTCAGGCTAGTATCATCCGCTTTCATTCTGGGTTCCGAATATGTCAGACGATGTGGCAAGTCATTGACATATATCAAAAACACAAGAGGTCCCAAAATTTTTCCCTTGGGAACACCACGTCTTAGACAATTCTTACAAGGGGTAATGTGACAAATCTGAGTTAGATTATCTCAACAAGAACCAAACAATCAGTGGCTGGATCAACGAATCTCGTGGTATTCAATTGTCTTAACAAAATGTTGAGATCTACTTTGCAAATGCCTTTTTGAGATCGTTAAAGACAACAGCTTTAACAAGACCACGATATCTATCCATGGCTCAGCTATCAGTAGCTTCGATAATCATAAGTTTTTATCTGACTAATTCACAACACTATTGTCGTCTGAAATGGGATGACATGCGAGCTACTTTCATTGCATGACCCCAGACAGTCTCCTTTAAGGACGAGAAGTTCTCTCTCTCTATTTCGTTTGGATTTGTTTAGCTGTATATATGTATTTTTCTCGTCATCTCTCTTTTATTTTGTCCAAATTTAATTTAAAGAAGCAGATTCATGTATGTAAGTGTGGTTCAAACTTTATGGGGCTCTACACAAAGAAGGCTCATGAACCTTAACTGCGCCTCGAATGCCGCTCCTGAATTGCTCCCAACTCAAAACATTACCCTTTCTTGAGAAGCAATTTTTCGACATTTCTACGATCTCTTTGAGAGGAAGAATGGTATCCCACAGGTTCAAATTTACAATTTTACCAACTAAGGCTTGGTTGTCCTGGAAGCCACCACCGAGAGAATCTTGCTCTTGACCCAATACAACGACCCCTCCCTTTTCTATTATATGACCAGCACTAAGTCCAGTACCATTTTCTTCTAGTTTCCCGTCGATAAAGATCTTGTTTTGGCCATCGGTATTCCGCCAGGTGGCACATACATGGTGCCACTCACCATCACGGACGGATATGACTGCTCTTCTGAAAAGATAAATCAATACATTTATAGATCAATATGAAACAAATCAAGCATACAAAACGGAAAAAAGAAAATAAAAGTGTAAAGCATATCCTTTTTTGTGTCCACTCGGTGTTATCAGCTTTATATGATTCTAAGGTCTCTATGTATCAAATATTTCTGAATGTAAAGATGTTAAGTTTGGCTTTTAATTGATTCAAGTTTCGTTACAAAGTTTTAAAATATAACGCACGAGAGGAACAGGAACGAACCTTAGACCTAGTGGGGATAACTATATCGTGCTGCTTTGTAGCAGCTAAAATGACCAGATATAGCTTTTAGCATTCTTTTTTACGGCTTTTTTTGTTCTTTTTTTTTTTTTTTTTTTTCTTTTTTTTTTTTCAGTACCAAAAAGAGAAAAACAATATATACAAAACAAGAGAGAAAAAAAAGAGAAAACGTTATATAAGTCTCCCGCTTTCGATCTTAAGAGAGAGAGAGAGAAAGAGAAAAAAATAGTCATGACCCGACAAAGTAGTCGTAATATGTGCAATGCGTACAAAGATTAACCTTTGTCGTACTTACGGTGTACGTTGACCTCCAACATATAGGTGCAGCTCGGGTATGTTTATTATGATAATTTCGTTCATTCTGTTTTGCCATGCATAACTGAATACAGTTCCTTGACTCTGCGTTTTCATCCAAAGACAGAGGGTAAATTTAGTAAACACCCTATCCATATTCTTGTTATAGACCACGCCATTGCCGTTTCGAACAGGAAACTCAAGTGAGAAATCTTTAAATGAAAAAGGAAAGAAAAGGTGAGAATATGACACAGTTCTCCTCTAAGCTAGTGGGCTCATTGGACTACGAAATCAACATATGCTCAAGAGCAAAGCAAAGACTCAGAGGTTATGAGATAGCAACGAACTAAATATGTGATACTTAAGAGAACTTGGCTCTGATATCACTAATAATAATAATAATAATAGTAATAATAGTAATAATAATAATCAAAGTAATAATAATGATAATGCCGAGATCGAAAGAGGAAATACTAACGAAGAGGAACTCTATGTTTAGGTTGAAATACAGAAGTATGAATACAAAATACAAAGGCAGAAAGAGCTGCATGTACAGCTTTGTAACAGTGTAGATGCCCCTAGTTAAACGAGTAGCCTCAGTGACTAAACTAAGCTTTATACTTACGCACCATGAATTACAAAATATAGATCAATTCAGAGGGCTTGAGGAAATCATTTTCACCAATAACAGTAAGCTAACAAAAACCAAGTGGTAATAGTGATAACATTAGAGGCGGACGAAATGGTAGCAAAGAAATATTCATAGTAAATGTATTTATTTATTTATTCTTCTCAATTGATATTCTAGAGACAGTGGTAGGGCATGCTTACCTGACGAAATTCTATCCATGTTAGGGCACCTCGTTTCATCCTCCTATTAAGTAGCGAGATTAAAATCATGTTTCAATGGACTCAAGAACTTCTTTAGATGCCGCATAAATTAGCGAGAATTAGATATAGAAAGTTCAAACAAATGGGAACCAAGTTTTTTTTTATTCACTCCACAATTTTCCATTGAGGTAACAAAAATATTTGTAGATCCAAAGTTCACAGCGCCCCTAGAATATCAGTCTTCGCGGGAAATTTATTAAACATTATAAGTTAGCCTGCAGATCATGCATGTGATTATTCCATCTTTGTTCTTGAGGTTTTCTTTATCACCTTGATATTAATATTCAATGTATTCAACATTACACAAATTGAATATAGGATTTTGCGTTCCTCTGTTTTCACATCTCTTTTTTGCTTCAAGGCATATCAACAGTAGAGCGACAAAGACAAAATACACAACTTCTTCTTAAATAAATAATTGATTCGGGTGTTAAAGCGAGGAAAAATTTTCTCTATTCGATATCAAAAGTTGCAGACTCTTCGTCTTTGGTAGATAAAACTATGAAATAAATTCTTACCTTGCGACATCGTATTTGTGAGAAGATGAATTCTTTTGTTGGTATCAGATACTTGTTGTCGAGATCATTTGATAAACCAGCAAAGTTTAACTCGCAGCGTCCTTTAAGGTCTGTTTGGAACCTTTTTGTAGTTGATTGAGAGGCAACGAGTATTCTTCACGCAATAATGGCTGCATGTTATTTGACTGTCTACAATAACACTTTCGATTAAATGCCCCTCCAGCCTAAAGTTTTCTCGTGTCACTGTGGATGTTAGACTCCGTATTTCATCATCAATACTTGCTAGGCTAACTGATATTATTTGTACCGCTATCCATGTCTTCAAATGAAACGGTACCATAGTATAACCGACCTTAAATCGCTTGATAACAGAAAAAGTAAGTGAGTGTTGTTATGTTCCAAATGGGAAAGGCACTCGTAACTGATTCGTATTTCATGATTATCTATTTCAGTATTGATCTTCACATGAATATTTTATATCAGTTCCTAAGACTTTTAAAAATAAATGAAGTTTTTTTTCGGGTGAATTAAAGTTGGACGGAATTCTCTTGATTTCTTTTTCTTTTCTTGCTATCACCACTCTTGCAAAATTATTTTCCAATTTTCCTGCTCTAATTCAGTTGATTTCACCCGTTTGAAGTCATTGTTGAAACCAAATACAATTGCACAGAGTAAGTCACGACAATTCTTTTCATATAGACCGTGCTGAGTCAAAGACAAAAGCATTTCCTGAACATATGTTATTCAACGTAACAACTTTCCTCTTTTGGTGCTGATTTAAACTTTTTCGGAGTCTTAAAGGAAACTTGATCTCTCCCTTAAGTTACCTTCAAATTTGGAACAAACCTCGAGCTCTATTTAAAGTCTGGATGTAAACAAACATATATACACAAATAACCTTTTGGCGTCAAATAAATGCATACTGATAACGCAAACTATACGGCACAGGTGTGAAGAGATGTTGGTTATATTTAGATCCATAGTACATTCTCGATGGAATATATTGTTTTCAGGCATATGTCATGCTTATCCAACACATAAAAGTCCTGTGTTTGTTGCTTACTAACTCCTCTTTCGCTGACTGAGCCGCCCATTGTATTTGCTAACGGTCACCACTGTCCAATTTTGTTTTCTATATTAAGTCAGTATAACTTAAAGTGAAAAACTAAAACATGCCGTGACCAAGAGTACTCTATCCTGAGTTGTTTTAGCAGTTTAATTTGTCAACATCGTTTAGATTTTCCAAACTTCGTGTTTTAGTGTATTCTGAATTATTTAATGGAATGAACATTAGGAAACATAACCTGCCCGGAATGGTTGAAACAAAGACAACGCGGACTCTTCACATGACGGTAGCTAAGCAAGTTGTGACTGGGCAGAAACCAAATTTGGAGTAACTATTTTTTGCTCCTTCCCTTTCTTAACTAAGACAGAATAATTAATTGTGGAGAAGCAAATATTCCAAGTTCCATTTTGTTCTGTGTAAAGCGGAGGTGTTTTTGGTAATTTTATATGAGGCATTTATGAGCATCTTGGTCCAGACGATTGGCGTCATTAGGAGGATTAAAATGAACGTAGAGTGAGATCAGAACACAATATAAAGGAGTCGATGACTGAGTTATCAACTCACTAGGCCTGCAATCAGCAAAACAATGAAGTCTCAGACTGTTATTTTTCTTGCCGTTCTTCTTTTTATCGCAGATTGTGTCAACGAAAGTGAGAGCTTTGGCATAAATCTTCCATCTGGGAACAATGGCCGGAGAAGCGGTTAGTTGATATATAACACTTTCTGTGTAAATCATTTACTAGTCTTTCTTCTCTATAATTTTGGCAAGGGAAGGAAAAAAATGTCTGCAGAGTGTGTTTGACTTTACTTTAGCAAACTTTCAAGAATGCAGGGAACAAAATGCCCCGTACTATATGTTCGATACTTCTTTACCTCACACTACTTTCACTTCGAAATAGTTTTTATGCTAAAAAAATAAAAACAAATAAACAAATACAGCAATTTGTCTTTTTAAGCTCAGTCAAGGAGAAACTGCACTGATAAAGAGTGCTTTGACATTATGAAGACGTATTTCTCCAAATTTTAGATTTGAGCGTGAACTACAAAGCAAAACTATACTGAATTGAAACACTCTTCTCATAGTTGATATTTCTAAACATAACTTTCAACCATTTATTTTTAAGTATATTTACGGCTCCGACGAGTGACATCTTCAGTTTGTCAAATGGCGAGAGATCTTGGATGCGGAAAGCTGGACGAAAACGTACAAGAAGACCTGAGCATGTAGCAAAATATTTACGATAAGAATGACAAAGCTTTGTAATAACCATTGATAAAGACTAATAGATCGAAAAACTTCTCATATAAAATAAAGTTAAGTGTTAAACTGAAGTCCCATTCTTTTTTATTATTATTATTTTTGCAGCGGCGAGGAAAAAAGATAGTGCTCAATTTTCACTAGGCGCATATCCTTCCTCAAATTCTCAAAATATCCTAGCATTGCTTTGTTTGATGGCACAGGAACTCTTTGGAATTCTCTAGGTGTTGAGTGTCGAGAGTATCTGCACGCGAGTTCTATCAATGCATAGTAAGGAAATTATTCAAAAAGAATCCCACACAGTAAAAAGAATCCCACGCAATACAATTTAGCCAAGGTCTGGAGACTGTATGTTTTGTCAACTCAATTTGTGTTCTCTGTTCTCTTACATTGTCATGTAGGGTCTCCCCTGCTCCACCCTCTATCTTTTGCATGAAGGTTTTCAGATTCTCAACGCTATATCAAGTTTTGCGGAAATAATTTTAATTATTTTGGTTTTTGCTTTGTTTTTTCCTGTTTTTGCTTTAAAGAATATGGTGCTGAGGGCTTTTGATTCCGCTCTGAAGTTTGATATCGTAAAATGACGTGGCTAATTAGACGGAACGGCCATCAACAACGGGAAACGAGAAATATGTCTTGATTAAAGCGATTGTGGTAAACCATGGTGTAAGGCAATAATCAATACATAGTGAATAAGGATGGCAAAAGACAATGTTGTACCATGGCGGGTATCACAATCAGAAAATTTACATGTCCGGTGGAGCTCAGTCAATTTTAATTTTGAACATAACAAATCATCAGACTGCGATGATACTACTCGATTCTCAGGGTTAAACTCTCAACTTAAGCTAGATTTTTATCGTGGCTAGTCTTTTTGCGTCCGGAGGAGAGGGGCATACGATGTATATAGGTGATGCATGTCCACTCCAAAAAGGACTTTGTTTCCTGCGTGCTTGCTTCTCTTTATCTCCTCACCCGGGTAGTGAATTTACCAGTTTAACATAAATGACTGTTTAAGATAAGGGCATAACTTTGTCACAAATTAAAAAAGAAATAAATCGCGTTGTCCATTTTTTTCTAATAACGTCCGTATAAACCAGGATGAAAGGCAGAATAATCCCTTACCAATAGCTCACCTTTTAAAAATTATATCAGTAACTCCATTTGTTACCATCGCGTACATTTGCCACTTCGTCTAGTGGTGAATTACTTAATGCAGTGGAATAATGAGCAGACAGATAGGAAACATTACCTTGGCCGAGTGGTTAGTAAAAAGACAATGTAGACTCTTCGCATAACAGCGAGTAGATTCGTTAGAGGTTACTGGGCAAACTAACCTCGGAGCACTTTTTCTTAATTTGGATAGTACAATTAAGTGTGTCAAATCACATATTCCGTTTCCCAGCTTATTTTAGGAAAAGCGGAGGTGTTGTTATTTTTCTATTGTAATTCTATATGAGGCTTTTATACACATTTTGGTACAGAAGATTGGCATCATTAAGGGCACCAAAGTGAACAAACGGTATGATTAAAACACATTAAAAAGGGGCCGATAACTGGGTTTTAACTCACTAAGGTTGCAATCAAGTCTCAAACTGTTATTTTTCTTGCAGACTATGTAAGTGCAAGTAAGAGCATGACCGTGAATCTTCCAAATGGAAATAAAAAGGATGGTCGGAGAAGCGGTGAGTTGATATAGTCACGACTTTCAGTCTAAACAGTATTTCTTTATCCATTTTCTTTTAATTCGCAGAGTGAGTATAATTTTTCTGGAGCAAATGTTCACAGATGCAGTGGGCAGAATGTTTCGCACTATATCTTTAATACTTTCACTGTGACTTTGCTTCCATGCCAAAATCAATCTGTATTTAAACTTAAGAAGAAACTGCGGGCGTAATGGTATTTTATACGATAATTTTCGTCCACAGTGAAATCCATGACGAGCGAACTCAAAACAGCTAGCAACTTCTTGATGCTAGACAGTAAGCAACGCGACTTTCCAGCTTGGAATGGAAGATGCTACTTTGCGGGGCATTTACATTTTACAT